GTATAACGGATATTACTTGTTAATTTCTTCATACCAATATAATCGTATTAGAATAGGGCTGTCACTACCTCAATTATAAGTCTTATTTAAATATACTGAGCGCTGATCTAGTATTTGTTTCTAATACTGTCATGGTCGTAGTGTGTATCAGCCCTGTAACAAACTGCGCTGTACCGTTGCAACAACAAGTAGGGTTTCATACAAAACGTCGGTATAGCGTGGGTGGTGATGATTCACGTCGGTGGGTTTCAAGGACCCTCCTCTTACTGCACTTGTCGAAGGAGAGACTGCACGTTGCACGTGTAACGTGTTCCATATGGACATACAAACAATGCATTAATATTAATATATCGACTGTATAAAGCATAAACTTATGCTTGATTTGATTTTTTGTTCATCTCATAGGATATGTTTAATTTTTGAATATTAATAATGTTTAATTTCGTAGTGGAAAGTAATTGCTAAGCGGAATGTCCGTCCGTGATCTTCGTCCCGTCAACTATGACGACTGTAATATAATGTTGTATAGAGTTATTCCAAAAGTTCTATTTCTGGGTAACGCCTCACCCACCCACCTTGAATGCAAACGCTCACAGTTGTTCGAGTGAACGGTGCTGGAGGGGTTTTATTAGAAAAATTATATCATATACATGATATATTTAATATTATAATTGGACGAACAGACGCCGGACCCGAGGGTTATATAGAGTGCAATGAAGAGGAACGTGAGTAATATTAAACTTGTTAGGGTAATGTCTACATGGGTATCGGTGGGCAGTGCTGCCAACTGATTGTTTGCGTCATAAAATAATTTCGTTTGTTACATGCAGGTTTTAATGTTTTTTTTTTCTGTGTCGCATTTTTTTTTATTAGTTTGGTACCCTTGTACCCCTATATTATTGCTTTTAAATAGTATGTATGTCGTCATACTTGTGTTCGTTGCGTTATTCTTATTATTGTAACTATTGCGTATAAAATAATTTTAACCTACTTTAAATGACCCACTTTTATATAGTTTAAAAAATATATTACTATTAAATTTTTTTTTCTTACTTCTCCGTTAACGTAGGAAACTGTCTCAGTCTAATACGAAATAGTTTATTCACGAATTTATGGGCCACGATAAAAAAAAAATTTCTTTGGTGTGGTTGTCCTATAATAAAAAACATTACGTTTTCATGCAATATATTACGTAATACATATTTTAAAATTCGTCCAGTTTCCTATACCTATAATATAAATGTCTCAATAATATTTCGTGGCCGCCTCGCCTCCTACGTGTTATTCTCCTACATTTGCCCCAGTTTGCTTGTTCCATACTGTAGCGATTAGCCCTGAACTATTTGCGGTCATGATTTTAGATACTTTTAAATACATATTATATTTGTTTCTGTAAATAAATTTTAATTAAATATACAATTCTACTACACTGATGCCAGTGTACGATGTAATGTTCATCTTCTTAGGTCTTTTTTAAAATTTGTTTTACAAAGGCTATTAAGGAGTTAAAGATTAAGATTTTTATCTCGTTAAAAGTGTCTGTGATGACTTTAATAAATTTTATAAATATTATTGGATCGTATTTCGTGTGTATATACTTTCTAAAGAAAAATAGTTTTGAATGATGTCATTTGCTAATAGTTTCAATAATTAAAGCTAGCTTTAGCCTCCATGATTTCTATTCCTTATTGATCTTAATTTTCGTAACGAATATATTAGATAGAAATGAAAATTTTATGTCTATAGTGCACAGTTCATTAGATGACTTTTTATTCTTCTTACGTAACCCTTAATATCTTTAATATATTAATTTTTGTGTAACTAACACCCATGATCCAATGAAGCTCCCAACATAAATCTACTCAAAGAATTCGAACCTTCCTTTCGAGAATAATTATTATGGAATTCTTTTTCATGCTGGTAGTTATTTTGTTAACAAAAAGAGGCTTTTGAAAATATTACCATGGTTTAAAAAAATCATCTCTATACAATAAAAACGAAGTGCTTATACAAACATCAATAAAAATTGTAGAACAAATATCAATGGAATTCTGTTATGAAATTTAATAATACAGTTCGATAAATTATATGCAATTGAAATTTATTATACCATAATATGATACGGCCCTCGAGGAAATTCCGGATAGGTCGATGACCTATCATTCACCATCGATGGATGCCAAACTCTACCAGCTGAGCTGCTTGTATCTTATCACACTAACGATTGAATGTTAAGAGTATTGCGGAGATAACGTTAAAGAAAATATTGATTATTGAATGAAAATCTCTTCGGTACAGATGGTGTCTATAAACCTGCAAGTTCTGTTCAAGCTTCAATTGTGTACCAGAAATACTATGGTGGTTGCATTTTTTAATGCTGTTTTTATCTATGAACTTTTCGTAACATATAATATTAATTTCTTTACCCATTACAATTCATCTTAAGATGCAATTATTATTATGATAAATTGTATTGACATTATATTATACTACAATTCCGTTGAATGACATAAATTTGATAGTAGAGGGAGGTTGCATTTATTTTTAATACAAATCCTCAATATGTAGGTATGTATTTAATTGTATGATATCATTTAATTCTCTCGTACTCGGTCCAATGGTGCGGAAAGTGCATCAACGTTTGGACTTGTCCAATTTCCTGTTCTTTATGTTTTAAAATGCAGTATATTCTTTTTAATCTTTGACGTGTAATTTATTTATGATTGGTTTCCTTTAAACTCTTTTATTTTCTAAATCTATATGAAATATCTAATGAGTTCTAGATAGATAGAAACGTCAGGTGTATGTTGTTTGAAACAATAAAAAATTCGTAGTGATCCGATAATATTAGCTCCATTTAAATGAAGTAACTAATTATAAAATGTTTCTATTATGAACTAGATAAAGCCAAAAATATGAAGCCACTCAAACAGGAATACTTAAATTTCTATAAAACGTGAAAGTCAACTAATTTATCTATTCATCTTTATCGTTGTGCCAAAATTATCAGACATTAACCCATTAAAATCTGTGTTCATTTTCTTAAAAATCATCAAATTGATTCAACTCTTTTCTTTATATTCCGATGGCATGTCTCCAAATCCTAGTTCGTTTCGTTGAAATGCATTCCTCTATATTAAGGCTAGGAACTTTCCAATCTAACGCTGTTAATATTTAATTATCATATCTGGTGAGTTTGTTTTAACTTTCACGCTTTATCGCATACGATAATTGTGAATTTGAATGAAAGTAATGTTTTTTGGATATACTAGGCGACTTTATTTTTGTAAAACTACATACTCCCAACATTTCGGCTACTTTTCAAGTGATCACGGGCATGGCACACATCTCGTCTGCTCGTGATCACGGTTGCTGAAAAGTAGCCGAAACGTCGGGAGTATGTATATTTATTGTCTAAAATGAAGTCGAGTAGTATCTTCTTCTACCTGGAAATTTCCCAGCTTTAGCCAGGGTCTGCCTTACATGTTGTGAATAGTTTTTACGACCGGCCGCCTGCCTGACATCAACCCTTTTTGGGAATGCATTAATCAGTGATGTCTAAATACTCTTAGAAAGTACATATGACTCGGAAAAATCACACAAGTACTTGCCCGGGCCAGGATCGAACCCGTACTCTCGGCAACGAGAGGCGGGCCCTCTAACCATTAGATCACCTCTGACTTAAAAGTATCCAATCCAATCCAAGTATCCGATAAATATTAGTTTCATTATGAATAAAAAACTCAGATCTCAATAATTATGAATGTATATAAATTTAGTTGTATATAAAATGTGTATAATTTCATTGAAACACAATGAAGTCGCCTCTCTCGTATGTCAGACGGATACATTAACTCGGGATGACTTCCGCGTCTTCGATAGTGTTATTTTTAGTTGTCCTATCAATCTCTCATTACATTCTGTTACAAACGTACGATACGATTCTTTATTGTCATTTATTATTTGTGGACGGTGATTAGAAGTAGGTTGGAATGTAGATCTCGCATTCGTTAATATTTATCTATTTAAAATTAATAAATTATTACAAAAATTTAATGAAGAAATTTTCATTATATATATTTTGTTGATGTTTAGAATTGAGGTAGGTTGCTTACGTAAAATGTTCAAAAATATACTATGTATATGTAAAATTATTTTGGATTCAAAATAGTCATGTTTTGCGTATTATTCCGTTTCTGCCGATGAACACATGAACAAGGAGGACTCCTGAAAGACATCACCCACATTATACTTATCATCTGAAAATTAATCAGGCTACATAATATGTATACTTGTATATTACCTTTAGTCACGCTTTGTCAAGACACTTATATATGTAATTTGTGACATCAGAAAATATAATTAATTTAAATGAAATATTTTATGGTATTTTACTGAAATTTACCTTAACATGATTCTATAAGTATATTTTTTTCTATTGAATCGTTTTTTTTAATTATTGTTGATACGTCAACAAATACAATTTCTATGTAGAGTTAAATACTAGATTAACTCTTTATATTTTCTTTTTTAAAGTAATAGTGGAAAATCAATTCGTTCTTTGTATAAAACATTTTTTTTACAAATGTAAATGAGTGTTCATTTTTATATAAAATATATTATATAGCTTCTCGAACAGTCCAAGACAAAATATCGTACGTTCTACCTATACCGCTTTAACACAAAACATAATACACTGATGGTTTTATACTGTAAATGGATTGTATACATTTATTCAGCCAGCCGTGTATATCGTGCACTATACGTCTCCGCTACAGCAGTGTATTTGTAATACAACCAACGCTTTTCTCGAACAATCTAGACGTTTCGAGAGCCCGCTAGTCCCCGGCCCCGTATAAATACAGCCGAACGCTTTCTACCAAGCTCAGTTGTTATTGAAACACGTGAGAGAGAAGATTATATTTTTCGTTCGCGATCAGTATTACACCGTGGTGTTGTTTATTTCTGTGATACATTCCAGTGTTTGTAAAATTTAAATCATGGAGTCACCTGTAGTTTTGGATAAGCCGCCTGAATATCGTTATGAGGTTGGTAAAATTATATAAATATTAATTTCCAATATCTATAGATATATTATGGGTTTATAAAGAAAAAAAAAAACGGAAGATAATATCTATATTGAGAATTTGGCTACAGTTTGTTTTATTCGATAATATATTAAAATTAATTATAAATTAATAAATAATATCGGTGCGTCATGTTCCATACAAACAGTCATTGGTGGGAATCATTAACCTTATCCTTGCATGAAATATTGTCATTATAATTATTCATTAATCAATATAATTATTTAATTATGTATCAACCGATCGAGATGTTATTAATATTACTCAATTCCGTAATATATTTTTAAAATATTGTCTTTTAATTCGTTTAATTTAATTATTATAAGGCAAAGTAAACAATTGTGTTCTTTTAATGCATTGTCAGATTTTAACGGAAACGCGTAATTTGAAATTGCGAAACAAAATTAAACTCGTGTATAATCATTAATCATCTCAGTTTTTTTAAAATAGTTATTACTTATTAAGTATCTTCTTTAGTCTTTCCTAGTCGAATTTATATTTTATATTCTTTGTTATAATAAATCGTATTGAAAAATTTGTAAAACCATGTGTATTGTAAACAAAAAGTCGGTATACGACTCGCGAGCCGTGAGTCAAAGGTGCGCGGGCAGGCGGCAGCTGTTATCGTAACGCCATTTATAGACGTGGGCTCTTCAATAAATACTGTTTGTACCAATGTGGCCTTTGTTAACGAGGCCGTATGACAATATGAAAGTTATTTTAATTTTATTTATAGTAAAATATAAAAATAGAACTCTTTGTTACTAGGTTAAGCCTACGCTATGTAGATTTGTTTTGTCATTTTTAAGACTAGAAAGTGTCATCTTGTGATATACGAGTGAAAGAATATGGAGTATTCTTACTATAGTACATACTTATATAATATTCTTTTTTTATAAGAAAGCAAAATTGATGTTTAACGGTAAAGGTTAAAAATGTAATTAATAGAAAACACATTAAGTGACTTTACACCCAAAAATGTATTTAAAGTAATTTTCTAACTCGATGTAGCAAAGAACAACCACAAATGGATTACTTTCTTTAAGAATACCATATTCACGTAATGTAAACATGGAACATTCAAAGCTTTGAGATAAGATAAGTAAAACTGTACTCCGGAGCCACAAGTTAATAGCTTTTTGAATCATAATTTCACATATAGACATGCTCTGTCTCTGATAATTCCGTGTCTGCGTAATTTCACCCAAGCGCCGTACTAAATGCGGTTAATATAGGAAGGCGCCGAGTTTGTTATTAAATTACTCTTACACCAGATGGTTAAAATAAATACGAATACACCTCGGTGGGAACTTAGTTTGAACGATGTTTAATATATTGTAATATATTTATTATAATAGTGATGATATTCTTAAATATATTGTATAGTCTTGAATTGTAGATTAAAATTTAAATCGACTTTGAAATAACGTTTCCTTAATGTTTTTTCTTACCTTCACATCACTCTCAATGTCAACTGAATGTCTATTATTTAAATTTTAAATATCGTATCGTGGCGTTGGAACTGTTCCTTTTTTTTTGTTTGAAAATTTCTTTAAAAAGATGTCATCTAACAACAATGGTATAAAATAATTACTCGACGTCTAGAACCATACAATAATAAAGCTTCGAGTAGTTATGTGCGCTGCTGTAATTATTTTCTCTTGTAAATCCTCGTTTTAAGTAAACATTATGTATAGACGGGGTGATGTCACGTTCGGTTTATACTTTAGATGGCAGATCGGCTTGAGCCGGTGTTACAATAATGCGTCAGGTCTCGCCACCCACACATATACGTATATAATATGAAAATCGACTAATTTGTTCAATCCTTTATATAATCATAACGGATGTCTGTTCTTTACGCCGTATACGGCTGGATATATTGACAGTATATTTATTAGACTAAGATTTATTTATTTATTAATTTATTTAATTCAATCAATCTCGTTTTCTACTTATGGTAACAACATAACTAATTTATAATGCGTATGTATTATCAGATATGTATGTAGCGTACATATTTCCGACGTTTGATTCCTTTTACAATAATTTAAAAAGCCTTGATTATCGTTTTATTTATGTACGGTGACTATTGTTTGTTTCTTTTATTCTCGTGCACTTGATCTACATTTTTTTATTATGTATTTTAAAAGTAGTTTTATTAAATCTCAATCGTGTTGAAGTTTGCGCTCTACCTTGTAATATTCGGTGGGTCGATGACCTCTCTCGTAAAGTTATACATATTTTAGAGTTCGGTATCTATGTATATTCTTAAGCCGTAAAAGATGGTCGTCAAATGCAGTCACCAATGAAAGCGAATGGACATTTTAAAATATTTGTTTATTTCATGTGAAAATTTAATGAATAAGAAGTATATTTTAATATATTATAATAAGTGAAAAAAAATGGTTCATCCTACATAGAATGAATGATTGGAGAAATTTTGAAATGTATAATAGCAACTTGTTATATAAAAATTAATCTGAAAGTCCGCATTTGGAGATTTTTCATGTTATATAATAAATGTGGTTATTCTATATGTAGTAATGTCCACAGGAGATCACTTGTGATGTGTCTCCATCACCTACGCGGTGATGTCATCATCAATTATCGCTAAATATTAAATAATGATCGTTTCCCGCTGTCTGAGCGCTTTTTAATGTTTCAAACTTCGAGACAATTCGATGCATCGTGTGTCGTAAGAGGAGTGAGGATTTCGTAATACCTATCATTATAAATATTTTAATTTGTTTGTTTGTTACGTTTTATTTGAAAAATTATTAGATATTTTTCATATTATTTTCGCTTATAGCTTAGAAATATAAACTGTATATATTTATTCTATACTATTTCACGAATGTGGTTGAAAATTTTGTAAGCTTTAATTTAAATTATCTTTTATATATTTATAAAAACATGACAAAAGAAAAATAACCAAATGAATGTGTTTTGTAATGAATTAATAAAAAACTAACTGGATTCAGTTAGGTCGATTTTCCTTTCGGTATCGTAAAACAGACAATACATTTCCTCTGTATTGAAATCTTTAAATAATATAAACAGATGATTCAAACATGTGAACCGCGTTGTATACATGAGATTATTATTTATTATGTACAAATACAATACAATGTTATGTTAATATGGAGCGATTTTCACACCAAACATTATTAATAACTAATGAGATTTAAGACTAAGTCTTGTTTTGAGTCACTGAAGACATAAGCAACATAATATGACGGTTCTATTTTAAACCATTATGGAAACCAATATATTTTTAATATACTACGGGTGCTTTATTTTTGTAAGAACTACATACTTCCGACGTTTCGGTTACTTCTCAGCAACCGTGATCACGGACAGAGATGTGAATGTCTGTCAGTTGATCCTGTTATGTATTTATCATCTACCGCAATCGATTAAAGGACGAAATTCAATATAATACTTAACTATTACAATGATATGGGTTTTTTTTGTAGACTATTAGATTTTTTCCATCTAAATTTGGTTCTAAATATCTACACTCTATCCTTGACTAAACAAGACGGTACATAATATTTTTTATTGAACTTTTGTATTCCATGTAGGTTTTATTAAATATTATACCAAATAACCTTTGTCCTCAAACCTGTTGGTCACTTCGGATAATTTCATTGTAACTATAAATACATAATGAATACATTATCTTCAAAAACCTCGAACGTGTTGTGTTGAGCCTGTCGCGACATGAAAAATAAGTAATAAAGTATTAATTAGGAAGAAGGATGCACTTCGTCGAACGTACGATGAAATAAAAATGTACAAAGTAACCTTTATTATGTAAATTGCAATAACATTAATATTTTTATCGATCTGCCCGTCGGCTTAAACGCATATATGGTAGTAATTTATAAATACGAAACTTCCCACTGAGGATGTTCAGTATGCACTTAAGTAGGATGACTATGGACGGGGGAGTCGTAAATCGTAATGTATCGGCGCCAATTAACTTGGACGCTGTCGACGTTAAGATAATGCTTGAATTATGATACAACCAAAAAGAAAATTTAATACGATTAAGATATCAACGTACAGTCGCGTGGAAACTAGTTTGGTAGCGTAATGCAGTAGTCGAGACGGTAATGAGGTCGCACTTTGACCTCTTTCTGTATATGGAGTCACGTCACGACGCAAATATCACTTAATATACACAACAGCATCAATACCATTAATTGACATTAAAATACTATATATGTAAAGTCACCATGCCCCAAACGGAGAGTGCGGTGTCCAAATAAATATCTTGTATATATTTTTACTTCCTTGATAAACAGATAAAAGAAGTTATTTTAACATACAGACAGTACAAAACACTAACTGATAGTGTAGAAATACAGTTTGGTTTCAAAGCTTACAAAATGTAGTAAATCCAGTGTTATTAAACGTGATTCGTGATTTCACAGCGCGGTTTCCCGTTTGATGAGGAGGAAGGCAGCGGAGCGTGGAGCGAACTCGCGTCCCGGCATCCGGATATAGCGGCGCGCCTGAGACAGCGGCCGGCCACCTGGGCCAGGAAACGACGACCGTCGAGTCAGGACGGCATTGATGGTACGAAACTTAAATATAATTTGTATTCATTATTACTATACAGAAAATTATGTTAAAATCATTTGTCCTGCCTTTGTTCTTCAGTTTACTAACTCCCATAATAATTTAGACTGTTTTAATGCAATTTAACATGATCAATAACAGGCGTGTGTGATCTTACAGGTGTTGTAAAAAAACGTTTCGTTATTGCAGATACAGCCGACTTCGGTGGATTTGACAGATTCCCATTTGACGATATACCGCCAGAGTTTAGAGAACACTTCCCTTCACATTGGAACAGGAGATTTGGTCCCAGAGACGAGCAGTTTCAGCCAGAACCACAAACTCATCAGCCACAATCGCCATCGCAACAGACAGCGGCCACACAGACTGAACAAGACGTAGGATCTCCAACAGAGGAACAGGTTCCCTTGCCACAATACGGTTTAAGAAATACTGTCGATCTAGGACAGAAGAGTGCGACTGACCCCAGTGTAGTTGATGCAGACGAGAGGACTCAGAGGTCAATGTCAGCACCTCCCGACCATCGCACTGTGAATCAGAACAGCCACAAGATGAGCGGTCAGAATCAACAGGATCAACATCATCCACAGTCTGAGCAGTCTTCTAATGTCAGACACATACCAATATTTGTAGAGGGCAGAGATGAACCAGTAATAAATAAAAATGTAGATCATGGAACTCATTTCGCTGATACAAAGCCTACATACGTGCCTCCCCCACAGCCACATATCGATAGAGAAAACTATTTCGCAGATGATGGGCCCGTAGGGTTCCCATTCGCAAAGAGCTTTGAGAGACCATTCTTTAGACAATCAGCTCAACCGTTCTCAAAACAGAAGATGTACCCTCAGTCTGCATTCGCTCGCGGCGCCTCACCTCAGAGATCCCAGTCACCGAAGCCACAGAATTATCAGGAGCAGACTTCACCCAAAGCTGAAACTCCGTCCAGGCAACAACAGAAACCATCTCCCCAACAGAGGCAGGCTCCTCAACAGAAGGCGACACCGCCTCAGCAACGCGCCACTTCACCGCAGGCTCCCCCTCCCTGTAACCAGAATCAACCTCCTCCCCAGTGCAACCAAACACCACCACCTCCCCCACAAGCTCCTCCAGCCAATGACCCCATTTCCCAGATTCTCAGTATTCAGACTGACGTCCTGAACCTAATGACAGAAGTCGAAAACTTTAAAGGGGCCAAAAACGACAAACAATACCTATTCCTAGATGAGATGTTAACAAGGAACCTAATCAAATTAGATAATATAGAAACAGAAGGAAAAGAAAACATAAGGCTGGCTAGAAAAGAGGCGATCAAATGTATACAGAAATGCATAGCTGTCCTCGAAGCGAAGGCCGAGAGCAATGCTGCCGCTGCTAAAGCTGCCAACCAAGCTCAAGATGTTGAAATGAATAATCCTGAAAAACCAAATGTTCAAAATGGTGATGTCGAAATGAAAGAAACAACCAAAGAAGAAGCAGTAGCAGAGCCTCAACCAGAACCACCAACACCTGCTCCGGAGGCACAAGTACAAAACGAGGAAGAGATTAAAATAGAACAAAAACCTTCAGAGGAAAAGAAAGAAGAAGTGCAACCTGAGAAGGTAAAGGAACCTGAGGAACAACCACAAGCAGCCGACACGCGACCCGAAGAACCTAAAGAACAAGACACAAAGCAACCAGAACCAGTACCCACTGAAAACGTGAAGAAAACCACCCCTAAGAAAACTGTAAAGAAACGCGATAAAAGTAAAGAGAACAAGGAAAAGAAAAACGAAGAAGTCCTAGAACAGAAAAAAGATGCGGAAAGTGAAAAGGAAAAGGAAGAAAAACAGACCGAGGAAATAAAAGAAAACGTTGAAAATATAGAAAAGGACGCTAAAGAAAATGTTGTCAAAAGTGATGACAACAAAGAGAACGTAGAAACGATGCAAATTGACTCCAAGGGTGATTCAGAAAAGGCTAATTCTCAAGAAATGGAAGTGGACGCTGTCGCTAGTCAATAAAATATAGTTTGCATTAGTGAATTGTTTGTAGATACACGGTTAGCGCCGCACTGGCCCGCACCGGGCTGTCATGTTCTTTGTGCCTTGTGCTATTTAACACTGGTGTTGCCACATATATTATTTATGTTTGTACATTTTGTTTTTTTTTTAATAAAACAATGCATTAGGTATGCTGATTTCGTCCTCTAGTATTTACACCGTTCTCCCATAACTTTAAATCCAAATATTTAATTAGTTTATTGTTTATCGTTACTGATAACAGTTCTCTTAATAAACTATATGAATCTACGAACTGATTTTTTTTATTTTGACATTATTTTTTTATTATATTTCATAATGGGAATTACAAAAAGTATTAAATTATTTCAGTGTTTATTTAATATACAAATAATACATTTTTTGAATACATGTAATTGGTTTTATATAACATTTTGACTATAAATAATTAATAGTGATTATTATAGCACTGCCATTTATGATTTGATATAAATTCACAGCCGAATCTAGTGCAGATAAATGAGCTTAAATAACATTTTAATTGTAGTAATGGAATTGACAGTAAATCAACGAAGCTTATAATGTATTGAGTAAATAAATATATAGATGATCGTTTATTCATTCATTCCCATTCCTTCACAACCCGGTCCCAGTCCTCGTCAGGGATGAATGGTTTATCTATACAAGTGATCATGTATTCTCCACAGTACAGACACTCACTGGCTACTATGTCATCAATTTCGTTCTTCAACACTTCTCTCAGCGGGAGTCCACTAGATGTCACTGTTGATAGTTCTATGTTAGATAACAGCGACAGCTGTTTCTGAAGATCCGTCAGTTTATTGCGACGTGCGGGCGCTGGAAAACAATAATACTCTCTAAAGATTTTGTTTTGGAATGATAGTATCATAGAAATCCTTGTATGATGTCGACCAAAAGGCTTATATCGATGGGTCTTATGTATGGGTCAATGTAGCAATTTAGTCATTTTTTTTTTTTTTTTTTTATTTGAACGGCACATCGACAGTACATACATTAAGCACTTAAAACTAAACATTTAAAACTAAATACTAACTGATGTATGTACCAATTATGGATGTACACAGCATTGTTAAAAATTACTGTCTAGCTTACAAAAATATTATAAAAAAAACAAGTTAACAAAAGAAATAACAAAAAAGCCATTCTCATTTTTTTGCTTTGAACACTTCATAATACTGGTTTCTACAACATCCATTTAAAAAATTGTATTTGTTTGTGGAAGGACTTAGTTTTACTGCAGTAAAAAGACATAAGCAACACACTTTTTAAAGTATAATTGCTTATATACATTATTTCAAAAAAAAAACTACCTAGTAGGTTTACAAAAAAGTTTCTCAAGCTTAAATGACGTACATAATTGTCATAGTTGCTATGCCAAGTTTCAAAAGCATCAGTTGTCGCATGTACAAGATACATTGAAATCAAACTTAAAACGCCTCTACTGAAAAATTGTCATATGCACATTGGGCTTTATACATAGGAGCCATCGATATATAGATGTACTAGCTTTCCGCCTGCAGTTTCGCCGGCGTGGAGTTCGGTTATATCGCGTTTCCAAAACAACCTTTCAAAAGTCTTGGATAAAAACTATCCTATGTTCTTTCTCAAGGTCAACTCTATATCTGTACCAAATTTCATTAAAATCAGTTCAGTGGTTTAGGCGTGAAAGCGTAACAGACAGAGTTACTTTCGCATTTATAATATTAATAGGGATAATTGCATTAAACTCTTAACCAATGTATATAAGACTATCGAAGTTGAGTTTCCTCACCCAGCACCGGTAATATCTCTGTCCGGAGACAGTCGCTGTGGAAGCGATGACTGCAAGGGAATAAGTAGAAGGGACGCAGGAGTAGCGCTAGGGAACACACGCAACAAGTATCTGATGAACAGACCAAAGCGCTCCGACCACGGAACGACTGGATCTCACTACGGACCTGGTTATAACATATACAACGTGTAACGTAATTAACGCACACCCTCAAATACCCCAATGCGTATATAATGATATAAAAGCAATGCATACACCAAATATTATTTATATGCGCGTTTGAATTTTTTATTTGTGAAATTAGTTATCCCAATTTCGTGCAAATAATATGGTCCGCTATTCAGCGACACTCTGTACTCGCCGCGCCCGCGCCCCTCTCTCCGAGTGCCGTCCGACAATAATAAGAAGTAGGTAATAATAAGTACACGAAATAACTACATACATTATGATTTTTCTTTCCATCACACTTTTCAAGCTTTAGATTGTTGACATTGAATTTTCTTTTTAATGTGAAGCCAATATTTTATAATTACTGATTTGTTAAATTAAATTTGTAAATAAGAATTATTAAACAGCTGATAACGCGTGATTTGAATAGACACCACAATACCTACGACAAAGTTAAACACAGTCGGCCTGTTTAAATGGTGTGTATCAAAATATTTACAATAATTTAAAGATCATAAACAAACTTACAGTTTAATTTGCACTCGCACAGCGTTGTCGTTTTAAAACATTTTCAAAATGTCCACCGCCTTGTTTAATACACTTTAATGACCGTTTTCGCAATTGTGGTTTTATTTTAGATAATACTGCAATGTCACTTTTCACTTTTACAAAAGCGGTTATTATCTTATTTTTTACTTTTACTTGTTATCTCTGTGTTATAAACTAGCGATTTAATTCGCCCCCACAAAAAAAATTCGAGTCGCGTCAAATCAGCTGATCTAGGAGGTCAATGGACACGTGCGTAGGTATTTGATGTATTGAATGTTAGTGTACCGAAACGACACAGCGAAATGCGCGACTAAGATTTTATTTGCACTTTACACTTGACCTCTTTTCGATAAGGTGGACGCGGCGTAACTAACCCAAAACACATTTTGTTGACTTCGATGTTTAGTTATTATTACTCTGATTCCCGGAATTATGCCTGCCGTCTCGCTCTATTGTAATGTTATTAAGCCGAAGAAAGAACGAGAAAGTAATAATTTTTGTATTACGCGGCTTTCTTTTATGCACTGTAGTGACCTTGCTGTGTGCCGGTTGTCGCTATGGTGTTGCGTGCGTAGTTATTATTAAATACTATGTATTTTAGCCTTGAAATAAGTATCAGTTTTCTTTAATTGAATGATGATTACTAATTAAATATTTCATTTTAAAAATCTTAATACCCTGACTTACGATCCATTTTCGTTTCCATTAATTTTCGTTTCTATGAAGTGTTTAGATAACTGTGTGTAGGGTGACTATAATTTACTTAGTTCTATCTAAATTTGAGAAAAAAAATTACCTACATAAAAAACTATCAAAATCGATCCAGTATCCGATTCTGATCAAACTACTACAAAAATTTATGTTAGTCTATATTCCGTCAAAACAATTGGAATTACAAAGAAAAATTATTTAAAGCATTTATTTTAGTAAATTTATATATATTTCATCAGCACTAAAAATAGACATGGTATCAATATGTCATGCCATGATTATAATAAGTCGTTTTAATTTTATTATAAATTCTGCACAACGAATAAAATAACTACATGAACTGCTACAAGATAAATGAATATACGCTCGCAATACTTACATACTCAGCTGATTTCGTGGCGTCCTCCATTTCTGCTTTGAGTTCTTCAATCTGATTATTATATTCCTAAAATAAAGATGTAAATTATTATTTCTTGAATATATAAAATACAGTTTAATAAAAATCTCACCTGTAGGGACTGACAGATGGGTTCCCTGAAATGATCAATAGTAATGACGTCACTAAAGAAAGGTAAAATATCTTCTATTTTGATGAGAGGACATTCTTCTAGAAGACTCATGGCGACCTTGATGTCTTGGTTCTTTGTGATAACGTGTTCCGCTGTAAAGGAACGGGTGACGTCTTAAAAATATAGTTTGACAATGTTTAGGAAAAGTATCAAGTGATTCAAAAAAAAATTTTCGGAAATACAGATGAGTACTTCGGAATTTGGTCTAGAGAAAAATATAGAAATGTGTAAATAGATATGGTATCCAATAGGCTGGGAAATCTATAGCCAGTGTCACGTGGCTTCATGCATAAAGAAAAACAAATGAACTGCCTTGATACAGCGGAAACTAACTTAACTCTAGGATAAATTATGTTCAACACGTTATCATCTAAGCTCCACTACCTTAAAGTTTTATTAAATTACCTTAAGGCTTAAGCTCACTCATAAAGTGAAAGTGCTCCTACTATCCATACATTTCAAAATCTTTTATATTATTAATATATCTGTATATATTAAGTAATTCTCTAATATCTCACCGACTCCAAGCCACAGTCTCCTCTGTAGTGTCACATCATCAGGCATGTCAGCCACAGTCTTAGCCAACTCCGTATCTACTTGTAGCGCTAGTTCAGCCGCTGACTCCCAAAGGCCGAGCAACGCTGACAGCTTCACGCACGCTTCAGTCAAGTTCTTCTCTCTACAGAGTCTGGGGATATAAAAATAGTTAATTAATGACATAATATATTAAAAGTACTTTAATTATTACTATTAACATATATTACATAATCCATTTAAATAAAACTAATAGTTTCGGATTTTATCATTTTTGCCGACGTTTCGGTTACATACTCCCGACGTTTTGATTACTTTGCAGCAACCGTGATCACGGGAAGAATATATGAAAATGTCGTTTTAAAATAATAAAAGGCGTGTAGTATATAAACGATATTAGCTTCATTTATATTGAGTTTTAGATCTCAATACTTTTATCTACAAAATCTTTCTAAAACTTACCGTAATGCATAATGTACGTCATAGTTCACCATCGACAACTCCTGTCCTTGACGTGACAAGTACCTCATAAGAGCCGGTACATCGTGTTCCGCGTACAGCGTCAACAAATAGTTATGAATCGCACGATCTTTGACATTGTAGTTCTGCAGCATGAAGGTCAAGTATCTAATGATTTCAGACACGTGAGCTTCATCATTTTCGCAAGAAAGGAAGGCCGGTAACAGTTTTGAGGAACTTAAAATCGGTCCGAGTGATATCAAAGCGTTGACGGTTTCTCTCGGTATTTCCTCCATTAACGCCGGAGCGAACTGATAGAATAGATCGGGTTTCTTCAAATGCTGCAGCATATTTAAAGCCTGTATGTAAGACTTCTCGTAAATATTTTGCGCCACGACGTTCTCGTGGTCCTCATTGATGATAGTCAATTTTATGAGGTTCTGTTTATCACCGTGTGACGACATCAGATCATAAATGACGGTTTTAATGTGTTGCATACATTTTGTGACCTTGGGTTGGAGGAGGAAGATCTCGAAATTGCTTTGAATCTGATGATATTCGTTGGAATCGGCTTTCCCAGTACGACGGAGGGAGCCGAGTTGTGAGAGAAACAACTCCGTCATCCAAATGACTATCATCGATATTAGAGTTTTATCGTCATCCAAAGTGTCCAATCTTTTGCTGAGATACACCTTCAGTGAGTTAACCTGATCGCATTCCAAGAACTTGAGGCAAACAGTCTCGAAGCTGCTCTGTGTCTCCGCGTATATTTCAGCGCTTTTATCGTAATCGCCTTTCTTGAACAACAATTCTGCCTGTTTTACGTTTATTATATCTATATAGGCGGGATTATTCTGACAGTATTGTTTTGCCAGGTCGAATTGTTCCTTATCAGAGTATATCCTCCATACGTTTCTTTCTTCTCTTTCTACTTTATATCTAAAAACAGTTTTATCTGTCACGGTCCAAATTGTTTTTCCGATGGGATCTTTCACTATATTCTTCAATTTCCCATGTACTTCTGAATATCTGTCTTCGTAGACCAGTTTTTGGTTTAACAGCGACACCGCTTTTACTCTATCAGAATACATGAGAAGGACATGAAACTCTGTAAGAACAAACGAGAGCGGTGTTGCTTCTTTGGTGTCATTTTTCTCACTTTTATCAGAGTAAGTAATGAGTTCGCCTTGTGTGAACAGTGAGTTGGAGTTCTGTTGAGAAGTAGGATCTAGCTGCAAAGATACAATCATGTAACAAATTATATTAAATTTTACATTATATTTTTAGTTGAACATATTAATTTTACCTGCCCATAAAATATACCAGGTTCTGTCAGCCAGGCAAATGTCTTAGGAGTATTTGTTTTATCGAAAAAGAACTGCAATTTGGAGTATTTGAGTGTTGATGGTATTTCATGGAAGCCTGTTTCTAGAGTTGTTAGATAAGAGTGAAATATTGATTGTAGGAATGGTTTCTCATCAGAAGCCATAGCATGTCCGATGAATTGGTACAGCCTTTTGGGTGTTGTGACAAATATGAAGAATTTGGTTGTGTTGTTCACTCTATGGAACTGGATACCAGTAATGGGTGTGTCGGTACCCTTACCGATATCAAAAATCTGAAAACAATTATATATATAAAAAACAAACAATAGAAATATTATATTCCAAATCTTGCTTGATTTTTCTACTTAAACTATTTAACCATTTGGCTGAGACTAACTAATGTATTTTTTTATCAATCATAAATTATGAAGAATTATCTCAGAACATGTCTTAAGTCCAACAATACTGATGAGTGAAAAACGATTTGATACAAAGCTTTCTACTCACGATTAAAACTTTTCTTATTATGTTTTATATGTATGTTATTTGTTGGTGAATGAATCAAATGATTTTTAGTACAATTTTGATAATTTCAACTGCTTTAATGAGATCCAGCATATAAAAAAGCATAAATATCTGTTTCTAATAGCAATAAAAAGCTTTTTACTGTAAATTGAACTATTTATACCAAACCCTCTATCTCCTTGCCCCCATACAGAGGCAAATAATTAGGCAGCTGGATGAAGTAAAAAATTATGTTTATTAAAAAAGGACATTTAATATCACTAGTAGTTTTAATATGATGGATATTGTAATCTGTACTTTATTTATTTCTCTAATGAATATTAACTTCTCCATATATATGTATTGGCTCACCTGTCTCCAATACTGTTGACTGGCGGTGAACATTTTATCGCTATCTGTTTCTAGTTCTGTCTCGATAATGTGTCCTTGTGATGTCCCGAGTAGTATGGGTCCCGTTGTTGAAGTTGAAGTATTCTCATAATTCCAACCAACCTCAGTCACTTCGTAATTCCTAGACTTTGCAACCGTTTTCAATTTATTACTCTTTCGGTGAAGGTACACCAGTTCTGGATTGCCATCTTTGTTTCTAGCAGCAAAAGCTAATAGCAGATGATAGCCCAGTGGATCCAGAAAGATTGCAGTAAGTTTGGAGTTGGGTTGAACATATTTCGAATAATTTATTTCTGAAAATTATTTGTTTAATTGTTATTGAAATATGATTAACTTTACTACCAAAATTTTCTTTTTACTTACAACATAGACTTTGACATGAGACTAATAATTTAAATATAACTAAAATTTTGTGATTACTATGCATACAATATTATCTTTTGACACTATGTACTGCTGACACTTCAATTACTTTACAGCAACCGTGATTACAGTGAAGTACGTAGTAATCCGAAAATATTAGTTTCATTTCAATGAATACTCTCGAAAGTCTTAGATCTCATTATAAGACTAATAATTACATATGATCAGTTTACCTTCATTTTCATCAGGCATTTTAACATCTAGTCTAAATAACATTCCATTTGCCATAGCTAGAACTAGATAATCACTAGAAACAGCGACGTGGGTGATTAAATCTGATGGCGTGAAATTCATTTGTCTCTTTGAAAACATGGGCTTGTTATCATCCAGTTGGATATTGATGTAACCTGAAGAAGTCATCTGTTCTGAAGCAGGAACCAGGCGCTGCGACACCTGAGACGCTTGCTCATATTGATCAAAAATTGAAGTCATCTTTGAATTGGTATATACACCTCAGAATACAAGCACAATTATTTAATCAATTGTTTATACGTAGGTAGTTTCATTTACTCTTTTTTAATTATTATGTGCTCTTCAAAAGCAGCCATGCCTCTATTGTTCTGGTAATATGAACAAATAACAATCTTTTATTATGTTTTAAAATAAGTAATTAGGTGTATACTCTCAGAATAATGACACTCATTTTGACATTGACATTTATGAATGATATAAAAATCTTATTTTCCGTTTATCAATTCTAAATAATGTATGTTGAAATTGTTATTTTCAATTTATAACACTACAAGTAATGAATCCTTCTTTTTTATTTTCACATGTTTTCATAATTATTGTATATTTCCACTTTCAAAATGAATCTAGTACATTTTTGGTGCAACCGTACTGTTTCATTTCATAGTAAGCATGTAATGTCAAATGTTTGATTTATCGGTATCAAACCATTGAGTATTGTTGTTTATTTGCGATAAGTCATAAATGATAAACTACTATCTCTGTCAATTTCGGATCTCAGTATTCACTAGGCATTAGTTCGATGTGGGTTACTGAAAACGGAATATATTATATGTAAATTATTTATTGAATGAAGGTAGAATTTATTTGATAGAAGTTGTTTAATTAATTTATTTTGACAAATGATTTAAGAACCTTAGTACATGTTTAGCCTAAGAGAAATAAAGTTTTACTGATAAAGTTTTAAGTATTTTAACTGACGCTATATTTTTATCCAAAAACGTATTAAATATATGACCTTGTACAATATCATTGTTATCAAGTTTTGATGTAATACTGATGGTAAATTCGTACGTGACAATTGTTGAATAATTCATAAATAAGTATCTACGTAAAGAAAATGGTTGCGGGTGCAATTTTAAAAACAACAAAATTAAACTGTGAGTATAATAAACATTTTATATATCATTTACATGGAATATATAAAATTATTATAGAATAACTAGTTTTGGAAAGGTGTATATACTTATTTTTATCAGGTATGGTAAATAATATCTATAAATATTTTAAGAACTTTTTTTGTGGAACACATTAACTTTAATGACTTATTTTAATTTTGTCTATCTTAATGTAAAGAAATTATCATGAGTTTTAATGTTTTTGTTATGAAACATTGAGATTTGTATTGTTATAAGACAAAAATATATGTTTTTTAAATTTTTATCTTAATCAAATTTTAGTCAGTAGTGACTTGACAGATTTTTATATTGATAACAGTATTATTGATAAGAGTATTTCTAAATTTTATTAGAGAAATCAAAGAAAACTAAATATTCAAACAGAGGTATTTCTAAAACAAAATTTAAGACTTGATATTTTTTCATTATTCATAAATACTTCTGTTTTAATCCTTGATCTAGGTTTGCTTTTCAGAGTGTGAAATAATGAAAAATATTTAGAGACAAATGTGATCACTATTATGTTTATATTTTAGCCAATTTGCTGCAATGTGTGAAATTTGTTGCACAAAGCCGCAGTTTTACAACTCAGCTGACAGAACAACAACTTGAAATACAAGAACTGACAAGGAATTTCAGTGAAAATAAACTAAAACCCAGAGCTGCAAAATTAGACTCTGAGGGTCGCTTTCCATTTAGTGAGGTGAGGAATAATGTATTACATCTTATTTACTTATATATGTATATAAAAGAACTCTTCATAGAATAAATTTCATATTAAATTTTCATACAGAAATTTTTTTTTTGTCATCAGTCTAACTTTGAGTCAGTAAACAAGGAATAAATCAATTCATTTGATACTGCTGACATTTTAAAGGCAATTTTGCTGTAACTATGTTTTAAATGGTTCATAAAATTATATCAAACATTTGTAATTCTGTTTTCAAGAACTAAATATCTTTCACAGAGTATTAAATCCTTATCGGACATATTTATCTTGAGTATCAAACAATAAACCCATACAGCCGGCATAAAGAAGTTTTATAGGCCTCTATTAACAACATACATTAAAATCTAAAAAGAGGTTTTATGTACACTATTCAATAGAAAACAAATATATTTATTAAAAAAATTAAATAAAATTTGTAATTCAAATTTTTATCTGCTCCTGGTATTGTACATTTGCTTTGTTTAATAAAAGAATAATAAATATCTCTTATCAGTTGTGTTAACTTATACAAATAGTTTCTAAATTATTAATTTAATTTCCACCCAACAAATACATCTGGTACTTGGGTAATCTCAGTGTACATTTAGTTTGACCTACAATATTGTTCCTAATACCATACAGATTACATATTTATTCTCATTTACAAATTACACTGGCATGAGACGCTTGATTGAGTAATCAAAGACCTAAAACCCCTTTTTTATTTTGGAAAATAACCGATCTTTGCTCTGATAGTTAGACTGATAGTTACCAAAACTATATGAAAATCACATCCAGAAAACATAGGCTTTCAAATAAGGAAAACCAAATCGAAATCTGTTAATCTGCTTGAGAGCTGAAATGCCTCCATATCTATTTGTGTTTATATCTGCCGTAGATATTGACATCAAACTTATAATACCCCTTTTTTGAGTATTGGATAAAAATAACTTATCTTACCATACATTAATGTTGATTATAAATATCTACTTCATGTGTCTTTACGCGACATAATAATGTAAAACATTACATCGACAATATAGCTAATGGTCGTTTATAAGTAACATTACAGCTCATTTACATAATAATTTAGCATATTTTATGTAAAATTGAGTTAGAAAAACTTATTTATCGTATCAGTTGAATATTTGTAATGGGTTTTAGATAAAATCCCTTACAAATCTGGGTTTGATGGGAGCATGTGTCGAACAAAGCTATGGTGGTCTTGATTTGGACTACCTATCTTTGGCAATAGCCGTCGAGGAGATCTCCCGTGGATGTGCCAGTACTGGAATGATACTCTCCATACACAACTTCCTCTACGCAAACTTGGTTAACGAGAAGGGCACTCCCGAACAGAAGGAGAGATTTCTGTGCGATTTCACGAAGGGCTCGCTTGGATGTTTCGCTTTGAGTGAACCCAGTAAGTTTATAAAAATAGAATAATGTACATAGTTATTTCTATTGTTTTGTTTTTAAAAATAAAAAGTGATTAGAATTCTAATAAAAAATATAGACCGAACAATTCGTCAGGATTCAAACCCATAACTTCTGCAACGTCACGTTCCACTTGCTTTTTCAACTAAGCTATCGTGACCTGCCTCGAATCGGCGATCAAATCTTCGTATATACTATGTAATGTAAACTTTTTATTAAGATGCGGGCAGCGACGTCGCTAATATAAAGACGAGAGCACGCAAGGATGGTGACTATTGGATATTGAATGGTAAGAAGAGCTGGGTGTCCACGGCTGTGGAGGGATCAGCGGCTGCCGTCTTCGCGACCTTTGACCCTGAACTACGACATAAAGGATTGGCCTGTGAGTTTATCTTTATATACAGGGTGGCCTAGTGGTTAAAAGGCCAGCCTCTCATGTACGAGGGCACGGGTTCGATCCTGGCCCGGTGTGATTTTTCCGAGTCATATGTACTTTCTAAGAGTATTTAGACATAACTGATTAATGCATTCCCAAAAAGGGTTGATGTCAGGCAGGCGGCCGGTCGTAAAAACAATTAGCCAAAACTGTTCACAACATGTAAAGCAGACCCTGGCTAAAGCTGGGAAATTGCCAGGTGGAAGAACAAGGGTTTTGCTATATATAAGGTTATACATGGTGTTCAAAAATCATATGAATGATCCATTTTTTTTTATTGATGGTTATTTTTTGATTTCAGGTTTCCTAGTACCTTTGGACGCTGAGGGAGTATTCAGAGGCAAGAAAGAGCCTTTGATGGGCGTCAGGTGGGATTATTTATGTATTTATTAATTAGCTAGTAACCAAAGAAACTAAATAGCGTAATTTTCTTTAGTAAGCCAATATTCGTTTATGTATGATCTTTGAATAGTATTGAAGATTTAAATCAGTATCCTTGTCACAAAGATCCATCGTTAAACTGAGCGTCTCCAATAGATCATTTTATAAATCTTTCCGTGTGATAGTTTTTGGCAAACTTGTGATTTCATTATAGTACAATTTTCTTGAAGTTCGAAACGAATGGCTACAGTTTCTCACCACTTCAATGATTACTTCAATGACACTCGTGTTTTGGTAACAGTTTTTGAAGATTTACGAATGACAAATTGGGAATGATCGTATGTAGTATATAGTATACAGTATATAGTATGTAGTATACTATGACAAGTGGTAAAAGTACCGAAGGTCATTTATCAGGGCGGTGACAGCGTGTGACCTCATGCTGGAGGAAGTCCGCCTGCCCAGTTCGTGTCTGTTGGGGAGGGAGGGGGAGGGGTTCAAGATAGCCATGGAACAGTTAGACCAAGGCAGGATAGGAATCGCCGCGCACGCGGTCGGTGAGTTACTATGAGTTATTGGCATGAGGGTAATACTCATAGCGATGGTAAATTTTGTATAATAACGATGAAATTTTAATTGATGAACATATGTAGATATTATATGTAATATGTGATGAATAAAAAGTATGTTTCTTTAGAATGAATTTGGTAATTTTTTTGCTATATTAACTTCTTTATTGGGTCCATAGATAAGTTATTATAACTCTTGAGTATGCTTATTAGTTAACACTATTTGTTTATTGTAAGACACCATCGAGACACTGATTTTCAAAACGAGTTCATGAAATATTTCAAAGGCCCAAATAATTTAAACGGGGTTTATTTTATTATATATATTAATTATTATGTATGTTCCATGTTTCAGGCATTGCCCAGTCAGCTTTAGATACAGCTATATCGTATGCCAAGGAAAGACACGCCTTTGGTAAACATTTAACAAGACTGCCATCTGTTAAGGTACAAATATTACACACATACAAATATTATTTGGAATAGAATTTTATTATTACACTAGCTATTGTCTGTGACTTTGGTTGAGATTTTCTTGCTTTTAAGTACATTTTCCATGTTTTGAGAACGTTCCTCACTTAAAATTCTAATTATAATTTAATATTGTTATCAAGTAAGTCACCATAACGTTCAACTTGAACTTTTTAAAGTAAAAGTTTTTGCATATATGAATTCTAAAATTGAGAGAATTTCTAAACGTAACCTATTTTTATCTGACATTCAGTTTTACCAAAAACAAATTGTCAAACTTACATTATCACAAATTAAATACATAATTTCTTCAACACGATAACGAAATTAATAAGTCGTCCAAGAAATGAAGCAAAATATTTCACAATTCCATTGCGAATAAAGCCTGATAAATATACAGGCTGACTGGTGAATTACTATCGATACTTGAGGACGTGATATTTGACGATCATATATGACAAAATAAAAATTAATATAACATAAATATTAATAAACTTCTAAGTAAAGTTTACCAAAAGTTATGTAATTAATTACGCATCGTGTGAAAACCCTACAGATTAGGTATACACTCACACAAATTCGCGTGCGGCGGCGTAGTGTTGTATCAGCACGCCGCCGCACGCGTCCACACTTGGAACACTTGGAACGTGTCAACACTTTATTTATTTATACGGAAATTTTGACAAAAATTAAGTGCCTATTTTTTTACATAATTCGAATGAGAATCATGTACCGATTATTCTCCTTAAATGTTGATAGTAATTCACCAGTCACCCTGTATATTGGAGTCGTTTCTGAAATTTATATTACACTCGAGTCGCGTTCGTCACGCCATCTCTATTACGTGTCAATTGATCACGCAACGCTACCGAGTACCGCCGTTCCTTGTAATCTGTCACGCGAGTCATTGTCAACTGCGCGATTACAAAATGTTGCATTTCATATACATTTAAGATGTTTTTGATGCATTGAATTATGCAATCTTCGTGTCCAAGTACGTTTGATCTATCTTTTAAAGCTATACCTACTCTTTTACATTATAGCTATTTCACGTTTTTGTGTTATTAAATATTAAGTTATTCGGATATATCGTATATTTTTAAATACATTACCTTAATAAAAACAAAGTTGTCTAAAACATTATATATACGATAGGCAAAATCTGACATAAAAACAGATAAATTTCGTTAAACATTTGTAATAAATTTTATTAGCTAATAATAATTTTAAGTTTTTTGAAGTAAAACTTCATTACGCACACTTGACTTGGGAGTAAGCTGGTTTATTCGTGACGAAAGTGTTAAAAAATGTAATCGGTCGAGGAATGTAGAAAATTAGATTTTTTTTTTCAATCATATTCTGCTTACCCTGCCTCAATTCTCTGTGCACATACATATATATACATACTAGAAGACCCGGCGAAATTCGTATCGCCCTATAATCAAGAAATACCTGTTACGTTTTTATAAATTTTATAAATTTAGGTTAACCTTAGCCTCAGAAACACGTGTTGGTTATGCTATTATTAAATAGTCGCTCATATATAACATTTGTATTTTTAACATAGCGCCATGTTTTGAATACTTAACTCAGTCAACAGATAATTGTAATAATGACAAATAAATTTTCTTTAATAGACAAATAATTTGTAATAAAATAACATTGTGACTATAAATTGAGATGTAAGCTATTCTATCTTTCAAGTTGGATCAAAATGCACAAGGAATGCAAATCAAATTTAAAATCGGTTTAGTAGTTTCGGAGTCCATCGCGGACAAACACGTGACACGAAATTTTTATATATATAAAGATATGTATAAGCATATGCATATACATATTACAAATAGGTGGAGTAAAAGAAGTTTTACTTCGGTCGTGTGATCTAAACTCTAAAGGCGCATTTTCACTGGTCGATAACTCGGTCGATTTAAGGTGTGCGGGGAATACCCGCATTCGGGATAACGACCAATGAAACTAGTCTGTCGATAACTCGGTCGATACAAAGCATGCGGTGACTCGCCTCCGTCATCAATATTTATATCACTAACGCTGTTTATTTACGCAACGTGGGAGCAAAATGTCTTAACAGTTTTCGGATTCACAAATGCTAAAACTCGTAGAGATCTATCGAGACTACGAATGTTTGTGGAACGTAACGAGTGCTTTGTATAAAAATCATGACGCAAGACAAAGTGCGTACAAACAAATTGCGGAAAAGTTAAACATTTGTGGCATCTCAGACAAAGATATACCAAAAAAAATTAAAAATTTAAGGTCATCGTACTATCAAGAATTAAAAAAAATTGAAAAGAGCACTCGATCTGGAAGCGAACGAGATTCTGTTTATAAACCGAGGGTGTCATGGTTTTCAATTGCCGATGGATTTTTAAGAGCATTTAAAAATAAAGAAAAGACATTTTCAAATGTAAGTATACAAACTTTATTTATGTTACTATAGACAGTCCTAATTAAGTAGGTTATTTAATATGTATTTTTAAGAAATATAATATTATATAAAATATCACTATCTTTTTATATTTTATTATTTAGACATTTTTTGGAGTAACACGAGACAATCTAATACACTTCTCATAAAAAAAACACCTCGCGAGTTTGTTTTTTAAAGATTATTGAAAAAATGTGTGTTTAGGTTAGTAGTGATACCTATGAGGTGTTCAATTAAAAATGTTAATGAATTGATGATCCAATTGAAATATTTTTTTTTATATAGGTACTTCATGTTTTATTATCATAAGTTAAATAAAAATCGAAATGTTTCGTTTTTTTCATGAGAAGTGTATTATTAAAGAAACAAGTGCCGCGGGGCATAGTGGGTTCTGCCGCGGCGCTGTCCCTAGTGCAGTCTACCCTCAAATTGTTCCGGGATGTTAGTGAATAAATCTTGTTTGCCACGGCACTGCACCTTCAGTACTGAAGTAATCAGCGAATCTATCCCGAATTGTTGTCCCATTTTCAGTTAAGGTATTATCTTCTCCCATGTTCTCGAAGTTTCGAAGAGGTACTTGTCTCCAGGAGCCATTAATTGTTATACCAGTAGAGATATCTTCATAATCCGCAAGTCCAGGTTCAAGATAATTAGAATCATTTTTTCTTAGCCAATTATGAAGCGCGCAACATGTCCTTGTTATTTTTATGGTATTCTTGACGTTGTTGGCTATTGGTTTTTCAAAAATTCGAAATCGGCTTGCCAATATACCGAACGCATTTTCTACAATTCGCCGAGCCCTTGAAAGACGGTAATTAAAAATTTTTTGCCGTGTCGTTAGATTATTTCCCGGGTATGGTTTCATTATATTATTTTGAAGCGGGAATGCAGCATCCGCAACAATAATACTTTCTGCTGGAATATTCAGACTACCGTCATCAATTGCTCGTTTTAAAGAACAATTACTAAAAACTCCGCCGTCAGAATATCTGCCCTTTGCTCCAATATCAATATAAGTGAATGAATAATCATCATCGACACAAGCTAGTAAAACAATGCTAAAAGTTTTTTTATAATTATAGAACTCAGATCCACTACAGGCTGGAGCTCGCAAGTTTATATGTTTACCATCAATTGCCCCAATACATCCAGGAAAATTCCACTTTAACTGAAATCCAGTTTTTATATCCATCCATTTTTGTTCTGTGTTTGGGACCTGAAAAAAGAACATATAATCATGAATATTTTTTATTTACAGATCGATGAAAATTCGGAAATAGCTATTGATACTGTTGACTTCGAAAATAATACTACGGCATTAGAAGAGAATGATAGAGAAGAAAACTCAAATGCTGCGGATGAAATTATTGAAAATCGAGTTCAAGAAGTAACCGAAACATCTTCATCTACATTCACTGTGTCATCCAAACTGGCAACGAAGAAAAGGGGCAACGAGGTATATGAAGACATTGAAAAAATAAATAAAATTGCCGAGAATGTAATTAAAAATACAACATCGTTACTAGAAAATAAAGAAGATGAATTCGACATTTTTGGGAGATATATAGCCTCGACTTTACGTACATTGCCAGGCGAGTTTTCAATTGTTGCAAAAACAAATATTCAAAAGGCTTTATCGGAAATTCAATTAAAAGCATTGAGACAGCAAACCCAATCTTCGTTGTCCTCGACGTCCAATATCTATGATCCAGAAAATCCAGGATATTTAAGTTCCGCATCTGTGTCTAATTTATCTAATTATGAAGACGATTTCAACAACATCAGTTTCACAAACATATGAAGCAATTTTATATATTATTTATAATTATGCAACATCTATTTGCCTGGTAAGGCATTTTTATTTCATTTAATTATTTGATATTGATTAAATGATTACTACACTCGCGGACACCAAAATCGAACCACTTTGTAATCCACCAGACATTGAAATTTGAAACTAATAACAATAAAGAAATATTTTGTTAGTCAATATTTAGAGATGGTTGTACACAATATTCGTTCATCGGAGAAAAACGATACATTTTTAGGGTGGTACGCTTTAGGTGACCGGAAGTGTATTCTGCTCAATTAAAACTTCTTAACGTACAAATTTGTAAGAATATTGCAAAATTTAAATAAACATTTACTTTATAATCTTAATATTATTTACTATTTTTTTATTTATATGTACTTACTTTTATATAATCTGCCAGTGCATCATAGAGAGCGTCACACACTTCTGGTATAAAACTACTCATAATAGAAGGGGATACACGAAATAAGTAATATAAACTTTTGTAAGAATCTCCAGTAGCTAAATAACGTAAGGTGACCTCAAGTTTTAATCTTGCAGGAAGAGCCTCACGAAATAATGTGTCTTTTTTTTAAATTCTTTTTTCTACATTTGTCAATAAATCGTCAAATAAGTTTTTAGGTATTCTGAAAAAATTATCATGATCTTCTACATCACATTCCAATGCCGGATTCAAGTTCGCACACAACGTATTAGAAGCACCGTGCATCTTTCTACTTTTAAGTAAATTTCGCATCCAAAATCTCTTTTTCTTTTTCTTCAAAGAAGTTATTAATTTCTTTTTTAATACACCGCAAACAGTCAAAATTGCTCCACAAAGCAATAATTGTTGATCCATGGCGAGTACGTCTGCTTATCTCAAAACCCACTGCCAAACTGTAGGTACCTAATTCTCTCGCACTTCAAATGCGGGCTCTAACGACCAGTGAAAATGGCTCCCCGCATGCGGGCTTTATCGCATGCGTTATAGAAATCACCCGCACCCCGTATGCGGGCTTTGACGACCAGTGAAAACGATAAACTCTTTGCGGGCCCTATGGCATGCGTTACATAAATCTCCCGCACCCCGAATGCGGGCCTTATCGACCAATGAAAATGCGGCTTAAAGCATATAGGTTTATCTTTTTATACGAAAAAATTATAGCTGACACAGCGTATGTATAAGTCGTTATATTGTATTTATGACGTCATCACGGTAGGACCGTCTAACGGACATGTGTATCCTGGTGGAGTCAGCGCGTCTGCTGACGTACCGCGCCGCCTGTGACGTCAGCACCAAGAACAGCGCCATGGCCAAGTACGTGGCCGGGCGCGCCGCCACAGCCGTGTCCGACCACTGCGTGCAGGTGCTCGGCGGACGGGGCCTGTCCACGCACTACAGCGCTGAGAGACATTACAGGTGTGTGTGTGAAATAACGTACAGAGAATATATGTGTGTGTGTGAAATAGCATAACAGAGAATGTATGTGGGCGTGTGTATGTGTATGAGAAATAACATACCGAGAATGTGTGTGGGCGTGTGTGTGCACGTGATTTGTATGCTGCGTATGTGTATGTAGGCATGTGTATGTATGTATGTGTGTGTGCTGCGTATGTATATGCGTGTGCGTGTGTGTGAATAAATCTGGATATGCACGCCTGAGTATGCTGCAATTGCATGATGATGTGTTAACACGTGAGTGTGTATTTTTAGGTATCCGGGTGTGAGTGTGAATGCGTGTGTAGTGTAAACATGTAATGTATTCGTACTGCTTTAAAATGAAAATATATCTATTGTTATAAAATAATTTGAATAAAATTTTCTTAATAATAAAAGGAACATATTATAAATTGTATATTTAATATATTTATATGATCAGGGACGCGAGAGGCACACAGATATACGGCGGAGTGACGGACATACAGAAACGATTGGTTGGACATTACCTGCTCAAAGAAAACAACGCCTTGTAGTATATGAAGAGTGACGTGGAACAAAAAGACTACTACAGGGAAGGTAGCAATAAGATTCATGACTTGATATGAAAATGGAACTTAACGATATGTATGATGTTACTTAAAAGATATTTAAAATAATACTTACGTTCTAACAGTGGGTAAGTTGAAAGTAACATGTAGATAGGTACAGGAAAGACAAATAGTTGTTTATAATTGTATTTAAAAAGATATACAATGTTTAAATAATCGTATTTGTTAATGGTCGAAGAGATAAAAAAAACTGTTTCATATAATATCGTCAAATGATAGAAAATCCAATAATATACTATCTCACTGTTAGACTCTTCACTGACGCAATTTAACATTCTGGTGCTTTTATGTATATAACGTATCATCAGTCTTCCAAAAAAATAATGTTACTACGAGTACCGTGGTCAATAAAAAAAGTCTTTGTATTTTCCTCCTCAAATCTTTATTGTAAACTAAAATAGTGTAAATAAGTTAATAATCGCGAATTTTTTCACAGCGCTCACTATGTAAGAAATAATATTTTAATTTACACTATTCTATTATAGAAGAATGTGTGGAATTTTGCCATTAGTAAAATATTGTCAGCTTATATTTTGGCGCCAACTGAACCGGTACTATAAATTGTTTTAATTGAAAATAAAATTAATGTCATTTTAATTTTTATCAATGTAATTTTTAATATATTTTCTTTTAAATTCATAATTTTTCAAACGCAGCAAATATTATCCTATCTCCTTTATACATAAACTTCTTTTATTTACCTCCATACTTTGTCTTGGACTTATTGGTGTCAAGGCTGAATGCGTATGCTTTAACCTCATTCCATTCATATACGTTTGAAACTTTTGGAGTGACAGGGTCTTATAAATCTTAATTTGTTTTAAAGCCTCTTCTATATCAAATATTTCAATACAATATATTCTTAATTTAAATAAAACTGTGGTTTATCGGTTTTTTAATAAAATTTTAATAAAAGTTACGGTTTCCTTCACTCAGCTGTGATCATGGTCAGAACATTTGAAATATTTTCGTATATAATGTAATTATTTCGAGAGCCATAGTTTTATTTGAATGTGTACTGTAATGTTAGATGTAATATTTATATTATTATGTACTTTTTTATAATGCATATGTTTATATTTTTGTTATGATCTATTAAATAAATTCCAACATGTCTACTCTTTTCTTTTCTAGCAAATGAGTTCATTTCATCTTATTTAATGTGCTTAATTAATGTAATGTAATTTCAAATCAATTTGCAACTAGAAGACGTATCTTCACAATTTTAAGTCCTGTAGAGATAGATTTGTTTCAATCGTTCTAAGATTTAAATCCTTTTGCCTTTTATTTTTTATTTAAAATTATTTAAAACTGTTGTTCCTGCCTACTCCAATGAGGTTTTATATTTTATAAAGTTTCATTTTTTATATGAAGCTCTGCATTAGAATAAAAAATATGCCGTGACACTGAATGCAGTGTTGTATATTATGTGGCTAATAAATTAACCTTAATAAAACTATAACATCGATTACAAATATTTATCAATTTTATTATTGATCGACTGCATCGTTATCATTATGTTGCAACAAATTATCACCTAATTTTATTGAAAGCGATATCATTTCTTTACCTTTTTTATTTATAACGTTATTTATATTCGTAGATCAAAATCCATTATGTATTTAATGAGTAACGAGTAGCGCTGTGGTTTCATGTATCGTCTTAATATCAAAGCAGAATCTCTAATTCAATGATATTGTGGTCATTGTAGCTCGCATTACAACTTGCCCACCTAATAGACATTATATTGTTCGGCTTCGAGTCTACAATACGTCTCTTAATATATATTTAAGAGAAACAAAAAATAATATTAATAATTGTTTTTCTTTTAATAATAAAACTCGCAGTCTTTTCGTTTTTGTGCATGTGATTTAAAAACTAAATAATAGTGTGAAATGCGTACGTTATTCCATAAGTTATCTTATGTTGCCGACAGGCGATGCTAGACTTTCGTGTTTAATCCTTTTCTATCTGGCCTACGTCACTTTCAGTAATGTACACACGCATCACCAATGTCGCGATAAGGCTTCGATAAAAATGATCTTATCATTCCACTTCGATAACAAGGCGAACGTAGATGTATAAATGTGATTTAAAATAATAAATAAAATAAAATGCGCGCCATCAAACTTTTGACGTTTTACTTTTTAATATGGAACCCGGTGCGGATGCAGGAGATTACGGAGGAATCCAGATTAATAAAAGTTTGTTCTTATTGTACGTGCAGTGAAATACCAGAAGTGGATGGCACACATTTGGTGTTAAATATATTGTGTTCTGAATTGGATCGTATAGAAAATTTGGCTGATTTGGATAAAATACAATGGCCGGAAAATCCGAATGGTCTGAAAATATCAGCGACTTTTGAGGGGATGGGTCTATCTACACTAGGCAAGTGAGTACCTATCTGTGTAAACATACCATAGTATATATACATAATGTAAACAATACAGTCATACTATCACTAGCTTAATTCTTCTGTAAGGTAAACTTTATGTATTATCTACAGCTAAAGCTAATTTGAAAATATCATTACATAATAAATTAACATTGAAAACAAACATTTATGAAAAAGAACGACTTCATTTTGAAATGATTAAGTAACTGCCAAATTACTGACAGCACTTTTCTTATCTTTCAATTAAACAGGATTATAAAACTTGTTCACACTGTAATTGTTTTATCTCGGCACTAAATCTCAATTAAAAGTATGATCATAGAGATCTTTATGTTCTTATCACAAGCCCTTTACCTTGAATTTATGGTATATAAACAAAGATTGCTCCAAAAAGGTTACTTAACAAATATTTAATATGTTATTAATTTAAAGTATATATTGAAATTCACCAATACGATCTAACACTTGTAAAAAATATAAATATATTAAGTACATAAAGCATTTCAATTTCAAAATTACTGCTTATAAAATAATTCCGCGCCCAATAGTCGTAGGACTATTAAAACGATATAAATTTTATTATATATAAAAAAACTCATTGTCGTTTAATGAATATTCTGGCACGCATAATCATTGACTTAAAATGCCTCGTACCCTTTTGGAATACAGCTGCAACTCCCTCTTTTTGCTAGACCAATATTAATCAAACATAACTAAGAAACCGACATTAAAATGAAAAAAACCGTGTCAAAATCGGTGGATTCCCTTGAGAGCTATGACATCATAGAAAGACGCACACATACAGACATCGACGCGAAGTTAGAACTACCCTCTCATTGCGGTTTGGGCAAAGCACATATAAACATAGTCGTTTAAAAAAGTTTGATTTTCCCGCCTTTGTATTGACATGACACATATTATGACTTAAATACCTACATTTCGCATACTCGGACACTTATTCATGTTGTTATCATTATTTATCAAGAACTACCTTTGTTAGTTATTGGAATATCGTGTTAGTTTTTGATAAATAATATGATTCATTTATATACCTAATTCATAAATGCTAATTCTGTCCAAGGAGTTTTTCCTTATTAGTAAAGATTTTGTAGATATAATCACTGCAGCATCTCGTTGTCGTGAGTTGATAAGGAGTCATTCACTTCCTGAGAAGATCCGCAATTCAAACATTGTCACTCACTGATTGATTACACTATCGCGGGAAATTTGGGACATGTTTTTAGGATGACAGTTTCTTTTATATTTTAATCCTTAAATGATACAAAATTCTATCTTTAAATGTTATCTTTTTAAATTTTAATCACTTTTGATCTTATATAAATTAATGTTTAATTATCAAAAAGTGTCAGATTTTTTGTTGGTATAGACTATGGATATAATTTAAGCACAAGAAGTGAAGAAGAAGATAAATATGGATTATTCAATAAGAAATTGTTCATGTTTAAATTATTCAATATAAAGTAGTTAACAAAACTACTTAACTGTTTTTGAGTGATAGTAGTATAAGATTAGATTTAAATAATAAACTTGAATGAAAATTATTAGGGTCAGGTCACTGATATTATTTTAATTTTGTATATAAATATAATGAATTTATTCTTGACAGTGAACTACGATGTAAATTGTTTACATTGTCACACAACCTTCGCTACAAGTGGTAAATCACTGGCACATTTAATACAGATTACATGATGTCAGATGTAGGATGTAACCTCGGCTTTATATGAGATATTCTTAATGAACAACTTCTAAGATTGAATTAAAAAGAACTATTGAAGTTACCATACACTTAGATATGATAGTTTTAGTTTTGAAAGAATATGATACTCATATTTGTCGGATTATACTATGCGTAATTTATTATTGTATAAACTCACGTTTCGGTTACTTTTCAGCAGCTGTTTTCACGTGCCAACGAGATATTTTTATATTTTCATGTTCATATTTTCGTAATATATTAAAAATTTTTCTATTTTCGTTTTCTACAGATTACCACCTAATTCTCAAGTAGAGACGCTCAGGTTTACAAACAATGCTATCAAAACATATTGGCCTGATCCATTCAGTGATGTTCCCAATCTGAAGAGAATATCGTTCACTCAAAATGAACTCTCAGAGATCACTCCAGACCTCTTTACGAAGATAGAGAGCTTGGAAGATTTAGATTTATCGTATAATAAAATCGGAGATATAAATCCTTTAGATTTTAAATTTTTACACAACCTAAAGAGGTTGAATTTGCAAAGTAATCTTCTAAAGAAAATACCGGTCGCTTCACTCGAACCTATGACGTTGTTGGAAGATTTAGACCTTAGTAAGAATGGGATCCAGGAAGTGTTGCTCAGACGGGTGGAGAGTGTGACGTTAAAAGGAATTAAAAGATTAAATCTAAATAGCAACAGAATACGATCAATACTTAAAGAATCTTTTCCGGAGAACAACAGCATGTAAGTGTATATCTTATATATGAAATTCTCGTTTCACAATGTTCGTTCCCGTACTCCTTCGAAACGGCTTCACCGATTCTCATGAAATTTTGTGAGCAAATTGAATAGATCTGAGAATTGGCCAACATCTATTTTTCATACCCCTTAGTAATAAGAGTTATTCACACTTAACATTTTAATTATTAGACTTTTTTTAAATCTTTATTTTTATTTATTATGTCGCATTAAAAAATAAACATACAACCCAAAATTTTTACCCTTTTATCGCCAACCCCTATTTTTTAAATGTCAAAAATACGCTTACCATGTCAGCTAGTTAAATATATTTTATTGAAAACAATAGTTTTAAATTTGTTATCATTTCAGAGAACTGTTGGATTTATCTAACAATATAATTGAGATGGTCGAAGAGGATGCGTTGTCCTCGTGCATCAATTTAAGAGAATTGAACCTTGCGCAGAACAACATAACGTTTCCTTTCGCTGTTCCGCCGACACTCCAGATCGCTATATTGAAGATAAACACCTTGTACCACTGGCTGAACTTCCCAGCCAGCATCACCTACATAGATCTTTCTTATAATCGTTTATCAGCTCTGTATAATGAGGAGACTGTTGATTTTAATAACCTTGAGGTAAATTTAAAATTAACGGCTTTATTGTATCAGTTTTTTGATTATTTATCTTTACAAAGCAATTTATTTTCAGGTTCTTAGTATAGGCGGAAATCAATTAAGAGATTTTGATATACAAAGAAAACTTCCCAAGCTATTCAGCTTAGATATATCGTACAATCTATTACAAGAAGTACCAAAATGCTTGAGCAGTGAAATTCTGCCAAATTTGGAGGAGTTGCGTTTAGATGGCAACCCAATGGACAGTATTTATTTTAAGAATATAATAGCCTTAAAGTATTTATATATGAACGATCTGATTAAACTGACTGTAGTAGATGATAAGGCATTCAGTAATGTTATCGGCAGACGTGGGGAAGATGATGTTAATTCAGAGAAGAGTTGTTTTTCTCTCTATCTCTCTCATAATCCATCCCTCAGTAATATCCAAGATGGAGCCTTCGATGGTACAAATGTTTGTATGGTAAGTTTCCAGAACAAAACATTTACTGTATTAAGAACTTAATAGTAGATACCTACATTCGACTGAGCTTTTTAAAGATCCTTTGTGGGTTTGATTTAGTTCTTAATTTGCGTATTACCTACTATCTTTGTCCGTGTTATTTTTTTTAAATAATAATAACAAATTTATACTTATTATACTTACTTATTAAGAAACTCTAATAAATATGAAACAAAATGAACATCGGATTGTCAAATGATAATCTATACTAATATTATAAAGCTGAAGAGTTTGTTTGTTTGTTTGAAAGCGCTAATCTCCGAAACTACTGGTTCGAATTGAATAATTCTTTTTGTGTTGGATAGTCCAGTTATCGAGGAAGGCTGTAGGCTATATAACATCACGCTACGACCAATAGGAGCAAAGATATAGTGGTAAATGTGTAAAAAACGGGAGAAATTATTTCATCTTTGAAGCCCTCCGTTGCGTGCGCCGTGAAAACGGTTCAAGATACACAAAAAATATGTATTAAAGAATAATAGCTCTTTTAATGATCTAAAAAACAGTTTGCGACAGTATATGTCTATCTTTTAAGATGAACTCACAAAAACCGTTTTTATGGTACCTAATTTGGTCGAAATAATTTGTTTAAGTTGTATCAACATAATAATATTAATCTTTATTCAAATAAACAAATAAATATGTTGTTGGTTAAGAGTACTTCATTGTGAATAAAAAAAACATAGGTTTTTTCCTGAAAATTCTACGGGAACTCAACCATTCCGAAAACCCCGAAAGAACGGGAACTATGTGGGAAGAACCAAAAATCTGCCGGAAGTCACTATTCCAGGCGGACGAAGTCGCGGCAAAAGCTAGTGTTATATAAAACTGGTAACCATTACGATGCTTCCAATACTAGGTTCATCCTCAACATCTTATAATTCTCATCGATATTGAATACATTTCAAGTAGTTTTGCTTCAATAATTTAAAAATGTAAATTAAACATTATCTGAATGCGATCAATGTAAGCTTAACAAAACAGTTAACTCGTTAAACACTTTACCCACACAATTCGATGTTAAATTAATTCAATCTAATTCTTTAAGGCCTTTATCGAAGTAAAGTGTCTATTGTATGTCTTATATATTGTATCGATGCTTTCAGTTGGACATAAGTCACAACAACCTGAGCGTACTTTCTCGTTCTGTGATCTCTCCTCCGCCCTCTGAGGGAGTAGATCTTCAATACAACCCGTGGCGATGTTCCTGCGAGATGCAGTGGATTGTTGATGACTTGCTGCCAGTGTTGTACAGAGACAGCCCTCGGTTATTAGATGAACTCAGGTAAGGTTTTGAACGTTACTTCTTGTAAGGGTATTTAAAATGTAAGACAATGGAGGTTTATTAGCTAAAACTATCTTATCTGACGAAATTTGAATAATTCGTATTTTATAGAAATATTTACGAAATACTTCTTGTAAGGCTGGTCTTCGGAAGATATGACTATTACACCAACAATTTAGTTCCAACTTCCAACAAATGAAAATACTATTTCATCATTTCGAATTCTAAACTTAAGTGATTCTATGTATTTATTTACCTGTTTTGTCTTAAATATCTGATCATTATTACTGGGTGTACTTCAGATGTGGTTCTCCGCGAGCTCACGAGGGTCTTCGTCTGGTACATTGGTACAACTGGACCGGGAGAGCTTTGTGTGATCAGAAATCGCTTGGAAATTATGAGGTGAGTGTGATAGATAATAGCGGAGTTACAGAAGTCAGTCTTAGTATTCTGGTTAGAGGAAAATTACATAATGGGAGAATACAAAAAAACGTGTATTGTAATAATTTTGAGATTTAATATCTATGGAAAAGATTTCTAAACTGTGAAATATAAAAATAGTGTGATTTTTTTTTATTGAACTTGTATACCATAATGACGTGAGCAAATTGTTTACAAATCTTTTTAAAACGTCAAAAAATTAATTTAATTCAGCATCCGTAGTTCATAAACCAGTAATTAGTTTTCTTAAATCTATTAATATTTTAGATCGAATCCTCAACGGAGCCGAGTAAAGTGACCAATCTGACTCTCATCCTGGGAGGATGTATCATAGTAGCTCTTCTAATAGCCATCGCTTTGTTTGTGTATCTGGTGAAGAGTAGAAGACGACATAGAATAAGACAGGCCGCTCTCAACCGCAAGAGTCAAAGTTCGAGTGACGCTAAAAATACAAACGGCCTACACAATGAATTCGCAGCTCTTAATAAAACATGAATCGTTTTATATATGATATTATTTAAAAAAAAAACTGAGTTTTAGAATGTCAAACAACATATTTGTCTCTAAAAATATGCGCCTATTAAAGAAAGTGCAAAACAATCTCAAGTGAACATTTTTGTATGCTGAAGCATGCATATTTTAGAATTTTATATGTGCTATGGATGGAATACTTTGTGTATAATTTTAATTTTAAGTCAGTCACTGATTAAAGTATGTATCATTTGTCAATTTTATAACAGTATATAATATATATGGCATATGGCCTCGCTAGTCACATACCCATTTATAGCAATAAAAGTTTAAACAAGTCATCAGTAAATGTAGATGAGTTGGGAGACGAATGCATGCTTTGTATTTATATTAAAACGCCTGTATAATACGATGTCTAATAACACAAATTGAATATTAAAATTTAAACTAAAATAAGGGCAGCTTTTTCACTACTGTTCCTCATTGTATGAATAAAACGAGAGTATGGAAGTTAATGTTACTCAAACTTTTATTTAATAAAAAAATATATTTATATTATGGCTTTTATCTCCATCTTCCCAATGGATTTATTATTCTGCGAATACGCGAGGGACCATTCCACTTTCCTTTTATTAATTTGTTCCAGTATATATATGGCAACACATTGTTATTTACAAAATAAATTATGCGACTCTCTTTACTCTGAAATTGAAAGAATTTACAATCATAATCCCTCGTTTTTAAATTAACATTATTTCCCAAGATTTAGAGTAAATTGGACTTTAATGTGAATTACAAAAGTCACATTTTACCTGATCAAAAGGGAACGTCTCGTGAGGTATTTTATCGTAAACGAATTCAGCCAATATTCCGGTCTTTAGGGATGTAAGGACGGGACAAGCGCAGTAACCGTCATACTTGACGTTCGGTTTTTTGCCATACATAGTCTGCCAAATGTTTGATGCCACTACATAGCTCTGTTTACCTGCAAAAAGAAATCTTTGTAGCAACATAAACTGTAATTGATAAGGTTTAGGATGGAGATTATTTTGTAATTTCGGAATCATATTCCTTTCTAGTGACAAAATAAAACTTAATTGTGGTGTTGAGTGTTGACATGTAAGCAATTTATGTCCATCATTGCTGCCCTACTCTTAGAATTTGGTGAATGAATGGTGTCAACTGAATCTAAGGGAAATGTTAAATACCATAGAAGTTTTTGGATGGACAAGAGTCAAGACATAACGTTTTTTAATTTGACGAATTGTAGACTGTAGAATGGATTGTGGATTGTAGACTTAGTTTTGAAAAAAAAATATTAGTAGCTCCAACATTACAATATCTCTTAAATTCACTAGGCTTATAAGTATATTTAAAGAAATCGTAATAAATTTTAGTCGCTAGATAACTTGGGACTAGAAACTATTTGCATTACTTCTCATGTTGAATATATCCATGACTTACAATGAATTATCATTTAACTCCCGTGAACCGTGATGTCGGTTGCTGTAAAGTAACCAAATCGTCGGGAGTATGTGGTAAAATATCAAAATAAAGGTATAGTAAATGCGATAATATTATTTTTACTTTAATGAATACTCATGAAAGTCTTAGATCTCACTAAATGAATTATTTTTAATTTCAACGGCGGCATCCATAATAACATGAACAATGTCAAACTAGAGCCATGAATATTAGTAAATAAAAGAATATAATTTTTCTTACTGATAGCAGCGGCAGTCTTGCTGTTGGGTGTATTGACACAGTCTCCTACTCCATATATATTGTTATATCTAGTGTGTTGTAGAGTGTGTTTGTCCACATCGAGGTATTCTTTGACGGCCAGTTCCTCGCACTTGGTGAGACATACAGGAGGAGACATGGACGGAGTAACGTGAAGAAACTTGTATGGTAAGTATATTATCTAAAACAGCAGCAGATTTATACAATACAATTATTTTTTTATAACAAACCCCAAAGTAATACAAATCGTGCTTGCTGTGTTGCCCAAATTCAAAACAAGACAAGTCTTAATTAGTTTTGGTTTTGGCTTTACCCCTATAACCTGGTCTAGGTCTTGGTAAATCTCACAATTGGCTATTTCTATTCATAAAATCTAGCTGTTGTTCTATAATAACATAACAGATACATCTAGAACTTAAATTAATGTAGCCAATATAGTAGCAACTCGAATACCCAGCCCTTAGTTATATGCAATTTGAGATGATCTTGACTACCAATCGTAACCATTTGTGAGATCTAAGACTTTCAAGAATATTCCTTTAAACGAAAGTAATATTATTCCGACGACTTTATTTAATTTTATTATTTTAAAAAACTACATATTCCCGAAGTTTCAGTTACTTTTCAGCAACGTTACTGACAAGTTCTGATTTTGGGCCACACAACATTGAAAAGTTATTAAAAATATCAATAAATACTTGTCCATGAGTATCCATGAAGATGGCCTGTTTAGGAGTCACTTCGATGAGTTCCAAGTTATAATTGATCGTGATGTTCTTATTCATAGCTATTTTTTGCAACGACCCAGCGTACTTTGATACACCGAATAATATACTGCCCGCAGTATTATACGTGATGTTGGTTAACGAATCTATTTTGTGCTTAAAATAGAAATAACCTCAATTAGATTACATACTTTGATCATATATTTACTTGCGTATTATTTTCTTACCAATCTCCAATAGTCGTTAGCTAAATACATAATCTTCTGAGCAGCTCCTGAACATTTCCCAGGCGTCTTAGGAAACGTGAATAACGCGTGTCCACCTTTAAAACCTTTTATACAACACCAGCACTTCTGACAGTAATCTGGCGAGTATGACGTCGAAACCGGTAGTAGGGGATTGTCGAGAGCATCCTTTAAACCTATAACCTACTATAAGGTTTATTTATATCCATTCAAGAGATATTTCGTATTAGTTCATGAGACGTACTTGTTCGTAATCGTTCTTCAAACCCACAGCCACTACCATGTGCTCATATCTCACTTTGTAACCATGTGCCGTGTAAACAACATTGTTACAAGGATCGAACTCATCTGCCGCGTCCTTCAACCATATAACGTTTCGTGGTAGAATTGACCTCGTCTGTCGATGACTGAATTTGAAATCTTTTAAACCGGCTCCCACTAACGTGAATAGTGGTTGGTAGTAGTGGACCTGTTCATACAAAAAGTATGAATGTAAGGTCGATGAATATTTATATATGTTGTTATATACATCATCCCTACTAATATTATAAATGCGAAAGTAACTCTGTCTGTCCGTCTGTCTGACTGTTACGCTTTCACGCCTAAACCACTGAACTGATTTTAATGGAATTTGGTACAGAAATAGAGTTGACCTAGAGAAAGAACATAGGATAGTTTTTATCCCAGACTTTTGAAAGGTTCTTTTGAAAGGTTCTCTTGGAAACGCGATATAACCGAACTCCTCGAGGGCGAAGCTGCATGCGGATGGCTAGTATGATATATTTGCCTTGTTAGGTTCCAATACTATGATATCTTTGTCGTTAAATTTCTTAGCAAGTCGCCAAGCAACGCTGCAGCCTCCTGTCCCGCCGCCAACTATCAATAATTTGCATCTTAAAGTAAAAAAAATATATTTATTTACAACTCACTATCATAATTTAAAAAGAATTAAAGAAAATGTTATTTACGTAAATTCTTTTCTCCCAGACGCGAAACCACAACACAAGTTTATAATTTCCCTCCGACTGATGTTTAAACATTTCCAGATACTTCCCATTTAAAAAAAAAATAATAAAATAAAAAGAACAAAATAAATTTACAGCGAAATCATTTTTACATTTCAAGACTAATTTTGATATGTTCAGCCAACTGGAATTATACAAACGACAAACGTGATTCATACAGCCATAACTTATTCATTGAGAATTTATATTAACTGAGATTAAATATATTTAAGAATATTAGAGTAAAAATAAAAAGTATTTCAGAGTAGTCAAAGTAAATAGAAATGTATGATTAACAGTGATAATGGCAATAAGGTGCAAGATCTATAAGTTTATATTTTAATAAGTCAGTGTTGGCTTAGTGGGTAAAAGGCCCGCCTCTCATGAATGAGGGCGCGGGTTCGATCCTGGCAAGCATCAATGTGATTTTTCCGAGTTCTAAGTACTTTCTAAGAGTATTTAGACATCACTGATTAATGCATTCCCAAAGAGGGTTGTTGTCAGGCAGGCGGCCGGTCGTAAAAACAATTAGCTAAAACTATTCAAAATATGTAAGACAGACACTGGCTACAGCTGGAAAATTGCCAGGTAGAAGAAGATTATTACTTATAATTGTAAACTATTATTGTAACATTTTCAGGTATAATAATAAAACAAATTAAATAACTGTATTGTTTTATTTAAAAAATAACATGTTATTTACTATTTGATACACAAAAATATATTATTGATGTTATATATAAATTTCAAACTTAACATGTAAATATCTGTTGTTAAATGATCTTCTTAATGACTAATATTTGTAGATTTATCTTAAAAAATATACATTTATTATTACATCATTTCAATATATTAATATTCAAGATAAATTTAAATCAATTATTCTTTCAACTAAAGTCGCATTTTATTTGCAGTTATTTTACTTTTAAACAAAAGTAAAATCTGTCATATTAAAAGTTATTCACATGGTAACACATTTACAAAAGATAAAGAATATTAGCATAATATTAAAATTTGAGACATATTAGTAATTCTCAGTCTAATAATTAAATTTGTGATATGTTACATTTAATTACAAAAAAATTAATAGATTTAATAATCTACAAACACAATAGTATACAAAAGCAACATATATACATATATATAGAAGTTAGTATAACTATCAATTCTTGTATTAATTCACATGTGTTTTCTTTAGTTTCTGCCGAGCGGATTGATTATTTTCCTTATAAACTCTGGTCCGTTGTAGTTTCCTTTCAGCATAAAGTTCCAGTACAGGAACGGGAATAAATGTCTCTTCATGTAAAAAGCTAGCACACTCTCACTAGCCTGGAATGAAAAAATATATATATCATTATTTATTTAATAAGTATAGAATTTTACTACATATATTAAAAAAAATAATCAGGCTTTCCCAAAGTGGAAATCGTTCATTATGGGTTATTTGTTATTTAATTTAATTAGAATAAGTTATAGCTGTTTTTCATTATATGAAGAAATTTGGACTATAAAAGATAATTTGTTCTCAAAGTGGACAGTATACAAATTATTTGACAAACAATGTTTTACCAAATATATGTAACTAGATCATGATATCAAATATCACAAGTCGACTACAACTTAAAAAACCCTGAGCAACAAATTGTTTTGGGGGCAGATTGATCTAATTATTTATTTAGAGAAAGAAAGAGTGTAAAATTCTGATATTATAAACAACTAGCTGACCCGGCAGACTGCGTACTGCCTCAATCAAGAAATAAATTGTCTTATTTATTTTTTTGGTGTTTACCTTTAAGCCATAAATCTCCGTGTTCGAAAGTGCGACAAAATGATTGAAATATTAGTTAGTTGTCAAATCTAATGGTTAAAAACCGTTTGTATGGGAAATAAAAAAGCGTTGTTTTTAGGGTGTTCCCGGAAATTAATTTTCAGTTTTTAAACCTTTCAGTTTTTAAATTTTCAGTTTTTAAACCTTCACGAACATTTCAAGGCTATGATAAGATAAATCCGTTCAGTCGTTCTCGAGTTTTAGTGAGACCAAGGAACAGAAATTCATTTTTATATATATAGATTATATACTATGATGTAGTTTAGGTATTACACGACCATGTGGATTGTAGTTTAATAAGCAACCACAATGAAGACTGTCATTTCGTTTTGTTCATTAGGGAACATAGCTTTGTTGTATACAGATGACACTACAGATCATTACCACATCTACTTTAATCAATTGTAAATAAATTTTCTCTGCAGTTATACCGAGTGTATGTGGATAAAGCCGCGGTTAAAGCCTAGTGTATGTATTATCTTTATACATATAATTCTTCTGTGAGGATCTATGTCACCGAACTTCTCTCAAACAACTGGACCGATTTTGATGAAATTTTTTGTGTGTGTTCAAGGAGATCTGGGAATGGTTTAGATTCACAATTTTGTCCGCTGGACATTGTTTTTTTAATTAATTTATAATTTATTAGTAGTTGTTGCTACAAACGTTTTTTAACTAATATGTCAATCATTCTGTCGCACTTCAAAATACGGAGATTTGTGGTTTTAGTAGGTAAACTCCAAAAATGTAAATAAAAAAACGTAACAGATATTTCTTGATTATAGGGCGATACGAAGTTTGCCGGGTCTTCTAGTATGAATATAATATATAACCTGGTTGAAGGGTAACGTCTCTCTCGGTACTCCGTCATACACGAATTCAGCCAGCACGCACGTGTTGTATGAAGTGACCAGTGGACAGGCTCCGTAGCCGTCGTATCGTCGTAGAGCCGTCTTAGCACCCATCGTCCGTAGCAGGTTCTGTTCTACGACGTAGCTCTGCTTGGCTGGAAATGTTGAAATGATAATAGAAAAAAAATTAAAATGACATATCTAAAAGCTTAGTAATCATAACTGTTATTTTCTATATATTAGTAAACTCACTGATGATAGCATTTTATTTACTTGCGTTCAGAACAGTCATCAAAATAGTACCAAAATAGCCTTTTAAAAAAATATTAATATATTTATATACTTTACAATCAACTAACTTAAACACATAAGAACCCAATATATAAGGTTATGAGAAGTATTAACACACATAGATTTCTAAGACACACACACACACACACACGCACACCCACACACACACCAATATTTTTTGTAATACAACACGCGTTTTGACATGTCACGTGACATACAGACCAAGCGCTATAGTTCCGCTTAGAGCCGCATTACGTGGAAGGCGGCGCTAGTGGTCATGCTTACAGTAATGTATAATATAGGCAAACCATGCAGGTAGTTTTCCATAATTAAATCCTATTAACCTAAGCACACACATACATATATTCCTTGCAAGTTTGCATTTTATTTATTTCTTTATTTAGGCACACAAACAGAATATAATCAGGATTAGGTACGTATGAGTTAGTCTAAAAATTATTTTTAACATGATTACACTCCCAATCTTGTGTACACGACATAACCATCACAAAAATAGTGGCAAAAGATACACCAGTTGCATTCAATAACAATTAAAAAACCAAATCAAATTAAAAAATTAAATTAAATTAAAAAACTAAATTAAATTAAATAATTAAATCAAACCAAATCAAAATAATAAATAAATTGTCAAAAAGTCATTGAAGAGTAAATGATTGATTAATGAGCATTATTAAATAACAATTGAAAAACTGAAAACGTCGTTAGTGACGGTACAAACTAGTACTAAGGCTAGTGATTGGCAGACCCTGGCTGAAGCTGGGCGATTGCCAGGAAGAAGCAGAAGACTAAGGGTACATACCAACAGCAGCCGCTGTCTTGCTATTCGGCGTGTTAGTACAGTCTCCAATGCCGTATATGTTTTCGTACTTGGTGTGTTGTAACGTGTATTTATCCACAGTAAGGTAGCCGGCTCCGTCTACCAAATCTTCGCTAGTTTGAAGAAAGCTGGGCGTCTTCATGGGAGGAGTCACGTGCAGGAGGTTGTATGGGAGAGTTACTTGCTGTAAACGAATGAATGAATCAATGAATTGGGTTGTTGAAAAAAAATAGTCAATTTTTTTATTTATTTCAAATCTTTACAATAAATAATTGATGCGAATTACATATTAAAAAAAATTATTATTATAAATAGCCACGTAACTAAAAAACGCGCCACAATTAGTCACCATGATTATGACGTCACAATGTTAAAAAAATATTTTAATTTGATGATATTAATGTCAACGGCTTCTATCATTGTATCAGCTGTGTGCTACAATGAAGAGAAATTAATATTGTGACGTCACACGCGCTCGGGTTAGTTCGGGAACAGTCGGAGTGTTGTCGGTACTGGATTCAAAAATTTATTTTTAATATAACAATACCGATAAGAAAAAACAAAAATAATTTTTGCTATAAGACTCATATATAACCTTTCCATTTATTACACAAAATTTTTGTACAAAAACCCAATTATCAAAAAAAACAGGATTAGAATCGTGAACCTCCGACATATAACGTTGTAGTCACTTTGCCAATCGTGACCGCCTCGACTTGGTGTTTTTTTTCATTTCCAATGAAAACATTTAAGTATTAGTAGCAATAATAATAATAAAGCATTGAAAACTCGTTATTAAGTACTGTTATATATTAGGGGGGACCGGAAAGTAATGTCGTTTTCTTACGCTAAATACAAACACATATATTTTTAACGAGTCTTTATTTTTAATCAATGATGTATTCCCCATCATTGTCAATAACCTTTTGCCATCTAGTGAGTAAATTTTCAATCCTTGATCGATAAAAATTAATTGGTTTTTCGGCAAAATATCTAGAGATGGCATTTTGGATATCATCCAAATTTGCAAATGTTTTGCCACTTAAAAAGTGTTGCAGCGCTCGGAATAAGTGGAAATCCGATGGTGCAACATCGGGCGAATATGGTGGATGAGGCAGCACCTCCCACCCCAATTCATTAATTTTTTCTAGAGTTCGCCTTGCGCAGTGCGGTCTTACATTGTCATGTTGGAGAATGACGCCTTTTCGGTTGACAATCGCTGGCCACTTTTCAATTAAAGATTGATTGACTCGCTGCAATTGTTCGCTGTAGAGGTCTGCAGTAACAGTTTGTCCAGGTTTCAGTAATTCAAAATGAACAATGCCGCGAATACTCCACCAAACACACAAAAGCGCTTTTTTGGGGTGTAAACCTGGCTTAGCAGTACTCCGAGGGATTTCATTTGGAGAGAGCCACTGCCTTTTGCATTTTGGGTTATCATACAGGACCCATTTCTCATCTCCTGTGATCAAGCGATCAAAAAACGCTTCTGTGTTGTGTCGTTGAAGCAATAAGTTGCATGTGATTGATCGGTTAGCCTTATTCTGTTCGGACAGATTATGCGGGACCCAAACACCTGCTCTGCTTACTTTCCCAATCTGCTTCAAATGTTCTTGGATGGTCGACCAAGGTTTGTTGAGACTGTTTGACAATTCCTCGATCGTCTGACACGGATTTGCTTCCACTTCCGCCCTTAACACGTCGTTGCCTAACGCTGATGGTCTTCCTGATCGATACGAGTCGGAAAGATCAAAATTACCCGATTTGAACTTGGAAAACCACCTTTGGCATTTACGAATGTCCAGTGCATTTGGATAAACATCGCAAATGTTTTTGGTAGCAAGTGTTGCGTTATTTCCCTTGCGAAACTCAAAGAGCATGCAATGCCGGATGTGTACCTCTTCTGGTATTTGGCTGGCCATTTTACCCAAAATAACAAAAAAAATTGTAATTCAATTATCTATAAGTAAAGAAATCACTATAACCTCACAATGTCTTTGGTACGCCTCTGAACCAAACAATGAGCTGACAAATGACAATCAAGTATTGGCCTGCGCAGAAACGACATTACTTTCCGGTCCCCCTAATATTATAGAATACAACATCCCTACTAATATTATAAATGCGAAAGTAACTCTGTCTGTCTGTTACGCTTTCACGCCTAAACCACCGAACTGATTTTAATGAAATTTGGTACAGGGATAGAGTTGACCTTGAGAAAGAACATAGGATAGTTTTTATCCCAGACTTCTGAAAGGTTCTCTTGGAAATTCGATATAACCGAACTCCACGCGGGCGACGCTGCAAGCGGACAGGTAGTTAAAAATAATTCATTATCTTATATCATATATTTCCCTCACCTTATTCTTATCCTCCGTGTGTATAAACACCGCCTCTTTCTTCTCCGGTCGTATTTCTCTAAGCACAGTCTTATAGTTGACCTTAATGTTCTTTCTGTTCGCTATCTTCAACAACACGTCCGCGTACTTCTTCACGCCGAAGATCACCGGGAGGCAGGTGTTGTATGTTATGTTGCTTTTCGATCTAACGTTCGACTGAAAATATAATTACAAGTATTGAAATACAAAAATCTTCATATATAGAGGATTTTTCTTTTAGTAATCTTATAGAATTTACTTCACAAGGTAAATACTTCGTTTCATGAACTTTGAAATTGTTAAATAACACAACACAATGTAAGAACACAATAAATAACACAGCACAATGTAAGAACAATATAGCACACAATGTAAGGATATGGATTGGACTTATATAATAAACCTGTTAAAATATGTATATATTTTTTAATTAGCACTTTAAAACTTGGGTCTACATTTTTTTTATTGTAAAGAAACCTGATTTTCTTATAAATTTGTAATCTTTCAAATATATTATAATGTACTAAATATTACAAAATCAGAATGAATTAGTTTCTTAACTTATATTTGATACTGATTATTTTTTTTATAATACTAATAATCATAAACCAGATTTGCTGTATTGACTAAAACAGGACCTAATGACTAAACACGTCTTCATTTTTACACTACATACTCTGCGTTTCCCGTTTCTAATTCATAGCCTTCGAGTATCGATGAATGGAAAACTGTTAACGCTGCGTATGAAGTAAATATGAAAACTTATACTAAGTATAGATAATATTATGTGTAATGCAGCACAATGTTTGTTTTAAAACTTTCGTGATACATTACACAATAGATAGCAATTATTATTGTGAAATACAAACAGAAATATTATGACTAATGTTCGGAAATATTCAAACTTTTTACTCTACATAAATTTAATATGATATTATCTTATATATAAAATTCTCGTTTCACAATGTATGCTGCCGTACTCCTCCGAAACGGCTTGACCGATTCTCATGAAATTTTCTGAGCATATTGAGTAGGTCTGAGAATCGGCCAACATCTATTTTTCATACCCCTAAGTCATAAGTGTTGTGCACCCCTATTTTTTTTTAAATTTTTGGACCAATTTTTTTGTTTTTATGTTTTTTATAATGTGACATTAAAAATACATACAACTCTAAATTTTTACTTTTTTATCACCAACCCCTATTTTTATATGGCAAAACAACGATTGCCGGGTCAGCTAATTAAATATGTATATGTTTTACGAATGAGAGAATGTGATAGTGATTTCCTGCGGTTTTTGTTAAAAAGATAAATAATCTGAAATATTGAATATATATTTACTATTTAAAAACACTTTAATGATGATAACTATACAGTATTGTAGTAATACAGAGACTATTTGTTTAACGTAATTTTTTATGTTTACTTACCTTAGGTAACTTTAGTAATATATGTACTTACCTTAGGTAACTTTGGTAATATATGTACTTACCTTATTGAAATACGCATCAGCCATGTACGCGATCTTCTGCGGTGCTCCCGGACACTTGATGGGTGTGTCGGGATACGTGAAGATGGCGTCACCACCTTTGAAGTTCTTAATATCTGACCAGGTCTTCTCGCAGTAATCCTGAGAGAATATAGTTGACACGCCGCTGGATTTGTCTTTTAAAGCTTCTTTTAGACCTGGCACCTGTAATGACAATGGTATAAAGAGTATTATCTTTTAATAATACTATAGAGAAGTATTGATATTTGAGCATAATTAATATAGAAATGAATTAACAATATCAACTCAATAGCTACTTGTTACTTTTTGGTTTCAATCATGGCATATTATAGTAGTAATTTAGGTTGTTGAATGAAAAACTTGAAATGTTGCTAAGTGCTAACATATGACGAAATAACCTTAAACTATCAGAAAAATTCTATGCAGGAAAATCAGCGAGGATTTTTGTACATTTTTCAGATATCCCAACAAAAGATATCCAAAACTACCTAACTAAGTTAACCTTAGTTAGGTAGTTAAGTCTTACCTTAGCGTAATCATTGACCAAGCCAGCAGCGATAATCATATATTCATAGTTAATTGTGTGTCCGTTCGTAGTCTTCACTTTATTATTCTTGGGGTCCACACTCAGGGCTGAGTCCTGGAGCCACTTGGCTCTATCAGGTAGCACGGAGCGTTCGTTACGACGAGTGGCCGCTACTGAAGTTACCCCAGCCCCCACTAGCGTGAATAATGGCTGGTAGTAATGATCCTACAAGTATGATATATACTGAGGAACTTAATTATAGAAACATCGAATATAAGAAGATAATTAAGAAATAAAGTAATATTTTTCGGATATACTATGCGTGCTTTATTTTTTTACTAACTGCGCCCCGCGTTGTTACCCGCGGATTTCCGGGATGTAAAGTAGCCTATATGTTATTCCTGGAATTCAGCTTCCTGTATACAAAATTTTATCGAAATCGGTTCAGCCGTTTCAGCGTGAAAAAGTAACAAACATACACACACTCACAAACTTTCGCAATTAATATTAGTAGGATTCTGCCGGCGTACGCCAGAAAATTAAGAAATCGATATCGGTAGGTGAAAAATAACAGGACCAACTGACAGACACTCACATCTCGTCTGCCCGTGATCACGGTTGTTGAAAAGTAGCCGAAACGTCGGGAGTATATAGTTTTTTATAAAAATAAAGCACACGTAGTATAATCCGAAAAATATCAGTTTCATTTAAATGAAAAAAAGTCTTAGTTCTCATTAGTTGCTAAGCAAAAACGATGATTAAGTTGATTAAGGTCAAGCATGATTAGATATGAATTAATATCTTTTTACTTTTTAAATGAATGAGATCCTAAATAACTCTAAATTTCTTGTATTATAACCACTTAGATAAAAAATACGATAATCCCTACTAATATTATAAATGCGAAAGTAACTCTGTCTGTCTGTCTGTTACGCTTTCACGCCTAAACCACTGAACTGATTTAAATGAAATTTGGTACAGATATAGAGTTGACCTTGAGAAAGGACATAGGATAGTTTTTATCAGACTTTTGAAAGATTCTCTTGGAAATGCGATATAACCGAACTTCACGCGGGCGAAGCTGCGGGCGTAAAGCTAGTTTAATATACATATATAAGTGTTTGAGTTAATTAATGTGACCATGAGATGTGTCAACAGTTACTGGTTATAGTTAATACATTAGCACTGATTAACTACACACTGTGTGCAAGCGACCAAACAAACAATGACACATGCATACAGTAGTAAAAAGATAATAAAATGTTATTACTGTGACAAACTTCAATTATTATTTTCAAAGACATTGTAGATATTTCATGAAACAAATTGTCCTATTCATTTAATAATAACATAAATTTGTATTGATTTTTATAAATAATTCAAAAAAACTACTAAAAGATTATTTCTTAATCTTTAATACAGTATAGGTATTAAAGCCGAAATTTTTATGTTGTTCTTGAGGTAATGTCAACTTACAATTTCTGTTATGTCACAATGGACAGACTTTTTAGTTACCAAATATATTTTTAAAGATTTCTCATTCTCTTTAACCTTAATTTTAATTTCATAAAGATTGATTTAAATAAAATTTTACTATAGTTTCAAAACAAAGCCAGATGTTGAAATATGTATATGTAATAAAATATAATATAACATATCACAATTAAATCTTATATCTCTTGTTATATAACATTTTTATTATGAATATGGTAAATGCCTTGAAATATACATTAAAAAAAATGATTAAATTTTTATGTGCTACTTCTTATATTGAAGATATAACATATGTATCATTACAGGTTATTAAATCTGTAATCTAATTTATATCTATATATCTACTTTACTATTTTATTATATCCTTTTTTTAAATACATATGTTATTTTTTAATAAGTTTTAAAGTCAATGATAACTTACAGAACTTGGTTCTAGTACTATGACAGCATCTTTTTTTAATCTTTTGGCAAATTTAGCTGCCATGGTGCAGCCACCAGTTCCACCGCCTATCACTAATAACTTGCACCTAAAAATATTCATTATTATAATTCATTTAATATTTATTATATGTTTTCATTTTAAATAGTTTTACTTAAAGTTACGTTAAGTTAACTATATATAAAAAATGTATGTACATTCGCTACAAGTAATTGTTTACAGACTTAATCTTTGTGATTTAAAATATTTAGTTACATTATATTAATTTATTTTATTAAATACTTACGAATAATCAGCATTTTTAATTGCCGTAACCGAAAAACATCTCGTAATTCCCGTTGTTGCTTTAAAACCAGCTTTGCATAATACGCTATTCATGTTTGCGAAATATTAACACTTTAAATTCCAAAATTCACAATTTATTCACCCGATGCATAAGAAGTTATCACTCGAATTACGCAAGTAATAATGATTGTGCTTGTTCATAATCGCTTATATCTCGCTTCTCATTTTCAATATTATTGTAAATACCTGATGGCTGATTACTTCATCAATGTTTTGACAGCTTGACCATTTATTTGATAATTGAAGTCCGTCAGTAATCGAAATTCTTACGTCAAAATTGGTTATCAAAGTAAAACTTGATTATTTCCAGTAGAAAAATGTTTTTTTTATCAATAATTTATTTTGATATTTTTACATAAATATATTTTAAAATTCATTTAAACTCTAACGGAATAAAACAACTTTACTTATATTGTCCTTAAATAATCTGTATTACTACCGTCCTGATCCCTTTTTGTTTTTGACTTTTAAAAATGGCCGACGACGACGAAATTGACATTCTTGGTGATTTTTCATTTAATTCTTGTTTTGCTCAAAACAATCAGGGAATGTAAGTTTCTTATCTTTAACATATAGTTTTTGTGACAATTTACATAAATTTAAAACTATTCTTTAATATTATTTACAGTCATGTCAAAAATGTTATGACAAAACTTTGTTTTTGTTGTGTTTCAAAGTAAACAAAACATTATTTAAAAATATTTGAGTGTTCGTTTTAAAGAGTTCTACTTATGATATGTAGTTTAACTATCATTTTTTCGACTCCGTAGTCCTTCTTGCTCCAACAGAGAAGACACCGTGCATCCTCAATGGCTCCTGGATTCTCCTGCGACAAATTGGTATGATACACAGAATAAAGATAAAAGTTATAGGTGAGGTATAACAGGCAAAATCATCTTTTCCACCTTAACAATATTGGCTTTAAAAGATAATAGCTTTCCGATACATCAATAAGAGTGTTGTTTATTTTTATTTTTTTAAGTTATTGTTTGTTACATCAGGTCCAAAGATGGCCCGTCAAGGAAGCTATCAGGAACAAAAGCAAATCATCAGCATACAACCGTACATACATCCTGGACTCAGAAGGAAAGAGATTTGCTGACACAGGAAATGGTTGGGATATTAATTAATTCTTATTCTATAAATTTAAAATATTTGATTATGTAAACAAATGTTTACAGGCTAAATACGGAAGAAATGTGAATAAAATATCCAAAACACTAAAAACAAAAAGCGAATTAGAGATTCAAGCTCTCATAGAAGCAGAGCACGGCATTCTGTTAGAGACGGAGAATATTAAAACACATGAAGTTAAACCCGACAACATACCCACAGTAGAGCAGGAGGAAATAGTATCTAACTGTGTTAATATGAATCATGTAGTTAATAACAATAGAAAAGAATGCCAAACAGTACCTATCCCTAGAAAATCTTCAAAAATGAAGAAATCACACAAAAATAACAAAGAAATCGACAAGACTATTGAAACAAACCCAATTATCGGCTCTGAAATATTCTACGATGATGATTTAATAATAGGATCGACCGAGTCCATCGGTTCAGAGTTAGATGTTACAGACGTTGTAGCAAAGAGTCTTGCCAAGCAGCAAAGAGAGAAAATTAAAGTTTTACGGAAAAATGGAAACCACAGAAGAAAAGTTTCCAGAAACTTAGATAGAAATAATAGCAAGGATTTTCTTAAATCACCGCACAGAAGAAAAAAGGATTCTAGCTTGTCAGATGATAGTGTGAAAAGTCCAAAAATGCAAATTGTTTTAGGCTCGGGGCTGGCTCTACCGGTATCAGAGGGTGAAGAAGTGGTAAGAATTATATTAATAATAATTTATAATATTCTGGCATTTGTTCTTCTTCTTCTTCCTGGCGATTTCCCAGCTTTGGCCAAGGTCTGCCTTGCATGTTGTGAATAGTTTTGGCTAATTGTTTTTACGACCGGCCGCCTGCCTGACATCGACCCTCTTTGGGACTGCATTAATCAGTGATGTCTTAACAGTCTTAGAAAGTACATATGATTCGGAAAAATCACATAGGTACTTGCCAGGATCGAACCCGCGCCCTCATGCATGAGAGGCGGTCCTATTAACCACTAGGCCACCACTGACTACTATTCTGGCATTTGTTAAATGTATATAATTTCAACAGATAAAAATAGAAAAGAAGCCCGACTTAGATGGTGAAAGTGATATAGAAGTGGATGTAGGAAGTGATTCTGATAAAGAAATATATGTACCAAAAACAAAAACATCCAAAGATGTAGTTCATGAAGAACCGGTTGCTGTGCCGTTGAGGAAATTTGAACCCATGCCCAAAAGAAATCGGAAGATTAACTTGGTAAGTTGACAGTGAGAATGTCATACTTTTAGCATGTATGTGTTTTTTAAGAAAAAAATGATATGCATTACATATGCATTTCAATCAATTATTTTATTAAGGATTTATGAAGAAGAATAATAGTACAATACTTTTTAAATACTAGTTTTACACTGGCTATTAACTGTGTTTAATCACTAAAATATTGTTGATGTTTTTTTTTATAAATGGACAATTCTACATTATTCTATTTTCATTATGAGATTTAAACATGGTTGCTCGTTTAATTCAATAAAAATGTTTTAATATATGAAAGTTTGATAAATGACAACACAGTACATAATTATGTTAATATAATTTATTTCCAGGATGGTGGTGGTGGTTACACAATAATGCACACAGAGTCTGGTGACATGTATGAGATAGGACAAGAGCCTCGGAAAGAGAGACAGCAGAGGAAACAACCCGTTCAGCTTATACCATTACATGTTTACAACTCTGAGAAACCGGTTAGATATTATTCAGTATATATCAATTAATATACAGGGTGACTGGTGAATTACTATCGATACTTGAGGACGTGATATTTGACGGTCATATATGACAAAATAAAAATTAATATAACATAAATATTAATAAAGTTCTAAGTAAAGTTAACCAAAAGTTGTGTAATTAATTACGCATCGTGTGAACACCCTACAGATTAGGTATACACACACACACACACACACACACGCGTGCGGCGGCGTGGTGTTGTATCAGCACGCCGCCGCACGCGTCCACACTTGGAACACTTGGAACGTGTCCACACTTTATTTATTTATACGGAAATTTGGTCAAAAATTAAGTACCTATTTTTTTTACATAATTCGCATGAGAATCATGTACCAAGTATGCTCCTTAAATATTGATAGTAATTCACCAGTCACCCTGTATATTATGATTGACTTGTGGACTCTATAGAAAAGATATTTTTAAGATTCAGTTGATACCAATTTTTATTTTATTACAAGTTTAAGTCTCTCGAAGATGAAATTATAAATTTTTGTAAGCTAATACACAATTATAGTCTTTCCCAATAAGGGTTGATGTCAGGCAGGCGGCCGGTCGTAAAAACAATTAACCAAAACTATTTACAACATGTAAGGCAGACCCTGGTTAAAGTAGGGAAATTGCCAGGTAGAAGAAGAAGACACAATCAATAGTTTTATATATCTACTAGAAAATATATGTATTTATTGCTGAGAGAATGCCTTGTCAAATAGAGTACTAATGTCTAGGATACTCAAATTTATTTTCCATTTAATTTCAAATTGACATAAATGGAGATTTCATTATAAGGATAATCCTTAAAGGATTACTACCACAATTTTCCCCTGTCTTTTATAGATTATAAAGGAGAATATAACATTAACTTTACAAGACACCTCCACGCTTGTAATAAGTACCCCAGGGTTTAGCAAATGAAACATACTGTTGGTCCAGATCAGGATTATATTTTATTAACTTAACTTATGTGCATTGCTTGGAGAATTTTACTTGCGTGTTCAAATTTTTTTACTGCTGCCATCTATTAATAAATTAAAGTACTAAATTACATAGAAACAAAGAATAAGAATTATACATGAACCTTATGACTATTAATCAGTCAACATATTTGTTTATATACAATATAAATGTTATATTTCCAGGCGCCGTGTGTGGTTCACATGTTCGTGTCGGTGTTGGTCAGTATGGACGTGCAGGCTCACTGCAGCCGGGCGGAGGTAATGGGGCTGGCTGGAGGCAGCTGGCAGCCCTGCCAGAGGACACTCACACTACAACACTACAGGACTGTGAGGGCCGCCGCCGCTCACACGCACTGCGACATGGATCCCGGTAAACACTAGCTTTCCGCCCGCAGCTTCGCCCGCGTGGAGTTCGTTTATATCGCGTCTCCAAGAGAACCTTTCAGAAGTCTGGGATAAAAACTATCCTATGTTCTTTCTCAAGGTCAACTCTATCCCTGTACCAAATTTCATTAAAATCAGTTACTGAACTGTTTAGGTGTGAAAGCGTAACAGACAGAGTTACTTTAGCATTTATAATATTAGTAGGGATACAGATTATATCTACTATAGATCTGATAAAACTATCCATAAACAATATTTGTTTTTATTGTATTGACCAAAGTTAGCCAGCGTCTTTGCGATACAAAGACTGTTATTTTTATAAAATCTCGATCTATAATATTGGTTATAGTTATTGATGATATTTTTATTGAATACATTTACATTCACGAAATAATATTTTCTATTGGATTTATATTAAGGAACCTGTCACTCAATCATATACTATCTATGAAAATACGAATATTTTAGCTATTCTACAATCATATACATCATTCTCGATGTATGTCATATGTGAGTGTATAACCTTTAACCTTAAACCTTTTCGCTGCACAATTTCCCCAAATAAAAGGTTGTCTGGCGGAAATCGCTACTTAGCGATAAGACCGCCTTTTTGTACATTTCTATTTATTATTTTTTTACTGTTTGTGGTGTACAATAAAGTATATTCTATCTATCTATAACTTCCTATATGTATTATATTCTCCTTCCAGTGTCTCAATCATCATCAGCTGAGTCTCTCCGTTCTCTAGGTGTGAGTGTGTGTGGTTGGCATCACTCGCACCCACAGTTCCCTCCCTCCCCGTCTGTGAGGGACCTCGTGAGTCAACGCTCGCTGCAGAGCCTCGCCTGGGGCCTGCCGTGTGTGGCGCTAGTCACTTCACAGCATTGGCCGCCCGGACGGAGAGCCTCGCAGCTCAAGTGAGATACATACACACACAATATGGGGTCATTCAAACGTGTAATGTTCAGGTGGCTCTTTCACAAACAAGGCCGGCAAGGCAAGGCAACACTACTTATGTTGCAGATGTCTATGGGCGACGGTGATTATTTTCTATTAGGTAGACCGTCTGCCCTTTTGTTAATATAAAAAAAATACACATACAATAAAAAACCAATTTATTTTAACTTCTTATATTATGTTAAAATTAATGGTTGACTGTTTTATGTGATGGTTAAGAGAGCCAGTTCATTAACTTATCCCAAATTTTATTACACACACTAATTAGAAAATATTAGCTGTGGTAGCTGGATCTCAATTTATTTAAATATATATGAATATAAAATTTTAAGTACCTAACATTTTTTCACAGCAATTCACCAACTATTATTTTCTGTCCTATTACTTTGTAACCCGTGATTTATATTGGTCTAGAGCATATAAATTTAAACCATATTTTCTTCTGATTCATATATATGAACTGAACCTATCAATATTCCAGATGTTTCCGTGTAGAAGAAGACGACAGCCAAGCCAGTCCCGAAGTCCCCGTGGGTTATCAGCTCAATGTTAAGTTGGAGCGAGACCTGGGGCGGAGCACCCTCTCCCCGTACCTGCAGGAGCTGCGGGCCCTCGTACATGACACGCTCACACACGGGCAGCTGGCTGTAGACGTGGCGAGGGACGTGTGTCCGCAGGCCGGGCTCACTTATATGGAGAAGGTTGGACCTTGGGGCTTGGACCCTTATACAGGGTGACTGGTGAATTACTATCGATATTTGAGGACGTGATATTTGACGATCATATATGACAAAATAAAAATTAATATAACATAAATATTAATAAACTTCTAAGTAAAGTTAACCAAAAGTAATGTAATTAATTACGCATCGTGTGAACACCCTACAGATTAGGTATACACTGACACTCACACATACGCGTGTCGTGACGTAGAGTTGTATTAGCACGCCGCCGCACGCGTCCACACTTGAACATTTGGAACGTGTCAACACTTTACTTATTTATACGGAAATTTTGTCAAAAATTAAGTGCCTATTTTTTTACATAATTCGAATGAGAATCATGTACCGAGTATTCTCCTTAAATATTGATAGTAATTCACCAGTCACCCTGTATATGTATAAACTACGACGATTCTGTATGTAGCGTTGATTATTTATTTATTTATTTTTTGCTACACACATACATTACATATTATATGATACAGAAGAAAAAATAAATAAATTTGTAGCAAGGGTGTCATCTCATTATAATTAGTCTTTGTTCCAATGCATCTTATTATGTTTAACCAAAATGTGTAAACTTCAGTGCTACCATGACTGTGGTCTGTGGTCTGCAACATCATATCTTATATATAAAATTCTCGTGTAGCGGTGTTAGACAGAGAATTCCTCCGAAACGGCTGCACCGATTTTGATGATTTTGTGAGTTTATTGAGTAGGTCTGAGAACCGTGACATTAAAAGATACATACAACCGTAAATTTTTACTGTTTTTGTCACCAACCCCTTTTTTTTATATGGAAAAACAATGTTTGCCAGGTTAGCTAGTTTTGGTTAAAATTTGGTCAAAAATTAAGTACCTATTTTTTTTACATAATTCGAATGAGAATCATGTACCGAGTATTCTCCTTAAATATTGATAGTAATTCACCAGTCATCCTGTATATTTTCTTCCAAACAGTTATGTCATATTGTTTCAGTGCCTTTCAAGTGTGAGTCACCACATGCGGTCCGCCGGCTATGAGGACGATGACCCCATAGTCGCTCAGCTGTTACAAGGAATAAGAGATATATTCAGATAACACGGACCTCTCACTAGACAATAATAAATGTACCTGACTGATACATAGACTATAGATAGAAACGTTACAAACGTACAGATATATGTATAATAAGTATTTATTTTATATTTATAGTCACGAGGCTGATGATGAAGCAAGTTGTTCTATGGTTTGTAGATCGTTACTTGGAGATTAATTGTTAAGTACGCTAATACTTTGTATTTAAGTCTATTTGAACTTCAATAAAACATTTCACATTAAATTGATGGCTTTTTCTTCGACTGTATGTAGTATAGTATGGATAATGGAATCATTTAATAAGTGATAGACAAGTGCCGATAGCTTTTGAAACATAATTAAATTGTAGTAGAATGAAACTCATTAAAAGTTTAGATGAATATTATACAAATTAAAGGAAAAATAATTTACGGGTGATCTGAGGTCGGGAAGGGTATATGGATGGGTATTTAAGGGTAAAAAATTGGTTTTCTCGATTTCCGGCTAATCTAAAAGTCCTACAGAAAAAAATTATATGGCAAAGTTGTAGGCAATAAAAAGATCTAAAACTTTTGTACTAACATTTTTTTCACATAACCTCAAATTTGATGTAAAAAATTCTAAAAACCAAGTTTTTGGTTTTTTATTTCTACTATAATTTATTTTCACTTTTCATTATTTTTAAAGGCATCTGCATTGGAATATGATGTTATAATCAATCATAGAAATTTATAAAACACCGAACTGTGTGTAGGCCCTGTCTATTAAAATAAAAGTGGTTATACATTGTGCCTATTGTCCACCACACCCCTTCAATGTTGTACATTCCATCATTTAATACGCTTACTTACATATATACTTAAATATGCAATTGAATAAATTTGCAATGATTATATTGACTCTAATCGTCTATTTAAGAAGATCAAGTCAGTTTTCTTCCTTTGCATGGTTTATACTTTAAATGCATGTTTTTAGTGGGTCGAGTTCTTTTAAAATAAAAGTCCAAGATATATGGCACAGTTCCAGTTTATTTTAAATGTTACATGTGCTAGATAAAAAAATAATACAGTCCGATTAGTGAAACTCTTTTACTATGAGACGAGCGGTGGCTCCCACCACCGCGCGCGTCGCTGTAGACAATACGAATTAATAATTTTATTACAAATCGATTATTTCAATGTTCGTATACACTCTAAACTTGAAAAACATTATACTTTTTACAATTTATAACAAGCAATTTTAACTTCCACATATCTGAGTCCACGCGGACTTTTTGGTAGATAATATTCTCGATAAGGTACTTTTAGACGCTACAGTGTACTGAAAGTGCCTTATTGTATATATAATACGATTCACTTCATCTATTTATACAAGTGGCCCGACCGGGAGGGCCCAGTCGTTTATAATTTATTCTGGACAAATACATCCCGGACACCCTGTACACAAAATAAAAAAAAACAGTCGTCAAAATAAACTACAACGAATGTTGTAAACGTAACATATCGTAGAAGAGACCGATCGAGACACAGGCGACATCGATCAGTGTGAAGGAAGACGAGTGAACGATCTGTGGCGAGTATAGGAGTGCCGGGACACGCGCCCGAGACGCGACCTTACGCAATAAATTAAACATTAATTAAATAATTAAAAAATAATGAATTCCGATCGAAATAGCTCTATAACTATATGTACAAGTGTTAACTTACGGCTAATTAGAAGCATCAACTATGAAAACTTATTAACATTGAAGGCACATCATTACGCACCCTATTATCAATATTGTGCAATATCAGGTGCACTCGTCTCGCTGGCTACTCCGTGGACCGGCGACAAGCGACAACACGTCTTATATACAGCGGAATAAGTACTTTAATGGAACGACCTCGCCCCGCGCGCCCGCTCACACAGGGGCCGCGCGGGGCGAGGCGGGACTAGTCACTGTAAGTAATACATAGAGGATCAGTCTGAAAATAACACAACCGACAGACGGCAGTCTCAAGCCTCTAAACGATGTATCAGCGATCTTGTAAGTTAGTTCATGCGTTTAGTGAATTGAAACTGCGAGTGTCTGATACAATGACTCGTATAAATAAAAAAATAACTATATAGTAGTGACCTATTCACAGCTGTACAATGCATACATTAGTGTCCAATTCACAACAGTCTATTGTTATAAACGAAGAGATCCTGTCACAGAATGGTCAGAGACAATTCAACGCGGAAGACACTCATATCGGTGTAATAATTTATATACTATATAAAATTATGGACTCGTCAATAAAAAAACCAATAAAAGATCAAAATATGAAGTATCTTCTACGAAAAATTGTTACAAACGTTATAAACATATCAAACGATCACTTTCAACAGAGACTTGAAACGGAACACCTCGTATTAATTCTATGATATATATTTATAATGTACAAACTAAGCAGTCGTCATAGAAGGTTCAGAGTAAACAAGTCCATAGGTAATCAAGAGTTGCTTTAAAAATATATGATACAGTAATCGGCGCGTCCAACCGGCACGGCTCAACCAATTAATTAAAAAAATATATAATAATAATAATTAATTAATTAAAAGCTTATATCGTCGAGGAACAGAATTTTCTTTACAGCGAACGTATCGTACAGTCGTATACGATGTTTAGTGTTACAGTTATTAATATTATTATAATAAATAATTTACAATATATCTAAGTCGCCCGGCGCCGCTCACGGCCCACTACACGCTACACGCCGTACATCACGTGAACCTTGGGTTCTGGAAGGATTTATTTTATTATATTTATATTCGATAATCTGTTCATAGAAATCATTAAACGTAACCCGAGCCGACTATAAAACTAAATTCATTTCATTACAATAACCGTGACCGTGTGAGGGCGGGGCGACAGTCTATACTTATCTAAGTGTCATTTCTCAGATACAGGGTGTTGTTAGAGCATGTATTGTCATTAGTATAGTTATGTGTCTGTATGTTGGTGTGTGTGTTCACAGGGTGTTCACTCGATGCTCTTGACCCTGGCCATGACCTTCCCTTCGTACATGGGCAGCATGTCTCCGTCGTTGCTCACCTCCTCCTGTATCACCGTGTTGTCGAGATCCGCGCACTCCGTCTTGAAGAAGTATCTGTTGGGAATTATAATAAATAATATATAAGTGGTTCAATGTTATTGACGTAACTTTTTGTGAGAGCAAAAAATGTTCACCACAACTACACAATACATATTATTTACAAGGAAATATACAGGGTGACTGGTGAATTACTATCAATATTTAAGGAGAATACTCGGTACATGATTCTCATTCGAATTATGTAAAAAAATAGGCACTTAATTTTTGACAAACTTTCCGTATAAATAAATAAAGTGTTGACACGTTCCAAGTGTTAAAGTGTGGACGCGTGCGGCGGCGTGCTGATACAACACTACGTCACGACACGCGGCTGTGTGAGTGTGAGTGTATACCTAATCTGTAGGGTGCTCACACGATGCGTAATTAATTACATAACTTTTGGTTAACTTTACTTAGTAGTTTATTAATATTTATGTTATATTAATTTTTATTTTGTCATATATGATCGTCAAATATCACGTCCTCAAATATCGATAGTAATTCACCAGTCACCCTGTATAATCTCAAATGTTAAAAGAAAAAAATCTTGTTAAATTATGTTATAAAGTAACCAAATAAAGTTGTATAGTATAATAGCAATGTTAGCAATATGACGTTTAAGGAGAAAATCTTGAATAAGTTTGGAAAAATACTTAACACCTCATTAATTAAACTAGACAAGATGTTTTTATGCCGTAATGAAATAATATTTAAAAAATAAAATGACACTGGAATTGCCAACATCTATAAGTTGGCTACTATTTACTAGTATAAAAAATAATAATAAATATATACCTATAGTTTCCCTTCCTGGGCAGATATTCCTTGAAGGTGCGCAGTGTGAGCGGCGAGGCGGGCACCTTGAACCTGTAGGGCACGCTCTCGTCCAGGAAATTAACCACCACCACAGTGTGCTCGGGGCCAGCTCCACTCGCGGCGCCTGTAGCTGTGCCGCTGCCGCTGGACTTGCTGCCCGTGCTGCCGGTCGTGCCGCCCGTACTGGAAAACGACAGAAAAAACTATGAATATAAGATTCATTTTGAGGTGTATTACTAAGATTTTGACGTGTTTATATTTCCATCACGTGTCTGTTTAATAGTGCTTCCAATATATACGAATGGTAACTGTGAGGGAAAGAGAAACAATTATTTCTTTCTCTCTAGCTCCACGTTTTTGATTTAAGCTGAGCTTTGCATTTGTGTGAGTGCACACGGATAGTGAAAGTGTGATGTCAAATTTTTGAATGCACCTTCTTTTATAGTTTTGAACCGGTTTATACTGCTTTTACTCCGCACCTTCCGCACTTCACCCTTTGTACTGGTAGCAAAATCAAATGTTGAAAAAACAATGTCAAGTGAAGAAGAATTTGTATAGTTTTTTCAAATTTTTTATTAATTGATTTTTTTTTCCCATAATATTCACAATATTTTCATCTGGTCTTTTGCAAGTTTTGCTTATTTTATATCACTTATGTTATGGATCTACATATTTAAAATATAATAAAATTGAATTTTAAAAGGTTTTTTTTCTAGCTCTACTTTTACTTTCACTCACACAAATGCAAAGCTCAGCTTAAGTCTAATGGACTATACTACATGTCCCTCACTACTGACCGTGTCCGCAGCTTCTAATATATACGAATGGTAACTGTGAGGGAGAGAGACACAATTATCTCTCTCTCTCTCGCTCCACGTTCCTACTGACCGTGTCCGCGGCTGTCCCTTGTCCCTCCGCCGGTGGTCGTCCCTGTCAGCGGAGGAGCCCCGTGAGGACAGGTCCCTCAGCCTCCTCTCAGCCCGCTCGGAGCCCTCAGCTATCCACAGCAGCAGGCGCGGCTCCACGCTGGTCGCTCCCTCGCTTACGACAGACACGCCGCTGTCCGTCAGCTCCGTCACTGTCTTCTTGGAGAACGATCTGCGACACAACAGATATATGAGAACCGAAAAAACAATAAATATAAGACCGTTGTGGTCATGGAATTTTAGTAAAATATATAGTATAGAGATAAATAGGGTTATGAAGACTGAGTGAGGTTAGAACCGACTGTTGCGGTTCGCCAATATAAGAGCAAGATAACAGTTTTGTTAAAGAACTTCACAGTTTTTTAATACACGAAAGGCTGATAAGAATATATACATGATATCAATGTGTTCAGACTATACATAAATTATATGTAATGTATGTATTATGATATGCGAGGCTCCAAGAATGGAAGACCTCCCTTCCTCATTACTGAAGAAAATTCGAGTGTATAAATAAAAAACAAAGATGAAAAGCGACCCACATATTTTGTAGACGAAACGTACATGAAAAAATAACCACATCTAAAATGTGACAAACCAAATTTGGACAATAGAAGGTATGTCCAGGAATGAAAAAGAAGGTACTGCTGTCTTTTGTATTATCATGACTTACAACGAAAATATATTTTTTACTTGTTCGGATATCATGTTATGTTTTTAAATTTATATTTAATTATCATTAACCCGAAAACTTTAAAGACATTATATAACTTTATCCAGTACAGTTATCCCAATTATATTCCTTCTCAAATATCTCATATGCAAATTCCTTGCCTTTCTCACTCCCACATACAAGAGACAATCTTTAGAGACATTTAAAAGACGTCTTAACTATACAGACTTTCGTATCAGCCACATACCTCAAGAGACAAGCTTTAGAGATACTTAAATGATATTTTAAGTATATATTCCTGATATTTTAAGTATTTGAAGGATATTTTAAGTATATATACCTTCGTATAAGTGAGTGTGGATGGTGTATGGAGTCTGGAGGCGCGTCGTAGTGTCCCGAATCAGCTGACAGGGCGGAGGCAGCGCGCCGTGAGCCGTGTCGACCTCGAGCCCGCCTGCCGCCCGGCGGGGACGAGTCCGGCGTACGCTCCGACCACACGCGGGACACGTGCTGGTCTATAACACGAAAAAATATATTATATAACCTTATATTGCTATTAGAAGACCCGGCGAACTTCGTATCGCACTATAATCAAGAAATATCAGTTACGATTTTTTAATTATATTTTTGGAGTTTAACTCAGCCATAAATCTCCGTGTTTTGAAGTGCGACAGAATGATTGACTTATTAGTTAGTTGTCAAATCTAATGTCAAAAAAAAAAGTATCAACAACTACTAATAGATTAAAAATTAATCAAAAAAACATTGTCCAGCGGACAAAATTGTGAATCTAAACCATTGCCAGATCCCCTTGAACACACAAAACATTTCATCAAAATCGGTCCAGTCGTTTGAGAGAAGTTCAGTGACATACACACTCACAGAAGAATTATACAGGGTGACTGGTGAATTACTATCGATATTTGAGGACGTGATATTTGACGATCATATATGACAAAATAAAAATTAATATAACATAAATATTAATAAACTTCTAAGTAAAGTTAACCAAAAGTTATGTAATTAATTACGCATCGTATGAACACCCTACAGATTAGGTATACACACACACACACATACGCGCGCGGCGGCGTGTGTTGTATCAGCACGCCGCCGCACGCGTCCACACATGGAACACTTGGAACGTGTACACACTTTATTTATTTATACGGAAATTTGGTCAAAAATGAAGTACCTATTTTTTTTACATAATTCGAATGAGAATCATGTACCGAGTATGCTCCTTAAATATTGATAGTAATTCACCAGTCACCCTGTATATATAAAGATGACCTTATATTGCCATGTACGAGTTAAAAGCAGTTGTGTGAACGAGCTCGCTTGTATTTTGGATGATAAACTTTATATTCTTTAGAATTTCCTCAGAAGAGACGCTGGTGGGTCAATACATCTAGAGGCTGAATGGCCAAACCGTCGTCTGAACTAACTAAAGCTTGACTGAGAGGTAGAGTTAGTTCATCGGTAGATACTGTTTTTCTTAATCTTGAAATAGACAGAAGTCAAATAATGGCAGTATAGACCTTCCGATCAGAATGCACAAAATAGAACACTTGTGTGGTACAAAGACGTGATTTTAGAAATTGTTCGATACCTGCCACCTCTAGTTTTTGTTGTTATTTAGTTAGCTTTAAGCACTTCTATGACAATGTACCACACCAACTTATTTAAAGCTCTTCTTGCAGCTCATATATAAGTTAATGAGGCACCAATCAATATTCTACGGTATCCGAGTCATCATACCCAGTATATCCTGATCGTTGTCGTCTTCCAGTTGAAGCTTCTCCCTGATAGCGGCGGCCACCAGCTGTGGCGGTAGAGCTTGGGCGCACAGCTCGTCACCTTCGCCCTGAAATACAAATAATATTCATACATTTTTAGACATATACAATACATTGGAGATAATAAGTATAAGTGTAAGTTCACTAGAACTGTTATGTTTAGTATAGTACTAATTTTCCTATAAACATCTAATATGCATGTAAGTCAGTGGTGGCCTAGTGGTTAAAGGACCCGCCTCTCGTTGCCGAGGGCGCGGGTTCGATCCTGACCCGGGCAAGTACCAATGTGATTTTTCTGAGTCATATGTACTTTCTAAGACTATTTAGACATCACTGATTAATGTTGATTCCCAAAAAGAGGGTTGATGTCAGGCAGGCGGCCGGTCGCAAAAACAAATAGCCAAAACTATTCACAACATATGTAAGGCAGACCCTGGCTATAGCTGGGAAATTGCCAAGGTAGAAGAAGATCTAATATGCATGTAAATATTTTTAAGCTAAAGTATTGTGTTTTTTAACCTGACAATAGTTTTATTGTATACTAGTTGTGCCCCGCGGTGTTACCCACGGATTTCCGAGATGTAAAGTAGCCTATGTTTTATTCCTGGACGTCAGCTTCCAGTATACAAAATTTTATCAAAATCGGTTCAGCGGTTTGAGCGTAAAGAAGTAACAAACATACACACACACTCACAAACATTCGCAATTATAATATTAGGATTCATGTGTGTGTACCTCAGCGAGCCTCCTCTCCAGCCTGTCCTTGTTGTCCTGGTCCCTCCTCACTCGCTCCAGTTTCTCTATCAGTAGTGGAGCGAACTCGTGCGGCGGCAACACGCGCAGCTGTTCTGACTGGACGCGCTGCGTGCGAGGGATCATCTGGAATGAACAGACATAATGTATAACACTTTATTTATATAGTGGATGTCAGTAATAAGATATATCATATACTAGAAGACCCGGCGAACTTCGTATCGCCCTATAATCAAGAAATATCTGTTACGTTTTTTTAATAAATAAATTTAGGTTATACCTTAGCCTCAGAAACACCTAGTGGTTATGCTATTATAAATTATTAAATAGTCGCTCATACATGACGTTTGTATTTTTAACCTAGCGCCATCTATTGAATACTTAACTCAGTCAACAGATAATAGTTATAATGACAAATAACTTACTTTAATAGACAAATAATTTTTAATAAAATAATATTGTGACTATAAATTGAGATATAAGCTAGCCTATCTTTCAAGTTGAATCAAAATGCACATGGAATGCAAATCAAATTTAAAATCGGTTTAGCAGTTTCGGAGTCCATCGAGGACAAACACGTGACACGAAATTTTTATATATATTAAGATATGTATACCATGGCGGTGTCTTGTTCCTTGTTGATGACAGCGTGTCGGTCGAGGCCGTACAGCCGCGGCCGGTGGCGGGACTCACGGGCTTCACGCGACCCGCGGATCGACATGCCGTCACTGTACATACGGGCGGGTCAGTAAGAACACACAGGCGTGCCGAGAGGTGCGGAGGAGAGGGTACAAACAAAATTAAATGCAACTCATAGCGGGTTAAAGGTTAAAACAAGCGTCTCTTGGTCGCAGGTCCTGGGTTCCGACTCCTTACATACATAGGGGAGTGTACTCACAGGCTGCTGCCGCTGAGGGACACCGCGTCGCTGTCAGTCCTCCCGCTGCTGAGGCTCGTGCGCTCTGAATCCTGGCGCGACGCGGGCGTGTACCCAGCGTACGACACGTGCGCGCTGTACACTGACCGCTTACGGTGCCTGGGGGGTTGTAGGTAGGGGAAGGGGGGGAATGACGGGTCAAGCTACTAGTATAATTTAGTACAAGCGTCACGCGGACGATGCTCATGCATTGCACACGCAAAATAAAATAAAAGAAACAAAAAAAATTGGCTGATAAACAAAAATAAAACGGGATACTATGTGACTTATGTAATGAATGTTACTATATGGACTGTGATCAGTGTGACAAGTTCGTGAGCTCGGTCACTGAGTGTGTTGTTATGTAGTAGGAAGGTGATCGTTCTAATATGACAAGTGATACCAGAATTTCTGCGTATATACTGAATACGTCCTCACTTTTTGTGCATGTCTACATGTGTATGTGTGTGTAGCGTATGTGTGTGTGTGTGTGTGTGAGTGTGTATCTGTATTATACAGGGTGTTCAACTCACGGAGCGACGTCTGACTGTAGTCGTCGTGACTGTGTGGCGAGCAGAGCGTCGTGTGTGAGCCGGGCGCCCACGGACGGACACGCGCCGCCTGACAGCTCCTGGCCCTCGTGTAAAGTGGCCAGGGTGCCCACACATAGCTGGAGAACATAAAACAGTTGTATAAATACTGTGATAACTTAAGTTATATAAACGGCTATTTAGTTTACAAGTGTCAGTATATATTTGTTTTTATGTTACATTAAAAAATCCGTTATTAATTCTATAATATAGGCAATATAATAATATAGGCCACTGTTAAGGTCGAGTCAAACTAAGTCAAAACTTGAGTAAACTAAGTCTAGACCGGAGGTTTACGTAGTGACCAAAGTGATTTCCTTAAACTATTCAAATATTGGCAATCATATCAAACTATTTAAATTTATTTAATTTCCAAACACGACTCGAGTATATTATATATTTTTTTTAAGTCATAATCTCTAGACTTCTTATAATATAGTATATTTATCTACGCTTATTAGACGGTGAAGCCAAAAACCAAAATCGTCGTCATTATAAAACCAGACAAATTTTTGCTGGCAATCCCTACTTATGACCTTCAATAATTAATTGACTCCCTCCATTGGTCTAATTGAGGAATCTCTAAATGATTAAAACTCGCGAAAATCTTAGATGATAGACCTCATTCCCTAACAGTGAATTCTTTCGCCGGTTCTTCTCAGGTCAGGGTATTTTCTTTTCCGAACCGGTGGTAGTGTCTCAAGTGACCATCAATAAGAAATAGTCTAAGATCCGGCTGCAGAATCAGTGTACCCATCGAGTGTTTGCTGAAAACCAAATTTTTACACATATTCATGATTAGGAGAATTTATATCCACCAGGTTGCCTATCAAAAAGTGGCCGCTAGTATTTTTAATTAAATTATTAATAATTCATAATCCGTAAGAAATTTCATTGACTTTTTTTTTCAATGAAATGTCGTCTACTTTACGGCAACATCTATAAAGACTCTGAAAAATTATGGTTGCCGTTGCGCACCTGGCCGCACCTCTTCGCAGCCAGGTATACACAGGTATGAATTTGTTTCATTTATACACCCACAACGTACATTTATAATTTATATATCAAATTAAAGCAAATTTTTTTCTGTATATTATTATATACGGTTGCTTAATTAAATCTGGCCGCCAATAAGGGTTGCTGGCTAATAAATATAGTAAATATTAAAAGTAGAGTTACACAGGAAACACGCCTTCATCCTTATAAATTTTATTTCACTTAAATGAGATTGATAATTTTTCGATGCACAAATAAAACAGCAATATATTATGTTGTGTATTACGTACTCCAAACAGCGTGGTTTCGAACTTAAAATAAAAATCACAACTGATCCGTTGAGAACACTAACATCTGACGCATGCGCAATGGCTTTAAACCGTCCGACAGCTGGCAATCGCTATCCTCGTCTGACTAGTGGTGTTACGCGCTAGCTCTCTTTCACTCTACTTTTAATATTTACTATATTTATTAGCCAGCAACCCTTATTGGCGGCCAGATTTAATTAAGCAACCGTATATAATAATATACAGAAAAAAATTTGCTTTAATTTGATATATAAATTATAAATGTACGTTGTGGGTGTATAAATGAAACAAATTCATACCTGTGTATACCTGGCTGCGAAGAGGTGCGGCCAGGTGCGCAACGGCAACCATAATTTTTCAGAGTCTTTATAGATGTTGCCGTAAAGTAGACGACATTTCATTGAAAAAAAAAGTCAATGAAATTTCTTACGGATTATGAATTATTAATAATTTAATTAAAAATACTAGCGGCCACTTTTTGATAGGCAACCTGGTGGATATAAATTCTCCTAATCATGAATATGTGTAAAAATTTGGTTTTCAGCAAACACTCGATGGGTACACTGATTCTGCAGCCGGATCTCGTACTAAAAGTGTAGTGCTTCTATATTGAATAAAGTTATTTGAGTTTGAGTTTGAGTTCCTGGTAGTATGAAAGGATTTCCCACTTACTTCTCTAGAGTGTGTCGGCGAAGCGTCCGGTGAAGATAGTGGCTGAGTGGCCGCACTCACGTACGACACGTAGGCCTCCGAACGAAGGAACGACTGGTACGTAGACTCGGTGATGGCGCGGGTCACCTTATAGTAGACGAGACATATGAGTACCATGATATTTTCATTTTAATACTGTACATAATACTATTATTTATTTATTTATTTGAGGATCCCCAACAAGAGATATACAGTATATAATTTTAGACTAATCAATACTAAATATTACAGAAATTTGTGCTCTTTCAAGTATAGGAGACCACAGCTTGCTAATTAAACAAAAATATTAAAAACAATTATATATCCTGAATTTGTTTAAAAATAAGAATACAGTAAGTAAGAACAGTAAGTTATAAAAAAAAATAACATAAGGAGTATGGACATATTAAAAAAATATATCTATTAGCGAAACCAATTTAACTTAGTTTTACTTATTGAAATACTATTGAATAATAAATACTATTGAATATTTAATGCTACGATTTTTTTTATAAACTAAAAGGATTATGTTCTTTTTATTTATAGTTAGATAATTGCGTATTGTCAAACCAAAGAAAAATAAAGACTTTCTAAATAGTATCCGTTTTTCAATTCAGAACAATCTCTATCAATGTCAATAAAATTCATACTCCAGCATTCAGTGGCGGCTGTACCTTTAGTGCACTCGTGCGCTGAACCACCAATTCAAAAGATTTAAAAAATTACAAAATATTACTTCATCTTTATTTTTAAATTACCAATTTAATATATTTTTTTTAAACATATAAAAACGTATAAAAAATTAAGTTTTCTAATTATAGTCAAAAAGTTTGAGCGCTTTACTAAACTAATATCTCGTGTGCTTCGGCGAGTGCACGAGGACTCCTAATACATCTTGTATGAGATACGCATTAATACGCCTGGCGCGTGAAACAAAAGATAGTTCATAGAAATGTACCGAGTAATGAGTCGGTTCTCGAGCGCCGCACGAGCGGCCGAAGATTACCGAGAGCACCCGATGTATGACGAATTGAGAAATGATTGACATCTCGTTATGTTTTGTTGCATTTTCTAATTTTAATAATTTAGTAAAGTGCACCACCATTTTTATAACCCACCAGCCGCCACTGCCAGCATTACAAAAGGTTAAATCAAGAACCAGATTTTTGCAGTCATGAAATTTATATTTCTTTCTACGTGAGCGGGGGGCGGAGTCTACCGAGGTCATGCCCAGGGGGCGGAGTCTCAGCGGGTGACTATTGACAGTTTTGTTTGTGTTGTCGTACCTCCTGTTCCATGTTATCGAAGATGGTCTTCTCTATGTTGGAGCCGTCCTTGAGGCTCTGCTTGACGCGCTGCTTCAGCTCCTCGGGCATCGCTAGCTGAGACTTGCGGAGGAACCTGGTGACGTCATCATTACGTTAACAACACAACCATAACACTCACACCTTTTACAAGGAACTGTTAGCGGGAAGCTGAGAAATGTAGTAAGGATGTTGAAACAAGAGATGGTGATCAACAGGCATCGACAATTTTAGTCTGAGTCTTAGTGGGAAAACTACAAGAATTTCCAAGATTTATTATAGCTTTCACCTTATTAAAACGTTTAAGGTTTCATAAAAATCTATCAGCTAGTTTTTGCGTGGAACTGTACCTAACATCGTTACTTCCTTACAAAATATCGGATTGACAATATATATTAATACTATTCAAAGTGTAGTTTATGTTTGTGTTACATACTTGTATATAGCGGAGACGACGGTCCGTATCTTGTTGGGCTCGGTCTCCTGGCGCAGACCCTGCACGGCGAAGTAGAAGTTGAGGCGGTCCACGTGCAGCCCGCCCGCGCCGCACACGAACTTACGGAACAGACGCACTCCCTCGCCGTCCTGGAATAATACGCATAGAATCGACTTGGATCATGGACTTTGAAGTATTATATAGAGAAGGGATCGACTATTCATACTGAAACCCTCTCATCCTTAATCAGTTTCATTCATATTAATTTAAGAACATAACCTCATTAATATCATGTAACAATACTGGCAGCTTCTTTTTGGTCGGTCGTAGAAATATACTTAATAATTAATTGCTGACCAAGAAACAATCAAAAAATATTTGCTACTAGCACGAAGCTAGCTTGATGAGTGGTATCATAAAGAGCAAAGACTATCAAAAATATTTGCTACTAGCACGAAGTTAGCTTGATGAGTGGTATCATATATATTATGTATCGTTGTTATATCATTCTCACCTCGAGCAGATGATGCAGCGTCCTGGCCCACCTGGCGTAGGGCGGCTCCTCCGGGGACCTTCCCGAGCTGCCCGACGAGCCTTCCGTCTCCGAGCGCCGCGACGCCACGCCGCCCACACACGGGGACGCTCTACACACAGGGAAACACACATACAGAAACAATACAGCGAGTACACCAACACGAACTTGTGATAGAAACTTCAACCTGACCCAATAAGTCATTCTTAGCGAATCCTTACTTGTGAATTCGTTATTCACATGAGTGTTCTTAGCTCTCATACATAATAAACCAACGGTAAAAAATTGAGATCGTCAATTTAAATGGATGGAAGTCACCAGACATTATGAGACTTAACAATAATAGTGTAATAACAGTTAATAAAATGTCACTAACTGTCATCATGAAATCAGTTTCAATCGACGGTTTAGTTTTAAATGATGAATGGTATTATTCAATATCTATATTATAACGTAGTAACATTGAACGTGTGTGTGTGACTCACTTGGTGAGATGTGGGTGTGTGAACACATGTCTGGTCTGAGATTGTCTCTTCTCCTCCCCCGGCGCCGGTGGCAGCGACGACCTGTCAGCAAGCTTGTGTTCCCAACCTGTACAAGAAAATTAGAATAGCAAACCACAAACAGAAATACAAATATAGTAATATTAATGATGTTTTCTTGACAATACCTTGCGGGTGGCCGCCTACAGGAGTATGGCTCATGGCGCACAGGCCCTTCTCCCACCCGCGCGCTGCATGGCGAGACACGACCTAGGAAATAACACATAATATACTTAATACACTTTCTCCACATCCTACATCTCACATCTCGTCTGCCCGTGATCACGGTTCCTGGAAAGTAGCCGAAACGTCGGGAGTATATAATTTGTAATCAAAAATAAAAAACGCGAAGTAAAATCCGAAAATATTAGTTTCATTTAAATGAGTACTCGCGAAAATCTTAGATCTGATTACACTTTCTCCATATGAGAAGAGGCCTTTGCTCAGCAGTGGGCTCTGATAAGCTGATGATGATGATGAAACTTAATAACATCACCTCACTCACATAAAATACAATACACATATTTTTACATCACTGAGGTTAAATATAATCAATGAAAGAAGAATTAAATACATAAAATTTTGAAATTTAATTGAAAGAAATTAATATAAAGAAATCAGTTATTTGCATAAAATAATATTTGCTTATTAACAAATTACATATAACAAACTGATACAGATTTAAACCTTTTCAAATTAAAACATTCTTTTGTTATGAAACATCATACATTTGAAAGTTGATGTCGAATCAATGATTAAAAAAAAGAAATTGTATGAGAGAAAAAACCCAGGATTAAAAAAATCAATATGATTTACAAAAAAAGGACAGACTATTTGATTTGTTCATGTTAGAGAGAGATGAAGAACATCACGAGTCAAGAGACCACACCATCGATCGGCTTTAGACGGAATATATGTCAGTTTTTACATTACATCACAATGAGAACTATTATAACTTTATATTATAATAATACACACAATTAAAACACATCCATTGAATATTATAACACATCAAATTTAATTTGATTTTTCTGAAGCATTTCATATCGAGCGGGCCGGCCAGTTTTATTATAAAAAAATCTATTCAACACACATGTCTGCTTTAATATAGAAAAAAAAAAGTTTGCCCGTAATGAGATCCTGTCATAACAAATTAAATCATAAGTTCACGGATCAATAAACATTGAACATGAAAAAAAATAACAAAAGAAAAAAATTATAAGGACCATACCATATTCATTGTGCTTCCCACAAACAATAATGAATATTACACCGATATAAAAATTAATATCACAATTCACAATGTATATTATGAATATTTTTTTTTAATACAATAATTATTAAGAAAAGCACGACCGCACAGATCACGGGCTGCGGAACAAGTGGAGTTTGGATGCTGGCATACAAAAGACTCCCGATCGAACATTTTTCTTACCCTCGGCACAATGCATTATGGTTATGGATATCTTTATGATAGGGTTTTATAATAAGCATAAAATCAATAACTGACAAAAACTACTCAATCGCTTGGGGTTATTTATTTTAAGCATTATAAAATTTTTATAACGGATTGAATGTACTGTACAATTTTTTTATGTTAGGCTAGGCTAACTTTACACTTCTTTATAAAAAATATAGGTGGAAAATCAACATAACTGATTATTTTTAATGTTTTACACTGGTTATTATACTTTAAAAAAATTTTGTTAGCTTACCTATGAAGAAAGTATTGGTGAGTTTATATGTGTCTATAGATAATATATGTAGGACTATGCAATGTTCGTTCGCGGCGAGCCAGACTAATTTTCATTGAGGATGACGGGCATAAAAACAGAAACAACTTGTAAACAAAGACAGAAGTCATTAAACACTCGTTTACCAGACATTCGGGCGTGTAAATTGCACCCAACTTTCAGTCATAATTCAATCTGTAATCGCTCGTAACAAAACATCACGGGATTAGTAATAGTAGTTGTAAACACTAAATTTATATTCTGGTATCCGTAACAAATGTATTTAAGTAACATAATGAGTGAAACTTTATCTTAAATATGATACACTCACTTCTTATAGAAACGTAATGATCTGTACCAAACAAGAATAGAGAACGCATAAAATAGGAAAGTTAACGTAAATAAATAATAGATTAGCTTGGCTCGGTCTGGTTTTGTATACAAGAACGACGGAACTTTGACACTTGACAGAGCGCGGTAACAGAGCACGTTGATATTTGACAGTACCACTACGTCACTCCTAGCTCCACCTAGCGAAACGTTTTAGAACCATTCGCCAAACTCTCAGTCGTGATTTGCATAATGTCAAATGTTACCAGTAGATGACAGTACAAGCTCAAGACAAAAAAATACTTTTGGCGGGAAGTCAATGGTTACTATGTATTTTACATTTTGATACAATTTGTTATTAGCATCAGCTAGGTAACTTATATTGTAAATTGTTATATGATACGACAAGTGCATTAAGAATATTCCTAAATTTATCTAAGGTTGACACTAATCACTAAACAAAAGGAGATGAAAAAAAAATATCGTAGCTATAGTTCCATAGTGTAACGCTTTAAAAAACGTATATTGGAACATACCTATCTTCTTAATATTTATTTGACCAGAATTATCTTTTACTTGCCTCTTTAGCAGCTTACTGCCGCTGCATGTTGCGTTTGTGGTGCCAATATTTTGATGATTATATCTGAAACAAAAACCAATAATATGCGATTAATAATCAAATTTAATGTCTTAACCTAAAATTTTTCATAAACCACTTGAAATAAAACAAGAACTAATAATGAATACAAAAATACGGATTTTTACGTTTTAATAATTTTTTGCCATTTTTTATATAATTTGACAACAAAATATTGCGTTTGAAGAAAGTAAAACCTTATAAAGGTCAATCTAAGATCAAAAGAAATAAGGAATTCAAAGAGAAAAATTATTTTCATGATAAATATCATCTAAGCAGAGAGGTACCTTTAAATTTTTAATTGAATCTCGGAACGAATTTGACAATTCAAATGACACATGACTAATAATATGGAATTAAAAAGTGAGAATAAAAATTAAAAAAAATAAAAATTATAAAACGAATTTTCATATATTTATTTATGCCAAGGTAATTTAAGATTGTAATTAAGCTAAGGCTTGTTAAAAAAATATATTAACAGACATATTTGGTGGAGGACAGTACCTATGCCGTGCAAAAAAATGGTAAACAAAAAGACGTCGTAAAAAAAATTAGATTTTTTAAAGGCAGTAAAAAATATATATTTTTGTTTAAATATATTCATCAATTTTTTTTTTCACATTTCAAGAAAACACTACACTTATATAGCAATTTAAATTGTTTTATCGTAATTCATAAATTTTTACATTTCCAACAATATATTTTTAAACAGAAGCATGTAGGTAATGTACGAACAAATAAAAATCAATTTTAAAATCTGTCAGATTGCTAGTGTTGTCAACAGCTAGATATCGATAACGTTTTAATCTATCGATAACACAAATCCGTCTGGTTCCCAACACTTCATCTTCATTAGCCCGGCACGCACTAAGCGACTCTTTGATGTGCACAAACTTTCCGTTTTCCTTTGATTGCTATAATGGAACTGCTATGTTATTACACTAATTGAATTTTCGCATAGTCCGATGTATTAATGGACATCCAACAGTCAGACGGGACTCGGGAGGAGACAATTAAAAATATCGATTTGATATATAAGCTTCAATGGCACATCTCGTACACGTGAAATTTTCCTATGGCTTTAAAACTACGCCAACATAATAAAGCTGAAGAGTTTGTTTTGTTTGGTGAAACGAGCTCATCTCGGCACGTAGCGGATAGATTTGAAAATAATTTTTGTATATCATACACCCACTTGTATAGGAGGCTTTAAGCCATGAAGTTTATAAGCATACCGTAAACAAGAAGTTGTTAATATTAACGTTTATAATGACTAATATATTTTTAGTTTTTAGAGCTTTGGAAGCACGTAAAACTAGAAGAGAGAAGTACTTAAGAAATATGAAGGCACATATTTTTTATAAAGACGAAATAGCCGTAATTTCTATGATTCGCAGATAGTGACAGCATTTAGTATAGACGATCAGTTCTCTGTAAGGCCTCAGCTAGTACCTTGGAGCACAGCCGGCGCTAATCACTCGTACATATGATCCGGGAAAGGAATTAAAGGCAATAGTTTCAGTTTGCGGTGAACTGTTTGTTGAGGGGGTGAGGGGTGAGGGGTGCGTGTGTGTGTGAGTGAGCGGGGGGGCGGGGGGAGGGGGTAGCGGCGGCGTTCTCGCTACATCAAAGGGGAGCCGAGACAAAGCTCGAGGAGCCTTTTAACTTTATTTAGCGGAGTGGTAAGTTTAGCCGGTTGCGAATCGCTCAGGTTAAAGAGTAACACACTCACTTTGAGCGAGGGATGAGGGGTCAGGGCTGCCGGCTGTGACGAACGAACAAATGATGGAAATATTACTGCGGAGACAACGATTACTGATATCAAAGAAAAAAATATTTTCTTTGATATTTTAACTGTATGCTTCACGATATCAAAACCTTCATTAAAATTAATAAATGTCAAAAACATCTGAGCGGTTACTTTATCTTAAGTCCACTCATGATTTAACATGAATATTTATGGTTAAGCTAAATTTGCACGATGCGTTATAATAATTTATTAAACTGTTAAACATCCAATGTACGGAACTACTGGCATATATTGAATGCTGTCGTCATCAAATAATAATTTAAAAAAAAAAATACGACACTAAAGAACATATTGCAACTATGTATTGAATATATTCTGTGATTATTTGACATGTGTTACATAATGAGTGTCAACTGTCAATGTCAAGTGTATCGACAGCTCCGTCAGCTGATCCGTCGGTCGTCAGCCCTGTGCGCGCGGGGTGGGGGTGTCGGGACCGTAATGCGTCCACAGCGCGGCGTCTCTTTGTCGGCCTCCTTTGACTGTGATAACCTAAACTGCGAACAATAACGATTGACAACCGCCAGTACTGTACACTGCTATGGAGATTCAACATTGATATATAAAAATATATCTATTTCTCTCATTGAGAAACATAAATAATATTAATATCAGCTGTTAGTAAATCGCCATTACGGCTTGGATGACGTCACTCTCTTCAAAGGAAATAAAAAATATTGATAAAACAGAATGTTAAATTAAAATTTAAAATTATAACGAAAATTCATTTCGTCTGTGTATGATAATAAAAAAAAATATGAGTTCGATAACTCAATTAAAATGTTCCAATGAAACTCTTCTTACGGAGACGTAAACAATATTTAAATAATGTTCCTCATTTTATATATTTATAATATCATAGTATAGAATCTATAAAGTTGTATATATTCAAGTGAAACTAAAGCAAATCGCTACAAACAAATTGATATCGGTCAAGCATTAGAGTGCACAAAGAGCGGGCGTTCTTTGAGAGCTGTGTCAATATCACCTCGAGTCGGGGCTCATTTCCCAACTATTATGTTACTATTTTTCTATAAATATATACCACTTTATATATACATATTTATATACAACTAGAAGACCCGGCGAACTTCGTATCGCCCTATAATCAAGAAATATCTATTACGTTTTTTAATTTATATTTTTGGAGTTTACCTGTAAGCCATAAATCTCCGTGTTTTGAAGTGCGACAGAATGATTGACATATTAGTTAGTTGTCAAATCTAATGTCAAAAAAACGTTTGTATGGGAAATAGAAAAGGGCTGTTTTTATGGTTTTCCCAGTAATGAATCATTTTTTTTCAGCTTTTATACCTTCCCTGAACCTCCACGAACATTTCAAGACTAAGATAAGATAAATCCGTTCAGCTGTTCTCGAGCTTTAGCGAGACTAAGGAACAACAATCCATTTTGTATATAGAAGAAGAAGATTATTCTTACAAAAAATATATGTATGACTTCTATTATGATAAATATATATTATAATAATTATATATATACAAATTCGCGTCGTCTGTCTGTATGAGTAGTGTGAGTGAGATGTAAGCGGTCGCTGATTACTACTGGCACAAAGGGCGGCGGACCCTTTGACGAATTAGTCATACTAGCTTTGGCATACGAATTTTAAATATTTTTTTAATGTACTTACTATTATAAGGAGAATTAAAACGAGACAGAATTTGATAATCACTGTTGTAGTTTATTATATTTGGAGGGGACATTAATTGATACAAAGGAAATTAAAGTTAAAAAATTTTTTGTTCACCTCAAATATCTTCAAAGATTGTTTTAATACTGACTGACGTGCTTTCGAAAAATTATAATAAAGTAATCATATTTAATAAAAATAAATGTTTACAAAAATTAGGATTCTAAAAGCTACAGAATACAATTATTACGAAACATGTCTATGTACATATAACTATACAATAAAAATTAAATCATCCATCTAACAATACGTGCACCGGGAACGAACCCGCGACCTGTCCCATGATTTAATGAGACAGATACATCCAAACAAGTATTAAACAAATCCATTCGGTTGTAGTGAGTTAACATAGAGGGCGTCGTTTAACTGCTCCCGAGTCCCGAGCCCCGTCCAATGGTAGGGGCGATGAAATTGATTTCGAGATGATCAAAAGAATCAAATTCTCAAAGGAAGGTAATTTATTTGACCGTCCGCCCGCAACCGAGAGACATGCTGGATAACCACTTCACTTTATACTTTTAAAAAGATATAAACGGTGTAACAATTAAATGTTCAACAAACATCTAGCAACGCAAACAGATGTCCAAATATATTAATATATAAATTGTATCTTAGACAAAGTTTCGGTTATAAATGTATATTTCTTATATTTGTGAAGGTAACAATATTACAAAATATCGTCAAAATACAATGTATCCGTGGAGGCAGTAAGTAATGAGAGCCTAATTGAGTCTCGCGTGCCTACTGTGTGCGTGTGTGCGTGTGTGTGTGTGTGTGTGTGTGTGTGTGTGTGTGTGTGTGTGTGTGTGTGTGTGTGTGTGTGTGTGTGTGTGTGTGTGTGTGTGTGTGTGTGTGTGTGTGTGTGTGTGTGTGTGTGTGTGTGTGTGTGTGTGTGTGTGTGTGTGTGTGTGTGTGTGTGTGTGTGTGTGTGTGTGTGTGTGTGTGTGTGTGTGTGTGTGTGTGTGTGTGTGTGTGTGTGTGTGTGTGTGTGTGTGTGTGTGTGTGTGTGTGTGTGTGTGTGTGTGTGTGTGTGTGTGTGTGTGTGTGTGTGTGTGTGTGTGTGTGTGTGTGTGTGTGTGTGTGTGTGTGTGTGTGTGTGTGTGTGTGTGTGTGTGTGTGTGTGTGTGTGTGTGTGTGTGTGTGTGTGTGTGTGTGTGTGTGTGTGTGTGTGTGTGTGTGTGTGTGTGTGTGTGTGTGTGTGTGTGTGTGTGTGTGTGTGTGTGTGTGTGTGTGTGTGTGTGTGTGTGTGTGTGTGTGTGTGTGTGTGTGTGTGTGTGTGTGTGTGTGTGTGTGTGTGTGTGTGTGTGTGTGTGTGTGTGTGTGTGTGTGTGTGTGTGTGTGTGTGTGTGTGTGTGTGTATCACGCGCCTCGCTAACAAACTCATGATAACAACATTAAGGTATGATGAATGTTATTTTACTAGCACGCATATCGCTATAACAACTTTAGTTAATCAATCAGGGCGCACCGTACGGTGGGTTACAGAATGTTTAAGGGAGTCCTGTTACTCAGCTGAAACAATCACATCGCTTTTAGTTATATCGTACGCGTAGGTAAAATTAACAACTATATTAAGGCGTAAGCACTTCTTTATTTGTTTTTGTTACTTCATATTCTCGTTAATCTAATCTTTGGAAAAGCTGAACGTATTATCTAGAACTTTCGCTGGTTCATATAGACGAGAGATCATTCAAATATTCCTCAATGAAAATTATTCTCTTTAAATTAAAATAAGTTTTTAGAAAATAATCACAAATCACTATTTTATGGCGAACACGCATATGTAAAGTACTTATGTGTGATAGACATCTGAAGGTTATGAAAAATTATATGAAATAAATAATAATATAATATATAAACAGTGTAAATAATAGCTGTCTATAAAGTATATATTTAATTCATAAACCTTAAATGTATATTTTATTATTACTAAGCTACAATTATTATCCTTCAGATGATTCGATAAAAAATCCTATTGTAATTTTCCTTAAAATTACAAGGGTGCTCCGATTTGTCGATTAGCCTACGAAAGACAAAGGAGCATTTAAGAAAAATTTTGATTTATTTTCTGCGCAGACACCTTTCAGCTGTACACAGAGTTTTTGTATGGAAATTTTATCTCCTTAAAGACACCCAAAAAGAGAGTTTAGTTAGATATTTTACAAAGTTGGCTTCCCTGCCACCAGGAATCTGTTAATTTGACTCAAATTTCAGGGCTGTATGTAATTTTTAAGGTTAGTAAACAAGGAGAATTCGTAAGAAGTCAAATCTGGTGAATAGGGTGGACAGGTCATGCAATCAAAGTCTTATTCGACTTATACGAGTTGTCTTTGTCTTTGTCTTTGCCAAATAGAGTTATATTCAAGGAAATTCAGCGTCAAATAAAAAAAATATTTAACATAACAAACACCTATGTACGCTTTATCCTTTTCTAGGAGGTCAAAGTTGATCATGCCTTTCGAGATTCGGAAGACAAAGGTTTCGGCTTTTTTCGAAGTAGGTAAGTCTCAGTTCATCAGTTCTCTAGGTTGAGACCTTCAATTGTTGCTACGTCTCTCGTGTATTTCATAGGATGGACCCACGATTCGACGACGGCCAAACAAGTGAATTAATTTTAATTTCCCTTAAGCAACGTCAAAGATTTATCAAAAATTGTGATTCGGTTATGCATGTTGTAATGATCTATTGTGCTAAAATTTTCTCATAACAAATATCTCATGTCCTCTTGTTTGAACTATCTCACATTTGTAATCAGAGCTCTTCTAAAACAAAATTTGAAAAACTATCTTTAGGGCAGATGTTTAAATGAACACTGGAAATCACTCATCACAAACCGACCTAGGATCTCTTTAAATCTCATTAAACCAATTTTTGACGGTCACCATTTAAGAAGAATCGTTATACGTAAAACTGCACTTTGATTAAACTTCGTGTTATTCTTTCAGAAACAAGCACCAAATCAACGAAATTGCTTTTTAGTATTTTCCTAAATTTTAGCGACACTAAGCTAGTACAGTCTTTAAAAACAAAAATATTTTCCTAAATAGCCATCAGACGATAAGGTTAAGTACTTATCCGAGCGCTCGAGTACATACAAGAAACTTTAAACGTTTTCCAATATTAAAACGCCTAATCATCTAACGATACTGATTTAAGGGAATAAATTTAGGTCATATATAAGACGATACAAATACAAAAACAAAAAACAAGTCTCTAGAATCTTCACCCGTATAGACTGTGCAGTTCCCTTTGTGAGACAATCAAACTGCTTTTTTTGTATCGTTCAAAGCACTAGGTTCGTTGTTGTAGTGTCACACTGATGTAGTGTCGACATTATTTAGAAAACGTTAAATCTGACACTTCGTAATATTGATTTTTGTCAAAGATTTGTAAAAATATAACGTTAAACTGATTTATTTTTAAGTGAAAAGTAAGTTTTTTTATTAATGGCAACCTAATAGAAACCAAGAGTTAAAAATTTATATTTATTGAAATGCTGGGATTGAACGATATTAATGATAATTGAAATAATTGTTATTTGAATATTTAAATTATATTTTAAGTACATAATTCTTAAACATTACTTGAGTGCTGTAATTTATTATTATTCCTAATATTCTTGAAGTCGAAACAACAAGTATCCAATGAAAAGAGATGTAGTAAAAAGGTTTTGAATCAATCCGAATAACAACATCTATATATGTATACAAAGTTGTGTTGGTTACAACTTACACTATTTACAAAACAAGGTCGGCTGTACGGATTTGGCTGGAAATTTGAGGGAAGGTAGGTAAGTTGAAATCAGGAGACGGACATAGGATACTATAAAATTCGTTCGACCAAAAAAAAAATCTTATAAAATCCAAAATCCCCTTATTTACTGCCTCTAAGGCGAAACAGTTCGCTTGGTCAGTTACACATTTCTAAATATGAAACTAACGCGAACAAAATAGCTGGCAAAAGCTAGATTTGTATATATGTATATAGCAGGCAATTTTTATAATATGTCCGTTTACAAATGGCTTCTGCATTCATGAACCTAACCTAAGCTATCACGAGAAAAACCAAATTATATAACGCGATACTAATGTTATCAAACAATTTACATTTTCCTTGATATGCATACATATACAATATATGTATATATATATGCGGATATATTATACAAATTCCTTGCGACATGTATTATACAAAATCGTATATGAAAAGCTACATGGTCATTGATCTGTGAATGTTAAATTCCAAATATTCATAGAGTCGGTTGCATCTACCGGAGTCCTTCGACCGTGTAATGTTGACCGCGCACCGGATAAGATTTCTTCATACCAGCCGCTGTTGGCTACCGGGTATTCGATATTAAATATTTTTTGAGACTACGCTTCCTTGGAAATTGGAAATATCTCTCTAAAAATTTGACTATTGTGTGTCATAAAATATGAGTTGAATATAATTTCATTTAAAAACAGTACTAGCTTTCCGTCCGCAGTTTCACTCACGTGGAGTTCGGTTATATCGCTCTTCCAAGAGAACCTTTCAAAAGTCTGGGATAAATCTATCCTATGTGCTTTCTCAACGTCAACTCTATCTCTGTACCAAATTTCATTAAAATCATTTCAGTGGTTCAGGCGTGAAAGCGTAACAGACAGACAGTTATTTTCGCATTTATAATATTAGTAATAAATTTCTTTAGTAACAAAATAAATTCCATTTAATTGGTAAGGATTACACAATTGATAGGAACCAATCGTGCGTACTGAAGTCCCGTTCCGTCGTGTGAAGTCGATTCAACCTTAACTACTGAAGGGAAATTGGATCTGGCACGTGCGTCTAACACACTATGTGGAGGTATGGTGTAGGAAAATCACACTCATTGATATTTATATTAAAGGGTTATTTAAACTAAAATAGAATTTATGTTAGAAGATGATATAAACTTTTTGAATTGTCAAAAAATATATTTTGGCTATATGTATCCATTATATGTAAGACTTATATAATATATTGTCTGTTAATAGAAGATTTAAACCGGTAAAACGTAATGTCTGTAAGTAAGCAGCCTCGGGGCTCACCTCCATCCAATCCATCCTTCATTGTTTTTCCAATTGCAGGCATGATTAAACTCGTCTCCAGGTAAAGAAATCTCGCAATCAACCGTAGAATGAAATGCGAAATCCCTCAGCCCCGGGCTCGCTGGCTGCCAGAATAATGGAATCCTTTCCTTGAGGAGACAATAACATCGCTTGCACGCGACGTTTTGCATACAATGTGGCCCGCGTGACACAGCCAGTTGAGGAAAACGTGACAGTTCATTTTAGGGTTATATATATGTACTTAAAGGTGGATCGTTATATATATGCATACAGTTATCTTTATATATAATTCTTCTGTGAGTGTATGTCACTGGACTTCTCTCAAACGACTGGACCGATTTTGATTATTTTTTTTTGTATTCAAGAGGATCTGGGAATGGTTTAGATTCACAATTTTGTCCGCTGGACAATGTTTTTTTAATTAATTTTTAATTTATTAGTAGTTGTTGATACAAACGTTTTTTTTGACATTAGATTTGACAACTAACTAATATATCAATCATTCTGTCGCACTTCAAAACACGGAGGCTTTAATAGGTAAACTCCAAAAATATGAATAAAAAACGTAACAGATACTTCTTGATTATAGGGTGATACGAAGTTCGCCGGGTCTTCTAGTATTATATAAAATATATGTCATCTTTATTAATTATTGTACAGTAAAATTGACGAATATGAATGTAGCAGTTGACATCCCGAGGAGATATTCCCGTATGGACATGATAACAGCGAGGGTCGGGATATGATGCGGTCAAAACAGATTTTGTTTTGTCATCGGCCAGAATAATCTTTTTGTTTGTACGAATATTGAAAGGTTCGATGGATATTTCCACCGCAACGTTCCGAATATCGTATGTTACTTTCATGACTGTCATGTAGCGGTCGAGTGAGTATAAATAAAAATATATACAAAAAATATCTGTCACGATGCAATGATACTAAATGCTTTCGATTAGAACACGACAGAATAATATATAAAACTTATTGTTAATACTTTATTTATCGTCTGGGATAGTGTAAACCGCGTGACTACCATTAAATAATTGCGCTTATCTGCATTTTAAGAAAAATATCAAAAGAAAGTTTAAGCTGAAATATTTTCTAAATTAAAGACTTTTAAAGTATTTTTTATAGAATTAGTAATAAATTAAACACTAAATAATTACTAATAGTGAGAAAATTACCATAAAAACCGTTAATTTAGAAACTATTTCAGTTTAAACTTTCTTCTCATAACTCATCACGCGGTCTTATACCATCCCAGACGACATGCACAAGAATACAACAAAATATAAGGCAATAAAATTATTACACTTCCAAAGCTGCGACGATTAACTAAGCCAATAATTCGCGGTCTATCTGAATTTCGCTTTTTAACGAGGCATTAACTAAAAGGATGAGAAAAAAACAAATAAAACATGACGGTATCGGGTGTCTGCGACCGCTGAGTGCTACGGATATGATTGGATTGATGAATAAAAGATACAGCAATTTGTATAATATAAGGCGACCGGGACAATTATACGACAATCAATTATATTATGAAAATATACAACGCTAAGATCGTTCTAAATTATAAATATGACATATATATTTTATAAGGGGACCGTTTAAATAATTTGAACAATGTTTTACATACAATTATTTGTTTTCCTTTCGATAAAACCATAAATATATCTAAATATGTTTGGAAACTCATTGGTTACCATAATGAGATATACTAATATTTTCGGATTTACTGCGTGATTTTTTATTTTTGAATATAAACTACATACTTTACAGTCACCGAAACGTCGGGAGTATGTAGTTTATAGTCAAAAACAAAAAATCGCGTAGTACATCCGAAAATATTTGTTTCATTTAAACTCATTGGTTATGATGAGGTATACATTAAATTAATGACTACACTTGTTACGATTTATTTCGAACAAGGAATCACTTTAGTAGAATTATATTAAAACTTATCTAATATCAATTAAATTATTCTTATAAATACATTTCTCTCTCAAACAAATACACGTACATTAAGATAAAATTGGGACAATAGTGCAATCTAGAAATATAGATTTAAAGTTTGTTATGAAGAGATCGAACTCGTAGGAAGCGAATAACAAATATTATTATATAGCTCCGATATTACAAGAAGGCGCTCCACGACGAATTGGATTACAGACATGATTCCACGCGCTCCGGACTAGCAGATGATAGGACAGCTGATGAAAAAAAACATCTTTGTTTCTTACGACTCAATAGACAATTGTATACCAATGCTAGAAAAAAAATTTGGATACCAAAACTTTTAGCATTCAATGGATTCACCGTGCGGGTGACGGGTCCATCGTTGCAGGAAGAGGATCTTCCACAGTGCCTGGAACTTGCGACCCAGGTGTAGGTTTAAGGGACCCCAATCTAAAGCGCGTTAAACGTTTACTCCACCGTCCAAGCTCCTCTCTACCTAAACAATTTTAAAAATAGAAATGTATAGAAGACTTTCATGTCCTTTTTGTGAGTTATCTAAAATAAAATATCAGTTTATGATGTGGATTGTATCTGAGCGAGCTTCAATATGTCTATGGAACAATAGCGGTCCGCGGAGTGTTCCCGGGGGGCCCGCGACTGGCACGCACTGCTTCTGCGACTGACGGCTATAACATTATGAATATTTATTAACGGGGCGACGCAAATGAAGGGATGTCTTATGCGAGTGACGTGAACGGTTACAATATAACTTAAATGCTTTATTGTGGTTGAAAACCATTCAATCGAATACAATGCCACAGTAATAAACTTATATCGGGTATCGACCCTACCTCGACTGGGGTTGGGAAATGTTTATAAAAATACGAATAATGATGATGGAAGGTTTGTTAATTGATGACCAGGTTTATAGGATAGATATATAAAATATCAAATAAATATAAACGTTGAACTATCCTTTTATTCTAATGAATGCTATTATAATCTCCATACTAAATAAATTGAAGGACTGTCCGGAAAAAAACTAAGTCAAATCTTTGTCATCTTCACACCTATTTATGTATGTATTTCATAGTTAACAAATTGAAATTTTTTCTCAATATACCTGATATTTATATACCAGTACGACTAACAATCAAAGTTTTAAAGCTGTATTCACATACCATCCATATACATACATATGTTTCATAGATAGAAGCCTGTATCAATATAAGAGCACCGTGTACAGTGTACAGTATATACATGTGTTCAGGGGTTATAGAAGATCTCATTTGTAGACTGTACGTTACGAAGCAATCCGCGGTAATCATATTGCGGAGACATCAAATACCGGAGTGCACATTTCTTACGCTAACTACATCATATACATCGCTATTTGATAAGACGTATGTATCACATTTGTATTTATAAATTATATTATATATTTTTATTATGGTATCAATCTAATAAGATATTTCTGTGAAAATACACTGGATTTAAATCCATTCGCAAAAACTATAGAGGATATTATAAAAGCAGTTTCCATTAAGGTGCTGGTAAAAATTTTGCTATTCCAACATAATAAAGACAGCTAAGCCCGCCACCTTAATGGGAAGTCCGAAAGCTATTATCCCAATATAAAGGTTCAACGTCCACCAAAGACACAATGCTTTAATCTGCCGCGTTATTACACCGTCGAGATGCTGCTCGAGACCATTGTGGACATAGTATAATTGTCAGGGGTTGGGTGAGGAGCTCTCTTTCTGTTGCTCCTGTACTATAAAGCAGTGGAGACACAAAAGCAATAATCGGTAATAAATTGTCCTATACCATCGAAGGATATCTCTTACTCATCTCAAACATTAAAGGAAAAGAGAAATGAAATTCACAGGCATTATAACAGTGGTTTCATTTTTACAATGAAAGAAATAAATAAATGCGAAAAAATAAATCGAAATAGAATGAGAATAAAATTAGATAAAAAGCTATTTCTTTAGGAAACGCAGCTGCTTTGAAAACGCTATCTGTAATTGTGTAAAATGATGCTCAATTTTTTTTTTCAATTTAATATTAACGTCTTCACGATGAAAAGGAACAGGCCTTTTGAATGAAATAGAATTTCAACACATAATCACAAGAAAGGGGACAGACTGGCTGGCTGGCTTTAAGAAACTGCAATTTAAGTGAAATACAATGAAAATTCTTGAATTGCTCTTCAATAAAGTAACGTAACTGAATATATACGTATGAAACAGCAAGGAAGGAAACTAAATCACGAATAATTATGAAAAATCTTTTTTTTTTATTTCAACGTGAAAAGAAAATAAGGAAAGTTAAATGTGAATGAGGCCAGTTTCGTGAATAAACCGCAGTTCACACATTTTGTATGAGTTAACCGCGCTTGGAGCCAAACAAAGCGTTTTAGACTACAGCCTGCACTCCTGCCAGCGATATTCATACTAGATTTACGACTATACGGGCGCCGGGGCCAACCACGCACTACTGCGACTACCGTTGCGTTGCCAACTCGTACGAGAGACCGTGAAATTTACACACGCTAAAACATTATATACATTCGAAACTACGAGGTTTCAGCTTCAATATAAAGGCGAAATTAGCTTGCATCTGTACATTGGGCGGTTGTAATCCGCGGTGATTGTCCTCAGCACTCTGCTTTCACGTCTCCCTCGACCGGCATTATGCCTCTAATGTCACTTAATTTGCCGTCTAGAGCCTCCTCAGGTGAATGCAGCTTACGAGAGCTGGTTTAATATAAAAATTCGCTCGGTTTTTTTTTCTCCCGTGACGCGGCATTATACGTTTTTACTGTTGCCTCTTTTGAGAGTAAACGCGTAGAAGTAATGGGATTTCATAATCGGTAGTTTTGATTCGCGCTAGGTAGCTTTTAAAGGGAAATTAAATTATTTATAGCGTTTCGATAGCAAAAAATACAGGAGCCATGTGAAAGGTGTGTTGATATTATGTGGAGGACAAAGACAGGGAATAGAAGAAAGTACAAAAAGTACGATACATTAAGACTAATAAAACCAGCAGACATGTGCGTATTAGGAATATATTTCATGGCCGCCACTGTATAACATACATTTGATTAACTTAATGCATTTCGCCCGACCATTAAAAAGATTCAAAATAAATAAAAAAACTGCCCGCTAAACCGAAACTGCGTGCGTGTTATCAGACTGAAAGTGGAAAATGTGTCTGAAAGAAAGTTAAATAAATCATTACAGTCAGCGAGTTTGAGGAAAAATGTTACAATAGCTATGAAACAGCTTTATTGTTGAGGTTTCGATACTTATTGAGTTAAAAATAATGAATGCTGACGCTGTCATACGTATGTATAAGGGGAAATGATGGAAAAAAACTGAAGATAATGAGCTTAGCGAAATATTAACGGGATTTATTTGTTATCCGTGGGCTAATTGAGGTCAAATATAAGGACAGTGACACACGATGTGTTTATAAGGACGGTTACACACATTTTGTATAGAAGTTTGTTTAATCGCGATATGTATAATATATTTATATTTTATAAAGGTTTACCGTAAAACCTATATAGATATACAGGAGTGTTCATGAAGATGTCATTTTTTTTATTATAATTAATGTAATAAATATATTCACGTCGGAGTGTACGAATGTTTGTGATATAATGTAAATATTAATATGAGAAACATTAAAATTATAACAATCTTTCAGATTATTTTTTTGCGATAAATTTATAATATACAAACTCTATCAAGTTGAACATGATTTGGTTTTTTCAACAAACTTGGTGTACACATTTTTTTGTAAATATTTTTGATTTAATAATAGGAAAGTTAATTGAGATGTCTTCCTTAATTCTCACATACCCGTACATCTGTACATCATAGCATTGAGATATTAAATTGAATACAATATAGGGGAGAGTCGGGTATATCGTACCATTTTTCACTTTAACTCAAATATTTCGACAATAACACGTCTTATAATAATTAATACATATGTAAAATAAAGTTTCATATTTTAGCTTCCTAAGAAGAAGAGAACAGATCCTTGCAATTATTCTAACATTGTTAAAAATGCTTTTTTGTAGAAGCTTGCCATCGGTACGATTTAGCCGACTCGTCGTTTTAATCGTACCACTAAGTCTTTAAATCGTACCATGGATGTTTAAGTCGTACCACTGAATGAAAGACATTAAAATTCTCAATCAAATTATTTATTTTTAACTGTTTGGTAAGTAATAAAACAACATTATTTATATCTTTTAGGTAAAAGAAACATAATTTTTAATTCTCAGGTTATGTAAAGGAACTTATAAGCTTTCTCAGTAAAATAACATGATTATACTATGATAATGAGATCAATCAACATAACTATTAAAAATGAGACACAAAAAAACAGTAAACTATAATAATAAAGTAACAGTTAACATGAACGTTATTTGTAATATAATTATTGTGCCTATTTCTTAATGGAAACAATCGTGACAAATGTCTGGATTCGAAGTACACGTCTCATGTAGCCACCGTTTACAGCGAACGCATTGAATCCAAACATCTTTTGGACCCTTCTTATCGTAGTAGGAACAATTGCACTTTCGACATATATTTTCAAGATAATCATCGCTGTCATCATCATCATCTAGTTCTACAACAAGTGTCTCTCCTGAATCATCGCTACTGGTGATGGAATGAGATCGTTTCCTCTTATAACTTTTGTTTTTGGCCTTGGGTAGTATTTACTATAGGTACTTGCGGTTGGTAGTCGGGTAAATCGTACCAGTACAATTTAACCAACTGCAAGTGGTACGATTAAAACAACTAAGGCGTTTCTAAAATAAAAGCAAATATCCGGCATAAACTCAAAACTTAGACACGCAACAAAAACCTCCAATAATCTAGTATACAATTGTGGAATAATAAAAAAAACTGAATAACTATAGCTTACCTTGATTACGAGTTATCTCCTTACGAATGTACGACAATATTTATATTAATTCCTACAAAAAATGTTTTTCTTTTTTACGTGCACAGTTGTTAACTCACGTCGATTTAAACTAGTGAGTGAAAAGGGATGGTGCAGGGCCACGATTTTTCGTTGTCAGTGTAGAAAAAAATATTCATTAAATGGGAAATTTAGAAGTGGTACGATTTAAATGCTAGTACGATATAACCAACTCTCCCCTATAAATTGTAGAAGACTTCTGTAGTTCGCAAACTTCAAGACTCGTCACCTATATTCTCGTCTTATCTCTAGATATGATGCATTTCCTATGTTAATAAGAAGACTATATGAATTAAAATGTAACAATAATGCAGTTATTATCAAACAAAGCCAATAACTATTACATTTCCTACTTTAATACACACCGAATATCACATACGTCTGAGTTCTGACAAATGCAGATATCATATACCTCCATAATAATATACATATATGAACTAATATTGTAATTTGAATTCACATAATTTTAAATATTGCTATCGACTATTGATTTATCTTATATTCTGTCACAGTTTAGTCAATACATTTGTCCAATATATTACCACGTAAAACCTTATGTCTTCTTTGGTATTATGTTAAATCCTGTCCATAGCTTACATCCGCGTAGTTTCAAAGATATCCGCTCCTCTTATAAACATTATCCCTGTTTCTATAACATCCTTTTTAATATAAGAATACTAATTTTGTTCAGTAAAGAAAAAATAGACCAAAGATTTAAAACTAAACTTACTACATAAGTATGCCTTCAACTAAATATAAAATTAATGAACATTGATTTATTACTATTTATATTGTTGTTATAAACTTTATATGCACATCAATTCTATAAACCATGAGGGCAAAGTCACGGTGACAAACTAGTAATTAAATAGTTATATTCGTTGTAGTCTATCTGAAATAATTATACATTAAAAATTTAATAATACCCCGAATCAATAAGAAATATAAAGAGAACCAGTCAAGACAAATTCAACGAGCCTAAACTCGGGTTTATGAAAAGGCAGTCCAGGGTTACATCTCCTATCTTCGTGCCCTAACAGCAGACCAGCTCAATGGTTCCAGAAAACATTAGTGTTTTAAAAATCAGATCCCACATATGCTTGCCAGCAAACTGAGTGTAACATTCCTAGCACACCTAAAAAACTACCTGATGACTTTGAAAACCTGAACCGATTTCCACCAAACATAGTCAAGAAAACTCTCGATGGATATACCTTTCAAACAAACAAAACGCATCATCCGTTTGGGAGCTACCTTGAAACAGACACACACACAGACACGTCAAACTTACAACATCCCGTGGTTTTTGCGTCGGGGTGTTAAATATGGGCAAGAAGGCGCCAAATATTACATTACAAATAAAAATATATATAACCTCGCCTAATTTGACTATGACAATTTCAAATTAAAAGCTATAAATATTTATTAATCCCGGTGTAATTAAAAAAACATAATTATATTATATTAAATACATTACACTTTGTGTAAAGTGAAGAAAACAAATTCAAAAAGAGTAACAACAGATTTTGGCGAACCTTTCGTAAACACTAATAAATTAAAAAAATCTAAAAATGCATTTTTTTACTAAATCCTGCGAATTGTCGAAACAATTTAACATACTAAATTTTGATTAAGTTTTGTTAGATCTCATTGCATTAGAAACTTTCATATCCGTAAGCATTTTTTTACAAAATAGCAAATAGCAAACCCCCCAACCACCATTCTTAAACTCTCTCAAATAAACTTGACTCTATTTCTCGACAGTGAAATAAAACAATTACCAGAAGTGAAATCTCATATGTTTCTAACTTAACTATTTTCTTTTTGTTTTCATGAAGCTTATATGTACATATCTTTTTTTGATATAAATAATTTTGCATTTTGAAAAAAATATATACATCTTATACATGGTCTGTAAAGACATTGCTTAGTTTTTTTAATCTATTGTTATTCTTACAGTTTAATGCCATAAATTGTAAGATAAAATACATCAACATCTCTCATAATATTAATTTATTTGCATAATATATTAATATAATTTCTACCATATGAAAATCAAGATAATCTGTTAAGTAAACGTCTATGAGATATATAAAATGTACGAGATCTAAGACTTTTTATTTTAAAACTAATATTTTTCGCATTATATGTACTACATATACTCTTTATCAACCGTCATCACTGTTGCAGAAAAGTAACCGAAACCTCGGGAATATTTAGTTTTTATAATAATAAAATATACATAGTATAATCCGAAAAATATTAGTTTCATAAAAAAAACTATGATAGTATTTACGGTATTTTTGGCTATTCTCAATACATTTCCACAACGAAACATACTTCACAGCAAATAAACTAATGAAATGTATAAAGGATTATTTCATTAAAACGTATCTTCTGATTGAAAAATAAATAAGTAAAACGTTCTTATATAAATGTCATTGGTTAAGCTGATTAAAATATTATACAAATAATAAAAGTAGGAAATACATATTATTTAATATCGTAATTGATTCATTATGTTTTATTAAAATATAAATATGTATCGTCATGACGTCAATCGCATTATAACGAGATGTTACTATAAAAAATATTAAGTTGCACATTCTTGCAGGCAATGTGTCACGGAAGTATGCGGAGAATTACAACATTTGCATTTTCAAACTGAAAATAGTTTTCAGTTTTTCTATTCATAGAACGTGAATGAAAAAACTGTAAGTCGTTCATGCGTAGTCTGGCGAAAGGAACAGTTCGTCTAGTTTACTAAAGTAAGCTATAATGTTCTAGTCATATAAAGATTACAACTAATTATACATTACCTTATAAAGTTTCAGCTGAAGGGTGCCGTGTATGAGGAGAAGACCATCCTGAGAACAAAAATAAACAAATCAGTTTAAACATTCATATAAATCCATTATAATATTTTTTCATGAAGACTTTTTACTTGGTCAATTTGTTTTATACTTTAAGAGACTAAAATGTGAATATTGATAGATTAACTATCGCTTATTATAATATAATCTAGAATTTAGATTCCAGTAGTAGTGAAACTTAAATTTAAAAAAATATTTACAAGGACATATAAAACAAGCAATACTTAAATAAACATTAAGTATATTAACACAAAAAAATCAGTAATTGCATAAGTAAGGCGAGTTAAAAAAAATCTAATTTGCATTTCATTCGACTTTATTATAAATAATTTAAGTCGAGTGTTAGGGCGTTAGTTGTATTGCTGAATAAACAACTTATAGACAAGCAACAGTCGCTTCAGATGCAACGGTCACAATCAGCTAATGGCGGATGATCCTCAATCCTCGACCAATGTTTACAATGCTGTCTAAAGCTTCCAGTGCTGCTGAGAAAACTCGCGAACTACACTAATATTATTCAGAGGACATTAAGCATTTCTTTGTTCTTTGTCGAAAATGACCTAAAAAGTTTATGTCACTGTTTATCATACTAATTAACTGCTTTCATTAAAACGCGCGAGATATTAATGAACCTCACGTAAATATTAATGAACAGATTTTAATGTAACTCTACCATACAATATACTTGATAAATGGGAATATTAATGCTGTTATTTATAATTAAAATACCAAACCGAATCAAACATGTATTTCGTTAATACGATAAATTAACTTAAAACAGGCGAAAGATGGCGCTAGTAGTTTGATTACACTAATAATAATTCTTTTACTCTGGATTCAATTCCAAAGCATACGCGGGTAAAGGCTTATTGTTGTGAGAAACAAAACAGTAAATTTAGAAGTAATAAAAAAAGTGGAAGTAAAGTTAGTTTACATTTCTGCAGTGTCCTTTATCAGAACAGACAGGGTAGTTGGCGCCGCAGCTGGGGGGCTCGCGGTAGAGGAGGAGGAGGGGGGGGGCAGCCGCGTGGGCAGCACGCATCACAGGCAAAAAGCCGACAGCACAGCGGCGTGCGGCATTCCACCAGGGAACCGGTCCCGGCTCAATAGAGACCGATACCATCGTTTACACTCGACACACTCAAACGATAATCGATCCTCGCACTAATACGACAAGACACTAAATACAACGCATCACCAGCACTCACAGGACTGTGCAAAGAAATTATAATGATATTACAACAACATCAATGACAAAAAAACCTTTACTGATGGCGAGACTGCGGAATATCAAAACGCTGTTACGACTCCAATTACTGATGTGATTGATGGATTGCGGAGCCTTGCTTTGGAATAACGTACACTGAAATGTCGATTCTGAACTTTGATATTTTTAACAGTAAAAAAATCTTCCGATTTACATCTTCTTTAAAGCTTTTAAATAATAATATCACATCACAAGAATGCAAGTTAAGGAATGTCATGATAACATCAACCAACGCTTCACAGATGCCTTCCTCGGTGGTCCGACCCGAGCACTATCGAACACAGCACATAATCTATTAGCCACAACCATTAATACGTCGTATTTATTTAAAATAAAGTTTACTTCGTCGTAATAGCTCTCGTCTGTAGCAAAGTCGAAGATACCGATACTCGTCAGAAAAGTAACAAACTCACAGAGATGAAAACAATGTAAACAGAGCTAAAAATACTATGACCATCCTAAATCCATAACTACAGAACAAAAATTTAAAATCTTTAAACATGAAATAAGTTGATCAAATAACGAAGACTAAACATTGGGGGAGGGGGTGGTAGGGTCGAGATATTTAGAAAGAGAGGGAGATAGATATATTGTGGTGGTGACGTCACAAAAGGCAGCCGTAGGTAGACGGGCCGGTCGTTCCAGGAACCGTGGCTTGTCGTAAACTCCTGCGCACAATGCCGACCGCTCCTTTGACGCCAGATATGAGATGCTATTTTATTTATTTATTTTCGGTCGATAAAATATTTAAATAAAACATAAACTGAACTAACCAATAATGCAGATTGTAATAATATATGACATTTGTCTTTTGTTAGTGATTTTTGTTTAATGTATGCAACGTTTGATTTTGAATAAATATTTTTGGTTGCGATAAAAAGAATCTTTGTCAAAAATGACATTTATATACTTTATATTACTCAAACGACTTTTTTTATTCACAAATGTCACTCATCGTACAACAACATAATATGTAATTTATTTCACTAGAAGCATTCAACTATTTATATTTTGTTTTTTACGATTTTGTTTACCTATAACGAGCTTTTCAAAATTTACGAACAATCCACAGCAATAAGATTATAAACATAATATTGTAAGCATTTTCAATAAAAAAATAGTAAATATTCTTCTTGAAGCTATTAAAATCTGATCTTTTAAGGACTAATGGATTAATCCCATTGATATATTGTATAAAATAGCCTTATAACTGACGCTTAGGAATTTAATAATCGTTATAATCGTTCGTAATTTTTTGACATACCTTCTAATGTATTAAGATTTCTATTCCAATATAACACATTGATTTAATGATGTCCTACATCTGATATCTATAATCTCAGTGTCGCTGTAACGCATTCTGTTCGATCAAACGTTAAGTTAAAGAAGCAAAGCTAAAAATAAATCATGAAAGCAACACCGGCAACTTTTACAAATAAGCGAAATGGACACGGGCGAAGATAAAAAGGGTTTCAAAAGGGAACTTCCTTTGACTGAATTTATACAAAAAAAATACTTTTGAGATTCTCATTTTAAATGGCTCCTTATCCATTTCGATTTTGATGCATCTATAATATTTATATCGGAGATTTAATTGTAACGTACAGGTTTTATAGATTTGGTACGTATGTTAAGTTTCGTAAGTGCCCACAGTCCGTTCAAGTTCATAATGGTAGAATGCAACAAATCTATGAACAAAATTATTGAATTACGTACATTCAAAGGTCGTATTTGAGCCATAAACCTGATACTACATACATGTCTGTAAAATGCTTTAGATTAGTTATCCTATATTAGTGATAATTCTGTGTATTTCTGTATTTAACTTTAAAGACTATACCGAATAGACCGGTCTCATCGTTGTGGGTGGCACCTGGCACCTAGCACCGGCCAACAATACGATGACTCAAACGATAACTATTTGTCAGAACACAAGCAGAACGATGATAAGAATTACATAAAGAAATGTGTGAAAATGTACATGTAAAGAATACCGATATTGACATTACCATCAAAAGCTATGAAAAAAATTTTAGGACTAGTAAAAAGAAAAAAATTGAGAGTTTTTCTGTCATGTGCCGTATCGGTTAGAAATAATTTTATAATCTTGCAAAAAAATATCAATTTCTTAATTAACATGATTCTTTTAAGTGCACAAGTTTTAATAAACACCTTACGGATTTATATGAAGTTTTTTTGATCCCCATACAACCATTCATCGCTGACCTATTGGACTTTGAATGAAGATGGATCAATTTCTCTTTGTTCATGTATGAGAAACAAACGATCTAACAGAAAGACAACGATTGGTTTCAGAAACTTTAATGATTTCTCTACAAGCTACTCTCGTGTATTTTGTTAACATTTCTTCTGCTCTGAGAAATCGTCAATCTTGGGACTCCAAAAATGACACTTTAAGGTAAATTACTTATGTCGTGTTTTAAAGATCATTGCGTTTCTAAATGTCCTATAGTTTCAATTCGATCCGTCAAACCGATTTTTGTTTTATTCTAGTGAATATTTTTAAAATTGAGGGACTACGTGTTTAATATTTAATTCTAATAATAATCAATGAGAAAAATACAGGGTGACTGGTGAATTACTATCGATATTTGAGGAAGGAAGGACATAAATATTAATAAACTTCTAAGTAAAGTTAACCAAAAGTTGTGTAATTAATTACGCATCGTATAAACACCCTACAGATTACTCTACACTACACACTCACACATACGCGCGCGGCGGCGTGTTGTTGTATCAGCACGCCGCCGCACGCGTCCACACTAGGAACACTTGGAACGTGTACACACTTTATTTATTTATACGGAAATTTGGTCAAAAATTAAGTACCTATTTTTTTTACATAATTCGAATGAGAATCATGTACCGAGTATGCTCCTTAAATATTGATAGTAATTCACCAGTCACCCTGTATAATCATTGATTTACATACATTGTTATTGCATACAACGTTTGAAATTGCGAAAACTGTAGAGAAATCTGTCAAGTTAATTTTTTATATCACTGAACTTAGAGAAAATGATATTTTTTGAAATAGTTATATCGAAAAAAAATCATGACCATAAACCAAAAATAGTACTAAAAAAATCTTTTATGATGTTAATATGATAATAGATACACGTGTTGCTAAATGAATTTTTTTGTTGGAGCTCCAAAAATATTAAAAACTTTACTTCACACTTTTTTTACCTTCATAAGACAAATTTTACCAATAGAATGTGCATTGAAATAATATCTTCAAATATTTATATTTTTTTAAGGTTTACATATTTTTCTATTATATGTACATATAAAGTGTAAAAAAAAATTGTAGGGGTATCATAAGAAGTATTGATTTTATATACATATATTATTATTGTTGTTTCCATTTCTATGTGGTATAAATTCATTTACGAGTATTCCTTCTGTTCTGACTCTATTGTTTGCGACGGATTTGGATACGGTATGCGAAAAATATATATTTCTTGGAATTGTATTCACTTTGAAGGCGTCGTAAAATATTTTTATAACTCAATTGTCTATAACGGCATTGTTTTATAATTATAATCGTTACTTTTAACAGCTTCGACTACAAGGTATGAAGGTATGAATATCTGAATACATGTAATAAAATCAACAAAAGAAATTTACTTTGTTAAATGTTTGTTTCTTTACAACTTGAAAGAATATAATATAATCTATTCAAAATTGTTGATACAGTTAAGGATCGCTTTAATCTCTTAATACCTTTAAAAACATAGTATTGTCTACTAATAATAATTATAAGTACTTAAGTAGTATTATCTTATTGAATTATCAATATTTTCTTCTCAATACAGTTAGTTATTGAGTTGTGCATATTTGTGACTGTATTAATATATTGATAGTACGTATATTATATATAATACTCTCGATATTTCATTAAAACCTCTGGACCTCACAAAAACTGAGATTCTTTCGTTTGCAAATTAATTTGCGTAATAAAATTTAGAAATGTTTGTTTCTAAGGTTTCGGAACATCACAAAACCGAGCCGAAGCCTTCATTAATTTAATTCACAACTTCAATTTAATTTCATGTTGAATCGTCGTCAACGTTTGTGAGTCCGATCAGTGCTTACAGAACAGACTTACAGAACACTGTGAGGCACAACCGGCTCATACAACTTATTAATGTTACGGTTGAATTTTATCAAAGGGGAAAGTTTTAAAATAGCATAATTTATTAGAGTAAGTCAAGGTAATATCTGATGTCAAAGTATTCAACGTTCGCAAACTAATTCCATCAATCCTAGTAGCTAATTAAAGACATCGTGGGACGGGGCCGCCCGATTAGTTTCCTCACAGTTGAGCCATGTAAGTGTATATATCAACCTTACGGGAGTTGAGACTTGATAGGACATTCCGTATTAATTAACTAAATAAGTCTACCAAAGCGGAGCGTTCCTCTGAAACAGACGACGACGGCGCTGGCGACTTGCAACTTGTCAGTCGCGTGTCAATAAGACAGCTAGAAACACGGCGGATTTAAGTACGGGGAGGGGGGAGGAGGGGGGCTCCAGGGGGCCCGGGCGGCGGGCGGCGGCGCCTCCCCGGTGTGTGGTTTCCTTTTGATGTCATCTTCGCGCAAACTTTACTACGGATCGGCTTTGAGATAGAGAGACGGAGAGTGACTAATTTGGCCCAGCATTTGATCTCGGGAACCGGCTGTGTCGCCGTCCCGCTCGCACTCGCGACCCGGCCCGCCGCCGCCGGGAAGCTCTTTGCAAAATTTCGCTTTGATCGCAAAGTTAAATTATATGGGAATTGAACATTAAATGGATACACATGAGAGGCGTGCGCGGAGTACGGCGAGCGGCGCGGACCGTCCGCGGCCGAGCGAGCGTGGACCGAACGGTGGGGCATTGTCGGAGAGGCGACACACGAGACTTAATAAATAATGAGCCAGCGACATTCAAACTTTATACATCTGTATAACTGTTTGAGCGGAGCTCGTATTTAAGTCCGCCTAATTTGCCGCGAGTACGCAGAACCTTTGAGAGCTTCGTTTTTACTAGTTTACGAAACAGATATTTGCGCCCGCCTTTGCCTTTGATACAGCACTTTGTGGAGCATTTTACACGAGTTTCTTTTGAGGCCATTCAGACGGTGAATAACGAAAGGCTGTCTTTGATAAACACGTGCGAGGACTCTTCAGTACTTATTAGGGGTGCTCTCTTTGAAAGTGCTTCTTATGAAATCTATTTGAAACGTTCAAACTCAAAGCAGCGCCGTGAAAGCTGTGCTAATTAAACTGTCACTAATATAATTAATAATTATGAGAAAAAATTGAATTAATGTCACCGTCTCCGTACGCCCGAGACGAAAGAGCAGTCGGAGCTATTCAGAATTATTCTTAGAAAATTTTCATTTAACACGGTTCATATAAAAATTTGAGAGAGGAAGTAGCGGCGTGTTGTCCGCTAAGGTTATCAATGTAAGGTCACAAAGTCCGCCTTTGTAATAAACCCCGCCGCCGCCGCCGCCTCGGGTAGCAACCTACGTTTACATTCCCGTCAACTCTTTGTCTTTCAATCCATTCACACCTCTAACACCAATGACCTATCAATGAATGTTTAATTAATCTTAAGCCAGCAAAGATGCTTATTATTTTTAATATAAATACTACCTCTCTATATAGTTATTTGCATTTAGTATACAATTAAAGTTAGCGATTAAATTCCATTCAAATAATACAAGGTTGGCTTTGATGTCGTCTAGAACAGGTACAATTAACATCAGGAGGCACGATATTACGTGTTTGTGAGTTCGCTTGTATCGATGATGTTTAACATCAAAGACCCCAAGGATCACTTTGATGTTTTATACTAAAAAGACTCGGCTCGACTCCTGTCTTTGTCCTAATTAGAGCTATTGCTGATGTTTTAGTTACAACTAATTTCGTACAGTCCGTTTGATAACACGCTATGTTATAAATGAATTGATACTAATAGACTGACGATTGATAAACAATGAAGAAACTACTGCATTACATGTAAAAAGAAAATAAAAATTATATTGTTATTCAAATGTACTTGTTTTTAATATAATGTTTAGCATTAGAATAAAAGAAATTTTAATAATTGATATACTGAATGCAGAGATCTGTACAAGAAACAAACGTTATTAAAGCTCGAACACGACCGAAAAGAAATAAGTATATTTTAATTAATTAAAATAAGAACACTTTAGATCCATAAAGAGAAGTCACTTGCAAGAAATAAGCCGAGTCTTTGAAGTCGAACGTGCCATGGAGATATTGTTGTAGATATACATATTACTAGGAAATATCTTCAAAGAGAGATCTCACAAAAGAGGAATAAAAAAAAAACAATAAACCTTTATTAGAACGAGGAGCATTTAAAAAGGAAATCAAAGGAACACCTAATTCATACAATTGCAATTACAGCGACCGTCCCTCCTCACTCTTCTTGAACGATGAAAAATTTAGAAAGTGATTAAGAGCATTAGATTCGAACACCGAGCAATACAACATGACGGATCCGTAAAGTAAAAGATAAAACACCCGCCATTGATATAAACGAAATTTAAATTAAGTACAAAGGGAGGTTGGATGGGAAAAAGAATCCTTTCATTGGGAACCCTCAGCCCGGGAGTCAGGGCCGGGCGGCGACATCAAAGACGACCGCCTCCCGGCTCCGGGTCTTATCTGACGACGAGAATTAGCACAGATCCGTCACCTATTGACGTCGCCCGCGCACACTACCTTCTAGCAGCTAAAGCGCTACATTATCATAACAACGTTTTTTATAACTGTATAATAAGCGCCATGGGAAGAGCCCACTGCTGAGCATAGGTCTCTTCTCACATAGAGAAGTTTTAAGCATTAATCACCACACTTGCTCAAGACGGGTTAGCGATTTCGAACGTATAATATCAAATTATAAATCCAGGTTTCTTTACGATGTTTTCCTTCACCGTCTACATACTCTTATGACTCGGAAAAAATTACGTTGGTAGTTGTCAGGTTTCGAACCTGTGTCTTTATGCATGAGACTTTTAACCTATAGGCCAATACGTCCAATGCGATATTATAACTAATGACATATCCCACGCCGGCTCGTAAGCGCCAGTTATCCTTAATTCCCAGTCAGCAACGCTAATGTGTCGGTATTATGCGCAGCGGAGTGTTGTGTGAATGATTTTTCAAGTTCCAGCTGGCTTTTAATGAAATGTAGGTTCGGCTGCACGCCGCTACATCCTTGCCCGCTTTATGTTTCAATTTAAATAGGTATTTTTTTGAAGGGTTCACTTTGATGTAGCGCGGGTTAGACAACTCTGTGTGCACTAAATGGAATAGCTTTCAGCGAACATTTTTCCACGCGAATTTTTGTTAATTTTTTAAACCGATGCCATTTTATATGCGACGTTTATTTTATGATACTTTCGAGTGTTTGTCATTTAGAACTGAACGTATTTTATATATTAATTTTTATTATAAGTTTATTGGTGTGAGAATAACTACCGTATGATGAATTTAACACTGTTATAAAATCTCATGCAAACACTTTCTAACATATATTTTTAATGCGGGTAAGTATTTGTATATTTAAGTTAATCTATTAGCAAAAAATATTAAAATGACTTGGGTGAAACTTTGTGTGTTAATAACAAAGATTCTACAGGTAATTTTATATACATTGGATGCTGTTAGGTAAAACTTGTTCTGTTTAATTTTTATATTTATAAAAGTATACATTTTATATCATAAATACTCAAAATTAAATATAAATACTTACTTAATTTTTTTATAGAAAAATATGATAAAATATCATATTTAGGAATAGTTGATATTATTATAAATTTTATTTACACATAAACGTATAAAAAACATAGGAATATAAAAAAAATCAAATTGAATTTTTCAAGGGATGTTAAAATAAAAAAATGTAAGTATACAATAGCGAACAAATTCTACTAAAGCGAACAGATAGAAAGAAAAAAAATCTTTTCAAATTGTCTATCAAACAAAGTTTTCGCGTTGATGTCTTTTCTTTGCTACGAAATATGTCTACGAAATAACATCTTCATGCATTGAACGTAACAACAATATGCCAATAATGAAGTCTGACACATGGGAACATGTGCACCCTATATAGAAGGGCATTCGAAAGTACTACACTTGTAGAAAAATATAAACAATGTAACCAATAAAATACAAAGCATACTTCGACACAACTACAACGCAAACAAAAAACAATGGGAGCAAACAATCACTGGGGCCACTACAATAGGGTCGTTCTAATAAACATTTATAACAAGGACTCTACAGGCCCTTGGAACAAAAGCCAGCGTACCGTCGATGGTCCACGCGGCGACAAACTCGCGCTAAAACAATAAATAACTTCCCACCAAAAACTTCGACGAGTCAACGGAAAAAGTTTCACATCTATACCTGGCAATGTATCGCCTTCAAATCCAATATTATAAAAATCCGGACAACTATTAAACTAGCACATAACACTGAGACACATTGAAACAATCACCAAAACTTTACATACGAGAGGAGAACATCGGAACTAATAGGAGTACGCGTATTTATTTTCGGATTCAAACGTTCGAGATGTATCCGAGACACGTCCAGCCGGCCTGGAGGCTCCGGAGCGACTGTCAGATCACAGCCAGGGCTGGTGAGATGCGCGCGACGCACGTGGCCGCTGACGAGGCGGAGCCTTCACCCACCAGGCTCAACCATTGGACGAGAACAGCCTTTGATCGGCCGCCGGCAACTAACGACATCTCTGTGTGCTTAAGCTCAGTACTAAAGTCCTTTTAAAACAGGTAATATTATTAAAAACCGCGTGTACTTTTTCATGCTAAGTCCTCCATACCCGCCGATGATATTTGTAACGACCGATGCAATGCAATCCCGATAGCGCTTTACGCAGCCCCGGTCAAAGGATAGAAAGGTTGCCTTTTTTTACCGAAGCCACAAAACAGTTTTTAAATTTGTACTCATCCCTTTGACGTGAAACATCAAACACTGGATGAAACCCGAGCGGAGAAAGACGTCTGGCCCGCAGATGAATTAAATCATTACATATACTAACATAGCTAAAAGTGACATCAGGAACTATACATTGTTTAACACAAAAAAACAGAACTTTTCTACTGCGAAATACTTCAAAGGAATATTATATTTATGAGAAATAAAATAACTATACTCATGGTCCATTTTTCTGCGATAATTAAAATGTATAAAGAATTATCTTATTCCCAGGAAAACCATTGATATGAGATTAATTAAAAACTTTTTCCATTGAAAGTACTTTCAGCATTCGTGGAATATACAGTTGATGTTTGCACAGTCTTTAAATTGTACATTTTAATTAATTCCATTAAATGAAACAATTTTATTATACCAAAAAAAAAAGAATCTCATCTTGATAGACTAAAACCAAAAAATATAATCCTTCCTTCACCACGATAACTCTACGGTAAACAAAATTTTCGTACCGGTGATAAATGTATAGTATTGATTTATTGTAATTTACTTAAAACAGTAAAAAAAAACTATTAAATCTAGATGAACCAATTAAAACAAAACACTTCGTTAGAAAAAAAGGACCTAAAGCCGAACATACAAAACTTACATATGAATTTACTCTTATAATCGGAAAAATTAAGAACTTTCAGGGAAAACAAAAATGAAAACAGTCAGAAATATATCAGAGTGAAATTTTACAGAACTGTACGAAGGTAAAGTTTTATTATTAGTCATGTCGACACTGAAACTGATAAAAACAGCACTAGATTTTAATGAATAACTAGAAAACAAGGGGCAAACTTTATAAACATATATTATTATGAAAAATCAGGATTATTCACAAATCCCTACTAATATTATAAATGCTAAAGTAACTCTGTCTGTCTGTCTATTACGCTTTCACACCTAAACCACTGCACTGATTTTAATGTAATTTGGTACAGAGATAGAGTTGACCTTGAGAAAGAACATAGGATAGTTTTTATCCCAGACTTTTCAATGTTTCTCATTGAAACGCGATATAACCGAACTCCACGCGGACGAAGCTGCGGGCGGAAAGCTAGTATTCCATATAGAGCAAGAGCAAGGGACTTATGATAACGGTGTATTTGGTAATAAAAATAATCCTGGCTCTTTGTCGAATTCAAATAGTTCTTTGAATATTATTTTTTGTGTTAGAGACAGAAGGTCATTATGTTTTATAGCTGTTTTGTTCTAACTTACAGTGGCCCTAATGAAAAACGAATAAAGAGACGTTACAAAAACTACAAAGGACTTGAAAACTTTGTTACCTGACAGCAATAATACTTTTTATATTGTACATATTAAAATATATGTACTTTAAAATATGACTGTTTTAAAAAAATCTATTTTAAATATACGTTATAAAAAGACGAATAAAATAAAATTACATATTCCAATTATAATGATTATTGCCATCTATTTAAAATACAAACAGATAGAAATTAAATATTTTTGTTCTATATTAAGTGTTTAAGTTGACAACATAGAAGCTTGTATGAAGACATTACACGCGAGAACCGAACAAAACTTATTGCAATGAAATCGGCAAGGAGTGATATTTACAGGCGTTTTCATCACGACCCGACTCAGAGCTCATAGAGCCCGCGGGCGGCGGCTGCATCACGAACATATTGCGGAACAGTTCATATCAATAAAGACGTCTACACACATCATACTATTTACATGACGGCTTACTGGTGTAGTGGCCTTAATGAAACTGCGGCTTCGTGACGTCATCAATATCTAACTTAACATACTTTTCCCAGGTCCATGTGGATGTAATATCGTGTTATTAAAGATTTCAGTTCATACAGCCGTGTCTTAGCTGCCGTCGCGGCGCGGCGAACTCTCGGCCTGCATTATTACTAGCAGCCGACGCACACAGACGAGGTTCACACACGCTCTCGTTTCCGCACACGCGCCCCCATATAATGTCAAAGGGTGAGCGCGCCGCCTCACAAAGCGTAAGTGCAACCACTAAAAGCCAATCCTAAGTTTTATTGATACACATTGTATTGCGACAAAGTCTCAGTCGGCGGCGGCCCGCCTCACCCCACGCGCCGCACAAAGACAATATCGCGTCGTCAAAGGAACACCGCCACCCGCCGCCCGCCGCCCGCCGCCCCGTGCCTAGAGGAAATGAAAAATTAAATTGTCAACACATTTAATATCTGCGAAAACGTGCACGGCGTCTCCTTTGAACGCGTCTCTTTGCGGGGACTCCGCGGCGAAGGCTTAGCCGTATTAAAATTTCAGTCGTAAAATTGAAATTCTGTTTAAGTTTAATTAGACGTCGCTGGTGTTCGAAGGTGCATCGGATCGGTGGCGCTAATGAGAGCCGCGGTGAGCACACGTCACCGACACCCTGGACGTGGGAAGCAGCCCGGCCTGGCCTGGAGGGTAGCGGGGGCAGGAGTGATGGAGGGACGAGGGAGGGGTAGCACGGAGCCGCCTCGCGTTTGATCGAAGCCGCCGCTTTGACAATTATTAAAATTTGCCTGGTACCTCACGGGTCTCATCTTTTTCCGTCGCCTCGATTACGCCACGGGTTGGTCTCATTAGGGCTTTTGTGTTGTATCGCGAGCTTCCCCTTTGATGTGAGACAGCTAGACAGCCCGCCGTCGGTCCACCTGCACTCGCCTCCATTGTTCCGCCGGGCCTACAATTTGCACTCCACTTTGAGCTGACCTCTTTGAGATCTCCGAGCGAGCTCTCCGGCTCTCTCTGCCCTCTGTCCACGGTACGGTCTTTATCATAGTAGCGATGAGGACCGGTGGAGGTGTCAAAGCGTCCTCGTATTCAGTAGCGTGTTGTGACCCCGTGAGCCGAGGGGCGGCGCACGATCAACACTCGACACCCCTTTATTACTTTTGTGCCCTTTGTGCGCTCCATCATCATCGAGCATACGAGTCGAATTAAAACTTTACACAACGATTTGTCAGTCATCCCCGCCGCCTGCTCATTGAACCGGCGCGGCTCACGGCTGGCTGTCAATTGATAAACAAATATTTTTAACGCTTTTAAAAGCCATATAACGTTGAACACGATATATGTATATTTGTACGTCTATAAAAATGTGTTATTAAAGCATATTCATTATTTTTCTCTAGTACCTTAGTTATATGAGTGATATAAAACTTTGAAGGGACTTTTAATAGGTGTTTGTCGGATTGGAAAGATAATAATTGTTTGTTGAAGTAAAAAGAATTACTAGTGAAGTATTACATGACCATTTCAATATTTAAAACTATTTCTCTATACGACGAATGTAAATGACCGCAGCCAATATATCAATTTAACTAGTATATATTCTGAATGTTATTTCAGTTTTCTTTTAACTTTATTAAAATTCAAAAACAATATACACATTCACTTAAAAAGGTATCTCCATGTATGAACATGAAGTATGAACTTCTATGAATATTCACTCGCCACTTACATAAAGACAACGTATAAAAACACGTATTTCATAATAATTAAGATGTACAAAATATATTTCTTAGTAATACGGAGTTGATAACGTAATGAACAAAATATAATTTTCAAAGATAATTAACAAGAGAGTTGAAAATAAATACAAAAAATGTCTCAAGCCATTCACCGTGGGCGGGTGAGGCTTCGTCAAAGAACTATATCCTACAAAGGATTCACGGACATCATTATATAGGAGCACTAATTACTAAACAAATACGCGACTCTTTGTGTGTGCTGTGTGCACTTCAACATCTCAAAGTTCCTTGCGATACATACCTAGAAAAACTTACACTAATTCTAATTCTATTATACTTCTACCTCGATGATTATTTTGATATTACTTGGTCACTTTTAAAATATACTTGACCGGTATAACGATTGGGAACATAGTTCTATTAAAACGAAATACTTTAGTGGATCTTCGGACTAAATGACAAGTTTTTCTTCCACTAAATACTCATGATTGATTTAATTGATTTACAAGGTACCAGAGTAGAGTATAAGAGATTATTCTGACTCTCTGCTTCCTCAACGTAAGTACACATCCTTCTTAGCAGTTTCCATTTATTAGTCACTAGCTTTCCGCCCGCAGCTTCGGCCGCGTGGAGTTCGGTTACATCGCGTTTCCAAGAGAACCTTTCAAAAGTCTGGGATAAAAACTATCCTACGTTATTTCTCAAGGTCAATTCCATCTCTGTACCAAATTTCATTAAAATCATTTTAGTGGTTTAGGCGTGAAAGCGTAACAGACAGACAGACAGAGTTACTTTCGCATTTATAATATTAGTAGGGATGTATTATACTTTTACGCCATAGATTAATGAAAGATTAAACTTCGGTCAGTGTTACGTTTGACACAAAACCTTGGTAAGAGATTGGTAGAACCAACTAGAAACGACATTACCTACAGTCGTTTAGTAAAAGTGAGAGAGGAACATCGAAAAACCAGTATTCTCAACTTTTCCGAAACAAAGTTACTGATACTGAAAAGCTTACAACGATGCCGCTAACTGTATGTGTACTTTCATATAGAATTTTCTGGATTTCATATTTTATAAAACCGATTTTCCCTTTTTCTATCTTATTACTTACTACTGATATTTTCGTTATAAGTTCGATATCAAAAACAATTTTCTTCCTTCATATTATTTAATAAAGGAAAAAAAACTTTATTACTTAATAAAGGAGTTTTGGTGAAAATAAACAATATTTTGTGTAGACCAGAACCATAGACAATTTATATTTATTGCTGTCATAGATTATAGATTTACATCAAGTAAAGTAATATAGGTATATACATGGACTTAGTACGGAAAGGCAAAATTTAATAATCAGTTCAACAGTTACACTTGGCTAATAATTTATACATAATATGTTACGTTATATTATAACGTAAGATGATTTTTACAACAATCGCAACATATTATTTTTTTATATTTAAATTAAAAAAATCCATACATCAGATGTCAACAACATTTTAAAATGTTTACAAAACCAACTGAAAACTTTATATATGTATATTCAGAGTGAATTGCTAAAATGGGCGTACATAACTTAACCCCGCAACTATTATTGAAAGGTGTACAGCGTGTCGACTCTGATTTTGATGAGAACTGTATGTACAACAATAGATAGTGAAAAACAAAAATAATTGACAGAAAAAAAACTTTTCAAAAAGTACACAATATGTACCTTTAAAAATATTTTATTATCTAATATGAAAAGGCTTCTGGGAATTAAAGACATGCTGCGAATTGTAGAAGTAATTTTTTTCTTTCTAATGTTTTATTTTTATTACCAATCTCTTAACTGATCCATAATTGTCAATATTTACTCAAACTAATAGTAATTAAATACCAATGAGATTAGAGCCATTATTTTAAGTTCAATAAGTTTTGTTGAGGAAGTTCGCAACTTTTACTAATACATATTTCTTCTCAACTACTGATATTACATCTAATTACCATTTACCGATATTCCACAAAAAATTTAATATATCATTCATATACTTAAATGCAAATAAGTATATAGTCATAAAATCTATGGAGCCCAAGCTCTCCATCACCCATTCTTATCGGAAGAAACTCTAGGCATGAAATTTGAAGGGGATGCAAAGAGTTGAATATGTTTTGGTGGCGAGTAAGGAAAGTGCGGCGGGTGTGGCATCACCTTGCAGACATAAGCATGAATGGCTTCTTCAGGCTTTGAAGAAAACGACAAAAAACAAGCGACTGTCGAAAATAAAGATTCCTCAACTCTACATAACCCTTTAAAGGTTTGAAAAGTGACTTACAACACATGCAGGTAGTATGGAATAATATTTTTGGGATGACTTAAAACTTACCAAAGATCACGCAAATAATATATTATAGGTATATGAGCTTAGTTTGAAAAATAAAATCATATGTTAATCATCATTAAATTACCCCAAATTTATGACGAATGATTAATAAAAACATAACATTCTTGATGACACGTAAACCTACCAAGATCCATATGAATGCAGACTGCAAACGCAGCTCCAGTGTGTACTCTCAATAAGAACGAGGTGCGAAAAAATTTATCATCAAAGAGCGACTTCCCACCGAGTCTAGCGCCCTTTAGACAACAACCCTTTGTAACTATGATTTAAAACACCTACAGTAGAACACGCACGTGACTGAGACATTCGATCATGTGTTGGTAGAAATTAGAATTATGACAGAAATATTATATGTATTACAGTCATCATTAGCTTGAAATATGAAAACAAATGGAAAGGAATTCAAACTTATGACATTCAAATGTATAATATAAATAAAAGAAAATACTTTCTCGAGTTATTTTAAAGTTTTAATGTAGGGGAAAAATTCACAGGTTTGGTACATTTTTTAACAATCAATCTGAAATAAGTGCAACGTCAGATTGTCTCCGAGCGAGATTGTGAGGTCGGAGTTCGAGATTCAGAATGAAATAGTAATGCGAGCGACTCCCGCACCTACTCCGACGATGAGTGAATTCAGTTTAGACCGATCGGGCCGATGGGGCCGATATGCGACGCCCGGAAAAATACTACACCACACATACTGAAAATTATATAAACCGGGATAGAATTATTTCGTTACTATTGAACATACTCTGATCAGAGATATTTATTATAACTCAATGCTTTTTACACATATTGTTCCTGAAAGATAATTTACGAACAATATAAGTAGAATTAAGGTTTGGAATTTTAGAGATTTGACATCGTATTTTCATAATCACCATACAAAAATTTTAAACAATACACAAACAAAAATCACATAACACTCGACACTCAGACAATATAAACAATATACAATATAAATATAACAAATTGTATAAAACGTCGGTAAGCAACATCTATGGGATGTTTTCTATTCGAATGTTTCCCGCGTATTGTATAGTGAATGAGATAAATTCGTTTCAGTACAGACGGCTCCGAGCCCCGCGCTGGCTGGAGACGAGGGACGAATCACAATCTACATAATGCACCGCGGTGGAAGCCAATAAATTGCATTCTTACCGCTATTCAACTTTTAAATATTATATTATGCGAAATTTGATTTAACATAAAATTGATGTACCGAGATTTGTTCATTTGTTGACTTACATTCGAATTCAAAATATTTTTGATGGAATAAAATTTATAGGTATAAGAAATATATAAACAATATTGTTACCTCATATATGTACTTTAACGAAAATGGTTACGTATATCCTACTGATACTTTTGGCAAATCAATTTATAGTAATATAAAGTATATGTTATATATTTTTGTCGTATAATGTACGTGTTCCCACACAGATGTATAAACGATTTGTATTTTAAATCAGATATGTACATGAGCAGTAAAGCGACACCGGCACACCCCTAACTCGATGAGCAAAGCAAAGTCGAAAGGCTCACTTAACCTTAGCGAAACTCAATAACTTTCACTTTAAATAATAAATTCTCCTTTGAGACGCGCCGAACACAACCGATTCAGGGCTGCTGCTGTTTAATCAATTATAAATATAACTTGGAACTGTTTAATCATATGAAAAATAATAATTTAGATCTAAACTTTGCATGAAAAAAGAAACTTATATCGTCTTAAGAACTACATATATTTTTGTTAAAACAAATACATCAGCTGTTAGAAGAAAAAAAGCACAAAAATATTAATAAATTTAATATCTATGTATTATTATAAGCATCAATTGGTTTAACGATCAATGATTATTAAGATAATGTACCAACCCTGATTGATGATCGTTTTATCGAAGGGCGGCACAATCCCGTAATACAAAGAATTAATTGTGTCGCTGGATAAAAGCCTCATCCTCTTTATTAATTTCCTTCATTTAAACGACACTTACAAAATAAAATCATATTTTATTTGTTTTAAAAGATATATATTATATTTATTTACGAATGTACAATACCTTGCTATTGATTGCAAGTCAAAACGAATTAAATATACACATATAAAACAATTGCAAGAAATAAAAAATACGTACATATTAATAGCCGATTATTATAAAGTATTAAAACTTCAAAGAAAATCTAATTATCATTTTGAGTTTGTAGAATTTTAAGTGACACAAATAATGACGTCCTATCAATTACTTAAAAAAAAAAATCCTTTCCGTCTTTAAAGAGTAATTATCTTCACTTTGAAGGGTTACTAATTGAAAGAGATCTCCTTTAAGATTTAATCTATAAGATTTACATTAGTTCCATTCACTTGTATAGGAGACTTGAATTATGTTCAATGAAACTTCAGTCTTCAGTAGTGTGTAGTGTCTAGTAGTCTATAGTAGTGTGGTAGTCACAGTCCGCCCACTAACAAACTATCCTATACCTAACATCGATATCCCAAATAGTTGAACAACAGCTCTAATGGACTCCGACGTTTAATTTACAACGCGGTTGTCGGTTTGTTCATAATTAGTTTAATTTTAGTCCGCTGCGGTACTCGGACAGCCCGCGAGATTCTGTATCCAATTAACTGAAATTGCATTTTGCAAATACGCCGGCTAAACTTCGGTTAACACAATTCAGTACACGAATGGTACTCTGTGCTATAGTTTGGGAACTGGTAACTACTTTGATAAAAACTGAAAGTCTTAAAATATGAAAAAGATGCCAGATATAATATAAGGCAGGCTTTCCAATCAGTGTAAGGATTCTGTGTATAACAATGTTCTATCTCAGAAACAGATGGAGGTGAGTTTGAGGCCGTCGAGGCGGTTTCATTCCGATCTTCAGCAAACAAAGGTCCTCGTCAAAGGATCCGTGTTAAAAGGAGCCCGCTGATGGAGTATCACAATGGACTGACGGAGACGATCCAATCTATGAACGGAACGCGGCACGGCCGATCACGACAAATAAACAAATAGATACTACCCTACAAAAATATGGAAGGAACAAACATTAAGACTCGTCTCGAGACGTCGATTGTGATTTAAATTATTGTTTTATACATAAGTCGAATATATTACTGCCTTTTCATAATACTTAATAATTTTAAGGAATATGGATGAAATCAGTTATTTTAATTATATAGAAATTATGTACAAATTAAAAAATATTATGAAACAATTCCGGTCATAGCGAAAAATCTTAGTTTATCCACATTGAGAACTTTTTCATTGCTTTTAACATAACAGTAATGATTAGCGGATTAATCTGGTCGTTTTAAGCCGTACTAATATAATTAACTAATAACTCCCTTAAGAAAACTAACGCTGGCATTATTCACTTCTCATAATAAATAAAATACGCCATGTATATATGTTAACTGCGGTAATTATTCCTGATTTAATATTTTTATTATTAAAGCAAAATTAATGTAATTATCTCCACAAGTTCAATTCCTGATCACGTCGTATATTTTTCATTCCTAATTTATATGAACTTTTATTCGTGTGAAAAATTAAATTATAGGGGAGAGTCGGATATATCGTACCACTTTTCACTTTAACTCAAATATTTCGACTATAACAGGTCTTATAATAATTAAAACATATTTAAAATAAAGTTTCATATTTTAGCTTCCTAAGAAGAAGAGAGCAGATCCTTGCGATTATTCTAACATTGTTAAAAATGTTTTTTTATAGAGGCTTGCCATCGGTACGATTTAGCCGACTAGTCGTTTTAATCGTACCACTAAGTCTTTAAATCGTACCATGGGTGTTTAAGTCGTACCACTGAATGAAAGACATTAAAATTCTCAATCAAATTATTAATTTTTAACTGTTAGGTAAGTAACAAAACAACATTATTTATATCTTGTAGGCAATAGAAACATAATTTTTAACTGTTAGGTTATATAAGGGAACTATAAGCTTTCTCAGTAAAATAACATGATTATACTATGATAATAATGAGGTCAATCAACATAACTAATAAAAATGAGACAAAAAAAAACAGTAAACTATAATAATAAAGTAATAGTAAACAAGAATGTTATTTGTAATATAATTATTGTGCATATTTCTTAATGGAAACAATCATGACAAATGTTTGGATTCGAAATACACGTCTCATGTAGCCACCGTTTACAGCGAACGCATTGAATCCAATCAACTTTTGGACCCTTCTTATCGTAGTAAAAACAATTGCACTTTCGACATATATTTTCAAGATAATCATCGCTGTCATCATCATCATCTAGTTCTACAACAAGTGTCTCTCCTGAATCATCGCTACTGGTGATGGAATGAGATCGTTTCCTCTTATAACTTTTGTTTTTGGCCTTGGGTAGTACTTACTATACGTACTTGTGGTAGTACTATAGGTACTTGCGGTTGGTAGTCGGGTAAATCGTACCAGTACAATTTAACCAACTGCAAGTGGTACGATTAAACCAACTAAGGCATTTCTAAAACAAAAGCAAATATCCGGCATAAACTCAAAACTTAGACACGCAACAAAAACCCCCAATAATCTAGTATACAATTGTGGAATAATAAAAAAAACTGAATAACTATAGCTTATCTTGATTACGAGTGATCTCCTTACGAATGTACGACAATATTTATATTAATTCCTACAAAAAATGTTTTTCTTTTATTACGTGCACAGTTGTCAACTCACGTCGATTTAAACTAGTGGGTGAAGAGGGATGGTGCAGGGCCACGATTTGGCGTTGTCAGTGTAGAAAAAAATATTCATTAAATGGGAAATTTAGAAGTGGTACGATTTAAATACTAGTACGATATAACCAACTCTCCCCTATCTGTTAATTTTATTTAAACTTCAAGAGCTCTCGTAATTGATCATCAAAATTGTACATTAGGAAAAAAATATAATAAAACGTGTATATTTTTATATTTTTTAAATCTTTGTTTTAAATGAAAAGTTCTGTATAGAAAAAAAAATGAACATGTCTTTATTATTAGATCCAACAAGGTAAAAAACAAGTGGAAAATTCTATGAAAAATATTTGGGATGCCGGAGAACATATATTATACGAATATCACAGAATTATCAATATAAAATAATACGAAGAAATTCTCATAGTTTTATTGTAACTCGATCTGGCTCACACCTTTATTTCCATTGTGAAAAAAAATGCAAAAGGCTTAAAGCTACAAAGCAATTTCTACCAGTCCGACGAATAAAAAAAATAATAGTGACACAACGGTAACAAGGGAAGCGATATTTAATATAAGTGCTCTTTTACGTACAAAAAAAATATATTATTGAAACCTAGCAAAACTATCATGAAAACGTATATTGTGTATACAACATACCAATGAACATAAATACGCACACACACACACACACAAGACAAAATTTATTTGTTTACGTGGTTCCAATGCTGCCTCATTTCACACCACATTCAAGGGGGGTTTTACTGAGACAAATCTCTGAATTAGTCCAAGTTTTTCCATAGAATGTTATCACTTCTTAAGTAACGCCTTTAAATTTTAAGGAATTGTTTAAAACTCTTGTATTATATCATACAATTATATACAACTACATGTGTACAATTTGCTTGTTTTACGACATTAATTTTGTCAGCATCGCGTGAAGATATTTTTTTAAGAAAACTATGGCTGGTTTTATTCAAAGTGATTGTCCTACACCTCTTTATCGTACTCGATCAAGGACGTATGTGTTATATCAATTTGAATTTTTAATAACAAACTGATACATACTTTAACGTTTTTCATATTTATATTATCATACATTATTAAAAAAAATGTCATTCGTTTTTCTTAAATAATGCATAATTTTAAAACCTTTTTTAATTTACAATTTTTTTGAGGATCTTTATGCACTTTAGTTATATGATCGTCCTCAGATTTGTACGTAGCAACACTTAAGTGACAGGCCATCGACTTTGGTTTACAAAGATCTATTATTTTTTATTAGAATACATTATGTATAATAAACTTAGTAATAAAGTTTATTACTTCATTAATATCCAAAAAATCCTGAGTTAAGAACGACCAGCCTGTGGATTAGGGACGAAGAAAATTCTGTGTTTTCTTATATGTATGTCCCGATAATTTTAGGATAATAATTAATAGTATCTAGTATTAAAAGTGTAGTAAATTTACATTTCTTTCCATTATCCAGTGGTAAACTGATTAATTGCTGATGATAGTAATGATATAAATATTTCTGAGATTTCAATGTAAAGTTATTATAATTACATCTTTAGGGTCGTACTTTAGACATTGTATTTTAAAACTTTATATTTTTTGGATATACCTACTATGTCTCACGAGTAGTATATCCGAAAAATATTCATCATCATCAGCCTATCAGACGCCCACTGCTGAGCAAAGGCCTCTTTCTTACATGGAGAAGGTTTGAGTATTAATCACCACGCTTGCTCAAGACGGGTTGGTGATTTCAAAATTACAATTTGAAGTTATAAGTCCAGGTTTTCTTACGATGTTTTCCTTCACCGTTTGTCAGTGGTTACTAAATATTCTTAGAAAGTACATATGACTTGGAAAAATCACATTGGTACTTGCCAGGATCGAACCTGCGCCCTCGTACACGAAAGTCGGGCCTTTTTAACCACTAGATCACTACTGAACGACTGAAAAATATTAGTTTCATTTATGACAATAATTAAGAAAACGATTTACCCTTTAAAAATTGTATGAAACATTCAAAGTGAGAGCATCATTCTTTTTGCGGTGTGTTAGTAAAAAGGTAGATTAGTCAAAGGTAACAAAAATTTGTTCTGTAGTCGTGAAAAATTCTGTATTCCTGGTAACGTTGAGCCACAGTCAGGCTGTGATGGCAGCGAGGCAGCGAGGTGGGTTTCCGGGAGACGCTTTGTGTATTGATACCAGCCCGCCGATAAATATTGTGGCGAGCTTTGACTCAAACGAAACCATCCAACTTGTTTACAACCAACATTTATGCGACAAATACACATTTTATTTTTTGTACATTTACTACATCGAAATTTTTAAACGGCTCTGCTTACTGTTGATATATATAAATGCTTCCAACTGTAAGTCAAATGAAGCGTACCTGATTAAGTTTTCATTTATACATCTTATATAACCAAATTAATAATTTACTTCCAAGTCTCAACTACGAGAATAATGCCTTTAAAACAATAGTCGATTCAAATAAGAAAATGATATACAATTAATTACAATTGTGTCGTAAATCTGTTCATACACGTAAAAGTTAATCCGAATCTCAAAGTTCCATAGCGTCAGAGTAACTCAAATATAATAACCGCACCCGGCGTCGGCTGCGCTAACATCTAGCAGTACGAACCTTTGACGGGTAGCTCAAAGGTCTTTGGGTGATGACGTCATGAACCCAAGCCACTTATATTTGTTCAGTGCCAATGAACAGGTATTTATTTGATGTCAATGATACATCACATGCTACTTCAAACAGAGAACAAGCTTGACTTTGACAAAGTTTTATGTGGCTTTGAATTAACTTCTTAACAGTTGATATTTGATATTAAATAACTCCAATATTAAAATAAAATTAAATTATATAAAATAATCTTAAAAGTATCTTTCGTAGTTAAAAAAAGTTTTAATCGCATTTCCTTTTGTATCGGCATGCACATAGCATAGGAACTTTTTCTATGAGGAAGCGTCAGTGTGAAAATTAAATTACTTACTTAAAATTAACCGACTAAAAAGTTTATTGTATTGAAATAGGTTAACACGAGTGTGTAGTAGGTAGCGAGGTTAGTAACAACGAGAAAAGTAAAAAATATTTATCATGAATACATATATGTATTAAATTCGTAAAAAATCGTAATAATATTGGCGCTATAATGAATAATTGATAATCAAGAAAGAATCAAGAGGAATATGCATAAAGTGAATGACAAAAATAACGAAAATGTACCTGGAAGTAGAAATAAAAAATCTTTTACCTTTAACATATTACATAACATATAAAACATTTAACCCCCGCCTACAAAAAAGACTCACATGATACATAAGCTTCCAAAAATCCACATAATTACATGTTAAAAGAAATCAAAATTTAAAATATTTTGTTTATCTTGAACTTTAAGTACTATACTTATATAGTTATTTCGATGTAAACCTAAAAACTAAAAAGATTTTTAAAGGACAAATTTATTTAAAAGAAAGGTTATAAGCTAGGTATTCCAATTTTAACTATAGATAAAATTTTAAGCAATAAGCATTTTAGTCTATTTTTACTCAAAATAATCAAATATTTTTTATACTGAAAATTAATAAAACTGGCCATTAAATCGTGAAAAATAAAAAAATATCGGTAAGAAAGTAAGCAAAAATATTATCATCTTGACTTTTATTATAAGGCTTTTATATAACTCAGATCAAGAACACTCACACATATTTCCTTAATTTATTTAAAAGCTCTCTTAAAAAACTACTTTTAACTTTCTTATATTTCGAAAATTTAAAATGAATAAGAATTTCTGAAGAAATTATAACTAAATTCATTTTTACGCTTTCTTGAGTTTTAGCAACACACGGAAAAAATACAAGTAAGTACATATTTATAAGTTATGATGTTCTCGCTTCTATTAATATCAAGAACGTGTTTAAAATATATGAGTATATTAATAAACTTTCTGTTCAATGTAAACTGTTATTTAAAATAAAATATGACTTGGTTTTTCCCGTGCCTTCTTTCGCACATACTTCAGAAATCAGAATGGCTTTAAAAAGATAGGAAACGTGCGTAAAAATCAACTTAACATATCGTAATTGACTGATAGAACCGTTTTAAGCCAATGTCACTTAACTTCATACGAAGTACAACTATTTGTTATACCGTGATTTTGATCATCATCACATACATTTACAATAATTTATATCTGGGCTTGTAACGATTATTCGTATTCCTCTATATATAAGGCTTAATATATATATTTACCAAATACTGAATACTTAAGTAATATTTTGTTATACGGAGATAAATAATAAAATAAAAAAAAGTATATATTCATCTTTCCCTTTCTCTTAAAATGATTAAAGTACTCCATAGTATACAAAACAGGTACATAATCATCTTGAGTAGTAGAAAATTTTAAGATTCTACATGTGTAAACTGTGAATCATTGTCTTAATCAAAGTTAGGAAGGGTGTGTTTTCATTTATTGTACAATCATTTAAGTAGTCTTTGGTACATAAAACAGGAATATATAATCATTTTTATATTCAAAAGGTCAAGAATTTGTCGAGGCATTTAAATTATTTTCATAAATTAAAATGAAAAGAGAGAAGTCATGGAGCAGAAAGACTTTTTTCTGCATTTTTTCCTTTCTAGTTCGAGATCCCACTGCAGGATTGGTGCGTTCATCGGTTATTTGTTTAAACCAAATTTTTATGTTTATTTATAGTTAGGTGAACATATATTTACTAGGGTGTCTATCAAAATTTGGCCGCCATTGTTTTTAATTAAATTCTTTTAATTAATTTTTGGGAAAAAATTCCGTTTATTTATTTTTTAAATAAAAAAACCTATGTAAATGATAGTAATTTATATGAATATTCAAAAAAATCACGGTTGCCATTGCGCACCTAGCCGCAACTCTTCACACCCTGGCTACGAAAAATAATTTAATTAAAAATAATAAAAACGAATACTTTACTGGTTAATAATCGGCTATTTGATGAGGGTCATGGCTAATATTCATTATACTTCCGAATATACTTTTCGTTGCAATCCTATTTATTTTCCACATTTCTTTGTCCTCAGAGTTAAGGAGCGCAAATAAACAAACTTACCACCAGAGGATGGACTTTTTACAACGTAACCGAGTTTGATAAAAATTGCAAAACAATACAGATATTTCTGATACGTACAGTTATAAGTTCTAGACTTAGGTATATAGGAAGCTGGAGCAGGGAAACGAGGGATTATAAAAGATAGAAGGGGACTAGGGTCTAAGGGGTCCAGGATCTAACACTCATTGAAGGAAACGAGGCCCTAAGAGCCTTTCAACAGTGACCTATCATCAAGGGGAGGAAAGAACAACGACAAACAAGATGCTGCCTATAAAAAATGGTCAAAATACTAAAATAAAATATTAAGAATGAAGTACATATTTTATACTTGCTGCGCCCCGCGGTGTTTCCCGCGGGTTTCCAGGATTTCCGGGATGTAAAGTAGTCTATGTGTTATTCCTGGACGTCAGCTTCCTGTACACAAAATTTTATCAAAATCGGTTCAGCCGTTTGAACGTGAAGAAGTAACAAACATACACACACACTCACAAACTTTCGCAATTATAATATTAGTAGGATTGAAATGTCAGTAAGTATGTTTTCTTAGCAATAGTTATAAAAGTATTCCAAGTATGATTTCTCACAACTGTGTTGTTCTGTAAGTGAGACCGGCCTGAAAGGATCACGTGGCTGGAAGTTGACAGCACGAGACTTGGCGGCGACTACAGGCTTTAAAAAACAGGATCGAATTATATCGTACTTAAAAATAACATCAAAAACAGATAACTATACATAGAATATTTTCCATTTGACTATTCGAAAATTTGTATACTAAACTCTAAAACTAAAACGAAATTTAAAGCTACAGGGACATTCAGTTCAAATTATATCGCGCTTAATGTACATAAAACAATCAAGTGTATTGGCTTAATTGTTTCATATATATGAAGTGTTCACAAAATGCGACAGTAATACCCCCATGGGCGGCTCGTGGACCCCCGTCCGCCGCGGCGCCGGGCGGAGGCGCTTTGAAGCCTCGCTCTCACACCTTCCGCGGACTTTGATTGATTCCGCCACATTCACTTCTTAATATAAACGGTCATTTATTAACAGGACCACTTAACACGTGTTGACGAATAATAATAATAAATATATGTAACTTTTAACGTTTTATATAGTAAAGAAAATATCATATGTAAGTCGACAATGTACTAGTGCAAAAAACGAATTTAAACTGTCATCTTCATCCCAATGACGATTTCATTTTATTTATTTGAATATAATTCAAAGGGTACGTACAGTGAACACAGTTGTGAAGTGTTAATAGACTCTCTCATGACAAACGTCGACAGAGCTTAGTTATTTTATTATAGAACATTCAAAGCTCAAAAAAGAATCTCGCTGAGAATTTTTGCAAAATCAGCGAAACGTCTGCTTATTGTGATGCAACTGTCAAAGGAAATTTCATAGAATGTTTTATGAATGACAAAAAAAAAAGAGAAAAATAGCTCCATTGTAACAGAGTCGAGTACGTACAACGGCTGAGGTGAGAAACGACGATCCGACCGTGAAATTGTACAAATAAATAGCGGTAAAGATAACAAATTACGGGGAAATTGCTAATGATGAGCGGAGTAGGACCCGCGGGCGGTGCATTAAGCCGGCGGCAAACATCAAAGGGCCCTTTGACCGAGCCGACAGTCGACACCCTCCCCTCCCCTCGACCCCAACACACACCCCTCGACACCCTCGCGACTACCCGCGACGATACTACAGGTATGACACGTCACATTTATATTACTGCTACACATTTAAAAATTAATTACTCGTGATAATTAACATTCAACTAACCGGTCGAGTGATTCATACGGTCAAACTATGTATAATGCCAGGATCAAACACTAATCATTAATGTCAATGACAGATAAACAAACGAACGTATAATGATATAATGTTATGATACGATCACTCTCCCGCACCTCCCGGGCTTCGCTTTGATAGTTTTTGTCCGCGCCTGTGATTCACCGACGGCTTAATAAAGTTTCACGTCAAACGACACCGCTACTTTTGTGTGTCGCTACACAAGTCGCATCCGATTACATCCTTTGATGTGAGCCTCGACAAATTGTAACATTCGTGAGGGGCGGGCAGCGGGGGGGGGATTCTTTTAATCGGGACGGCGAATTGTGAAAGGGTTGATACTATCAGACATCGGACGTCCAGTTGATAATGACGGACGTGGGAAATATTAGAGAAATTAAACGCTATCCCTACTAATATTATAAATGCGAGAGTAACTCTGTCTGACTGTCTGTTACGCTTTCACACCTAAACCAATGAACTGATTTTAATGAAATTTGGTACAGAGATAGAGCTGACCTTGAGGAAGAACATAGGATAGTTTTTATCCTAGACTTTTGAAAGGTTCTCTTGGAAACGCGATGTAACCGAACTCCACGCGGGCGAAGCTGCCGCCGGAAAGCTAGTATAAAATAAATGCTTTGCATAATATTATTTAATTTCGCGAATGTGATACATTTGTATATATCAAACTAGGTATGTAAGTATCATTAAAATGTGTAACGATAGTCTGTGATATTGGTGTGATGTCAAGGGCGGTGTCGTGAGACGTGGGGCTGGAGAGGCTCGTTATCACACTCTCGGCGAGCCCGCGGCCCCGGCGACGTATAACGACATGTTCAAGAGCAGACACTCGCCGACACCGCACGCGACACACCAGACACACAGACACGACGTACATACCAATATGATACACCAAAAAAATTCTTATGGAAAAAAATTTTTTTTTTTCAGGATATGTATATAAATTTAAACCAAAAAAATCCTTCTATATAAAGTTTGCACATAAGATCTAAGAGTTTCTCGAGTATTCATTTAACTAATATTATTATTACTACGCGTATTTTATTATTTTAAAAAGATAGTAAGACCACAAATCTTCGTCCCATCCAAATAAAGTCCAAAACATTTATCATAATGATAATACAATTCGTCCGAGCCGCCACAGAGTTCACTTATAACCTCATTACAGTTAATTACAAAACAAACGATCAAGGGTACGTTTACTTTTGACAATTTGGATGTTAAAACTCTCCTCAGACGGATAACTTGAGTCAACAAATCAAAAAGCTAATTCACAATTACTTAAATATAATAAATGTTTTCCTGCAATTAAATAAGAATATCCCTTTGAGGTCTCTGTTTCTGTTGATTCTTTCTCCGTAACATTTATATATATTTTTAATATTATTTTTCATCAAATGGGGTGGTCAAGTATTACGCAAACATACCCACGGAGTCGGCTCGTGGATTCAATGTTTTTTGCTTCCGTTTACTCACTATATCCACAGAGATGGCTATATTAAATGTTACGTATACAAAATACACAGGAAAAATATATATTTTTTTGTAAATTGATTCGCTTTTTTTTAGCAATATACAGATTTTTTGTATGTACGTTATAATAAACAAACCATGTATGGGACTTTTAAAAATTATTAAAATCTTTTTTAAGCCGTTTATATATTAACTTTGCTACCAAAACAAAATAGTATGAGAGCTTGTTTTCGTATCTTTTATTAAGATGTGTTAACACATTACGAGAAACCTTAGCGTTTATATCTGAAAAAAAGGAGACATCTTCGGTATTAAATCTTCTAAGAAAAAAAAAACTCCAATTTTAGTATTTACAGAGGTTTTTTTACTCGCTTATACAACTGAAAGAAATTAAATGAATATAATAAAATATATGCCAGTGTCGAAGTAACATCGGGTGCTGTCGAAGCAATCAATACAAGTTATTGTTCAATTAAATAATTTTTCGTTGAATAGTTATTGTAATTGGTCTCAGATTGTATCTCAGTCGTGTATTGGACAAGGTCCAGACGACGAATTCATTGTTGCGACTTAATTGAATCATTCCACATTAAATTGGCCATTTACTATTGATAATTTTAACGATGCATTGTAACATTTATTTGTTAATAAATTTACCTAATATTTCTTATATAATATGATAGATTTTTAATTATTTTACTTTCAAAAATTCCGTCGTTTATATGCTTCAGTATGGCTAACTTTGATTCAATCAATTTAATTGAATACATGACGTTATAATGTAATCCAAGTCGGTCACAACTAGTGTATACTACAAAGCTCTTAGAAGCCATGTTTGCAATCCCATATCAACATCAATTGTCCAAATATCGATTCAATGCTGAGTGTAGACGTACATACAGATCTACGCCTCAAGTGACACTAGACGTCGGTCTCAAAGGCTAGTGTTTGCCCCTTTGTCTTATCGGGCAATTAGCGAGCACCGTACATTTAATACTGCCGCTCGATTAGTACAACTCCAGGTGGCCATTAATTGTGAAGCCAATTTCGGATGCCGACGCGACTTCACCTACCCCCAGAACCGCCCTTCATGACATACTAACTGATTGATATTATTATTGGTATTCAAACGTCTGACACAATTAATACAGAACTTCGCATTAAGAACCGCTCCTTACACAAAGCTGTACACATCCGAACAAATGGACATATAATTATTGAGACACACAATAGTTGGATTATAAAAAAGATCTTATAATATTATGTTACATTAGATAAAAACGCTCAGCCCGCATTTAGCGAATTATTCAGCTGTCTAGTGGAATGCATTAGCGAGAGTCTTTCTGAAACTTTGTGTTTACTTTAGAGCGATAGAGTTGTCAACTTGATGAATTACTATAGAACAGTAGTGGAGGTTGAGGGGGGCCCGCATATCGGCTCACAACTTTTATATTACTGGATTGGCGAAATTCATACTTCAATCTTCATACATTAGACACAAATATGTATATTTATTATTTGTACACGTTTCATACCTGCGTTATACGGTTGCAGTTTCAGTGCGCAACTGAAAGCTTTTTAGAACATTACGAGATCTATTTGCGTAACGAGTTTTGTTTGTCGTAACTGAATCAAAGGGACGTCCTGTTTTTTAGTAATTTAACGTTTTAAAGTGATTTAATATTATTAGTAGGGAATACGAGTATAACTGGATGGTTCACTTGATAAACTATATTGTTTATATGTTTTAATACGTCGTATTCGTTGTAGGCGGTTTGTTCTTTGTATTTTTTTGGTTTTTTCATAGTCTCCAGACGGTGTATATTAACAATGTGACGTAGGATCCGCCGAGAATCGAGCCAGACATGATAATTCTTTGCATTGTGAAAAAAAATGTAAGCTTGACGCTCTTTGGAGCTGGTTCCCGTAAGTCCCACTTAGACGACAAAGCTATGAATCCTACTCTGTGATCGTCCCCTTTGCAATCTGACTCCTTTTGACTCATTATAGGAACGTCCTAACAGTTGACTACGGCGCTTTAATTAATATACTATATTATCATTTTAATATACATAATATTATATTATAAATATTGTACAATAAAATGATAACTAGTTAAAAATTTTGCATCGGCATTTTTTTCAATATAAAAAAAAATAAATCAATTTATTTTAACCACAACAACAAATAACTTCGTTTCGCTTCAGATACCATCTTTACGATTTTTAAACCTATTAATTAAATAATTATATTTTAATAAAATTATATACAAAAAAATTAAATTAAAAAATCATTATCTATATTAATATAGTATTCCATATATATATTATAAGCCAAATAAATGTTATACAGTAGTAAGATAGCCGGCCGCTTATAACATAGTTCGTCGCGTCGGCGGTATTAGCGCAATGTCGCATCTTCAGAGGGCGGTGAGATCAAAGGATAGGTACACAACAACCGCTCCCATTGATGTCGGCCACAAAGGGGATTGATTGTTGCAAACCGAAAAAAATATACAAAACCTACATAGATGTAAAGACGCTGGAACTATCATATTTGCATGTTATATTAGCATCGTGGCTTCTTGTACAAACATATTCTTTTTATAAATTATATATGTAGGAAGAGTTGAAAATTATATATCTTTTATACTCTTCATACCAAGTAATAGTTGTTTTTCTTATATATTTTTCTAAATATAGTTAACTTCAAACAATATGTCTCATGCAAGTGTTACCGGTGAAGTTATTATCTTTACAAACTATATGAGAAACTTTGATTTACTTAAATAGTTATATATTTGAATATTTAATATATAAATATATGAAACAATCATAGTATAATGTTATAGCATTTTTATAATAATATTCATATTTCTTCTATATTATGTTTAAGTAATTATGGGAGAAATGATAAATAAAGTAAAACTTATAAAACCTAGTAGGTTTAATATATGCATAAAATAAATGAAGCCTTTATTTTCTTGGGCTCCTTACAAAAATTATTAGTTAATTATAATACTCAATAATATCTAAAAGACTAGGTATGAAAATTGGAGAAATGGTTATTTTATAACTTTAAATAAATAATATTTTTCTTTAGTACAATTAATATTTTTATATAATATAGTAAACATTGAATTTCTGTATAAAATCTGCTCTTTGTAATCAGTATTGACAATAATATCTTTTAATAAAAAGAAGATTACAAATAAAATTAAAGTGATAACTAATCAATGATTTTTTTTAAATAAATGTTTATAAAATATTACTGCTACAAAGTAGTCAGGTAATTAATAAATTTTATGATTTTGATAAAAAAAAAAATATAATAAAATATTTGAATTTTAGAAACTGTTTCAATAATAATTTAAATGAATAAACAAAAACAAATGAATATTTAAAAATAAAATTTTACATTCATATCTTCTGTTTTTTTAAAACGCGTAAAACAAAAACAAAACTGTCCAAACTAGCGTTGTACTCTGCTCGAAAGACAAGACATAACCTTACACTAAATTATTTATAACTATTACCTGTTCACAATGTACAATAACAGATACTGCTTAGGCCAATTAATGAACCCGAATGTAACACATCGTGCTTTAATGCTTAAATTATAAATGTTAGAAGTCATAATTTTGAAAAAAGCTTTAATATCTTACCTCGTTGACACCTGAATTCTCAACTGATCCCCGGAGTTCGTTACAACTTTTATCACCAAACTTTGAACTTTTGTCCAATATAATTTGCACTAGATAAATAACTCACACTTTTGGTAACTTTTAATGTTGTCTTTTCACTTAGAAACTAACATAAAACAAGAGGTTTTTGATAAAAACAAAAATTTATCCACACACGGTTGACGTCGCTTTCGCCATGGTGTTGATGGAGACACAAACGCCACCTAGCGGTTATCTTGCTTATTAAATTGTCAAACATTATTCCACATGTGTTTTTCTTAAAAGATATTGTATATTTTGATATACAAAACAATTTACAAATATAATGAATTTATTTTGTCTTTCTGAAATTACTATAATATTAATAACATTTTAGAGAATTTTGTGTAATACAGATTATACAACAATACTTGACATTTCTGTAACGCGCTCAATTATAAATTTAGGCCAGTGTCTGCTATTTTCAAGGACGTGTGTTACTCTAGTTATAGACTACTTCATTGCTTTTACTTGAACAATTGACTTCAACATAAACAGTAACAGATTTGGGACGTTGCACAATTCGCAAACTTAACAGGCAGTAGAGAGATCACGATAGACATTTTTAAGTCACAGAATTACGCTCTATATGCGTATACATTAAAGAATATTGAGATTTGGATCTATTAATATTTAATGGAAAACCAAGTATAATTTATTATCTGTTTTTGTAAATATAAATTTCAGAATTTTATTAAGTTTTAGAAAGGATTCTTTATGAATTTACTTCAAAACGTTTAAAAAGGGGTAAAATTAAACAACTTTTATTTTAAGTATTTATTGTATTGTGCAATCCAAGTTATCAAAATATAATACCTCAGACATGGTTTTAAACTTAAACACCATCAGGAAAAACAACAAAAAAGATGTGTTACACAATCTTAATAGAAAATAATCACACAAAAGCTGCATATATGCAAAAAGCCTCTGAGTGTAATGTTTAGAATTGTCAATATACATATATATTCCTTTCATTGTAATAAAAGGTCCAAAATTAAGGATTTATTGACTATATAGTGATCAAATAAGTCGAAGATTATGAATTTAACTTAACATATACCACAGACATCTTGGTAAATTTATAAAAGAAGATACTATAATATTATAGCTTTACTAATGTATATACTTATATGTACATTTAATATTCAAACTTCTTCAGACCGGTTACTTATTTGGTCAACATAAATCATAGTCCACAGTGTTCATATTTCAAAGGCTAAAATTTTCACAATAAGTAAAAATATTATCATCAGTAGTTTATTGACTTACAAATATAATATTAAGTGCAGGAGAATGTAAAAGTCACTGTATAAAATAATATGATTTACTTATTAACCTGTTTTTATCTATTTAGTGAAGACAAATAAAATTTTATTGTTGAGACAAACTTTTCATATGAGGTTATGGGAATTACGAAACATGCTTCATTAATCTACATGATATAAACAAAAAACTTTATAGTTGTTGTCTTTGAATCAAGTTACTTTTATTGTATAGATATTAGTCCTATATTGAGGTACAAAACATTGATTTTCTACTTAATTGACAGTATTTATTATCCTAAATTGTGATATTTATATTTTCAAAGAATAATTATAGATTATATATTAAAAATCATTTTCTATGAACAGCACAAGCCTCTCATGTATGTGTAATACATTTTAGTCACTATCAAATATCAACTATCTATATAAAATTCAACAGACTGCTTATTTATAGACATCCATCAATAATATAAATTAACATTTTCGGTGTTTTCAGTAATAAATAAAAAAGCCTTATGAGTAATTGTTAGATGATACTATTTTATTTCTTTAGGCTCTTTATAAAGTTGGTCATATCATACTCTTCTTCATACAGTTTGTCATCCCAGAGGTCGGGGAGGTTTTCTATAAGAGATTTTGAACACTGTGCTCCCGTTGAACCCGAGCTAGGTCCAGATCCAGGAGACTGAAATAGATCCAACAATTGATCTGTGCCCATTGTTTCTAAGGCCGCGTTCTCACTGCTGATTACTGTGTTAGCAGTCATCAACTTGAATTTTTGTAATCTGCAAGAAATTGTTTTGTTACATTAAAACATATCTACTGACTAAAATAAATTATAACTTTTTCAGCTTCTGGTGAAGTGAAACTTATGTTATATTATAAAGATGTATACTAATAAAATTGTATAGACAAAGATATTTTTCAAGTATACAGTTATGCTATAACATATAATACTGACCCCATAATCTTTTCCTCCAGCGTGTCTCTCGTTATCAGTCTGTATACATTAACAACCTTCTTCTGTCCTATGCGGTGAGCTCGGTCCATGGCCTGTAAATCCTTCATGGGGTTCCAGTCGTGCTCCACAAATATCACCGTGTCCGCTCCAGTCAGATTCAAACCTAGACCGCCCACCTGAAAAATATACCATACTGATATATAAAGCTTATGAACTTGTCATATATAAACCAATTAAATATAACATTTTTTGATATACTACGCGTTGTTAATTATTTTAAAATTACATACTCCATATCATATATGTATTATTAAAATTTCTCATTTAGTCTGCCAGTGATTACAGTTGCTACAAACTGCAAACTAACCGAAACGTCGGGAGTATGTAGTTACAACAATTAAAAGTTCGCAATGTATCCGAAACATTAATTTTATTTAAATACATAATTGTCATATACCATATGAATTCAATAGTTAAACTAAACTAACATCATTTTTAAATCATAATGATACATATCGTCGAGGACAGTGCTAATCCGCGTAACTACCATTGTATAATTCCGCGTATGTACATTGGAGGCCGATTTTCAAAACAAAGTTTAGGCTGAAATATTTTCTAAATTAACTACTTTAAAGGTAATTTTTTACAATTAGTAATAAATTAAACACTAAATAATCACTAATTGTGAACAAGTTAATGATTAGTTAAGTTCTATATTTAAAGCATTTAATATAGAAAATATTTCAGCTTTAACTTTCTTTGGATAATTTGAATCCAATACACATATTATGCAAACCATTGCATAATAACTACCAAGTTACGTAAGTTATTACTATCCCCGACGATATGTAAGTTTTATACATATAACTCACAGCGGTGGTAAGCAGTAGTACATCGATAGACACGTCTGTATTGAACCGTGTGACTATCGCGTGTCGTTGGTGTGGCGGCACGCTGCCGTCCAGCCGCAGATAGCTGACCGATGGTAAATGTTTCTGTATCAGATCCTTCTCCACGATGTCCAGCATCTTCTTTAGCTGACAGAAGATCAACGCGCGGTGCTGAGACACTACTGCACTCTCCTCACCCGTTGACGCGCTGCCGATGCCGCAATCGAGGAGCAGTTGCCTGGATGACGTATTAATTAATTATAGTTTAGGCAGAAATTTTTATATTATTACATAAATTGTAAACGAATCTGTTTTTCGTTTTTTTCTTACAGGTAACATACAAAATAATTAATATAAGTAAAAAATTGTCTTTGAATACAATTCTATTGTAGCTTATATCAAATTCAATGAAATTCGTATAAAAAGCAATAACAAGATATTTTTATTATGTACTCTAAAGATATTTTAACGTTCTCGCAATAAGACTATATTCAATGTAAAATATATAATTAAAACACCTCAAGCTTTAGCAAAATTTCATCACTATCCCTTCAAACAGATTAGTGCAAAGTATTCACAACTTCGAAAGTTATTCACATGACACATCCATGAAATTGGCTCCTATACGCTGATGTTGATGACATGACATATATCCCAATATGTTAAATTTATAACAGTATGTATTATATTATGTGTTGTATTATAGTATATTATATGTTGTATTATTCACTTGAGCGCGGGCAGCTTAGCTCCGTGTTGTATGTCATCGAGGGAGGAGCCGGCGGCTGCCAGCTGTTGTGTGACACGACTCGTCTCCGGGTGAGAATCCATCAACACTAACTTGGGATGATTACACACGTTCTGGAGGTAATGAAGAGCCTGGAAATATACATTAATGTTATCTTTAATATCATCATCAGCCTATCAGAGAACACTACAGAGCAAAGGATTTCTCACATGGAGAAGCTTTGAGCATTAATTACCACGCTTGCTCAAGACGGGTTGGCGATTTAAAACTTATGATTTGAAATTATAAGTCCAGGTTTCCTCACGATATTTTGCTTCACTATCTGTCAGTGGTGTTTAAATACTCTTAGAATGTACATATGACTCGGAAAAATTATATTGGTACTTGCCCATCGAACCCGCGTCCTCATGCATGAGAAGTTAAGCTTTAATCACTATGCCACCATGACTTATTTTTCCTTTAGTATGGTTGTGACAAAATTATTATTATTATTATTTAATTGCATCATTTCTTAGTACCTGAAACACGTGCGTGTGTGAGTGGGTAGCTTCCTGTGGCATGTGTTCCTTAGAGAAGTGTTCGTAGAGTCTCCGCTGTAGCGGACTCAGGTCGCAGTAGTAGTCCTGGGTTATTTTCGGCGGCAACTCTCGAAGCACGTCCTCTTTAACACGACGCAATAAGAATGGTAGAACCTAAAACACGAACATGTATATGTTTTCATCTTTATTTATAAAAGAGGTACCTTAGAATAACAGAAAGGACATAGGATACTTTACATCCGATTGAAAAAAAAAAATAAGTTGATCAAATCCAATATCTTCTTATCTACTGTCTTTAAGGAGGAATAGAGTTCGCCCGGTCAGTTGTACATTTCTTTTCTAAAATTAAGGCAGACGAAGTCGCGGCCAAAAACTAGCATTCAATAAAACCATAAAAATACCTAAGTTAATTTATATTTTCATTCTTCGCAGCTATTTTTCATAAATCAATAAGAAAGTGTAATGCTTCTATATTGAATAAAGTCATTTGAGTTTGAGTTTATGAGAATAAATCTGATGTTTCACCTGTCGATGTAGTGCTTCACAGGCAAGTGCCCCAGCTTGCAGGTGGTGGGGCGAAGCGCGAGGGTCACGTGCTGCCAGTAGGGGGCGTGAGTAGCGCGCTGTGAACTGACGCTCAGAGCCTAACAGGCCCGGCATTAAGAAATCGAACAGCGACCACAACTCCAGGACGTTGTTCTGGAAAATGTTTATAGAAGGTACTTTCTAGAATGTTCTAATATTAACATTTTTGTATATAAAGATAATTTATAGTAATTTTAACAGTGTTTACAAAGACAAAGACTGTATGTAGACCTAAGATTATATTTGTCTCTAAGCAATATACATTTATATAAAGTTATTTAATTTAATTTGAACCGAAACTCTAATTCCCAACGCACCCGAAGTAATGTTAAAGCGATGACGTTTGGTTTGTTCTCTTTTACGCGGGAAAGTATTTTGTCAACACGACTTGTCTTCGTAAATTGAATTCAACTTATTTAAGGTTTTGGTTTAAGATAATAATTAGTTAGTTCTTGTTAAGATTTTATTGTTAAAAGTACTGGCTTTATAACAAAACCATATTTTTAAATGATTTTGTTAGAATCATAAATATATATTATCTGTACCTGTATCGGCGTTCCGGATAGAATCAGCCTGTGATTGGCGACAATTTGCTTGATGGCCTTGAAGGCTTTCGTCTTCCCGTTCTTGATGACGTGGCCTTCGTCAAGGATGCAGTAGTTCCATTTAATGCCGCTGAAGAAGTCAATGTCTTTCCTGACTATATCATAGGAGGCTACTATAAGGTTGTAGAACGGTACTTGGGCTCTTAGCCTCTCTCGCTCCACTGGCGGACCCACGTAAGGGAGTGGCTTTAGGTATTGAGACGGTATAAACTTGGTCACTTCGAATACCCAGTGACCTGAAACATACGAACAAAAGGCTGAATATGTTGTAAGTTACTACTAGGTTACGTCAACTTTTATTTTATTCAGAGATATAAATAAAGTATGTTTTAAAAAAAATAACTATATTTACAGACCGCGTCTCGTGACTTAATAAAGTCGCATTTCTACGAGGTGTTACATTAATGGAAATTTTTATCAACATCAGTATAGTAGTTAGAAAGCAACATCCCTACTAATATCATAAATGCGAAAGTAACTCTGTCTCTATGTCTGTTACGCTTTCGCGCCTAAACCACTAAACTGATTTTAATGAAATTTGGTACAGACATAGAGTTGACCTCGAGAAAGGATATAGGATAGTTTTTATCCCAGACTTTCGAAAGGTTCTCTTGGAAACGCGATATAACCGAACTCCACGCGGGCGAAGCTGTTTGAGATTAAGATTAAGTGCATAAGTCAACTTCAGCTGGCATATATTCATTATGATTTATGATGTAATAGTGTATGTGTGAATGTCAAGTATTATACCCTAAGTATTATACACGACACAACCTCACTTAATTGGACGCCCCTGGAAATCGCACCATATTATTACTTCAGCAGAATATTGTTATGTTTTTAACATTGAGTTATTGCTGGTAATAAAGTATTTTTAATTATTTTCATACCTGTGAGTGTGGGCGGGCACACGACGAGAGAGGGCATCTGCGGAGCCCCACTCTGTGCTCGCTCATAGTGCGAGCCGGCCACAACCACGACTGACTGTAGCGTCTTGCCTAGACCCATGTCATCACACAACACGCCGTGCAGCTTGTACTCGTTCAAGAAGCGGAGCCAGTTGACACCCGCCTGGAGAATAACTTATAATTATATACAAACTCATTACATATATGACTACGATATGATTCCGGGAATATGATGGAATTACGGTTATATGTAAACATAGGAATAAGTTACAGACGTAATATACAGGGTGACTCGTGAATTACTATCACTATTTAAGGAGCATACTCGATACATGATTCTCATTCGAATTATGTAAAAAAAATAGGTACTTAATTTTTGACCAAATTTCCGTATAAATAAATAAACTGTGTACACGTTCCAAGTGTTCCAAGTGTGGACGCGTGCGGCGGCGTGCTGATACAACAACACGCCGCCGCGCGCGAGTGTGTGTGTGTGTATACCCAATCTGTAGGGTGTTCACACGATGCGTAATTAATTACATAACTTTTGGTTAACTTTACTGAGAAGTTTATTAATATTTATGTTATATTAATTTTTATTTTGTCATATATGATCGTCAAATATCACGTCCTCAAATATCGATAGTCATTCACCAGTCACCCTGTATACATAAATATATAATTTTAACGATTTATTATACACTGCTTGAACAAAAACCCACGTATGTTTCATATTATTACAAAATAAGTATCCTACTAATATTATAATTGCGATAGTTTGTGAGTGTGTGTATGTTTGTTACTTCTTGACGCTCAAGCGGCTGAACCGATTTTGATAAAATTTTGTATACAGGAAGCTGACGTCCAGGTATAACACATAGGCTACTTTACATCCCGGAAATCCGCGGGTAACACCGCGGGGCGCAGCTAGTATAATATTTATTGTTAGTGACCTGCTGGTAGCTCCGGAGTTCAGCCGTCACCGGTATAGGTATCTTATAATCTTTGATGGTCTTAGGGTTGAAGAGTTGATCGAGGAAGGTTTTATCTTTGTTCCGTCGGTGCAGCATGTCGGGGGACAGGTCGGGGGGCGCCGCCGCCGGCCCGTCGAGAGGCATCAACTGGATCAGGGTGGCGAAGCACCGCGTGGACATAGTGCGCACTGACGGGTTGTGGTCACTCATACGACCTAAAACATAAACATAACTTACTAAATTTGCATGAAAAAAACTAGTTTTTGGTAATTTTTTTTGATCTTATTTAGTGTAGAATGGATTAATTAATTGTTAAAAAAATAATAATTTTGAAAACACCTTGTTATACATACAAGATACAATTATAAGTAATAAACATTTTGTAATATACGTTTTAATGCTTTTCATGGTCTGTATCCAAAATTATGATAATAAATAAATATATGATTAAAATATAATGCTAAAAAAACTATTTTATTTAAAAATGACATTGTAAAAAAAATATACGTGATAGAAAAATTTTGATACCATATTTCCATTTCGTACTATTGAATCAATAATAATAATTCTTAGTTATTTAAAGGAGACAAAATTTTTTTTTGCAGACCAGTGTTATTTTGGACTATGATTTTACACTATTAGGTAATATTAAATAATAGAATCGTTAATAGCCAGCGGTTTATGTATACCTAACAGCGGCACGACCAACAAAGCGATGTAAGGCACCACATTCAACTGTAAGGAATCCACGACACGCGCTAGGCCTTCCGCCGCGCCGCAACGGACGCGAGGACTGGGGTGCTCCAACGACGATACCAACTAGAGAACACGAGTTTCATTATTAAAGTTATAATAATATATTTGTACTATTGCGACATTAAATCGCGTAAATAGAGTAGTTATTTTCAATAATAAACCTAAAGAAATGTTGGTTGTGGGTGAAATCTTCATATCTTTATATATATAATTTTTCTGTGAGTGTGTATGTCACTGAACTTCTCTCAAACGACTGAACCGATTTTGATGAAATTTTTTGTGTGTGTTCAAGGGGATCTGGGAATGGTTTAGATTCACAATTTTGTCCGCTGGACAATGTTTTTTTAATTAATTTTTAATTTATTAGTAGTTGTTGATACAAACGTTTTTTTTACATTGGATTTCACAACTAACATGTCAATCATTCTGTCGCACTTCAAAACACGGAACTTTATAGCTTTAATAGATAAACTCCAAAAAATATAAATAAAAAATCGTAACAGATATTTCTTGATTATAGGGCGACACGAAGTTCGCCGGGTCTTCTAGTAAATATATAATATTCGTTATAAACCAACCTCATCGACTAGAACGCGCATAACTGGATGTGGATCTCTCTGTGCGATGGCGGCTAACGCGCGGGCCGCCATGTGTCGCAGGGCCGTGTGACGCGCGCGACATAGAGCTGCACACGCGCCCACGCCGCTCACTACACGCGCCCACACCCGCCCACTACCACTAACTGACGAACTACCCGCTTTTTCTTTTGCTGAATCGCTATCACTGGCGTGTTTATCATCTTTGCCTTTGCTCTCAATAAACCTCGTAATATTCGGCACCCGTCTGCCCACACTGCCCGCCACAGCTTCTACTACTTGGAGTCTCGATATTAATTCTTCAACCACTTCCTCGGGAATATTTTCCAATTCTGTAAGACGTAGAAATATAGGTTAAACAGGCGTATACATATCCCAACACCTATAATGTTATACATATATAATGAATCATACCTTCATCGGACATAACTTTTTCGAACGGTTCAATAATAAACTCCCACAGCCTCGGCAATTTCTCAGGCAGATCATCACCGAAATATTCCGTGAGACTGGTCAAGGCCATCGTTGCGCCTCTTCTTTGTATTCGAAGCAATTTCCTGGCCTATGACATAAAATAATACAACTGTACTCAAGACTAGGTTAACATATTAATGAAATAGTAAAATTTACATGTAAACATAGAATTTACTTTAAAATAATCAAAAATTTAAGTTTCTTTATATAGTCTGTATAGTTGTAGCCTCACCTCATCTTCGTGCGGGAACATTTGATCCAGTGTGAGGTCGTTGTGTGCGTTTGTGTGTGTGTGTGCGGGCGGCCGGCCCCGCCTTGTCACAAGACGCTCCGCACTCCGCTGCTGCTCGCGGAGAGTCAGGATACCCTCGTACTTGTCCACTAAACATACACGCCAATATAATATATAGCAAACTGAATTCGTCATTTCTCAAGTAAATTTGTCATTGCCAAAAAGTTTTCTGAATACACCCTAAATCATACAAGTACCATTCTTAGTCACCAATGATCACTTAATACTTACTTCCTACTGATCAAAGATAATGACTTTCATATACAGGGTGACTGGTGAATTACTATCGATATTTGAGGACGTGATATTTGACGATCATATATGACAACATAAAAATTAATATAACATAAATATTAATAAACTTCTAAGTAAAGTTAACCAAAAGTTATGTAATTAATTACGCATCGTGTGAACACCACACCCTACAGATTAGGTATACACACACACACACACACACACACGCGTTGGCGGCGTGGTGTTGTATCAGCACGCCGCCGCACGCGTCCACACTTGGAACACTTGGAACGTTTCCACACTTTATTTATTTATACGGAAATTTGGTCAAAAATTAAGTACCTATTTTTTTACATAATTCGAATGAGAATCATGTACCGAGTATTCTCCTTAAATATTGATAGTAATTCACCAGTCACCCTGTGTATTTATGGTATATATAAATACTCACAACTCGGTGTCTGATTGGCGGGACCTTCCGTCTCCCCTCCACTATCACCACTTCCTGAATCACCGTTAACTTCCTCCGTCGTCTCCAAATTGATACGCGGAGTGAATTCTGGATCGCAACTATAAAAAATCATAGTCAATATAAATACTGTAACATATATATACTAGAACACCCGGAGAACTTCGTATCGCCTTATAATCAAGAAATATCTGTCACGTTTTTTCATTTATATTTTTGGAGTTTACCTATTAAAGCCATAAATCTCAGTATTTTGTAGTGCGACAGAATGATTGACATATTAGTTAGTTGTAAAATCTAATGTCAAAAATAAAGTTTGTATCAACAACTACTAATAAATTAAAAATTAATTAAAAGAATATTGTCCAGCGAACAAAATTGTGAATCTAAACCATTGACAGATCCCTTTGAACACACAAAAAATTCGGTCCAGTCGTTTGAGAGTAGTTCAGTAACGTACACACTCACAGAAGAATTATACAGGGTGACTGGTGAATTACTATCAATATTTAAGGAGCATACTCGGTACATGATTCTCATTCGAATTATGTAAAAAAAAATAGGTACTTAATTTTTAACCAAATTTCCGTATAAATAAATAAAGTTTGGACACGTACTCAGCCTTGCCGGCGCCAGTGTGTCGCTACTCCCCAACCCCCGCCCCGTGGCTAGCGGGCCATTAGTCGGCTATTAGTCGCGCGAGCGCCGCCGTAAGGTCCGTACGTTCGTCTTCCCGCGCGCGCGCCTTGCGATCGATCTTACGCGTATACCTAATAATAATCTGTCGTGTGTGCGTGTGACCCGTTATTACTTATTAGTAATTAAATATGGCTTTTCAATACACAAATGCAGAATACTTGGACATGGTTCATGCGTATGCGCGTGCAAATGAAAGCTTGCCGGGCGCAATCAATTTGTACCGGGAGATGTTCCCCAATCGTCGAGTACCTACGGCCAGCGTCATCTTAAACGCTAATCAAAGATTACGAGACTTCAGACAGTTCCGTGTTCCAACACATGCCCAAGGAAACGTCTTGTGTATGCTACAGAGTATGTAAACAGAGAGGAGTTGAAATTAAAAATCAATAGTGATTTCAAAACTATTAAAAGTGACCCATTCGTATTAAATCGTGTGAAAGACAATATGTGTAAACGTGCCGAACTGTGTATCACACGAGAAGGAGCTCGCTTTGAACATTTGTTAAGGTTAGTGTAGTTATGTAGGTAAATAGGTAGTTTAATGATTGACAATTGTTGTAAATAAGTATGATTCCATTTTTAAATACGCCGGAAATACCAAGATAGGTAAACAGTTCATATTATTTTTTGTGTCAAGGTCACACACCATTTACCTAGTCAATAAATTGGTTGCTTAAACGAAAGAAATATCTTGGTATTTTTGCCTGTCCTAAGCCAGGATTAAAGTATGAAGGGAAATGGATCATTTTTGTTTATCTAAGGTCTAACACGCGGCGGCGCGCGGCGTTTGGATGTAGGTAAACTACCGCGCGATAACTACATATACCTACGTACATAACTGTTTTGTGTCGATAACGCAGCTACGGTATCCACGCGATTCGTAATTAATTACACAACTTTAGGTTAACTTTACTCAGAAGTTTATTAATATTTATGTTATATTAATTTTTATTTTGTCATATATGATCGTCAACTACCACGTCCTTAAATATTGATAGTAATTCACCAGTCATCCTGTATATATAACCAGTTTTTGCCCGCGACTTCGTCCGCGTTAGTTTGGTCAAGAGTAATATATGTAGGTATAGCTGACCAGGCAGTGGTGGCCTAGTGGTTAAAGGGCCCGCCTCTCGTTGCCGAGGGCGCGGGTTCGATCCTGGCCCGGGCAAGTACCAAAGTGATTTTTCCGAGTCATGTACTTTCTAAGAGTATTTAGACATCACTGATTAATGTTGATTCCCAAAGAGAGGGTTAATGTCAGGCAGGCAGCAGGTCGTAAAAACAAATAGCCAAAACTATTCACAAACATGTAAGGCAGACCCTGGTTATAGCTGGAAAATTGCCGGGTAGAAGAAGAAGCTGACCAGGCAAACTCTATTCCGTCTTAGAGGCCATAAATAATCAGGTTTTTCCTGTTTCAATCAAACAGAATGATTGACATATTAGTTAGTTGTCAAATCTAATGTCAAAAAAAACGTTTGTATAGGAAATAGAAAAGGGCTGTTTTGAGGGTTTTTCCGGCAATTATTCCAATTTTTCTCACCTTTTAAACCTTTCCTGGACTTCCCGGAGTATTTCAAGACTAAAATTAGCCAAATCGGTTCAGCAGTTCTCGAGTTTTAGCGAGACTAAGGAACAGCAATCCATTTTTATATATACAGGGTGTATGAAAAACTGTGTCAACCCTCTTAACTACGTTATCAGTATCGATAATGTAACACAATAAAACAACTTACATTTACAAACTCTTCAATAAAAATAATAAAATTAAATATTAAATGATTATTATATGTAGAGTAACAAAATGTTTGTACCCACTGGTATAACACGATGACACGCAATGACGTCATCACAGCTGCTGCGCTACTAGTCACGACCTTGAAGTTACTTTCACATTATTGAAAATATCGATATTTAAAAAATCATAACAATAAATAAATATTTAATATTAATATTATTTCGATACTTATTTTGATATATCAAACATTAATATTATGTTTGATTGTAAAACACCATTTTTAACAGAAATAGATTAACGATTTATCCTAATAATACAACATATGTAGTTAATTTACCTGAACAAGTGTCAAATTACATATAATATTTATTATTAATAAAAGTTATTTTAAATGAAATTATTTTAATGTGAAAAGCATAACTATTTATAGCAATATTGAAAATGTCGATAGAATATTTATCGATATAACTAATTTTTACACTTTCAAATCTCTATTCGAACAAATAACAGAATAGTAATAATAACGCCGGCGGCCCGTCGCCTGTGGTCAATGGTCACGCATGTGCCGTAGCGACTATACGGTGTCTTGACCTTGTATGAGTCAGATGTTTGAAACATTCTTTCGAAAAATGTCGATTTAAAACTTACTTAGCCTATGCACTGTAACTAACTTCTGCTTGATTTTTTTTTAAGTTATACTATTTTTTATAATAAGCTTATACTTATATGTATACGTGCCTTCAAGGGTTGACACAGTTTTTCATACACCCTGTATAGAAGAAGATATAAATATAAAACAAATGAATACCTTAGGAAAGCTTTAAGGTTGGACAGAACTTTATTATTAGGACAGGGTTGTCTATGGACGAGCTGAGCCAGTAGCGCGGCCAGTGTCCCGGCCGACAGCTTCTGTAGTTCCTCTGAAGCCTCCTTTTTAATGCTCTCCATGAGAGGTCGCACCACTGGGTTAAGTCTCTCTGGTAACGCTGCCAACTGGGCCACCGCACTGCTGAGAGCGGCTTGTACTCTGAAATATATATAATATTTATTATCTTGACTCTTATATACATAATATTGTGTATAATATTTGATTTTATCCACGTTGTCCTCACTATTACATTCACAAAGTAATGATATATCATGAACTAACAGACAGCAACATGTATCGTGTATGCCACGCGATATCATACTACATACAACTATTGAGAGGTGTTTCAAAGAAAATTTAGAAGGAATGAATTATAACCTATGTTATTCTATTGGCAGTTATAATTTGTAAGTTATTGATTAGGTTCCTTCAATCTGTTCAGTATGTTTTATTAAAAAGTAATCAATATCTTCACTAAAGTCATGCATTTGACACGTTGTTAATATAAGATACTATATTACTAGTTACTACTATGTATGTTTGTATGTACGTACGCCACAGCTAGCGCGGCGTGTTCCCTCGTGGCAGCCCTAGCGGCCTCCAGTAGGGCTACACGGCGCTCCTCTAGTGAGGCGGCCACCCTCTTACTGCGAGCCCCGGCCACCGCCGCTTCACATCCCGCCGCTAACATTGACACCTACAAGTACAAAACATCACTATATTATCACTTAATATCCTGAAAGAATTTATTTATGTAATAAGCAGGTAAAAATTTATAGTTAGACAATGTATAACACCTTCATCATACCTGTTCAAGTCTCAATATATTATTATATTCTTCATTATCCACTGGTAGTTTGTAATGTTTTATCATGGCCAGCAGGTCGCGGGCCTCTTGTAGTATCCTTTAAACACGAACATCACTATTATTATCAATTATATATAAAAAAAACTTCATACCAATAAAAAAATGTAGTGAACCGTTTTAAATGAACCAAAATTCAGCTAAATAGTCGTAGTAAAGTGGAAACTAAAAATAAAATACAAATCTTCCATTATTAGTAATACCTGTTACAATTAAGAGCGACCTCATCATAATACAAAGTCTGGTTGAGTGCGGTGTGTAAGGCGGTCACCAGCGACGGTGGCGCTAGCTTAGATATAACACTGAGATTATCTTCCTGGAATTATATATATTAAAGTAACTAAAAAATTAATGTACATATGAATGGTTTGAAAATTATAAAAATTTGATGTTATGTTTAGAATTAACTAAATCCATAATTTATCTAAAGAGGTAACAGATTCATAATAAACTTTATTTATTAAAGAAAAGAGCGTATTATCCAGTGCATAAATAAAAATCCATAGTATTGTTCAAATATAAGTTACCCTAGTTTCCATATGTTTTAAGTGTGGTGGGTAAAGTCCATATCGCAAGGAGTTCCGCGCCCACGACGCCAACACTAGACCGGCGACCAGTCGCTGGAGAGCACTACTGGATCTCAGGTACACTAACATAACCTGTACATACAGACAATATTAACATAGAAATATACATAAAACATTTATACCATATCATTTGTTCTTTGAATAAAGAAAGTTGAATTTAATAACTTTATTATAGTTTTCTGATTGTGAACAATGATTTAATTTTTTTATAAATAAAAGTTACATTTGATGAGTTTAATATAATAAAGAAATAATAATGTTCGGTTTTAGTACATATTTAAAAAAAAAACAATTAAGAGACAAGCATAATAAAATAAATTTTCTTACCCTAACATAACAGTCAATGGGACTCTCGTCTTCTGCTTTATATTCAATGCCCGGTGCAGGTTGTACGAGGTAGCAGGACAGATGACCTGAAAATAAATAGCAATACATTAATTAACACACCAACATAATAGATATTTCCTTATAAAATATTATGCTTACAATATCTCTGTCCTGAAGTAAAATCTAGTGATGAGTAACTATTTACATTGATCTCTCATAGTGCTATACATATTACTGAGTGTATTCAACTCACCCAACATCTCCGCAGCCAAACACCTCGCCTTTGTAACGTTAGCATCTCTGATTGTAGCCGACTGTGACTCACTCCCACCAAGATACCACTTCTGACTTGGTCTCGGTTCACTTTCATTATTTGATTGAGTAACTCCACCAATCCGGACTCGACAGGTGCGTTCCTGATATTATATATGTTACACTATATGAATTAATTAAATATTTGCGTATTGTGAATAAAGAAAATAATAATTTAATCAATACTAAATTATAGAGTAATAATTGTTAAAGTAAAAAAAAATATTTTATAAGAAGTACATAATGAGGTTACGTTTTTGTGACATGTAAGAATTGTGTAAATATACTTTACAAAATAAAATAATGTTAAATTGAAGATACTCCTCTATTGATAAGTTAGAAATTATAAAACAGTACAAGTATATTTGTTAAGCTAAATTTCTTATTTGTAATGAATTCACAAATAATGAGATCTCAAACTTTCGTGAATATTCATTTAAATGAAACTTATATTTTTCAGATTCCTTAACGTATTTTATTATTTTTAAAAACTACATATGTACTCCCGTTTCAGTTACTTTGCAGCAACCGTGATATTTTAAAAATAATGAAATACGATTTGCAATCCGAAAAATAGTTTCTTTTGAATTTTTAACGTTACTTATACCTTTGTGGGCGTGTGTAGTAATAATGCAGGGTCAAGCGGCAGTCTAGCGGGTTGCATAGCGAGACACATCCAGAGAGATAGAAGCGGACACGATGCCACCAGGATTACTCCCAGGTCTGCATGATGAAGAAGATTCTCCCACACCTGAAAACAATATAACACCATTATACTGACTTATAAATTGACACTTACTACCATGATTACAATTTAGTGATAGTTTTTTATTTTTGTTAATTAATTTATTATACTAACATAGGAGATAAGTAATATGTGTCGCTGACAATAAAATGAGTCATAGTCACTTGAATTAGAAAGTTATTATTATAAGTCATAAATTTCTAACTTAGAATGGAGTGTCTAGTTTGATGTTTAGTAAATATATAAAACCATAAATGTTATTGAATAAAATATATAGATCTGGCACTAGCAACATTTTACACATGTAATATAATGCATAAATATTAATGACAAAAGTTCGTTGATAAGTGTGATCATGGTTTTCTAATAAATAACTCTAAGGAAGAGCAGGAAATTTCAGACTTAATATTAATGTATAAGTAGTAGCAGTAAGTAATGACTTACAAAAATACAATGTATAAGTATATTTATAATCTGACCTGTAAAGCTATCTCCTGTATATCATCAACATGTTCAAACAACACCCTCTGGTACACATGCCGCATCGTATCCTGTAGTAGTTCTGGGGTCCATTGCAGGTAATTATTTGAATCACCATTCTCAACAACTTGAGTGTCACTTTCTTTACTATTTTCTATATCATTCTGAGCATCATTATTTTCATTTCTGTCACCATTCTGTCCGTTACTTGTTGTGGTTATAAGAGGTCTTGTGATTGTTCTCAGTGTTTGAAGAGTCGCTTTCCTTACTGAACTGGTTGAATGGTCGAGGTACGGCCATAGTCTTGGCAGAACATCCGCCAAATCAATGGGACTGGAATTAAATTATCTATGTGAATATTTACCACAACAACACAACTATTTTTTAATTATAATATATATCTTTATATATTTCAATTGTTTTCAACATAATATACTAATAATTGTAATTGTTTTCTTAACCGAGAATTTCACAAGCCTTTGGAGCAAACAGGTTTCATGGACGCGATACATACTATTTAACCTTTATAAACTTAACAAAGTCAAATTAAATTTACATGACATATGAAACAATAAATTTTCCTATCATCTACTCCAGACATAACAGATAATTATTCATACTGTAGTTGCGCAGCCGCAGCGGGCAGAGCCATAAGTGCAGCTAACAGCGCCATATACTTGTGAGCGGGCGCGGCGAGCTCGTCTTGGTCTCGCAGCAGCGCCCACAGCCTCGCTGCCAGTCGCGCCAGCTGGGTCTGACGGGCCGCGGCTAAAGCATCTGCGGCTAGGGCCAACGCCCCCGCAGCTACTCCCGATACATCCTCCGCTGAATCTTCTAAACCTGACATCAACAGTTCCAAGGCACCGCATTCTATGGCCACCTCCTGGAATGTATGTGATAGTTATCAATGGATATTGGATAGTTACATGATACATATTGAGAATGAAACTTACAGTTAAAGAAATTAATTGGTTACTTTTATTCTTTTGAATATTACTATTAATACTATGAACATTCTCACATGGTACTATCAATCATCATTACTAGTATAGACATTTAAATGAAACTAATGTTTGTCGAATTGCATGCGTTTATTATTATTTTTAAACACGCATCTGGCCGGCCTATGATCGCGGTTGCTACAAAGTAACCGTAACGTGGGGAGTATGTATTTATAAAATACGCGAAAAATGTTAGTTTCATTTAAATGAATACTCGTGAAAGTCTTAGATCTCATTAGTATAGACATTATATCTTTATATATATAAAAATTTCGTATCACATGTTTGACCGCGATGGACTCCTTAACTACTAAACCGATTTTAAATTTGATTCGCATTCCGTGTGCATTTTGATCCAACTTGAAAGATAGAATAGCTTAAATCCCAATTTATAGTCACAATATTATTTTATTGCAAATTATTTGTCTATTAAAAACATTATTTGTCATTATTACAATTATCTGTTGATTGAGTTGAAAAAGTATTCTATAGACTATTTAATAATAGCATAATCACCACGTGTTTCTGAGGCTAAGGTATAACCTAAATTTATTTATTAAAAAAAAGTAACAGACAGTCCTTGACAGACAGACAGACTTACTACGCCCTATAGGGCGATACGATCAAGTTCGCCGGGTCTTCTAGTAGTATTATATAGTTCTAACCCTCCTAGCCGCCAGTAGGTATTTGAAGGCCAGCAGCGCCCCGTGCCTCGCCTCCCACTGTGCGTGTCGTGCTAATCCTCCCAGCGCTCTCGCCACAAGACACACTCGCTCAGCTCTCAGTCGTGACAGACACACACCCAGGGCTTGAGCGCTTGACTCACGCACTGGGGCTACCACCTGTAATGAGATGAAATACATTTAAAATTACAGTAGATCCCCGGTAATCCGACATGATCTATTATTTATTATTGAATACATATTTTGTATTCCCTTATGCATGATTGAACAAGTTACCACTTGTTCGCATCATCACTATTGTGCTCGACGCGTTTGGTATTGTTTTGATTCTGATTGCTTAATTGGAATTTGAATTTGTACTTCAGAGTACATATAAGTACATATGTAATTTGTCGGATTACAAGGTACTCTTTTATAAAAAAATCTGGACTATAGGGGGTCTTAGGCAGTACTCTATAATCCGACGAATTCGATAGTTCGACACTGCCCTGCAAAATGTTTGTCGGACTAACGGGGGTCCACTGTACCATAATTTTTAAAATTGTGTATATCATAAACTGATTCTTAGCACAAATTATTTATTTATATCTTGACAGCATCTTAGATTAGAGATATTCAAATATACAAGTAAGAACTATGTTTGTGTTAACAAGTATGTATATATTTTTTGTTGTCGAGGTCAAAAGATTGATAGTGTGGACATTAACAGGGACTAAATTAGCCAATGATTTTTTATAAATGTAATATAAGTACCTGATCGGAAACGAAGTCTCCGAACCTGTCCAGAGCCAACACACACAGTAAACGAAGCGCCATGTCCTCCAACCACTCCTGATGAGAATCCTCCATCTGCGAAAATTATATACTTATAACATGTTTTAAAACCACAAAAAAAAATCATTTCAGGACTATGAAGAATTCACCTGTTGTGGCGTCATTCCAGCCTTCCAGCCTGCAGAACGCACGATGGGGGCCCTCAGTAATTCTCTTATAGCTGAGGCAGCCCCGTGCCGGGCCTCCCAGGCCCCACTGAGTAGCTGCACGGTGAGGGCCCCGCTCCAGGCCCCCAGAGGCCATCGATGACCTTCACCCCAACTACCATCACGGCTTGGCACCGCACAACCAGATACCTCCACTGTGGATGGGAAAATTTTGTCTAATGAATATCTGTTCATATAAAATTTTGAATGGTTAAATAAAATTTCATATTAAGAAGATGCAGGAAGAAATTATACAGCTCTTTTTAGTAATAGCTTAAAATTTAGAATATATTTCTTTTTAATCCATGTATTGGCTTAGTTGGAAATTATAGATGTAGCACAAAAGCAAAGCAACACAATATTCTTGATGAAGCAAGTTCATATCTTACTTATGTCAACAAATTTTTCATAATATATTCTTTATTCGAATTTTAACTATAATTTAACTCCACATTGCATTAGTATTAGAACCAAATAGATATGTTTTTATGAAACAGTAAAATAAGAATTTAAAGTCAAGTGTGAGTTCACATACATATGGTATCATCTGTCTGTTCCAATTTGATCTTCTTCCGTTCTGGCTCCATAGTTGTGGTCGCGGTGCTGGCGGTGGGCGTCGTGGGCGTTGTGGGCGTCGTGGTAGGAGACTCCTCACAGTCGCGGGATTTCTGTTTACTGAAGGCCAGCCGAGCCTTACGCTTGGCTAGATTCATTTCACGCGAGCTGAGACCCTTTGACAACACGAGCTCTTGGACAGGACGCTGGAAAAAACATTGAAACTATTAATTTCTATAGACTTATTTTTTTTTACTGTCCATCTTAAAGCAAATTCAAATTGCCAACTAAAAAATTATCCTTCTGAATTTTATATGTATATTTTCTTATAGGGACCATACACTTGAAGATTTTTCCATTTAATTGTTATGATAGACCATTCACCATATTTCGTTGGACTAAAAAATATCTTCAATCAGCTATTTTCTTTAAATAAATACAACGTAAAACGTTTTCTGTTACGGATGTTGCCAATAACGGTCACGGCTGGAAGGTCGGCTGTCTGGACCTTGCTAACAGTTAAACAATTTACATCAAGAAACAGATCGTGGCCTATATATATATTTTCTTTAACCATTAATCCCTACTAATATTATAAATGCGAAAGTAACTCTGTCTGTCTGTTATACTTTCACGCCTAAACCACTGAAATGATTTTAATGAAATTTGGTACAGAGATAGAGTTGACCTTGAGAAGGAACAGGATAGTTTTTATCCCAGACTTTTGAAAGGTTCTCTTGGAAACGCGATATAACCGAACTCCACGAACCGAACATAGGATAGTTTTTATCCCAGACTTTTGGAAGGTTATCTTGGAAACGCGATATAACCGAACTCCACGTAAGCGAAGCTGCGGGCGGAAAGCTAGTTCTATATAATTGGTATAAATTCCACTATAAAACTATGAATTTATGAATATTCTTACCCTATTAGTAGGTGTAGTGGCTGTCTTCTGTATGCACAGATCCTCATTTGAGTATACTCCGCTGAGATCGACCCCTAGAGACGCGGCTACATCCAACCCCAAGCGACTGTTGAGGTTCTGACGCTGTTTGGTCAGACGCTCCTTCATATCTGACGAATATACAATAATTAACATTTATTGATAGGATAATAATCTCCTCCATGTGAGAAGAGGCCTTTGCTCAGCTCATAATGATGACAGGATAATCCTACTAATATTATAATTGCGAAAGTTTGTGAGTGTGTTTGTATGTTTGTCACTTCTTCACGCTCAAATTGCTGAACCGATTTTGATAAAATTTTGTACACAGGAAGCTGACGTCCAGGAATAACACATAGGCTACTTTACATCCCAGAAATCCGCGGGTAACACCGCGGGGCGCAGCTAGTGTATGATAAATGTATGCAGCTTCATGTCTAACCTGTAGCGGAGAGTGTTTCTTCATCCAGGTCATACTCGTGACCTTCGGACCCCATGAGATGAGCTCCATGTTCAAGGACACGATCGATGTCGAACGTCTCACATCTCAGACGGCTGTTGTCATCTTGTTCGATATCCTCCTCTATTACAATAGACATAAAGTCGACATTAGTTCATTAAAATACTTAATTTTGGTACATACAAACGTGCAGTACAAATACATTTACACACATTATGACGTAATGGTCAGGAAAGTTTTTATAACCGTCTCAAAACTAACATTACGCTGACACCCTTATCTATAATAATTGTTTTCATAAAACTACGTAAATTACTTCATCATTACGAGTCAAGTTTAGCTGTAAGATATCTATTTATTATATTTAAACGCTATTTAACATTACATCAACCTCTTAATTGAACTAGTAGCTTCAATTGATTATACTCGGCACTGCATGTTACGACATAATTATTATAATATAATAAAATAAATATATATTTTTTCGCTTGTTATTGTGATCATCTATCTACATTACCGGATGGTATACTGAACATCCGCTTAATAGTTTTTGTGGATTTACAATAACAGATAGCCACTTTTATTACAATACATTCGTATTTGTATAGTGTTAATGTGGAAAATTTTAATACACATTAAATCAAAACAAGTTTTTAACTCAACGGACGGGTAAATTGTTTTTTGCGTTTGCATTCTAGTCCAATTAAATAGAATATCATTATAACCGAATATACATCGTTAATGAGAGACAAAAAAAATATCATTATCGCATGACTATTTATAATATATTATATCGCCATATTGCAACTCCATGATATTATTGAGGATATCCGGGAGATTAAACGCAACTTCCTGTATTACGAATATGATGTTATCATTATATATTTTCTGAATGTTTTAGAGACATTAAAATTATTTTAATCTTACTATAATTATCTTTTAGTAAAACCATAACTAGGTTTAGTCTTCGTTCGATAATAAAAAGGCATTGTATTGATCGCGTCGTCAAGGTCACGTGACAACCGCCATTTCAATATTTAGGTCGCAACACTCAAGATACAAACGATTACAACAACATTCAGATATAAAGTTAATCGTTGAAGACAATTTAAAGATTCAAGGATTATAAGAAATGTCGTCAGAAGATATAAATATTTCGTCTTGTTTAATCCTAGAGTTTATCAGATCTTTAATACAAATTATATGAAAAGATACGTGTCCCGTTCGAAGAAACGAGACAATAGTATTGACGGCATTCGAGTTACGAGACGGAGGAAACAATGAAAATTATTATTGATAATAAATATTTAAGGTTTTCTAACAAAGACATTTTTTATCTCATCTAGAACATAATTATGTACATATAAAACAAAAGTGACGTAATTCTACTTTGGCCGTTTTTTAATACAAAAATTCACCAAGTCTTATCGCATGCATGTAATTGGTACGCAGCAATAAAAACTAACTATAAAACCGCACGATATTTTATCTTATGAGTTATTTTCGTTATTAATATGTACCTTTAGCTGTGTATGGCGGGGGAAGCCACTCTGGGACATGTGATAATATCGCCTCTACTGCCTGTGAACAAAATATAATAGCATGAATATTTATATATATAATAACATACGCAGTTTTATATTAAGAATTTTTAAAGCTTCCAAAGTTTTACGCATTAATAAATTGTATTGTTAGATTCAAAAAGCGTGAAGCTATCGAAATTCCCATTAAAATTTAAATAGGTACTAAAATAAGAAAAGAAATCTAATGTATACCAATCAGTATGTAATATAATATATCATATTACTATTACAAATATTATTACAATATAAATAAAATCCATGGCAATAAATAAAATTAAAGTATTTTAGTAATTTCAAATAATGTATAGTTTTTCACTAGGCGCATAGAGTCATGCATATTAATATAAAACGTCAGTTCTTTGTGCTTTGAAATTTTGTCTTTCAGTATATTATTTATATTTCGACTAATTACTAATTAGGACTTAGATTGGACCGTCTTTGATGAGTGTCTCATTCGAAAACAGGTAATGTCGTAAGAAGTAACTTAGGCTAATCTTAACAAATTTTACATAGTTTGATGTTCTTTATGCTATAGGTTTGTTACGCTACTACTCCTTTTTTTTTAACACTGATTGTCTTTCTAATATGAGAATACATTGTTGTCTGCAAACAAGAAGCCGCAAATTAGGGGTGCTATTAGTTGATAAGGCGAGATAAAGTGACAGAGAGTTAGCCACGCAACGCCTCCGCTGCGGCAAGCGCAGTGTATATGAGTGAAAAGCAAGTTTAGTTAGATATCACATGGTAAGAATAAGAATTAGATTTTATTAACAAAATCCTCCACAACAATATTAACGTATCCTTATCTTTAGGTCTCATGCAGTTCCTTGTATTTATTTAAAGATTATTCCATATTATCTTATCAAACGTATGCATACGGTTTTTTATATATAACATTTTTATATATACAGGGTGACTGGTGAATTACTATCAATATTTAAGGAGAATACTCGGTACATGATTCTCATTCGAATTATGTAAAAAAAATAGGCGCTTAATTTTTGACAAAATTTCCGTATAAATAAATAAAGTGTTGACACGTTCCAAGTGTTCCAAGTGTGGACGGGTGCGGCGGCGTGCTGATACAACACTACGCCGCCGAACGCGTATGTGTGAGTGTCTGTGTATACCTAATCTGTAGGGTGTTCACATGATGCGTAATTAATTACATAACTTTTGGTTAACTTTACTTAGAAGTTTATTAATATTTATGTTATATTAATTTTTATTTTGTCATATATGATCGTCAAATATCACGTCCTCAAATATCGATAGTAATTCACCAGTCACCCTGTATAGCTTACTTAGTACTTTTCCCATTCTGAGGTCATTAGAATTCATTAAAGAAATACTTGAAATTAATTAAACATAACATTACTAAAAATAGAAACTACTTCTATCTTCGGTTCGGTTCGCGTTCGGTTATATCGCGTTTCCAAGGGAACCTTTAAAATGTCTGGGATAAAAACTATCCTATGTTCGTTCTCAAGGTCAACTCTATTTCTGTCTTAAATTTCATTAAAATCAGTTCAGTGGTTTAGGCGTGAAAGCGTAACAGACAGACAGAGTTTTTTTCGCATTTATAATATTAGTAGGGATGTTTGAATATATGTATGTATATCAGACCTGTGTAGCAGCGACCCTCGTCTCCCAGGCGGGTGATTTCAGATGTTTCATAAGCCTGGCCAGCAGGCGATGCAGTTCCTCGGGGTGAGCCTTCTGCACCTCCCCGAGCTGATTGGCAGCGGCTCGCCTAGTGGCTGGTCCCGAGCCTGCCTCCAGCAACACGAACAAACGATCTAACCTAGTGTCATGAAGGAAACATTCACTTTGACTGTATAGTTATGCAAACTCAAACAACTTTATTCAATATAGAAGCATTACACTTTCTTATTGATGGTCACTTGAGACACTACCACCGATTCGGAAAAGAAAATACCCTGACCTGAGAAGAACCGGCGAAAGAAACTCGGCGGGTTTTTTTTTATATATTTTGTCTCATATATATGATGACTGATAATTTATAACTAAATCACTAACCAACTGACATTCCGTACATCTTATTCAAATTATTACTATCAGATCTAATATATCTTGATAATTGCATTACATGCATTGCATGTACGCATTCTAACTGTTTTAGCTATTTTGTAACAAAAGTTTAATTAGTATAGACAGATGAAGGATAAAATCTATTCTTTTAATTCATACTTTCAAATATTTATCATTTTATAAGTTTGTTTGAATTCTATTTCCATCTTCTAAAATACACTATTTAAAATATATCTATTGTTTCTCAAAAATATAATGTTAATAAAGTGCCTATATACATTTAAATTAACTTTTTCTGTTAGATTGTGATAACATAATTAATTCAACAGACTCCCATCATTAAAATTTAAAATGATGTAATGGATTCATCATAAGTAAATAGCCAATATAAACCACTACAGATGTATTTAAATCAAATAATAATCAAAAATTTGAAATTTCGATTATTTTCCCTTGTTCAAAAATTTATTAAATACTCAGTTAAGTAAATAAATTAGACAAATCTATTCTTGGTACATATTAGTGGTTATTATGAAATGTGTCTTAATAGATATAAAAAATAATAGTAAAAATATTTAGCAATAACTATAAAAGTTAATGAAGAAATGCAAAGGATTGAGTTTAATTGGAATTTTTGCATTGAAAAGTAATTGCTCCAATTAAAAGTTGTTGTTTAAAGGGAATAAACATGCAACAAAAGTTTTGACCATACTGTGGGGTTGCTTGTATTTTAATCTGTAGTAACACACATTAACAAATAAATGAAATAAACATAATATCTTAATTATATATTAATGTTCACAACTGACATTTGAATGTTATTTCTTTATAAAAGCTAGAGAACTCATTTTTATTAATCAAGAATATTTTTGATAAACTGCATTTTATATCTGTTTGAAGTATGCTGCCAAGATAATTAATGTCTTCGCACTTTTGTAAAGAAATTAATATCTTTACAAGACAACTAGTGCTTTTCTCAAGCAATTCACCGAGATTCATAAAATTTATAAACCTATTAAACCTAGTATGTTTTTCAAGTCATTCACTATAAAAAAATTAAGAATAGAAAGAGATTATAAAACATCACTAAATCTATGTGGTGTGCTTATAAAAGCAAGTTTTCCTGTTTACATCAAGACCTCTGTTTGACAAAGTATCTGACATTTTGACCTATGCATTATGAAAAGATGATTCAATAAATAGCAGTTTATCGAAATGGCCACAAAAAAACAGGTGCTACATAAAAGGTTTCTTTGGAAAAGGAACTATTTGATAGACCTTCACTTACAAGACTGTTTCTGGTGTGACATATTTAAACATAATTAGGAAATATTTAAGGTGAAGTTAAAGCAGTTGTTTGTTATTGTTTTCAAGTGTTATGACATTTGACCTTGGCTAATTTTATATATAGAACTTATTTAGTGAGTAACTGTACATAAAAACCTTCTCTAAGCTTCCATTAAAAGATTGTGATTCTCATACAGCTTATTACAGTGAAATTTAAGCATTTTACAACTTTTGATTTTATAATCAATAACTCCTCTAACTCTACTGAATTATGAATTTTAATCATTAAAATTAAATTATATCAATTTAACTTATTGCATAATAATTTCATATAAAACTACTTCAAAAGGTTTTACTTTTAAAATAACCCAATACTTTGGAATAACCCAATTGAGATTAAAATTATGTCAAGACACCCAAAACAAAGATTAGATATAACTCAAGCATTTCGGATTTCAAGTCAATATGATTTTAGACAAATAATATTACAAAAAAGTGTATATTTTTTCAAATAAACAAATGTCTTTATCACATATCAGTTATTTAGCCATAAAACTTACCGAGAAGTCATTTCCAGAATTTAATTCCACTTCAATGTTTTTCCTAAAACAAAAAAATATATCATAAATGTGGATATTTTAATCTTTAGATAGAACATTTAATTATATATATATTTGATAAAAGCATTCAAACAAAACACAGAATATTTTTTTACCAATAAATATTGTTCATATTAATTATCTAGAATACTAATTGCAGTGTCTATTAATAAGACAACCTTGACCTCACTCTACATTTACATTCCTAAGGCTGAAAAATATATTTACTATTGTAATAAATATTTTATACATATTATAAACACATATTTATTGGCTTGACAGCTGACATATTAGTTTACTTTTTTGAAACATTCTGAGTATTATACACAGATAAAATGTGTAAGTTTTTTTTTATCTTTACTCTATGTTGATGTATAATTCAAGGGTCTAGGTTTAAGAAAATTATTGAATTTAAACAAACCTACAAATGTAAATTTTATTATTTAAAAATATCATACATAACAGTAATTTCAAAATTGAATAATTTAATGTTTTATTTAATATGCTAATTTTATTAGAGTGCATTATTCAAACAGTCTGTTTCCTCAATATTATAGTTGACTGTTGGTAAGAATAAAAAGGATTTAAGCTTTCAATAAACATATGAACATTTTATATAAAATTTTTGGAATAAAAAACTAATTTTAAGTTCTGAACTAAACAGGAAAAAAATGTTCTATATTTTGATTATTTTATCATCAATAGTAATGTATCAGTGACTGTTGATAATAACATATCAGTCACGAAACTGTACGTTAAATACTATCGTACAAAACATAACTCCTCTGATACATCGTTTATGGGGCTAGAAAGTATCAAGGTTCATTTAATTAGATAATAGACGTATCTGCATTTACTTTTATCATATACGTCACAGTTAAATGTATTGGTGAGACGGGAGCAGCGCATGTTCACGCTATAAATCAATACTCCATCAATATCAGTTCAATTCTCATACGGAACATGGAGTTGTATTGTAATTGTGTATTGTATTTTTTCAATGTTTGTAAATCAATTTGGGGCGCGTACGTAACACTAATGTCTATGGATTCTACAGAATGGGATGTAATAGTAACGGTATGTGTAACGTGAGCCGCTCACGCATGCTAACATATGGCTGGTACATTGTATTGATTTACAAATAAATTTCCCCTTTAATTTGACGTCGCCATTATTAAGATACTTAATGGTGTTCGTAATAAATGAAATTAAATGAAATAAAATTAAAAACGTATTAGGAATTTTAACTGTTAATTGATATTGATATTATTCGATCAACTCTACATTCGTTTCTTTTTAATGAAGGGTTTCCAGGTGCAGGTACAAAAGACACTTACTTTGTGAACTAATGCACATATCACGTCACTGCACTTAAATCCATCCATATTTTAGTCCACTTATGTATCCACACGACAACATTTTCGTCAAAATGCACAAACAAAAAAAACCAAATAGACGAGAGGAAGCGCATCGTTCAAGCTTTAAATATATACTGACAGCCATGCTGCTGATGAGTCCGTCTTTATTGTGCACTAGGGCGCTGATTGGACGAATACGGAATGTCAAAAAAGGAGTAAGTACAAATTTGCGCCAATCAGGAGTTAAAATTTACAAATTCTTGATGTGTTGCCAATTGATCAATTTTGAAAGATGATGCTTATGACGCTACTTCAACAATATAGTCCGAGTTTAATATATTTCATCCGGCTTTTTAAAATATTATTGGATAATGTTTCTTTTGTTTTAAGAAGAAGCACATAAGATGTTTTTGTATAAAAAAAACTTTTTTATATTATTTTTTTTTATTAATAGGCAAAACAACAACAAAACAAAAAAAAAACTGATATATGTATGGGCACATTTACAATTACATTATTAACGAAAAGTCATTGTCAAATGGTATAAAACAAACTACAGGCTGCTGTCAAACTTCATCTGGTGTCAGTACATTGTGTTTTTAAACATTTTAGGTTAACTAAGACACATTCTTTATTATTTTACATATTTCATAAGAGAAAAAATATATACACATGGCTAAAAAACGAAATAAAAATGCAGACAAAAAAAAGAAAATTAGTTTAGTGTTTGACGAAGCTAAGCGAAAGTAAGTACACTACAAATTCATGAATCAGAAGAAAACATTATTTATTACTTTCTTCATTGTTACTTTTAGGGACTATCTGTGTGGATTTCGGAAAAGAAAGCTAGAAAGAAAGAAAAAAGCTCAAGAAGAAATACAGCGACTATTAAAAGAAGAGAAGCGGCGAATAAAACAAGAGGTAACATTATTTATTGTAAAACTAGTGAAAATTAAAGTTTTTATCATTATCACCTTTCTTACAAACCAAATATTTTATTACAGAACAAAGAATCTTATAAAAAGCTTGTTGTTTCAAGCCGGCCAATACCCGACATAGAACAATTACTTCAAGAAGAGTATGAAGATGAAGATGTTAATGTTAAAATCGTCGAACTTTCAACAGATACACTTCAAAAGAAAGACATTGTTATAGGCGAGAATAGACCTAAAGAAATTGTAGAGAAAAAACAGAATAAAACTAAGGTAAAAAATAACATGGATATTATTCCTGGCATGGATACACAAGAAGAAGATGATGAAGCAGGTGAAGATGATAACAATGATGGTGATGACCAGTTAAAATCTAAAAAGGAGGTAAAGAAAATATTAAAAAGACAAGCGACAAAGAAATTACAGAAAAGCAAAGTATTCCAAATGAAATCCAAACTAGACAGGATACAGAATAAGAAGTCACAGAAGAAAAAGGCAAAGACTGAACAAAGGAAAGAGAAATCAAAAAAGAAAAATCACAGGAAGAAGCATTGATTGTATATTAAAACTAAATCCTTATAGAACAATAAGTAAATCCTAATACAACATTATTAGTTTTAATTTAAAAAACCGAGGTAGATTTTGATATTTCACAGCAGAATATGTTTCATAGTAATATAAATTGTGTCCTTGATACAAAAATAGCAGTAATAACTCTCATTTCTTCTGTTTTGTCCTTTTTGTTTTTGTATCGCTAGCGGCCACACTCTGTTTTAGTACTCTGGGTGATTTTCGTTTTAAATTTTCTGAAGAAATTTTCTTAGAATTCTTGTCATTAGTTATTTTAATATCTGGACCCTCTATATTTTCTGACTTCTTTTGAACTTCTTGTTTTGGTGATTTTCTTGTATTAACAACCTTTTCATTTTCAAGCTCAGATGATATTAAATCTTTCACTTTGAGTTTGTCATCTTTTTCATCTTGTAAACTTGTCTGGGTTAAATCTTTAACCTCATGATTGTTTACTTTATCCAAATCTATTTCCATTGGTTCACTTTTGATCATTTTTCCTGGTGATTTCTTTGGCGACCTCTTGTATGGAGACTTCTTATCTTTCTCGCTTGATGGACAAATATCATTATTTAAACATTCCTGACAGTTTGGTCCGATGGGTAAACAGATTGTCTGACCGAATCCCACCATTAAGTGATTGACTTCACTCCAAAGCTCAAATGGCAGCCATGATTGTAATGCCTTTCGAGTATCTTCTGGTGTGGATGTAGTTTTTTTGACCCATCCTATCCTGTTACTTATTCTATGGACATGGGTGTCAACACCTACACAAAGGTAAATTAAATGTTTTAAAGTATATAGTTAATTTAAGTCATTTTGAATATATCTCATTCTCTTACCAATGCCAGTAACTTTATTCCAAGCTACTTTCATACAAATATGTGCCATTTTAGGTCCAACTCCAGTAAGCTTGCAGAGTTTTTCAACTGAGTCTGGTATATCTCCATCGTACTGATCTTTCAAAGTTTGTGTCGTCTTCTTGATGTATTTTACTTTTGTCTGAAAATTTGTATTTAGTCAAGATAAATATATATTGTGTAACAAATACACACTTGTATAATCTTTGGAAATAATTTCATAATAATGACCAATACATTTTCTTTTTATTTAAAGATTAATTTTATAAACAGCCTTTTGAAATGAAGTTTAAAGAAGCATATTAAATTTTATAATTTCCTAAAGTATTGAGGTTTTTAAGAATGTTACCATTTACCTACCAACTACCCTGGATTGATAGATTGAAGTAAAGCATTGCATTTTTTCCAAAATATTTAGCTCATCATTGATATAAAACAATTTGGAACTTTGCATTTAAAATGGTTCACCCTGTATAATATAATCTCTTTTTTATAAACAATGTTGTCAAGCTTACAGGGTTTCCATTAGGTTTTCACACTTTCAAGAGAATATAAGGTTTAATAAGAATCATACTAGTCACTGGGACCACATTTTTAATAAATTATTATTTAGAGACAGTAATAGTTAATAAACTAATAATTTAAGGTGGTCTGAAGTACAATGAAGGTCAGTTTCAAATGAATCAAGCATTTACAGAGGCGAGTAAGAATTTGCTTTTAAATAGTTAAAAGAAGAGCAAACAAGAAGATCCTTCTATTCCAGATATAACTTATAGTTTATAAGAATTTAAAAACTTCATACCTGATAAAAGCAATTATTATTTTCTGAATAAAAAAGTACCTTCCAGAACCCGACGGGGTAAATAAGTTGACCTAATTCCTCATCACTCATATCCAATATATTGTCCACCGTCAATCCTCTAGCTCTTAGTCTTTCCATCGCACCAAATGTAACTTGATCCTTTGTTTGACTGGACAGCATGAGAGAAATTAGACTTTGATACCTCATTACCTGTAACCATAATAATTATATATGACAAGAGAAACAGAAATTTCAACAAAATATAGTTTGTATATAAAAATATACATTACTTTTGGAGGAGCATCTTCATCCATGGACATATGACAACCCATTGAATCCACAGGAGCATCATTGTTTGCTCTCATATTTCTCAAATTCACCAAAAATTCTTTCCATTTAGGTGGTTCCCACAAACCTTCTTGATCCTTAAACATTAGTTGTTTTATAATAAAATTAATTTATGTTTTATATATTTTTATTTAATTTCATACCTGTTTAGTAGGAGACTCCTTATCAAATTCAATTTTTACAGGCGGCTTCTTTTCAAATTTAAATTTGTTTAAATCGAGCATAATATCCGTCGAAGATTGTTCAGGTTTATTAACAATACTGTTTAATTCACTCTTCTTTAAAGCCTTTGCTACTGCGACACTTGTTGAAGCAAGTTGTTTTCCTTTTTTAGGAGGCATATTTATGTTTCGTAAACTGAAAACAAAGATTTGGTAGTAAGTATTGTATTAGGTATTTAATATCAACTCTTACATAATACAAAATAAAAAAAAATATATAGATATATATTTTATAAATAAAAAAATAAATGTAAAGCACTTAAAACTTACGCGCGATTTTCATACACCACCTATCAAAATTAGTAAGACTAAGAGAAAAAAAGTTGTTTCTGTTTTTGTATTCCTTTTCGTTGAAGCACTATGTATATAATTGTTTACTTATTTTCTGTTTTCTACATTAAAATCTTAGTTGTGTTTAATTTTATTAATAAACTTAATTATTAATGTAGTTTATTTTAATTTTAAACTTTAATTAGTTAATAATAAAATATGTAACGAGATTCATATATTTAATAAATATTAATTTAAAACAAGTCATAGTGAAATGATATACCCATACATACAAGGTTCTTTAGCATCTTCAATTAGGTTTTCTTTTATATAAATATATGAGAAAAATATAATTACAAGTAACAAAATAAATGTATTAATATGATAACTATGTAATGTGTGCTTTCCCTATGTATACATTAAATAAAAACTATTGTTAATGATTAGATCGTTTGGTTTTAGTTTATTTTTTTTAATAAACTATCCCTTGGCTTCGCCAGAAAATAAGTCAAATATTTGAGTACCAAATTTTAGATGGCCATATTTGCCGTTTGTCAACTGTCATTTATTAATTACTAGGTGGGTACTTTGTACATACTGTCAAAGTATGTGCGAAGTGGCGACGGTGTACTGTATTATTAATAAATAATAGAATTTATAATTATTGAATCATATAAGACTATTAATTAAAACAAAAAATGGCAGAATTACTCTTAGATCCAAATATTCGTGTCTGGGTTTTTTTACCCATAGTCATCATCACTTTCCTGGTTGGAATCGTGAGGCATTATGTATCCATAATCCTTTCATCACAAAAAAAGATTGACTCATTCCAAGTACAGGACAGGTATAGAACAATCTAAAAATACAACAGTACATATTTGTTTTGTACACAAATCTAATAATGTAACCTTACTTTTAGTCAAGTGATGATAAGAGCTAGGCTTCTTCGAGAGAACGGTAAATATCTGCCCAGACAGTCCTTTAACATGCGTCGACACTGGTTCAATAATGAGGACACAGGATATTTCAAAGTGCAGAAACGGGCATCGACTTCACAGGCAATTCTCATCACTTTTATCACTGCTAAAATTATTAAGGTGGACATTATAAATAATTTTTATTACTTTGAATTGTAGAATCCCATGACTGATCCAGGTATGATGACTGATATGTTAAAAGGCAATGTCACTAATGTATTGCCAATGATAGTCATTGGTGGTTGGATTAATTGGATGTTCAGCGGTTTTTTGACAAGTGAGTTACTAGTTGCTTATTGTATTAACAGTTTCTCTGATATATTCATGAATATTGACACGAAAATAATATTAAGAAACCCTAATATAAGTTTATTAAATACTTATTAAAAAGTATAGAACTCATAGGGATAAATATATATTTTCTATTGCAGCCAAAGTACCATTTCCCCTGACTCTTCGCTTCAAGCCCATGTTACAACGTGGTGTTGAGTTGGCATACCTGGATGCATCCTGGGTTTCCTCAGCATCTTGGTACTTCCTCAATGTGTTTGGTTTACGGACTATTTATGCACTTGTATTAGGAGAAAACAATGGTAAGAACAACAATTCTTATGCATATGTAGAAATTTAAATCTTTTTGTTGAATTTTTGAAAATACAGTAGGACCTCGATTATCCGGACTAATTGTTGTCGGTAGGCATCCGGATAATTGAAAGTCCGGATAATCCAATATATGAAGAAAAACGGGCTTTTTGCATATGTACATATGTAGTCTGTACCATACATATGTAATGTTAGGTGTTTATTTAAAACAACAAATACATATGAGCGAAAATCAACCTTTATTAAGAAATTGTACATAATGTACGTATACGTGTTATAAGTAGGGCCCGGATTAATATGTAAATACATATTTTTAATTTACGCGATTTTCGATCTAGAATGTGTTTTTTACATGGATTGTCATATTTAGACTGTGAAAAAACAACTTTTATTTTCCATATTTTACCATATTTCAAAGTTAAGTCCATATTTTACAAAAAAATGTCACAATCATCCATATATTCACAAAAAACATAAAATTTACGTTCCCACAACTAATGTTTTGGATAAAAATGAAGGATATAAACGCTAAAAAATTAACAAAATTCTGTGCGAAAGTTTCGAGGGCTGTAGACATGGCTTACACAATTACTGAATTAAGTATACTTAAGTATGCATCCATCACGTCATGTGATTGGAGAGATCATTCACCAAATATAAGGCTATATTTCGACCAAATGGTCAGTTTTCATTTTGATAATTTAAAGAAGCACGTCATTGTGTATTGCAACCAAATTGACAAAGCTAGTGTAATGGAAGTTGAATAAAACTGTTATTTTTTGTTGAAATAAATATTTCACTCCTTTTTTTCATCGTTTTTCAAATGTTTCTTAACGATGTACGTCACGAGTGACCCTTTCTTATAGTAAAACAATGTTTAATTATGAAATTATTAAATTTTATACTCCATATTTTTTGATTTTTTCGTCCATATTTTATGTAAATATTTTAGATTTTTTAATACATATTTATCCGGGCCCTAGTTATAAGTGGCGTGGCGTTATGCAAGTTCTGACATGTTAATGTTAGAATAAACTCGTCGCGATTGGCAGTCCGGATAATCGCGAATTCGGATAACCGAGGTCCGGATAATCGGGGTCCTACTGTATGTACTTTATTGATGCTCAAATTGAGGAAGTTGGTGATTTGTAACAAACAGGGATTTTATTCTTCAATCTAAATATTTTATAACAAAACATTAAGAATGAATCCTTATTTATTATAATAGAAATTATAATAATATTATATGTATAAATTATAAGAATATTATATGGAGAAAAGAAAGAAAATCAACCAAGTTAACAATAATTTTTGATGATTTGCACAATTAATACATGTAGTTTATTAATCTTTCTTCCAGTTATTATGCCAGTACTTCTTTTGTATCTGTTTATGTATTCTATCAAATTTTCGGATTTTTGATTGATTAAATCATAAAAAGAAATAATTAACTTAATCTCATCCACTTTTTGCTATCTGGCAATGGTTCAGAATTATTTAATTTTTAATTCAGATTTTGCCGTCACTAATTTGTTTATATTCAAGTAAAGTAGTTGTGACAACACCATCATCAATATGTTTGACGATCTTAGAATTTTCTAGTAATTGTTCAATAGTTTATCTTTCCATTCAGTAATAGATAATCTTTATAAAATAAATCCTTTCCACGGTTTGATCATTTCATTGTAATAACAAATGAATTCAGCATTATTCTGTATCAATTTAAAAGAAACCATACAGATTTTTTTTGCTTATAAATGATATTCTTATAAGGAGTTTATGCCAATTTTCTTTTCTCATTATGACAAATTCTATTATATTAATTTTGATTGAGTTGAATTTTATCAACAGCTGCCGACCAGTCTAAAGTGATGCAGGACCAGATGTCGGGAGCTGCTATGGCAATGCCTCAGGACCCTAAAGCTGCCTTCAAGGCTGAATGGGAAGCCTTAGAGATCACAGAACATCGTTGGGTGTTGGCTAATGTTGAAAATGATCTACTGAATCCCGAGGGAGAGTAAATGCGTTTATAGCTTTACTGATTTGTAGGAAGTTTGACTTAGATAATTAATTTATAATATATTTAATTGAAAAGTTTCAGATATTGTTAGATACTGCCATCTCATGTGTATTATCATAAGAATGAAATTGTTTCTGATAGGTAATGAAATAATAAACCGATATAAAAATTTAATAAATAACTTTATGCAAGTTTAATTCAGCAACAATTTTTGTAGCACACAGTCATATATAAATTCAAGGGTTATCAGAAACTACTAATGTATTATATATTGCTTTATTTTGGTGTTTCGGGACATTTTTGATGATTGAATATGAAGGTTATTATTTAAACAATTTTTAATATATACATGTACATTTATATACTAAAATGGAGCCATGAACTATGATGAAAACTAAGCTCCTGATGTTTCTCTTAATAAAAATCAATACAAAATTTAAACCAAATATTATTGTTAACCAGAATGAATACATACTTTGTACTGTATATGATTATACATTTCTTGGACCCTGACATTATTAGGATCATTTCACACTGGAGCAATACAATCCTTTAATACGCCTTAACTAATTTATTTATATACATGCAATTTGATTGAAAATATTCCCATTGGTTATACTGTATACATAAACTAGTTCATATATATGATCTCTAGATAAATCAGTTTACTTAAAATAATAAAATATATAACATTGAACCTTTTGTTAAATATAATCATGAAGACATTTCTGGATAATGATTTTAAAATGAATGCAATGCTTTTAACTTAACAATATCATGAAGGAAAAATTTCTAAAGTACATAAAAACATTTTATTTTGAATTAATCAATACATTATTCAATATATTTAGAACACACTCGGTAGATAACTAAAATTTTGTGTGATTATATATATTTCGATACTATTGTTTCTCTAGTTGATATTACATAGAATCTATATAAAAATGAAATATATATTAAAAATAATTTTTACAACAATTGAATTAGAATTCTATATGCATAATTAAAACACATGGCTTTGAATATTTTATTTGTATGTTGTATATATTTATTAGAACAATATGATGTTGCTGATACCAAATAAAGAACATTTGAAGTCACATAAGATGTAGAAATAGGTCTACCAGTTGCAGCAAGTTATAAAGATGTAATTTGGTCTCGTCGGGAAATAATTGGTGGTTTTGGTGATAAATTGGTGTTATTTCTTAATGAGCTGTACAACGTCCTGGTCGTGGACTGTGTGAGCGATTCCAACACGCTGTGGTGAATACTTAGTACTGGTTCCCCATACTAATGCATACTTCAACTGTGCAGCCAACGAACGATGGATGGAGTGACATACATGCTCAATTGTTACACCCTGGAAAGTATTATACATTAAGTAATCTTTTATTTGAGAAAATATATGTTTTCTAATTATTAGGTATTTTCTAATTAATAACAGGTCAGATAAGTAAAGCAACTTTTAGTGTAACTTAATACCTTTCTTAATATAAGTCCATCATCAAAGTCTGGCGGCTGACCAGGTTTCTTGGTGTAAACTCGGATCAACGACAGATATTCCCACAGCGTTTCTAACAGGAAGTCCAAATTCAATTTCATGTTACAACTGGAAACAGATTATTTTAATATTAACTAAACGTGTAACACTGAAAGATAATGAGGGCTGTACTTATATGTAATTAAATATACTGACATTAAAACCTTTTCGTAGTTTTTATGTAAAAAAATGTTGTAAAATCGATAGAGAAACATTTTGTTCCGTTAAAAAAATATTACTGTTTTTGATTCTTTTCATATTATGATAAATTCTAAAATAAAGTTATTTGATACTATTAAGATTATTATAAAGAAGACTGAATACCTAAATAGCAACCACCTTTGTGATTTTAGTCACATTTAAAGTAGATATTTGGTATATCTACTTATTTAAAGAATAATAACAAGGAATTACGATTAATTGATAGTTAAATTATCTTACATACTTAAATGGTCTTGGGTTGCATACTTTACAAATACAAAAAAAAAATTTCCGCAGATATGTCAGTTACCTATTATCGGAAATATATATGTATGTGTGCATGTATACTAATATATACCTGACGACGACCGTGTGTGGTTGTCTAGCGATGCGATCGACCTCCTGTATTGATATCTGATCGATCTTATTATAGGCGTATAGACACGGTAGATACACACGGTTACCAAGAATGACGTCTATCAGCTCATCAGCGGAACAGTCTTCACGGAACAGCACCTGGATATAATATTACAGTTAGTAGAGTAAAACCAAGTAAAAATAGGATGTCATGAAAATTTGAAGTCTTATATATTAAATAGATTATAACATGTAGATACTGCACATAAATTATAAGGGTATACGATTTTACAGGAATAATACAATACAGGGTGACTGGTGAATTACTATCAATATTTAAGGAGATTACTCGGTACATGATTGTAAATTTCCGTATAAATAAGTAAGTGTTGACACGTTCCAAGTGTTCCAAGTGTGGACGCGTGCGGCGGCGTGCTGATACAATACCACGCCGCCGCACGCGTATGTGTGTGTGTGTGTGTATACCTAATCTGTAGGGTCTCCACGCGATGCGTAATTAATTACATAACTTTTGGTTAACTTTACTTAGAAGTTTATTAATATTTATGTTATATTAATTTTTATTTTGTCACATATGATCGTCAAATATCACGTCCTCAAGTATCGATAGTAATTCACCAGTCACCCTGTATAAGCAACAAAGCAAGCTAGATTATAATAAAAAAGAAAACACAATTTACTCGGGTATATTAATTACATCAAACACAAAAATGGTGATGGACCCACGAGAATGTAGAAAAAATGAAGGATTACAAACTAAAAGATAAGAGGATGACATTAAAAAAAGTGGCTGGTCCAGAATGGATCCCAGTAGCAAAAGATAAATAGATGTCTTTAGACAAGCCCTGTTATGAAAGACAAGCTGTTTTTGAGCCGAAAGCAGATACACTCATTCAATTAGAATTAATAAAACATTAGATTAATAGATATAGGATAATATTATAAAATTAAGTTAGTTTCTAAGTTAAAACAGCAATAAAGGGTAATTTTAATATATGTATGTAAATATTCTATACCTCAGCATTAAATATTTTGTATTCATGAAGGATCATTTGAACCATCTTCTCATCCACTTTGGTGAGTTGACATGTTGAGTTAAAAGATAGACCGCCGCCTTTCTTGATCTATAAAATTAATTACATAATAAATTAATATTATGAATCTATATCATAAGAAACAATATATAAATAATTCTTAAAGAAGCTTCTTATTGAGTGCAGCAAGGGCATTATTTGGCAGCATCGTAATATGTGTAAAAAGTCATGTTCGATGATTGATTTACTACTTATTAACTTAAATCTATTACATTTGGATTTTTAACATGGATATAGTAAATATTTTAAAGTATTACATTCTATTTCTAGTTTCTGACATAAAAATTCTTTAGGATTTACAACTGATCCAAGGATTAATAAAGAAAAGAATTTTGCAGCAACCTTGCTTAATTTTTAACTGTAGAAAGGCTATTCTAAATAGTGATATATAGGTACCTTGAAATATATATTAGGCTTATTCTTATTGAGTCTGATTCCCACACTCTCCAATTCCTTTTCAAGCAAGGCACGATGTACATACGGTTTAGTGGCATCCAACATCATAAGAACCAGATCCGCAGTACGAGCTACTGCTATTACCTGAAATAACATTTACATATGAATAAAAATCTTAAAATATGAACTAATTTCAAGATGTAGCCTGAAGTTTCTCAACATCTTTAGTTGAATTAAAAACTTAAATGTTTGGAGTGTAGTTGCAATGCAACACTCAAAAAATATATATATAATTTTCAATATTTATACATTAAATATACAGGGTGACTGGTGAATTACTATCGATATTTGAGGACGTGATATTTGACGATAATATATGACAAAATAAAAATTAATATAATATAAATATTAATAAACTTCTAAGTAAAGTTAACCAAAAGTTATGTAATTAATGACGCATCGTATGAACACCCTACAGATTAGGTATACACACACACACACACTCGCGCGCGGCGGCGTGTTGTTGTATCAGCACACCGCCGCACGCGTCCACACTTGGCACACTTGGAACGTGTACACACTTTATTTATTTATACGGAAATTTGGTCAAAAATTAAGTACCTATTTTTTTACATAATTCGAATGAGAATCATGTACCGAGTATGCTCCTTAAATATTGATAGTAATTCACCAGTCACCCTGTATAAGCCATCACTCATCCTAATCTAAGATTCTAGATTTCGAAAGTATAAACAGTTTCCTTTTATAAATTTAATTATTTATTTAATAAGCACAATCAAAGGAAGTTTTAGGAAGTTAGTTAGTTTAGTTCATTTTCCGATATTGCCATTAAGTTACTGTAAGCAATTTTTACATAATTATAACTATTTCTAAGTATCAGTAATTTGAGAACACTCACTTGCCGTCCTCTTCCTTTACCCTGAGCAGCCCCTTCAATGATACCAGGTAGATCCAACAGTTGTATGTTAGCTCCCCTGTATTCAATGACTCCGGGAATGCATGTGAGTGTTGTGAACTCATAGCTGGCAGCTTCAGAGTGAGTATGTGTCAGAGTTGATAGCAGGGTCGACTGGAAATAAATTTTGTAATTAAATATTATAAATTCAAGTTATAATAGGATTCATAATATATATTTCTTCTTGTAATGCTCAGTAAATTTACTACAGCAAGTACAAATAATGTTTTATTTGAGCAACACAGTTATGTGATAACAAATTTAATCCAAATTGGTTTTGTAGCTTAAGTGTAATTGAGGAAACACTCATATTCTCTTACATTGATGGTAGTAGAAGTATTGGATAAATAAGTTGATTTTTTATGTCCACAATAATAGTAACAAATTGTAAGTTGGCTACAAAAACTTACGACTGTACATATTAGTAGTTTTATTCATATATGTACTTATATGGAAACCATGACCATTAGCCTACTGTGAACTTTATTTTAAACCTTTATGTTAAAATATAATTATTTTTTATTAAGCATTGAACAAAATTGAAAACATATTTTATGTAACTGTCAATTTGTAAGACAGTTATTTATTAGTAAATATCAACATTACATCAATACCCACCTTACCAACTGAAGGGAATCCTATTAAAGCAACTCTAGCATCACCAGACTTTAATACATCAAATCCTTCCCCTTTCTCACCGCCTTTTTTAGAAGGCTCCAGTAACTGGGATCTATACTTCGCTAATTTCGCTTTCAATAAACCCAAGTGGTATTCCGTTGCTAGAAAATACGTTATCATAATTAAAATATACATATATTGTTACTGGATTTATACTTTACACTGAAAGTTGGAAAATTTTTAAAATGTAGTGACACGCGTCAGTAATTGTAATTATTGTATTTACCTTTATTTTTCTGAGTTCTAGCTATTTCTTTCTCAATTTCCGAAATTTTCTCCAAAATACCCATGGTTTACCTAAATTAGCTACAATCAATGCGGCAAAAATATAACTTATCAATAAACCCAGTTATTGTATTTTCAAGTAATAACTACAATAAAAAATAACATTCCTTTATGACGGTTAACTTAACAGTAATGTACATAAATTAAATACTTTTGTTAATTCAACTTAAAAAAACGATAGCAAGTTAGGTTAGTGAATTGGAGTTCAGTGATGTCAACATGTCAACTGAAAAGTGACATTCATCTGACAGTAGATAAAAGGTACAAGAAAATAAATAGGTACATATTTTATTTTTGACACTACCATTATTCAAAATATTTCCTAAATTCAGATTATTCTATAAACATGCGTAAACGGTAAAATAGTAATCTAATATGTATGTCATAAGAATTAAACTAACTTTTGTTATGAACGAAGACTATGTAAACTCTTGTGAAACTAACCATCATTGAGTTTCTCATAGCCTAACGGATTTAATAATATAAGATACATTCATATATTTTCATCATTGTAAAAATAAAGACGTAATGAGAATTATAGAGTTTTTGATTATTCTTATTTTTATTAAGAGGTACTGTTTTGCTGAAAAGGGTAAAATAAATATATTATTATATATAATCACAACAAACTCGAAAGGAATTAATGCATAATACATAGTATAATTTTGTCAATTACTATGTAACGTGATTTTTTATGATTCATAGTACAAGAGCCGGTGAACGACATACAAAGTCCTTAGAAGAATTGGAACTAGATTTTGAAGATGAAAAGAATTCAATGTTAGCTACACCAGTATTCGGTAAATAGAATTATTAAAAAAAATTAAATGTTTTATTTAATTTATAGTATCAATAATTTTGTACAATTATACCATGAAAAAGTATTTTCACATGTCATGTATAGAAGAAACTACTTATGAAGATTTTTATGACGAAATGGATAACAGATTTGAATTAGATGATTCCATGAATATGATATTTTTCGGTCCACCTAGTTCTTTCTTAAGACTTGACGCAGAATCAATTTTACACTTACTAACAAATACCAAGAAAGACTTGATACCAATTTCTCGGACATTGTTAGCGTGGGATATAGTGACAGGTAAAATTTCAAACAAATACTTATGATCTCGAAAAAATATTATCTTCATAACTTATAACCGGTATAAAATGTTATAGATGGAAAAACTTGTGCTTTTTTACAAGGCCGGGAGTTTCTTGCCTTTGGAAGCCTTTTAAACGTCGTACCCGAAGAAGATTTATATTTTGTAAATTTTGGAGATCCATCTGTTTATAAATATTTCGCGAAAAATTATGTCAATTTACATAGTAGAAAGGTTATTTTTTTATCAAACCATAATTTGAACAACTAATGTTTTATTTTATCAGTGTTAACTATAAAATGATTTTCTATTTTCATATAAAACTACAAGTTCGGCGTTTTAGCCGCAGCGTATAGAAGATATTATGGCAACAACTGGTATAAAAACGGTTTTCTTGTGAACGATCTCGGTTACATGTTGTGTGGATTTCCGGCACACGATTTGAAACGCATAACGCCATCTACGTTTAAGGAGCTTACATTTGACGTTCTCAGTAAACTTGGTAGATGTAGCCCTCATCAAAAGATGGTATAGATCTGAATTCATAACTTTACAAATAAAATTAAAATTAACATGATAAATAATATTTTTTTTATATTCACAGACTTTATATAATATAGCTACACACCCTGATGCTTACGGAGATCCGCACAAATGGTCTTCGCATGAAGTTGGCAGGCTAAATTCTTTATTTAATTGTAATAAGAATATGAACAGTTAATATATAATTACTAGCTGACCCGGCGAACTTCGTACCGCCTTATAATCAAGAAATAAAAAAAAAATTGCCAAAAAATTAAAGTTTTTAATTAACAAATAAAAAATAAGGGTTGATCTCAGAGGGGTGAAAATTTAGGGTTGTATGTATTTTTGGAGGCTGTGTCATAAAAAAATAAAAACAAAAAATTTTGCCTAAAAAATAAAAACAAAAATTTAGGGGTGGACTACCCTTAACATTTAGGGGGATGAAAAATAGATGTTGGCCGATTCTCCCCCCTGGTTAGTATCCTCGATAAGGATCACGAAAATCGTTCGAGCCGTTTCGGAGGAGTTCAAGTTCGAACACCGTGACACGAGAATTTTATATATTAGATAATTAAATAGTTTTTTATTCAAATACCAACAGCCTAAACAAATGAATATAATTTTTGTTTTATTTTGATTAAATAGTCTGTAAAATATTTGAATAGATTCGAGTGTAAAATCCAAATTTCTTCTTTGTGGTACTTTTAATAGAATATGTTTTTCAGGTATACCAAGAGAGGAAATAAGTGCAATTCAATTAGAAGCTATATCAGCTATTAGTCCAAATGTAATGAAGCTTATAAAACAGGAAAAGCTATCTTTCTTTACTAAACCACAAATTCTTAGAATGAACCCAAAGACGCGACGTATTTATATTTTAAGAGTACAATTAAAAAACAGCCTCGATATAAGACAAATTACTAAAAAAAGTGGTAGCTCAGGAACACGTATGGACATGACAAAATTTTTCATATACGTCTATTTTGCTGTGATTTATATACAAATGTTGTAATTGTTACTATTGTATTCGTTATATAATTATAAATATGAATTTTTTTCGTTCGTTGAATATCTCAAATATTTAAAATGGATTTGTAACATAAAAGTCGGTTTACAATAAAATATTATGTAGAGAAAATATTTAAAAATCCGATGTTTTATTTTTCAAAACTGTTTTCTATAGTAGTTTTAGATATCGAAACGGATATGAATAAAAAGGAAACAGAAGTGCATGATCAGTTTCAAATTATAATTATTAATATTCAACCAGTTAAAATAATTTGAAAGATATTGTTTTGACTAATTATTTTCAGTTTTATGACTTTTATTTTATTCCTTTCATATTAAGATATATTAGACACTTGAAAATAATTTTATAAATTTAATTTTAATTAATAATAAATACTTTTCGTCAAATTTTCGTACTTATATAGATTTAAGAAAGAGTACACCAAATTTGGTAATTGTAATTATTGATTTAAGGCCATATATGATTCGCCATTTTGATTGGTGTTCTTGCGCCATTTTATTTTGTTTTCTTGTGGCTTTGATTCTTTGAAGATCTTTTGTTTTGTGCTGTTCACCAATAGAGCACGCACAAGTAAATCGTTATTAAATTAAATTAATTATTTATTGTAAGATTAAATTTATATAAAATGCCGTCTGTAAAGCATTATTCTTCAAGTGAAGTGAATCAGTATGAATTATCTTCTAGATTATTATCGTTAACCGAAAACAATACTTCTTATACCCTTACACAAATAAATGGCCAAAGGATTTACAGAAAAGCACCTCATGCTTGGAGTGGTCCGGAACCATCGAGGAACTGCGAGGTAAGCGCTTTTACTTCACTTTGATTTATCCGCTTTATGGCGGTTTTTTACATTTGTCTTGGTTTCGTATTACAAGTCAGTCATAACTGTATACCTATTTTAAAATGTGAGTTTTCTGAAGTCTGATTCATGTTTAGTATGTCCACCTTAATAGTATTAGTTTATTAGCATTCTAGGATTTTTTTATATTAAACGGTAATATAAGTTGACCTTATAAAATATGTCAATAAATTGTGACTAATATTTTTAAACATGTAACTTTTCACCGACGCTACCTTTGAGATTCGGCTTCTAGTTCTGTGCGTCTGTTATTTAGAGATACGACCTAAGTTCGTTTTTAAATCTCAATGGCATATTTTATAATATACAACAGATCTTGGTTTAGTAAGTTGAGCTTGTTTAACCGCGTCTTTTTCGTTGCTAACGTTTGTATGATATTCATGTTATGTATTTATATGTTATCATCTTATATCAACACTGCCAGCTGAAATGAAATTCTCTTGCCTATAGATTTTTTTAATAGATCGTTGCGAGATATAGTTGGTATATGTGGAGAAACCCTTGAATTTGCTCTAGCAGATCAAAATGTATATAAACAAGGCTTATTGAAGAGGCCTTAGGCTTATGAACCTATACTTTTAATAATTCTAAACAGAAAGTTTTAGAAATATGATTCTGAACAAGCTGAAGTTGAGCTTGGATTGAAGCTTTGTTCCGACAATCGGTGTAATACAATTTCTTAGAAATATCTGAATATACGGTCACATTTCAAAAATAGGAGTTTGTAATACCTTTGCTTTGTAGGTATTCATTGGTCGTATACCACACGATTGCTTCGAAGACACCTTGGTGCCTCTGTTTCGCCAGGCGGGGGAACTGTTTGAGTTTCGTCTCATGATTAATTTTTCCGGTTGGAACAGAGGGTGAGTGTAATATTATATAAGATGACATATTATATTAATCATTTTAAATATCCATATGTAATATTGAATTTGCTTCAGATATGCATTCGCTATGTATACCACCGAGGAAGAGGCGAGCAACTCTATACGAATGTTCAACAATTATATGATCCGACCCTCTTGGCAACTTGGTAAAAGATTTAGTTCAAATACGTAAACATAAAAGCGTTTAAAATGTAATAATAGCTATCATCGCGTCCCTAGCAAACATACCGTCGGGGATAGTTCAAATCCCCGTATCTACATTGGAAGTAAATTAGTATAATTTAAACTCTAAATGATTACTAATTGTGAAAAATTATCTTAAAGGTCGTTAATATAGAAAAATATTTCAGTTTAAACTTCTGATAACCTGCTTCCAATGCAAGTTACGCGGATTTGCACTATCCCCGACGATATGCAACCGTTTAATCATTAGCTTTGAATTACTTACAGACTTAGCAATTACTAGGTTTTTAAATAAATTACTATATAAATCATAGTAAGTGTTTGATTGTATACAACAGGTGTATGCCCATCGATCAACAACTGCCGCATCTTCATATCTCGCATACCAGCTACAACGCCGACGTCAGAAATAGTTCGTTTGGTGTACGCTCTGACGGAGGAAGTGCAGGAGGTGCGCGTGCGACGCTCAGCGGCGGCCTGCGCAGCCATCGTGGAGTACCGCTCACACCGCGGGGCTGCTATGGCGAGGAAGGCGCTGGTGGCGGCTGCTGCGGCGGCCTGGGGCGCCGGTGCACGACCCGCCGTCGACTGGTCACTACCTCAGTCGCCGCAGCTGTTGAGACAGTATAGGGAGGTTAGTATATGTTAATGTCAGTGGTGGCCTAATGGTTAGAGGGACCGCCTCTCGTTGCCGAGAGCGCGGGTTCGATCCCGGCCCCAGCAAGTACCAATGTGATTTTTCCGAGTCATATGTACTTTCTAAGAGTATTTAGACATCACTGATTAATGCTGATTCCCAAAAGAGGGTTGATGTCAGGCAGGCGGCCGGTCGTAAAAAACAATTAGCCAAAACTATTCACAACACGTAAGGCGGACCCTGGCTATAGCCGGGAAATTGCCAGGTTGAAGAAGTACATATATGTTTTATATATGTATATACACTTGTATGTATTTGTTTTCATTGAAGCTTGAAAAAGATTTGTTATCGTTCAATATAATTTGTGGAGGATTTATAATTATAGATATATAAGAGAAGATCCCGCAATATCATTATATTTTTGGTATATAATATACTTTACAGTAAAGGTCATGTGTTATTATGTATCTAACACTTCATCAACACGAAATCGTGAGAGTAATGAGTATACCGATAGAATTGTTCTTTAGCCTAACACTTTCGCTGTGAGAAAAGTATGAATTTCTCAAATGGTTTATCTTGCTTTCATTTCTACGTCATGTGTGTGATAAATGTTTATATAAATGTTAAAAGGTGGGTCGTTGGAGTCCCGAGCGTGGCGTGGAGCTTACTCGGGCAGGTGATGACCCTCCGGCGGTGGGCGTAGTGTCAGCGGGCGGAGCGGGCGGCGGCTCCTACACGCTGGAGCGATGGTCGCAGGCTCGACGGCTGAGGATGATACATGAGGCACAGCGGAACGCACACGCCGCCGCTGCCACTCAGGCCACACCCTTACCAACCGCTCACGAGTAAATATACACACATACACTATGAACATTGAGTATCAATGATAGGGTGGAGTATGATTGGAGTGTGTTCGTATGTAAATCATGCTGATTTTAAAATTGAGAATGAGCCTTTCGATATTTTGAATATTTAGTTGTTTACCGTTCGGAATGGCAGTGCTCTATACAAGAAAAGACTTATGTATGTCTTCATTATTCGAAATTGAATTCAATACTTAGAGAAATTTACGCACATAAATATATTTAGTTTAAACAAGATATGATGTAATAGTTAATATTTGTGGTCAGCTGGTCCCCTCAGGGCATAGATTCCCTGGTGTCGTCTCTGTCGTCGCTGGGTGTGTCTCGAGTGTGGGCGGCGCCGCCTCCGCCCGCTCGTGACTTCAACCCCTGGACCGCGCGCCACCCGCTCGAGGAGTTCATGCCGCACCGCTCACAGTGAGGTCGCACCACAACCTGGTAACTGTATGATCAATGGTCGCATGTCTGCTGGCTTGATACTAACTAACTGGTGGTTGTAATTCTGTCTTTGTGATTTACTAACAATTAGAAGTGGTAGGTATAAAAATTTTAATGAATGGGACTAAAGTTCAATGTTTAACATTAATGCACGGAAATGTTTATACAATTATATACATATTTTTTTGGAATGAGTTGGCTGCATGTTATGGTCTAAATTTTTTTTATAATTTAAAGTATATGTCACTGGGGTTGTACAGTTACCCGGATTGTAATTATGCATTGTTTGTTTTTTTTTTCGTAAATGTTGATTAATTTATTGCATGAATTAAAATTGCTATTTTAATTTTGTATTAAAGTATTTGTGTTGCATTCCCTGAGGAAAATGTGTGTACATCAATTACAAGATGAAATTTAAATTTTAATATGTAACAATTGTCTATTACATTTCATGGTGACTTTACATTGATTACACAAAAACATTAAGTAAAATGTATGCACATGATTATTTAATAATTAATTAGATTTTGATTAAACATAAATTTGGTATACAATTGTCAATTATATTTCAAGCATTTTTCTCAGGGAATGTAACAAATATGGAATGAGTTGCTAGATGTAGTATTGCTGTGTAAGGTATTTTTTTAAAGTACATTAACAGTTAATTATATAAGATAATCAAATAGACTGATTGTTAACAATGGGTCTGAGGTTTTTTAAGATTTTTGAATAGTAATCTCTAAAATAGAGAGATAAATTTGGATAAATCTCTAGATATTTTGTTTTAAATGTAATAAATTTAAGAATCCAATTTGTTTTAAATATTATAAAATTCGAAGCTCTATAAGCCTGTCGATAATTTTAAGTAGGTTTCAATGAGGTTTTAATGTTTAATAATAGAATATGAATTAAGGGCAACAACAGCTTACAGCCGTTATACATATTATTTCACATCGATCTACACTTTTTTGATGTTTTTTTCAACGGAATATACATATAGTAGTTTACTATATCTGTGTATGAATGAATATTTAAAATCAGGTTTAAGTAAACAAATCAATTTGGAAACGTTTTCTCAGTAATAAATGGCAGTATTATGAAATGATACGGCTGAATATGTATCGAATATTAGCATTTTTAAAAGTGGTAAATATGAATTTATCTCTCGGTGTTTTATGAGGTTTTGTTAATGTCGCATGCCAGTATCGATTAATTGATTAATAAATTTAAGTATAATTGAAGTTGGTTTCATTCCACCCCGTAGTTTGAGTTGACGGTTTTCAATGTCGCTATGAAGCGCGGGAAAATAGCGGCCGCTGTCAAACGGAGGCGTGCGTCCGCGGCGCACGGGTCGCTCTAGTGTGGAGTGTGGTGTGTGTATGGTGTAAGTACTAAGTTGTAACGAACGAGGCCTTACCATGGCGATATGCGACAAGTGGGTCGCGATCAAGATACTGGAGTTTGTGAGTATAGTGTTTTTAAATGGGATACAAGCTTGGGATATATAACATTCGCAAAAAAAAATATAAATATGTACTAACATTAATTTTAACCAATTCATTTTCAAATCACCGAAATTTTCTCCGCTTATAATTATAATTTCCCGATAACTTTTGGACGTATGTTTTGTCATATTTTACTAGTTAATCGAACTCGGGGTAAACACCTTAAAAAAATATTTTATTGCTTTATTATTATATTTATCATATAAAGAACGCTACAAATATACTTGCACATAATATTGCGCATGTTAAGTGTACATTTGCATTAGTACATGTAAACAGACACTACCTGCATAGAATTTTTTACCGTTTAAAGACATCGCAGGACTTAAATGTAAGGACTTCATTATTGTGAAAAACTCCCAATTTTGTTACGCAGAGATATAGGTGTATATTTACAAGAAATATTAAGTTAACTAATATTAAATAGTTTTCTTACTCTTAATACAGTATGATAAAGTTCCTTTATTAAAAGTATTCAGGGTCGATAAATATTAAAATTTTCTTTGTGGGCCGCGATGACATTATAGTAAACATGTTACCAAATGTGCAGTTTCGTAATGTTAGGTTTGGGCATTCGCGGTTACTTCATCTTGCGACTCGAGTACCTGTCGAACGATTTAGGAGCTATATGAATTGGTTTAACAAATTTGTTATATAACTTAAATCTCAAGAGTGGAATACATGTGGTTTTTAGTCGATGCTTTCTAATTCTTTATCCTACTTTAATTAAAGTATTTCAACTTTAATTTTAAAATTTAATGTATAAACGGGATCAAAATTATATTAATTTTTTAATTAAATTTTTAAGTGCAATTTGTTTTTATATCTTATGCTCAGAATTCTAGTTTTTTTAATGTGCAAAATCTTTAAATAATCTTATTGGAAATTGACTTTGCAGATAAAAACAGTACTGTAAAAATGCTAACATGTTTAAATGTGTATATTTAAAGAATTTCTAATACTTTTATGAATTACAAATAATTTTTATAATATGTATTTAATTATAAACATCAGTTTAAAAATTTAATTACACAGTTAATTATTAATGACTATTTCATTTCGTAATACATAGCTTTACTGACATTCCGAAATGACCACAGTGTTTGTTGTTGAAACATCTTCCGTACTGATTACACTTATATTTACTCAATGATCTGACTAAGTCAAAAAATGTAGTTATGTACTTAGAATCTTACTATTAAAATTCTTTGTTATAATAATAGGTAGGTATGTCACAAAATAAAACTTAACCATTATATGACTTCGTTATATTACTAACAAATTTTAATAACAATTAACAACTGAGGACACCAATTACGTATTTCCACGTTTAGTAATATTGTTCGCGCTTGTTTTATGTTCGTGTATAAATAATAGCTTTAATAATATAATAAAACCTTGCCCGAGTGAGTAACGTGTAATTATGTCGCCTGTTACGTCGACAACATTTTAATGTAGAATTATATATATATAATGATATTTAATGTTTTCCTCAATATGTGAACATGCTGTAATCTATCAGTTTCTTCAATGCCGGTCCCACGGTTGACAATAAGAGGTCGCCGCTTCGAAGGTTCTGTAGGGCTAGCACCAAGTACCAACCTGCTATTGTGATCCTGCATTGTTATAAGGACAACGGGCTTCTGCTTAGGATGCAGACACATTATAATATAATTAAGCGTTGTTAGCCAACAACTGTACATATATGCGTAGGGAGTAGGTACTAAAAAATGTACACATTCCTAATGTGTTAAGGAGTAGGTACCCAGCTGTTTATTGTATACATACCTAATGATATAGTTGTTATATTCTGTAATTGTTTTATTTATATCATCTAGCAAATTTAATTTATAATGGATAAATTGGTTTTTAATCTGGCGAACTAACGAAATAAATCTGTCACGACCTTCTGATTATCTTCAATACCTACTAATTGTAGTGTTTAGATATTTTATTTAAAAGACAATCTGAGGAATAATGGATAGCTTTATTGGACTAACCAAGGTGATTGCGGATTTTATTCGCATGTGCCTTATATCGCATCGCATGTGTTTTATATTTTTACAGACCAGAAATTATTAACCACTTATTAATTAAATTTGTAAATTTTTGGGGAAAATTGGGGATTTGTAAACTTTTTGTCGTAAAGGAAAGAAATAAGTTCAGTTTAAATTCTATAATAAAGGAGATATTTGTTCAAGCTTTGACATTGTATTAGTTCGTTGTTATCCTTTGTAGGTACATATGCTCGAAAAGTTTAAAGTCCTTTAACAAAATTTTGAGGATCCTTTTCATTTTATCAACTATGTAAATCTTATTTTATTATTTGTTTGTCATCGTATAGTTGTTGTGCGTGGCGTGCCTGGTGGCTAAGCGCGTGTCTACTGATGACGAGGCGCGTCTCGCTCTGCTTCTACAGAAGTTGTCCCGGGAATGGTCTCTACTGACGTCTGTCACCTGGGATTCCAATGGAGGGGCATTTGCTGACGCGGTTTATGGAGGTTGCGAACTATTTATATATATTTTGGCAGGAATAAAGATTCTTAGGAAAAAAATTTACTACATATTTTGATACGAATACATAATGTGCTTTTGCTTATACACTGTTAGTTAGTTGTTTCTATAAGAGTATGTATTACGTTGTATTTGTTGTTGGAATGTAGTTGTAGATCTTGACTTGACTCATATCGAAATAATTACGTAGAGGGGCCGTTAAAGTATTACGTAAGCAGATTTATTACAATTATTTACCCCCCCATCACCCTTGTCAGCAAAAGTAATCAAAGCTCTTACGCTCCTCCCTCCCCTCATGCTAACGTAAACATTTTCAATTACTGTATTGTTTTTTTCATACCTAAATTCATACCTAAATCCAGAAAAATATTATAATTATATTTTTTATGGATCTTCTCGATGTGATGATTAAAAAGTAAATAACTACCGATGACGTAATCATCACCTAGACTCCCCTACCCCCCATGTCATCCAAAGTAAGCAAAGCAAAGACCCCCCGCCCCTCCATAGTGCTTACGTAATACTTGAATCGCCCCAGATAAGTAAAAAATATTTGTACTAAAGTAAAGTAATGAAAAATAACACTTTAATAGCAAAATCTAAAAGTATAGTTCTGCCTCTGTTATAATATTTTGTTCCGTCGATTTGTTTGAGTGCTAAGTCAAGGTCTCCTGGTGATTTATCTATTTGTATACATCGCTCCACTAAGCCTCATTAATAAGTCAAGCTCATAATGTCTGTACAGGTTACGTTGTAATAACCTTCGCCTTAATCATCGGCCGAGTGTTCCAAGAGATACCGAGGGGGCGGAGGATATTGGAAGGCATTTTTCTGGGCTTCGGATTGATATTCTTCCTTATTTTGGGTAAGACGGGTTCACTATGAAATTTTTACCTTTGAGAGACGGAATAAAACCTTAATGTCTGTTTACAGGTGGTCTAGAGTTGGCGTCTTTAGATTCAGTACCAAATAATTTAATAGTGAACGCCTCTGTACTGGGGTCGCTGTCTCTGGCGGTAGCGGTTCTATTCCTCATAGATCTCATGGGCCCCAGGGTGTACACCGCCACGCGACCCTCACAGACGGACAAAACATCACAAGAGATAGAGAAGAAGATAGCTGTTGTGACGGAAACTAAAACCAACGGCCACGTACCGAATGGAAAGCAGAATGGACACGTACCAGCTGACAGACCCAAGGACTTGGATCTAGACGATGAAAACAATACAAATAAACATGACGCCAAAGACGAGACCGACTTGTTCGACGAACCTAAACGATATACGAAGCTAGACGACCTCCCCATAGAAAAGGTCCTGGAGAGGTCAAAGTTCGGGTCACTACGAAACGGAATAGAGTCGGGGAACTACGTCAGATTATCAGACCCCCTCGCGCCGCTCACGATACCAGATAGACTGCACTACGAACAGGAGTTGGCGAAATTCAACGAGAAGTATCTAAGAGAGTACATGGACTACGGCCCGGGCAGGCTCGCTGTTAAAGAAAACTACCTGCCTGAACTACAGACACCGGTGTTCTCTAAGATAAACAAGACGGGAAAGACGAAGAGCTCATACGACGAGCAGCCGCCCAGCTACGAGCAGAAGAGACCGTCCAAGTCTCCCACACGAGCCAGGATAGTGCCATCACCCACCATACAACAACTAGAGGATTACTTGAAGAGTTCCAACAGACTCAAACGAGCTGACACTCCCGCTATGTTCCCTATGGAGCCTATAGAAGAGAGGGACCGAGAGCCCCAAGACATAGAAGGCCGGGCCTCTGGCACCCCCACGGACCCGGGGTACGTGCAGTATACTGCCGGTAGATGGCCCGACAAGACCCGGGAAATACGGACCCCAAGACACAGCCCTACTGAGTGACAAGTGATCAGTCCGTGTACATACATTGACGAGTGACCTCAACTTGAATTAGTTGTCCAGTTGTGCTCGTGGTCTAATATTTAACTGCCATAGTCGTGGTGTCATAGCACATAAGTCTCGTTTCTGAGTAATGTCCGCGAGTCATCAATCAGACTTGTGTTCGTATATTACTTTACTCCTATAATTATGAACATCATATTTTACCTATATTATCCCTAACACGAGTTCTCACCGTTAACTCGACACTGTCAGTTTTCTGTTTCTATTTTTTCTATATCTACTCTCTACCTTCATGTCATCTCTTCTCTCTACCATATGTATGCAGACGATGTCCAAATTTACCGACACTCAACCCTTGATAGATTATCTGACGCTGTCGCTGCCATCAACAATGATTTGTCGGCTATTCATAAATGGAGTCAACAGTATGGGCTTAACATCAATCCCGCAAAGTCACAGGTCATTGTTGTTGGCAGTTCAGCCATGATGGCAAGGGTTGATTGGGCGGAGATGCCACGGGTTGTGTACAATGGTACTAACTTGTCCTACTGCTCCAATGTTAGAGACCTTGGTATACAGCTTGATAGTACTCTCTCCTGGTCGGAGCATTTAAAGAATATTGGAAAAAAAACATACGCCTCGTTAAGTTCGTTGCGACGACTACAAAACTTACTGCCAATTCCTACCAAAACTATGCTTGCAAACTCTCTCCTTCTTTCAATACTCGATTACGCGGACGCAAGCTATCTTAATCTTACCGAGGACCAACTTAATTATCTTGAGCGATTACAAAATCTAGCTATTCGGTTTATTTTCGGTCTCCGAAAGTATGACCACGTTTCAGAGTTTCGTTCAAAGCTCAAGTGGCTCCCTATACGCCGTCGCCGGAACCTGCATACTCTTTCTCTTCTGTACTGTGTGTTATTTAATCCAAATGCTCCTCAATATTTGAAGGAGAAGTTCGAATTTGTAGGAGATCAGTCCAGAATGCGACCAGCACGTAGGCTCATTCTGAAAATGCCTGCTCACAACAGTAAATATTACAGAAAATCGTTCACTGTTCAGGCAATAACTCTCTGGAATGACCTACCATTGAGCATTCGACAGTCTAAAACCCTATATGCTTTTAAAAAATCCTTGAAGAACCTATATCTCTCATCAGAGTAATGATGACGACATAATTATGATAAATGTATGTATTATGTATATATATATGTATTTATATGTTTGTATGTATGTATGTATTTATATGTATTTGTATGTATGAATGTAGGTATGTATGTATGTATGTATTTATTGATATATGTACGTATGTATATTATTGAATATTTATTAGTGTTATTTATTTTTGTATGTGTTTAGGTTATATATTTATTTTAAGAATATCTAATGTACCACCCTATACTGTCTCCAAGCACAATCCTCTGACCCCAGGTTGCCTGGAAGAAATGGCTAATAAGCCATAAGGTCGCCTTTTGTTACACTGTTAGTTTTAAGTTTGTATTTTTTTTTTTGTAATTGTCTGTATTGAGAGTATGGTGTGCAAAAAGTATTAAATAAATAAATAATAAATAAATCTACCTATGGTACTCACCATCATCACGTGAGGTAAATTATGAATGAAAAATTGTCAAATGTCTTCGTTTAGTTTGTGGACGCGAATTAAAGTAGTTATAAAATGTTACCAAGTAGTTTTGTAATTTTGTATATTTTATTATTTTAACAATGACGAATACTTTTGTATGTTAGTTCCCATAATAAAATTGTATATAGCTATTAATAAATTTTATATTTAATAAATTACATACGTATTTTAATTAGTCGTTTGAATTTTTTTGTGTCCGATATAAATCATCGAAGGTTTTTGTCAAAACAAAAGAATTAAAAGTCATGGTTTTTAAAGTTTGTTTGACGGAAGTTCGTTGCTCTCGACCACGATTAAGTTAATTTGAAAATAATGAGTTGTGTGACAAGATGTTTACACTGACTGCTAATGATGAATATGTCACTTCCACTTAAATGAACTACGTAAGGACATTGAAAAATAAACTTATGGGTTGTTCTATGTAGAATATTCTGTTGCTCCTTTATCTGGTACGCTATAGATAAGAGCCAGGCTTACGACCTGAGTACACGTAATCTTAGTAGTTATGCAGTAGCTGCTATACGCACTTCCCACACATGAATGAATTGAGCAATTTTCTCGCTAACAAAAATGTCTTTGAGCATCGCTAATAAATGACCGCTTCATTCAAAAGCGCCTTAATACGTGAAGGACAATCGCTGAGATCGATTCCAAAGAGTTTTTATATGTCTTATTGTTTAAATAAAAAATAGATATTTTAATACTCTACTTCAGATATTATTTACCTTACCTTTTCTAAACAGGCCTACATTTTATTTGAAGGTCCTTTCAAATATACATGAAGTGTTTGTAAGTTCGTTAGATATTAAATAGATTTACGACGACGCACTACGACGATTAAGCTACTATAATCACAGGATTAGGTATATTTTTCTTGAGAATTTTTTGTGTTTAATTTTAAATGTTTTTTCTCATGAAGTAATTAAATAAGTTTTATTAACTAGGAAGACCGAGATAATTTTGATAATATTCTACCTAAAATCTTTCTGAAGCTCAACTTCTTTTCTCACGAGTTTTTAAACCTTGTTGTAGCGATTGTCTTATTCCTTTATATCTTGAATCGAGATATTTGAGGTGACTCATCTGGGAAATTCGTTGGTGGAATTGTTTTTTTTCTTTTGTTTTGACAAACAACTAATATTCCTAATTAATAAATTACATGACTATTCTTAAATATCTTGACTTATCGGCGCGTAGCGAAAATTATGTTCATACAAATACTTAATGTTGATTTTTCTCGTTAGTCATCCAAAGTATTGTTACAATTTAGTTAAAACTTAAAATTAAGCTTTTTCTATAAGTTGATTCCTATTTTATATTAAATGTCAAATAATGACGTTTGCCGCCATTTTCATATGATTGATCATTGACGCGTTGTAAGACAAATCTTATTCTGATCGCAAAACATAAAGACCAGTGCCGATAGCTTTTCAAACATAATTAAATTATAGTAGAATGAAACTCATTAAAAAAGGAGGGGAATATTATAAAAATTAAAGGAAAAATAATTTACATGCGATCTGAGGTCGGGAAGGGTGTGGGGATGAGTATTTAAGGGTAAAAAATGGGTTTTCCCGATTCCCGGCAAAACTAAAAATCCTATAGGTAAATGTTATATGGCAAAGTTGTAGGTAATAAAAAAATCTAAAACTTTTGTACTAACATTTTTTTCGCATAACCTCAAAAACCAAGTTTTTGGTTTTTTATTTTTTCTCTTACAAAAAACAATATTTTGTCACAAAATTTGGTGAAAACTTTCCTTTTGATGTCCCAAATACACTGTAATATATTTGATTAGAAATATTTATTTTTTTCAGCTTATTTTGAATAAATATCATAAAATCAGTCTCATTTTCAATCGAAAAATCACTCGTCAAATACCAGCTATTTTCAAAAATTTGGCATGATTTCAATTTGTTGAAATCTCTATTTTCCGATGGTGAAGAAAAAATATAAGTTTCTTACTTACTGTACCATTTTTGGATAAAATAAAATCATGACTCTTTTAATGAAAGAACACTCGACATCGTTTTGAAAATGTTAATTTTAGATTTTTTTATTACCTACAACTTTGCCATATAACATTTTTCTGTAGGATTTTTAGTTTTGTCGGAAATCTAGAAAACCCATTTTTTACCCTTAAATACCCATCCCCGTACCCTTCCCGACCTCAGATCGCATGTAAATTATTTTTCCTTTAATTTTTATAATATTCCCCTCCTTTTTTAATGAGTTCCATTCTACTATAATTTATTTTCACTTTTTATTAATTTTAAAGGCTCTTCACTGGCCTAATAAGTATTTGTATTATTTTATAATAACGTATTACCAATGTTCATATTAAACAAGTTTGTGATTTACAAATATGATTCCAAGCGGTGTTGTACGGGGTCATGTTACTAACAGCCTTGCCTGCTTCAGACAAAGGATAGTATTAACGTGTGAATCCTATTCTTACTTAATAGTTGAGACCTTCGCATTTGTTTCTTTCCTTTGTAGGGTTGCTGTTAATACAAAGAGCCGTGTAATTTGACAGCTACTAATATTACTCTGTTGTTTTATTTGAATGTTCATGAAACAGTTGCTTAAAATGATTTATCTATAGAAGTTTTCTTAAAAATATATCTTAGTAACGAAGGTAATTTAGAAACAACACACAGAAGTATTAAAAAGTCGGTTTTTTATTGAAAATATATCTTTATTCGTATCTACAATATATTCATACAATGTTTTATTAAATATATTAATTACATGAAAGTATAACTCATGTATAGACTCTGACCGTGCGGTCTTTGGATTTTATTATTTATTTTGGATAACAACTAGATATTATAATGAAAAGTTACATTAAAATGACGCAGTGAAGAGTGAATGAAGAGAAATGGAATGCATGCGAAGAAACTAGCCTATACATGAAGACTTAAACTACATACAATATGTAACTGGTGTTTAATATTAAGGAGCTGATAATTACTAGACATATAGCACCGTTCATGTACAGAGGACCAGACAATTTAGTTAAGAAACAATATAAACAAAATAACAATATCCATTATAATTAATAAAATTGATATTATTAGAAAAATGGCGGGACTAAAACACCACGCTCAGTGTTGCCGTTATATATTACATGTTCCAACTGTGGCAACACTGATCAAATTAATATTTAATTTGGAATGTACCTTGTTAATAATTATTAATAATTTCATTCATATAATGTATTATATTATAATATTATTATGATTAACATAAATATAAAAATATAAATTTTGTATCCTTTGAAGCTTGTGTTTTATTTATAACAATATAAATAAAAGATATTCGAGTTTAATTCAATATACATTCCTCTTGTTCTTTTTGGGACTAAAATGAAAATAGAAAATATATTTATTTACCATTTCCTGACATCCTATTCCCATTTTAGTCGATTATTTTTTATTCTACGGTAATATAAATGAATATATAATATGTTAAGTACATTTCACAACGAAGCACGAAGTTTAATATTAAATATCGTGTTATTGTTCAGAGATTTCAATTCCATGATCCTTGACGCTTGTCACGTTCATTGGCTGATGAAGGCTGGAAGTAATGGGACCATTATTAAAATGATTATTAATGCAGTAAAACTTTATATACATATGATTAAGTAAAAAAAATCATAATTAATCATTGTTTTTATATTTTTAGTACTAATATTTTATATAACTGCGTTTATTTCTTATATCTTTGTCTTGTTTTGCCTATCAACGGTTGTTTCTTCATTATGCTTGATAAAATTTTGCTATTAAGCTTGAACATTTAAGATACACTGAATCATAAAGGTATTGTATAAGAATCTCAATTGTATTTAATCTTAATTGTAGTAAAAATTCTTATTCCAATTAATAATTCTATAAGTGCGTGTATAGTTCTTTACCCGGTGAGTTCCTTGCGTCTCCGTCCCTGTTGTCTCTCTGCAGCGCTATGTATTGTCTGATGAGTCTCGCTATCTCGTGAGCTTGTTCAGCCTGGAGACGAGTCACCCGCTGTTGCAGTAGGGAGCCGCACTTCACGTCCAGGAATAAAGTGCCGTCCTCTGAACGGACCTTTAGGAAGAAATAAGATTTAAATATATAATAAAGGGCAGACCCTGGCCGGGAAATTGTCAGGAAGGAGAAAAAGATCAATAATCGTACTAATATTATAATCGCGAAAGTTTGTGAGTGTGTGTGTATGTTTGTTACTTCTTCACGCTCGAACGGCTGAAGCGATTTTGATAAAATTTTGTATACAGGAAGCTGACGTCCAGGAATAACACATAGGCTACTTTACATCCCGGAAATCCGCGGATAACACCGCGGGGCGTAGCTAGTATCATATAAATCCGCTCTACTTATAAGGGGCCATAAAATACGTCACACTAATTTCATGAGTTTTTGAGCCCTCCCCCGTCCTTGTCACAGGTGGTCACATTTCTGAGACCCCCCCCTCCCTAGTGTGACGTCACATGTTTTGCAATTTAACATCGAAAAATTATTAAATTAAAACAGCAGTTCCGAAATTAGTTTTATTTCCATTTAAATTAAGTACTTTCCTATGAAATCAATACAGTATCAAATATTTGAAACAATAACAAAAAAATAAACTAATGAATATACATATATGATGACGCGCTCAGTTTTAAAGATTTTAATTAAAATTTCAAATTACGCGATTAGTACCTCTAGATTTTGAAATGTGATGTCACGAAACTTAGAACTCCTCCCACCCCTTGTCACACCATGTCACACTTTGTCGACCCCCTCCCCCCCCTTTACGTGTGACGTACTTTATGGATGGCCCCTAATCAACATTCATAATGACTAAGGATTCTCTGAAGCTTAAATTCTAACTGTCAAAGACTTCAATCAAACCTCAGTTTGTTCATAAGTGAGGACGATTATCCGAACTCTTTAGAGCAAAATGTACTTTATCTTTATGACATAATGATGTATTATGTATACTGTATGTAAGTTGAGCTTGTCCTTTCCCTACCCTTTCCTACCTTTTCCTCCCCCTTTTCTCCAATCAAGGGCGGCAACTATCTCCATCAGGTAAGCCGTCTGCTCAGTTACCTCGTTTTCCCATAAAAAATATTGTTTCTTATATATTAGTTATTTACCTTCCTAGTGGAAATAAGGTCCGCGTATGGCCAGTGTGCGTCCGTGTCGTGTGATGCAGGGTGCAGTAAGTGCAGGCCTCGTCTGTTGAGCGCCAGTACATGTTCGCGCCACTCGCCGCCCTGCACGCGCCTCACCGCGAAGAACGAAGACCCGAATAGGGACCAGCGGGATAACACCTGGTATAGAGATGGGGAATTAAATTATATTACATGGTTAACTGTATTAAAGATTTTTGGAGTAAACTTTCTTAACGCATATTTGACTTAGGAGTAAGCTAGTGAATGCGTGATGATAGTGACTAGGGTTACGAAAACTGTGATCGGAGAGAGGGAGATATAAGTTAGTGAAGATAGATAGAGATAGTATAGAGTAGAGGAATTATACTCTATTACATAGTGTTAGTAACTATTATTTATTATGATTCAAATTGTGGTCTACTTCATAACTCTAAGCTTAGCGTTATTTATATTATAATATTTATTGGGAATTCTTATGATAGTCAACTAGCGCCATCTGTATATAATAGTGCGAATCAAAGTTAATACTATTGATGTATACTAATTTAAATGTCCAAATACTTAACCATTGGTTTTATAATTTATAATTAGAGCCTTAGCATGTCTTACATAATGTTTAGTGTTTATTATTTAATGGAAACTCTTATAAGGGGAACTAGCGTTCTCTGTATGATATTATTACCTACCTTTACTTAAACGTTATCTTTGAATATTTTAAATAGAATGCAAGTGACTGGGGCTTCGGTTACGAGTTTATTTTTTGATTTTTATTTTATTTTAATAGGTTTACCAACAATTATTTACACCAATACAATGTAAAATAGTTATCTACATATAATCTAGGGCACAGTGTAACAACTACTTAAAGGTAAACTCCGCATGCACACAAATTTAAATAAGTCTACTTTAAAACACTATAGAACAATTTGGGGAGCAATAAACAACTCAGTGGAAGTACTGCCTCATTTACTTCTAATATTAGTTAACGGGGAATTGTGTATTAATGATATAAAGATTTTTTTTTGTTTCACATTAGTCATTTAATTGAGATTTTGAAAAAATATCGGTTTAAAATCGACTTACTTGTAATACTTTGGATTTAGCTGAGGCAGGTGACAGTGTCCTCACACTGGGCCACTCGTTACCGACCCACGACGCCCACTTATTGGGTCGCGGCTCTTTAAGCGCGAGGAGAGGTTTCGGTAGAAGGAACTTCAGGTCCCTGGGGTGTGGTGCGTCTGGCAGGCCTGCCGCACGGTGTAGCAGGGCTGCCACCACGGCTGCGTCACGGAGCACCCCCGCCGCCGGAGCACCCCCACCTGGTAAAACTAGTAGCAGTCCTTCTAGATAGTCCGGAGCCACCTGCAAGGGAATAATAAGATTTAGAAAATACTGAAGCTGATTTAGGTCTTAAAAATTCATTATAATATCATATTAATTTTGTTTAAAAATATAATATCTCTATATTAAATTAGTATGTAAACTTTTTAATCATGCACTGTTTATAGTTAGTAATTAATGTTATGTACACTTATCATTGACGTACATATGTATCTGATGTTTTAATATAGTCACTTTAACTGTAAATATTCAATATGTATGTTGTAAATAAATAAATAAATATTAGCAGAATTTAAAAAGTAGCTGTGTGTGTGTGTATGTACCTGATTGAAGAGCACTTCAGTATATAGCGGCGGCGCGTCTGTCCTCAGCGGGTGGTGCCACACGGAGCGACAGAAGATGAGGTAGAAGGGATGTCTTGCTCGTTGTAGCTCTGTGGTCACGTCTAGTACATACTCGTCTCCCGCTAGAGGCATGGTGAGTGCATCACCCGCCACGATACAGTACAGGGAGAACTCCGCGCGCTCCGCCGGACTTGACACGCCGATCTGTACACATAACACATAGTTAAATACGCAAGATAGGGTACAAATGAAACGATCGCTAGCTAACAACGCACAAACTATATCTATACTTAGGTATAGGTACCTATGTAACAATAGTTAAATAATATTCAGACAGTTTTGGATACTGTTACATGAGATGTGACTGACTTATATAATGTCTTGTTGATGAATAAATTTACTAACACTTTATGTATCACATAACAGAATGTGACATGACAAATTAATATATATGTACTTATTATGGATAACGATTGTTATTTAAATTTGACTTATACATGTTTCATAAAAAAAATTGTCCTAATTTTGTGCAGTCTATGTTACTAGTACTATAAGTTACAAGTCCTATCTTCTCTTTATCGTTAAAGACGACTGTATCCCCTCCTTTGCGTTACCACAGACCACACAAATATATCAACGGAGTTCATATTGTGTCATGATACTCACTAGTTCACATAGATCGTCCACTATATCCTGGACCACAGTAGCGCACCGCGTGTTGACGACCCTCTCCGCGCCGCCCGGCAGACGGTACAGCTGCCGGCGAGCGGAGCGGCCCGCTGATACAGCCGTCACCTGGAAACAAACATTACACGCTGAATATACAAGGAAATAGCGACAGTCGCATTTGGGTCATTGTTATTGGGTCAATATAAATGATCGTTGTATATTTTTTAACTTCTGAATGTTAAGATTTGCCTTTTGTCCCAGCATCTTTTCCGTTCTTATGAACGTCTATCGTGACGAGTCAAATGATTTGCTGTTCACAAATGTATGAAGGACTAACTTGTTTCTGTATATACAATGAATAGTTATAACTTAATTATTGTTATGTGTGTGATGAATTTTATCTGACAACTAAATAACCTTCTTTAGAAACAGTACAAATATTAATTACTAGGGTTTCCAATCAAATGATTATTATAGTTATATACTAGAAGACCTTGCGAACTTCATATCGCCCAATAATCAAGAAATATCTGTTACGTTTTTTTATTTATATTTTTGGAGTTTACCTATTAAAGCCATAAATCTCCGTGTTTTGAAGTGCGACAGAATGATTGACATATTAGTGAGTTGTCAAATCTAATGTCAAAAAAAAAGTTTGTATCACCAACTTCTAATAAATTAAAAATTAATTAAAAAAACATTGTCCAGCGGACAAAATTGTGAATCTAAGCCATTTCCAGATCCCCTTGAACACACACAAACAATTTCATCATAATCGGTCCTGTCGTTTGAGAGAAGTTCAGTGACATACACGCCCACAGAAGAATTATACAGGGTGACTGGTGAATTACTATCGATATTTGAGGACGTGATATTTGACGATCATATATGACAAAATAAAAATTAATATAACATAAATATTAATAAACTTCTAAGTAAAGTTAACCAAAAGTTATGTAATTAATTACGCATCGTATGAACACCCTACAGATTAGGTATACTACACACACACACACTCGCGCGCGGCGGCGTGTTGTTGTATCAGCACGCCGCCGCAAGCGTCCACACTTGGAACACTTGGAACGTGTACACACTTTAAGTATTTATTTATACGGAAATTTGGTCAAAAATTAAGTACCTATTTTTTTTACATAATTCGAATGAGAATCATGTACCAAGTATACTCCTTAAATATTGATAGTAATTCACCAGTCACCCTGTATATATAAAGATATACAGTATGTGAGTGTAGGTAAGTACCTCCTCAACGCTGGGTACATTCTTCCTGCCCCCACACCTCATGGTCTTTCTGAAGTTAGTGAGACACACGGCCGCGGTGCCCTGGCAGGGTCGACGCCGGTCAGCAGCCGCCGCTGACAGGTACTCCACCAAGAACGGCCTACAATACATAGATAAACAGACATTAATAGAAGAAACAACATCATACCTTATCTTGAAGCGATTTAAAATTATAATGAACATAGGCAGTTAGAGTTGATGTCAGGCAGGCGGCTCGTAAAAACAAACAGCCAAAACTATTCACAACATGTAAGGCAGACATGGCTAAAGCTGGGAAACTGACAGGTTGAAGAATGAATATAGGCAGTATAATCTGTCAGTATAGTTCATGTGAAAAACTGAGTCTTTTTTTAGTCCAAGTATAAGATATGAACCTTTGTAGATGCATTATTATGGACATTTATACTATGAAGCTGATTTAACTACTACATCCATAAAATCAGTAAAAAATATAGTATTAAAATAGAAATTATTATTATTTAAACTCTTTTTTGTTTTTTGTTTGCTTATTTCACTTTGATTTTGTTTCATTATGTTTTATATGCCATATATTTCGTATAATATATTTATTTATATCATAAATAATAAAATTTTGTTCTGCTAAATAATTCGTGCATGCTGTGTTCTCCTGTAAATAATTGTGACACTTAGTCTTAAGATATATTCTTTGAAAATTGTATTTATTTAATAAATAAAGCTGATGTCTATAGTTCGAGTGTTATAAGACTATCAATGATGAGATCAGTGTGTGATCGTTACCTGAGCGTCTCGGAGCATGTGAAGTATGAGGACAGTATGGACATGAGCCTCCAGGCTCGCTGGCACGAGTCGGGCGCGTGCGAGCGGTTGGAGGTGGTCTGCTTCATCAGCTGGCAGTACACCTCGTCACGGAGCTCCGACACTGAGTGACAGTGCTGACAACACACACACACACACACATGAACATTGAGGGTAGAACACATCGATATTGAAAAGACAATCAAGAGAATAGGATACAATAAATGCTCTACTGAACTTAGTATTCACCATGACAACAAACTAGACACATTTATTTAAACGGAACCGCTCTATACAAGGTGACTGGTGAATTACTATCGATACTTGAGGACGTGATATTTGACGATCATATATGACAAAATAAAAATTAATATAACATAAATATTAATAAACTTCTAAGTAAAGTTAACCAAAAGTTATGTAATTAATTACGCATCGTGTGAACACCCTACAGATTAGGTATACACACACACACACACACGCGTGCGGCGGCGTGGTGTTGTATCAGCACGCCGCCGCACGCGTCCACACTTGGAACACTTGGAACGTGTCCACACTTTATTTATTTATACGGAAATTTGGTCAAAAATTAACTACCTATTTTTTTTACATAATTCGAATGAGAATCATGTACCGAGTATTCTCCTTAAATATTGATAGTAATTCACCAGTCACCCTGTATACAAAAAAATAATCAATTCAATCAATGAGTCAATCTATTAGTGAGCATTGTAGTACTCACCATGAGAACAGTATAGACACATTTAACTTCCGTCAGATCCTGATGCATGGCTCGTTCAGGGGGCTGCAGGTCGCCGCAGTAGGCTCGGATGCACGTGAAGCATTCCAGGGCCGGCGGGGCGAGCGCCGCCGGGAGGCGGAGTAGTGGAGCCCGCAGCGGCGTCGCCTGCCACTTGACCACATCCGTCTGGGCCTTCCACGTCCATTCATTCCGTTTCGCCTTACTCTTGAGTGACGAATCCGCTTTTAAGATTTCCAATCTGTTGACACGACTTTGCTATTTAAATTATAATATAACTATAGCAGATAATATTAATTTTTATATTAATTAATTGTTTTACATTTTATTCAAATTGCATTTCACATTCGATTTGAAAGTGATTTTATTTAAATATACTTATAAAATATGCAAGTTTCTTTTAAACTGTTTAAGAAGTTTTTTATACAATAAGTCTACTTCTAATAAGCAGCTTAACGCACGTCTCTGTTAAGTAACTAGCTTTCGAATGTATTTTTTTATCAACGTGAACAGCGATTACTGAGTAAAAACATTATAATCGATTTAGTGTGTGGCTGAAGAACGGATTCCTTTGACAGCAAACGTCAAAACAATTTAAAAATATATATATTTGAATATGGAACGTAAAAACAAAATTTATAAATTTGAATGTAACATATTCGATTCAAAAGTCATTCAACTATTCTTATTTAAATGCGGAAAAGTCAAAGTTGTTATCGTTATATAAATTAAAATTGACACGAATATTTTTTACTAATATTCATACTGTCCTCGTTTCATAAAACGTTTATATATTAAATATTCATAAACAAAATAATCTTCGTGAACGTGTATTGACTTACGAAATCCAATCAGTTATGGCTTTCTAATATTATTTCAATTTAAGAAATTTTTTTGAGTGTATTTTCGTATATTAGTTTCTAATGGCGTTGTTGTAATTGTAACGTTGATAAGTTTAATATATTTTTGGATTAAAGACGAAAATTTATTGCTATTTTTCTATTTATTGATATTATTCGAAAATATATATGACGACCAAAAATATATCTTCTTTTAACATACTTAATGAAAAAATTATAGAGCTCTACACATGTATGTAATTTTGTAGTGTTTATCAATTTTAAACGTGAGTATTTCAAAAAAGTTTATATTCTTAACTTTTAATGGTCATTATGTCATATTTTGATAGCTTAGACGTCGGCCTTCACAATTTTATTACCTCTACTATGTAATTGGCGCCAATTCCTACATACTAGGTGTAGAAATTACTATTTTGTTTCAAATATAACAATAATATTGTTGTAAAAGTAAGATTTCTTTGTACTTCTAGTTATATGTTACAAAAATACTTATATAAACGAATTATATCAGTACAAACTTGGTTTAGAATTTAATATATGTTTTTAATAAATTGTTTTCATTCCTACACGCAAATATACACGATATTAATGAAAAAAATATATATATATTGGCTGTGTATCCATAAATGACAACTTAAAAAAGAAGAAAAATCAAAATTAAGAAATAAAACAAGCTTACGTTTAAAATATTTAAAATCACCAATGATATGTACATATTATATTTTGCTATACCGTCGCGTGTTTGGTAATCAATTATTGTAATATACATATACGGAACAATTAAACATTTCTAGGAATTTAAGTGAAAATTTTCATTCAATAAAAACAACGAGTAATTCTTCGTCTGTCATCACGACTTTTATTTGTCACGTACAAATAAAGCGTTTTGATATTTTAAATGTGATTACGTCTTAAAAGTTAAGTATAAGTAATTATTTTTATTGAAATTTTCAAAAAAAATAAATCATTAAATTGTTCCACAAGTGTTTATTTTACTCTCACAAATCAAACGAAGATTGTGATTGTATGAGTAAAAAAGTTTACTATGGCGCACGTTAAAAAAGTTTTTAGTATTTTAATTCTGAAATAAATCGTTTCAACATAATACATAAAAAGTAATAATGAAAGATGAATAATACATATTTATAAACACTCCTCGGTTAATTATTAAAAAAATAAGGATCTAGGCAAAATTTTTTTAAAGTTTAACAATGTACAAACGATATGTACGTTTGCTGCATTTTGTTTTTCCTAAGAGAATTTTTATTAGAATTTAAACTCGTCGGAGCGAGATATCAAAAAGTCAAAATTATTTTAATATCTAGTGTCGCGTTAACGTTTTTTAATCCACACTTTCAAACTGGCCAACGACCGAATAAAAGCGACATTAAACGAAAGTGTCTCAAAACTAGCGTGTATTTAAATTAGGAGACCATTCTTGGTCCAAGCTCATACATTACGTAAACAGATATATTTCATATCATAAATAATAATTTTGGATATATAACATATAATTCAATACATAAATCTAATAATAATGACTTCGTTTTTTATAATTATTATCCGTATAACAATCACATTCAAATCCTTTTTGTGTCACTGAAAAACACTTCACAACACTCCATATACATATATTTCATTTAACACAATTCTTACAGTAAATTCCCTTTAACTTCCTCGCAGTGACACAAGTCGTGTCGGTCAATCTTGTCGGCGTCCGACAGACTGTCGTCGGACATGTCGGCGAACTCCGCACTCGCCGACATTTTGTTATGACAGTCGATACGTTACTGAACGCTACGCCAGTACGCGAAAGTCGAATAGGAAGGAATTATATATAAATAAAAACATACGCACGCCGCGGCCGTTCTGCTTGTTTACATACGATTTTATAACAGTTACGTTAAAAACATGAATTATTTAAATATTATATAAGTTACACAAAATCATAATGTTTACAAAATTTATTACAAACGTAATATTATGTGGAACGGTGCGTGAAATGTTTAAAAGAGTGCATGAAATATTGTTAGTTAATCTGTCAAAATAATGATTATAAGGACTTTTAAATTATTACTGTCTCATATTTAACATATATACAATATGTAAGGCAGACCCTGGCTAAAGCTGGGAAATTGCCAGGTAGAAGAAGATTGAAACTATTGAGTGTAGCTTACAAGAAAATCAAAAAATCCACATAATGAGATGAGATACTTTCGCGAGAATTAATTTCAACGAAACTGATTATTTTGGACTATACTATTCAAATTTCAACTGCCCGTGATGACGGTTGCTTAAAAGTAACCGAAAGGTCGCTAATATGTAGTTTTACAATAATAAAATACGAGTAGTAATCCGAATAATATTAGTTTCATTTAAATCAAAAGTTCCTTTTCAGTGTCGAATTTAAGTTAAAGTCAGTATGACAACTCATAGATTCCTAATACATATTTTATGTGAGCGAATTAATAAATTGAAATTATTTTCATCAAATAAAAGTTATAAAATCTTTAGTTTAATTAAGTGATTTAATTTAAGATTCGATTATGTTTTTTTGGTAATTGGTATATGAAAAATATATCTTATTTCTAAACTCAGAGCAACAAAGTGATCATTCCTCTTTTGAAATGAAAACTATTTCAGACAATCTTAATTCTAATCCTTGTATTGATTGTCACTCATTATTTTTAAGAAGTATTAAAATATTAAGAATAAATAAAAAATTAAAACATAGTAATACAACTATATAGTAGAAATTTATTTTAAAACAAGATCTAAAGGTATCTCTACTAATAGTTCAAAGAAAGTTTAAAAATAAAATGTACTGTGTAGTTAAGTGTTAAAAGAGAAAAAAACAGTTTTCTAATATTATGTAACTCTACCAATGGAAAAAATTTAGAACTATGTATTTTGAATTAAAAAATCATTTATGACCTTCATTGACTAAAATTGTTATATTGAAGTCAAACAACATTTTTCTTATAATATTAATAACTGTTTATAAATGAGAACCAGAATAAAAGTAATTAGTTGTGATCATTTTTAAAAATTGTATATCCTAATTAAGATGGGTATTGGTATATTGTTAGGTATTTATTAAGTTTTGCAACACAAATGTACACATTTGATATAATTTATTATTCTTTGTTATATGTCATGAATTCATTCATTTTAAAATAAATATTGTTTTAAAGATATACTTGCAATAAACTATAGGAATAACTTTGTAGTCAAATATTTTTAGTTTGTATGAAAAATTATTTTTTTTCAAGTTAGTTATTATAAATCAGTGGGCGTCGTTTTTAATAATGAATATATTAGTACATGTATGTTTACAATAATAACTTTCAAAGTGGTTTGTCACCAACACTTATTGTCCAAGAAACTAAAAAATACCACATAACACTGGTTGAAGGGATATGCGAAAAGATTGTTAAGAATACATTTTACCATGGCCTTAGCAAAAAAAAAAAAAAAAAAAAAAAAAACAGCACCACACTGACAAGTAACGATAAAGTTTAGGATGAATGGGATACAACCTTGACCTTAACAAAAAAAAAAAAAACAACACACTACACTGACAGTAAGGATATTTTTTAGGCTGAGTGGAATACAACCCCAGCATTATTTAAAAAAAAAAACACACTACACTGACAGTAAGGATAGAGTTTAGGCTGAATAGGATACAACCCTAAACAAAAAAACATTTTGTCAAAATATCGTTTGATACTTGCAGTCTATACGTCAGCCTCGCTGCGGCAGCACACGGCATGACTGACGGTTCTATAGTATAGTAAATACTCCCACGACAAGTGCGGTGCGTTCCGCGCCAACGATGTTCTCAGTAGGACTGAACAGGGCTGAACATCTTTGTTTTATGGACTATTGTTGTTTGTAGACAGTACACTAATTTCACAATGACATAGATTAAAAGTTGAATAACGTATGAAAATAAACTTTAAATATAGAACAATTTAAAATTCGTTCACAAACTAAATCATTGTCGTTTCATTGCATAGGATCTGTTTAATTTTCTCACGCTTTTTATTTTGGAGCTGTAGTATGTCAAAGGGAAAGTATACTTTTATGATTTTTATGATATGATTTATGATTTTTTGTAATATCGATATCGAAAGCAGTTTTAGAACAACCCTAGTTTAGTAATTATAGAAATAAAAGTAGTTTTACCGATTCCTCACGACGTACATTGAATGCAAATACAAAAGTACCACGCTTTTGCCATTACAGAACAATGTTAAGAAACAGATTATTCAGCTAATTATGGAAGGCTTTTTGTTTTGTTGTTTTTTTTATAATAATTTTGTTTCCTACGTATATAAAATATGATTTGATGCCTATCTACGATGCCCACGTTCTCAAAATAATAAAAAAACTTTAAAATTATAAGTTTAGACTGCTGCAGTCTATGTAAATCATAATAATTTAAAAAAAGCTAAATGTCATAGATGCTCTTTTAATATCGGAATTTTCATAAGCTTAGTTTGACACTTTAATGACATCACTTTTTGTTTACGTATACACGTAGAGGGCAAATCAAAACAAAGATTAATGTAATATTGAGATTAGCGTAACAAAATTACTAGCATTTAAAGTATTTTATAGAGTGATTGAATGCTACATCATATAACAGTCAGCATCTATGCAGTATAACACTGATGTGAGAACATTGGTACGAACAAAACGTTTGTAATATAGAAATATTTTAAGACGTGGAGTCAGTTTTTTTGTAAAAGGTATATGTCCTTTGATAAGGAACTACATTTTGGATCTTTGTAAATAATTAGTGTTGTTCGATAATAATTAATTAACATTCTTACGTCTTTAAAATTGTTCTTAAATATTAAAATTTCTGTAAAATTAAATACATACTATAATTTTAATTCGAACATATTCAGTAGATGTCGCTAATAATAAAGTCCGTAGTTAATAATTTTTATTTCCGCTAGATGGCTGTAGTTGGATTGTATTTTGACATATTAAAGTTCGATATTCATTATATTTTCATATGACTATTTATATTTAATTTTTCTTTTTGACTAAAAAGATTTTGTCATTAAATTGAGTGAGAAACGAATTCATTTGTATTTTTTTAATGAAAACAAACAAGCAGCGCCATCTATTGTCTGTGTCAGCTGATTTCATGCAGAAGTTTTGTTTTGGCGGGAACTACATTTAATGGCATACATTTTATTCAGATGTACCATTACAAATTACATAACCTACCTACTGTTAATTATTGAAAAAATATATTTATATTTAGAAATCACTCTGTAGTGTGTATGTTCTATTAACTTTATAACTTGATCTGACTTACGGAAATTCAGTAAACGATGAATTCCCCGAAAGATTAGGCACGTAATTTTCACTTATAATACAATAGAGATGCTTAATGCGAATATGATATAACAATGGGTTATGTTAAAATGTAGGTGAGGTCAGTGACCTGTTGCGACGTTGTGTGAAGTAATTAATACTTAATGCAATTATTGATGTCAAAAACGAAATATGTTGAATTGTAATCCATTGATACCTATATAAATAAATAAAATTGTAATGTCTTTTTTAAGTTAACAGTAAATGCCTTTTCTGAATACCTACGATATCAATATATATTTTTCAAAATTTTATTCAGTCAGTCTCATCTCTAAAACGTTTGTACCTATTTCAACTAGACATTCCCATGGCATAAAGCTTATATTATAATTTATAAGTAAACTTAGGCTACTTTAATGTTAGAAAATTTATTTTGCGCGAACGAAGTAGCGGGTCATGGCTAGTTTATTATATGGAAGTAACTATACGAATTTATGAGGCGTTGAAAACATGAATTATTGTTTAATAATATTTGGATATCACGCGAAATGTATTGTATAGTCACTTTTAATTTATGTTCTTATTTAAAGTCCCCTAATTTAAACTGGTACTCACTCAGGACTCTGCCGGAAGTGGTCAACGGCGAATTGCAGGAGCGGATGTCGGCCATCATGTTGTGGTGTTGTCTGATCCCTCCTGTCATCCCTCATATCTCTGTCCCTTTCTCTATCTCTGTCTCTTTCTCTATCCCTCTCTCTCTCCCTCGACACTGGCGATGAAGTCTGTCCTCTTCTCTCTCGTAAGTCCATTTCGGATTCATCCCTCGACTGTCGTATTTCCCGGGATTCCCTCGATTCCCGGGATTCCCTCGATTCCCGGGATTCCCTCGATTCCCGGGATTCCCTCGATTCCCGGGACTCTCTCGCCTCTCTTGAATCCCGGACGTCTCTTTCTCTCGTTTCTCGTTCAATTTTCTCCTTTCCACTCGATATCCCATTAACGGTCGGCTTCTGTTGGATCTGGAAGGAGTTATACACATTTATAGTACATATAAAGTTGTTAATTTTCTAATAAAATAAGGAATCTGATTGGTTGAGCTGTTCCTAGCGGTGGAGCTAGAAAGCGTGTTGAACTCATATAAATTAGCAAGCTGTGTGTATTAAGAACATTATATTATAATAACTGTAATTGGTACATAAAATATATAATTATATTTATACATATATAATTTTTGATATTATTGTCTCGTATTATCAAATACTTTAAGGGAAGTATGGCAATAGTACTGTAATGTTTAATGTTTAAACAATAGCCACACAGATTTTTTCTATATAGCATTTAATTCAACACAAACCTTTTTAGAAAATAAGTGAAAGATGTAACAGTTCTTAATAATTTTTAATATAGAATTCAATAGCCATTAAAAAAAACCCGCGTTCCGCAAAACGCTCTCTTTGTACACGCAGACAATTAACTGCATACGTTTTAACGTTACCAGATAATTATCAGCTATTGAAAAGTTTTCCTCGTTGTTTAAAATACAAAGTGTATTTTATTATTAATGTATCTTTGATGTTAGATATGAAATTATTTGCCCTAATTTACATTACTTTTATCTGTGAAAATTTAGAACTAGCGTCAAAAACGGTCGTTATAATTTTTATATGAAATAAAAGTTTCAATAGAAAAAAAATTATGTTCAGCAATTACAATTGAAAATATTGAAAGTACTTTATGAAGAACTTATTTTTATTTGAAAGTCAATTTATGATTAACATTATTATCAAATATTTAAACTGCACTGCCTATCCTTTACCTGTTTTCTTTTCAAAGTTTTCCGACTTAGCGTACGGATAACGCCATAAATGTTATCCATTTTAAACTGTGAATGTCTCTCATTACACTGTCACAAATTTCTACCGATCCAACGAAACTGTCGTTAATTTGACCTTCAATATTATTAATAATACACAACTAGTGCGCACACACACACAGCGCGCTGCAGTGTTCAGTAGCGGGCGCGCACGGTATGCGCTTGTACGACGCGCATCAGTTGTGGCGTTTTATAAATATTTATATCGTGTCCGTTACTAATGACTAATGAGATATTTAAAAAGATGCATACACATGAAATGGTAAACCTAAGAATTGATATAATAATATTCAATACTTATAGTCATAGTCTGCTGATATACCGAATTTACTAAGTTTTTTTATGATGAGGAGGCAAACGAGATGGAGAGGAAAGGATGGGAATAGAGAAACGGTAACCGTCTCTCTCACTCATCGGACGAAACGCAGCCATTAAAGGCTTACTTCACGCAGATCTTCTGTGAGAGGGTGGTACTTCCCCGGTCGAGCCAGCCCATGTTCGAGCTGTAGTAACTGACCACAGCTAGGCTCTACCACCATAGAATCATATTAAGCTATCAATTTGATATTGCCGTCTTTACAACCTTGATTGATAAGCTTGGAAAGTTAAGAATATAATTGGTTGAAAATAAAATGAATAAAGAGAAAGGAAATGAACGTAGGAAACAAAAAATATATGTTATGTATATAATTTAATACATATTATAAGGCTATTTTCTAGTCTAATTCAACAATAATACAATATTATGTACAATAGATAGAGTCTATTGTGTTGGTGATCGTCTTAATTAAATATATACTATATAATGGCGCGAATTCATTTGTTAATCCTGAAATCTCCGAAATACGCATTTGTTTATGGGAACATTAGAATTAAATTTCCCGCCATATTGGATGCTATTGACACATAGACAACTAGTTTTCACTAATTAAAAAATCGTCTTTATGATGAAGCCACAGATTATAATTTATAAATTATAATAAATAAAAAAGTAGTTTATTTGAAATTAAACAAGAACTTCGTATTATGTCAAGTTTTCTTCAACTTTGAAATGTAAAAAAAATGAGCATCTATAATAAATATGTAGTAAATGTCATATAAACAAATTCGAGAAATTTTACGCTTACTTTATATAAATTTCTGTCTGTATGCAGAGTGTAAGTATGTCAAGATGGTGCTAATAGCGATAAATAAATATTCGTGTCGTCGTGAAATTAAGCTAAAATATGTATATTTCTTATATATACATTTTTATTCGAATTTAAACATTAACCTAATGACTATATAATATATATCGATTTTGGTATAAAATATATAATTAGGTTTAATACTTTCAATAGGAACTAGCAACACAGACAATTACATTCATACATTTGAAATATTGACTCTTTCGGTGACAAAAACTTTTTACTAATAAATTGTTTCTACTTTTTAAACACAGTTCTATGAAGAGCATATTATAACTGGGTGTTCATATATTATAATAATTTTATAATGTTCGATACAGCACTTTCTAAGTCATTAAACTTATCGATCCTTTCATTAAACGATACTTTCCGCGTCACAATAAATCATTATTAGTATGATAAATATACGTTTCAGCTTATTTAGGAAATAAAAATTTTAAAAGTAATCTATACATTTAATGAGATCTATGATTTATCCGAGTTTTATTCATTTATCGCAATATACTCGTCTCATCTCGTCAGTCCGTGATCACGGTTGCTGAAAAGTAGCCGAAACATCGGGAGTTTGTAGTTTTTTAGAAAAATAAAGTCGCGTAGTATTTACGAAAAATATAAATTTCATTTCAATATTCATACATTAGTCAGTGGTGGCCTAGTGGTTAAAGGGTCCGCCTCTCGTTGCCGAGGGCGCGGGTTCAAACCTGGCAAGTACCAATGTGATTTTTCGGAGTCATATAAGTACTTTCTGAGGGTATTTAGACATCATTGACATACGGTGAAGGAAAACATCGTGAGCAAACCTGGACTTATAGTTTCACAATTACAATTTTGAAATCACCAACCCGTCTTGAGCAAGCGTGGTGATTAATACTCAAACCTTCTCCATGTGAGAAGGAGGCCTTGCTCAGCAGTGGGCTCTGATAGGCTGATGACGAATCATACATTGTAATATAAATCAATGCTTTAATGTTTAAATCAAATGCAGAAGCTATATTACTTTGAACCAAGAATAAGTTCAGCCGATGTTTTACTTGTAAGATAATACAAAAATATCCAATTTAAATTAAAATTACATTTATATAAACAATAAATAAATAATATTAATAGTTAAATTATCAAAACGATTGTTTTCTGTGTAATATCTACGAGTAAATTATATTTGACCTTGAAGTAACAAGATGCATAGTTTACAAACATGGCGACCGACTTACACAGATGACTTGTTTTTCAAATAACAAACGGTGTTAAACTCGGCCCCGCCTTGTATCAAGACCGTTACAACTGTAGAGTAAATTGTAGCAATATCATTAAAAATAGCACGCTATATGTAGCTGTGATCATCATGGTTATTTAGTATATGTGATTTATAACTGGTATTTACTATAACAGAATTAAGGTCATAAATAACAAATAAATCATATCTCAAGAATGCGATCTTGTTATTTTGTGACATAAAGTGTCAGGATTGTTTTATATTTATTTTTTATTATTGTCATAATTATAATTAATTATATATTAATAAAAATGTCTACTACAATACATTCGGAAGGCTTCTGCCTTGAAAGTTTTTCGACAATAAAATTTCGAATTAATATATGTAATTTATTAAGAATTTGATAATAAAAAATGTGTTTTTTTTTTTAATTTCCTTATCGCTATCATTTCACGAGTAAGTATTCTTTTATATATCTTAATATCATTTCAAATATCACAAAGCTGTATAAAAATTCAAAATCTAATTTATAAGTCATGAATACGTTACGTAATTCTTACAGGCAGCTTGATAGATGTTTTTGTGTAAGTAATAAGAAAAATTTCACTTCGTAACGCTTTTAAAATTATTGTTATAACATGTATTGTATAATTACCACAACCTATGAGGTAATAGGAATATCTAATATACTATTATGAGTTTGTGTTTAATGCAAACAATTGGTTTTAATTTGTTTTGGCAATAACGCATAGCTTTAATTCAAGTACAATTTGTATAAGGCTCAAAAGGACTCGTATCCAGATCTGTAAAAACATTTACAAAAAAATATTCAATATTCGGCTGATATTAATATTTAATACTATTTATGATAAATTAGCACAAAATTGAAATATATTTTTGTGTTGTGATAAATATATATGTAAAAAAAGTTTCGAATATCGAAAACATGGGACGAAGATGACACCTCTTAGCATTCAATGGATTCACTGTGCGTGTGTCGGGTCCATCGTTGTAGGGAGAGGAGCTTCAACAGACCCAGGAATAGGTTTAAGGGGCCCCTATTTGATGCTCTTATCTTTTGTAATATAAGAAGAATACAAAATGACCTAACTATTAACTAATACTATATTGATTTACGGCATCCTTCGAATGATTCATCCGCTTGCTGATAGATGGCGTTGTTATTAACGCAATAAATTGCGAACCTAATATTGTTTGATACAGTAGCGTTGCCTTATCTCATCGTATTATTGTTTTGTTCGGACGTTGTATTGTTGTGAGTGGATTGTGTTCGTTACGTATATATCAGTGTGTATTGTTGTTGTTGGCCTTGCAACCATAGACTATAGAGTTTAATGTACATTATATACGCCATAGACTATAGAGTATAGATGCTCCGCCATGACAAATTATTTCACACATTTATTTTACAATGACACGATGTTTTTATGGTTATATTTTTATACTTAACAATGAGAAGAGCAAAATTAAAATAAGATAAAAAATAATGTTTTCGACATAAGAGCAATTTTGTACTAACTCTTGAATTTTAGTTCAAATAATGTTTAATTTTTTTTTTTGTTTAATCAAAAGTAATTAGAATAGAAACTATATTCCCGTTCAGAAAAAGCGTTTAGAAACTTCCAGCAACTTTGAAATTTAATTAAGTTTTGATGACAAAATAGTTAAATAAAATAATAAAATTATAATTTTTAATGATATGACTTCGTTCGCACTGAAATCGTTGAATATTTTGCCAATGTCAACGTTTTTTAACAGTTGAAAGACATACTTGAATTAGACCGTCATTATTGAATAACTATTGAATGCTATAAGTAATTTAAAAAAAATCATACACAATATAACCATCACATAACATAAATTAATACGTATTTTATGATCTTGTATCTGTATAATTTGACAACATACTTCAGTAACAATGTGAATCGGAGGCCGTGACCTGCCACCGTTCATCCTAATGACGATTGTGGACATTATAATTGCGAAAATTACAAAGTTATCATCAATTTTTAAATTAAAATCAAATATTTGCTTACAGCTAAAAATTTATATTAGAATTTTGAGTCATATAGAATAAATTGTGTAAAGTTATTTTAGTTCTAATTGCCATTAACGTGTCGGCGTTTTAAAGGTTTTATTACAAATGAAAGTTAGCGGTCACGCTCTCGTTCGAATCAAAACAATTAGTTGAGTTGAAATAATTGTCAATTACTGTATCCGCGTGCGCTTCGTGGGCCCTCTATTTGGCTCTCTTCGTATGAAGAAAACTGACATTGACAGTAGAAAAGGCGGGAAATGATAGCGTTACTCTATTATTTAGTATAGTTTTTTTTTGGTCAAGTTCGTTCCGTTCAGAACAGGTAAAGAGAACAAAGCTCATACAGCCATGTCTTTTGTATCTTTAATTATCCATAGATATTTAAATGCGCTTTTTTTAATAAAGGTATACAAAATGCACTATATTCTTCGAGTAGAGTTCTAAGCTTGTATATGTCTTTATAAATTAATGTTAAACAAACAGAATGCTATGTTCCAGTTTTCACCGATAGTTAAAACATTAATAAAGCTTCGCTGCACACGTTATGGAGTGTGTCGTTGGATAGCTAGGAACTACGGCTCAGTAACCAGCGCGGTAGATAACTAACAGGTGACGTAACCATCTTTAGTATGGCAAATGACAGGTGGCCATAGAGTAGAGTAGGGACAGGTGGCCATAGAGTAGAGTAGGGACAGAGTAGGGACAGGTGGCCATAGAGTAGGGACGCCACTTATGATATATAGATAAAAAAAACATACATATCTTGTCTGTTCGTGATCACAGTTGCTGAAAAGTAATCGAAATTCTACTGTATGGATTCAAAATAATAAATTACGCGTAATAATCCCAATAATATTAGTTTCATTAAAAAAATTAAATATACAAAGAATAGTGTAATTTTCGCTTTACATTACTTTTATTGGTTCGATCTCAAATTGCAGACCGTTATTAATAAGTTTTCTTATCCATGTTTTAAGTGTCCCAGTGTTCTAGTATCAGAATATCAGTATTAGACACAAATGACCAGGCCTAGTAAGAAGTATCATGGCGCTCTTAATCGAGGTAACGGTAACTTTGAAATCGCGAATGACTATCTGCTAATAAAAACTTGGGACACGCTGAGAGGGCTGATATCAATGAATCGAATACGCTTATATTGTAAAAGTAAAAGCGGTAGAATTAATTTTATTTGGACTATAAAAGAGGCGATATCTGCATTTTAAGCTTTGTTTCCTTCATGTTAAGAATATTGTTGAAGTATGGTTGGAGTTAGTATTATAATCACTTATACATACACTTTATATTAATTATTTGTTTCCGGTGCTGTGCAGTTTAAAATGTTTACGTATATTTTTATTCGTATTTTTTTACTTCTATACAAGATAAAGTAGTTTAATATTTAAGTACGCTTCTGTCAACTGAGAAATAAACGTGAAAATAATATAATTATTTAATCTATTTAAATAAAACTAATAATTTTTGAATGTACTATATAAGCGATTTTATTTTTGAGTAGAAGACCTGGCGAACTTCGTATCGCCCTATAATCAAGAAATATCTATTAATTTATATTGAAACAAAAAACAGTTTCTAGAGTTAAAAGTAAAGTACTAATATAAAAAAAAACTAAATAAGTAAATTCACGACATTATTATGTCAGGCGACAAAACATTATAAGTAGATTCCATCAAACATAGTAATGAGGAACATAAAGAAAAAAGATATAAAGCAAAATTCACACGGACTGACATCATGTAACATTAGGAAACGGAAACACGGTCCGATTGGCGCGAATGTCGCTGGCTCATCACGGATCACGCGCCGGTTGGATTCGTAATAAATGTCAATACAATTGTTTAATTAGAAATAAATAAATCATAGATATATTGTTAATATTCTTCTTCTTATTAGCAACCCGTCTTGAGCAAGCGTGGTGATTAATGCTCAATTCTCCATGTGAGAAGAGGCCTTTGCTCAGCAGTGGGCTCTGATAGACTGATGATGATTCTTCTTAGTAATTATTGCATATTTTTTTACATACATTTTATTTAAGGCTGTTCTTGATTAATTTATATTTGGCGTACAAAGTCGTTAATAATCCGACTTTCTAGTCACAGTTGAACACATTGTGTGATAGTTTTTTTCACTCGCCCGTGTACTATCAAGAAATTATTTCCTGTAACCATTGTTGACAACTACATACTTATATTACTTGGAATTAATAAAAGTTTTATTTATGAAGATACTCAAATGTTACGTAAGTTTTGATTTGCGTGTAGTGGTACGGAGGAAAAAATTTACATTTTTGAGACTTTAAATGTAAAAAAAATATATTTGTAACTTTTTATTGTTAATGTGAAAGTATGTATGGATTACGTTATCATACATTTTGAATGAATTTCGTGGTCTTGTTTTATTTTACTTATCATTCTAATGAAACTTTACAATAATAATAATTTAAATTGCTTCTCAACGCCATTATGAAGAATAAAGTCTCGGTTAAATCAATATAATATGTAATTTGCATTATTAGAAAAGTAGAACATACGAATTTCTCATTCCATTATAGACTTATTTAAACTTAAGTTAATTTACTTTGTTAAACAGTATTAAAAGTGTTAGTTCTGTCGTAAACTGTCTTTAATGTTATGTCGATGTATTAGAGATTCATTGGCTGTAATCAAGAAGCGGTATACCTTGACCAGTGAAGGGTCATGAGTCGTCAGCGTCATGTGTTTAAAGTAATGATTAAATAATGGTTGGGGAATGTCATTAAGTGCTAACGGTGTGAGATCGCACTGCAGTCATCTCAGCGGTACTTTCAGATGATTTTTCTTTGAACAGATTGAAACCGTTTGATTAATATACTAGAAGAATGATTAGCTTGTTTGAACGAAACTGTAACGCGTACAAACATTTTGTTTGATGAGTTAAATCGGTAATAATACGCGGATATTTTAGAAATTACTTGTTTATAGTGTTTTCATTACAGTTTAACATGTTTAGAAATAACAAATAAATATTTAAAAGGCCATAAAGTGCATAGAATCGATCTGTTCAAACAATGAACTAAGATTTGATCGACGAAAAATTTCTAAACAATAATTTTCTTATTGTTTCAAACATTCGTATTATTTTATATTACTGCAGAAATAAAATAATATCTGTCGCCTACTTATTTCCAATCGGTTTAATATTTCTTTACTTTATATCAGTTTAATTAATTTCAACTGTCATGCGATTATGAAAGCCATCAGAAAGTTTAACCAAACATGACAATACAATATTCACGTACGGAAACGCAAGAGATGACAACACAATAAACACGATTTAAAATTAAAGATATATTTTTCGTTGTTATGCGATATGCATAATTGATTAATTTGTTTAATATAAAGATTATGTAAATCAGCTGCCGATAAATTTTAATTTTTCGGTACAATGACACCGTTTTGTGTGACTTACGTCCGTCTTTTCGGTCAAGTTCTCGAAGCGTGCGAGGATCTCCTTCACGGACACTTTTGGTTCCGTAGTCTCTTCGTGGATCGTCTCCATGTGGCCGCTAGACGAGGACGAGAAACTTTGGGGGCACTTTTTACGTCGCGACGGTTCAGGATCACGAGTGTCGGCCCCGGAATCGGAATCCTCGGGAGCCGAGGCATCGTTGCTGGACGCGCCTTCGGAGGAATTGATAAGCGAGTCTAAACTAGGGGCTCGTCTGAGCGGTTGGAAGTCATCTTCGACCTCGAGCCCGTACACGCGTTGTAAATGGCGCCAATTATCTCTCATGGCGGTTGAGAGACGCGGGCGCGGCATGGTGCGCGCGGGCGCGCGGTCACTCGCCGACTGAACGCTCTCTATGGTGTATTGAAAGCTCTGACATGTTGACATTATGTTGACGCGCGCTCCTACTGTCACGGAGGTTTGTTTTGAAGTAAAGTTGTATTGATAAGTGACTGCATCTAATTGAATTTGTGTTGTTTTTGATATACTAACAAAGTTCCTAGGTGTGATTTCGAAACTGTCAAATTTTAATACATTCCTAATTTAATACCGAATAGTGTCATCTCCACTGTAAACGACACTGGCAGACTATATTGTGCACGTGTCTGCACGGATGAAGAATATACGTATTAAAAAACAAACATTGATAAATGACTTCAAATTGTTCATTATCGTTGGTAATGAATGATTAGAAAATCGTTTTACGATAGAGATACAACGAGAAAGGCAATTTATATGGAACTTACTTTAACTTAAAGTATGAGAATGCGGTTGGGCAATGTTTTTATTTTATTTTTATTTATTTAAAGGTACATCAACGTCACAGTTATTTAACACACATAAACAAACAGATAAAATTGATAAATCTAGGAATGTTAGTTATATCTCCAGGTATCAATGAAACACTATTGAATTCTGAAGATTTTAACATTTTCCTACACTTTTCCGTCCAAATCACACCTTCGCGTAAGTAAACCAAAAAATCGAACAATAATTAAAATCACACTTTCATCTCGCTACCTATGATCACGGTTGCTGCAAAGGAACCGAAACGACGTGTATATCCCTACTAATATTATAAATGCGAAAGTAACTCTGTCTGTCTGTCTGTCTGTCTGTCTGTCTGTCTGTCTGCTACGCTTTCACGCCTAAACCACTGAACTGATTTTAATGAAATTCGGTACAGAGATAGAGTTGACCTTGAGAAAGAACATAGGATAGTTTTTATCCCAGACTTTTGAAAGGTTCTCTTGGAAACGCGATATAACCGAACTCCACGCGGCGAAGCTGCGGGCGGAAAGCTAGTGTAGCTATAAAATAAAAAAAACGCTTCGTAACATCCGAAAACCCTAGTTTTAGTTACATAATCAAAAGGGTCACGTAAGAAATTGAGAAACGAATTTACTACGAAGTATAAATCAAATAATATCTAACAAACTTATTGATTGAAAATTAATTCATTAAACTTCAACAGACATATAGTGGATACGGCATTCTAATAATTCCTTTTTATGTTATATTTCTAAACAGTTTTTAACTAAGAAACATGATAAAGAATATATTATATATATTGCTCAATTAAAATAAAGAAAAATTAGGATAATTGTGCCCTATACTTAATATACAAAACAATAATATTATTATAATGTATTGGTAAAGTTAGGTATTTCCAACAGGATGTGATACTAAATACTAATATATGTACCCTATGTATATAAATGAATAGATTAACTGGTCTACTTGCTTTATATAACTCATTACAGTGAAATTGTGGATATGTTTATAGCGGCCCACATTGAAGGGAAAGTGAGAAAATATTTATGATAATTTATATCAAAATTCTTTACATAATAATGTTTGAAATAAATCATTGAAATAGGCATGATTTAGAAGTATATTGCGTAATGATTTTTCAAATTGTGATTTAATAACAATTTCTGGTTTAAATTTATCGCGTATTTGATTTAATAATAATTTGTTTAAAAAATAGGTAGTAGTATTTAAATTTCTGAACCTCTAATTCCCGAACGCACCCGAAGTGACGTTAAAGCGATGACATTTGTTTTGTACACTTTTACGCGGGAAATAGTTGTCAACACGACTTGTATTTTTGTAAATTGAATTCAACTTATTCAAGGTGTTTTGGTTTAAGATAATAATTAGTTTGTTCTAGTTAAGGTTTTATTAGTTATTTAAAAGAACTGCCATCATAAGAAAACTACATTTATTAATGATTTTGTTAAAATCGTTGGTAGTAATTTAAAGGCTAGGTAGTGTTTTGAGTATGCTAACGGTATAAGTCTATTCGCTGTAACGCTTTGAAATCAGATAGTAATTACGTTCCCGATTGATTTGATAACACCACTTGTGTGACCACGGAGCGTTTTACTGCATTTTGTAGTATGGATATGTCATTCCATATAAGTATCGAAAATATAGGCAAAGGGAAATTATGATAGAATAAATGCAAGTATATTTTATTTCATAGTAGATACGCGTTAATTAATAGTTGTTCTACATATATTTGAATGAATTATAAGCATATAATTTCAATAAAGGAAAACTATACTATACTATCAACAAATTTTATTTAATCTTTTATATGAATATTTCGTAGTTTTTGATGTTTTGCCGTATCTAGTGTTCACGGCACAGTTCATACTTACTCCAGCGAGGAAACAGCGCCTTAAATAACTGTTTCAATTACGTACTAATTAGATATGTAATTGCACCGCAGTTTATGGTTAGACGTCTTACATGATGCTGGAACTACATAACGATTTCCATGCGGAAGTTAATATATAGAGATTATTAATTGCGATTAAAAATCACAAAAATTACCATAGATCATGTATCTGTCAAAAGATTTGACAGAAAAATATGATTTGTCTATGGTATTTATAAGACATAAATATAAGTAAACAAAAGCACCGATTTATTTTAATACGGTATAAAATTAATTTAATCGTATATTTAAATTGAAAAAAAAATATTTAACAAACATTAATTATGTAAATTATATACGGATTCAGAAACAATGAGATTTTTCTTTCAATTGTATTGTCATGTTGAAGAACGGCAATGAAAATTAAATATGGCTATTTGAAACGTAATAATTAATGTACCGACTGCCGAGTTATAAAACCTTTTGAGATATAAATAACATAAATAAAAATATAATTATATACATATATGGAGGTTATATTTGTATAATACCAAATTCATAGATATGGTCCTAGGCGTGATAGTTCAATTGGAGAAGTGACTAGTATTCATCCTACCGGTAGTAACAAGTTCGAGTCTCCGCTCGTTTGAGCATTTACCTATTTGTAAATTAAAACTACAAATAATATACCAATAGGAAAATGTGATGTGAATGTTATGTAAAAGTTAACTTGACTTTGATAACTGATGTAATTCTGAATTTTCATCAAAAATTATGTTCATAATGTATCAAAAGAAAGTTCGAGATAATGTTGTATGTTCCAGTTCAAATTAAATGGTAATCGTAAAAGTCGATGTTTTTGTTCGTAATATCGATAAACAGTATGTACAATTGTTAATATTTTTAACATTGCGTTCCTTTAATTACAGATACTTTATTTTTTCACATATACTTAAAAGAAATACATACGTATTTACATCCTCCTCGTTTTTTAAAATCGGTTGAAAATACTGCTCATGATTTTATATATGGTACTGCTTACCCATTTTTTATCGATAAGAAAATATTTATTTATTCAAATCAACACTTACATACTGGTTTATGATAAAAATATACATATGCTTTTACTAAAGAATCTATAACTAAGAGAAGAAATCTTCTGATTGAATATATTTAGGAGTTTTCGACAAGACTTATTTCCAGATAACATAACGTCTGTCAATCGAATGATCATTATGTAAGTCTGATCTGATATTTATTTATTTATTTGACAGACATATTTCACATTTCCTTTGCAAGTTATATATGTATTTATATACTAACCTGTGAGTATTGTAAGGCGAATTCCACGATGAGAGCGTGTGCGTGGTGTGCGAGGGGCGCGTGCAGGGTGAGGGGAGGGTCTCTGGAGGGAGATAACTGCAGGGTGCCCGCGGAGGGAGCGGCCGCTCTCAGGCCAGACAGGGGCAGCGAGCGACGCACCACCAGCCCGCTGGGACCTGGGGTAGTGAACACCTGCTTATTATATACTGCGAGATATGATGATATGGTACATTGGCATACGTGATCTACATTATATACTGAGAGTTGAGGGTTTTTCATGAATTTTTAGATAAATAAATGGGAAATGATTAGATAAATATGTAAATGGGAACGCACACGGGAAATCGTTTGTGTCTTCTAAGTTATGCCATTATATATAGTTTATCAAAAAACACAAAAAATTCCTTCCACTTTTCATTCCAACATTTCGAAGTTTCTATACTTCCACGTAGAATACTCAACACAAGGTTAATTTTCTTACCTCTAACACCGACAGTGACAGCGTTGTGTGAGACGGCCAGCACGGCGCTCTCTCCCGGCGGGAGTTTGACCGAGAACAATCTGGCGAAGTAGAACGGCCACTCGCGAGCCATGTCCACCGCCTGCCGCTTGGTGGCCGCGCGCGCGCCGCCCGCTGACCGCAACCACGCCGCGCCCGCACGACGCTCGGACGCGCTGAGGCGGAGAGACGGACTAGATGATGTTATGTCGTGCACGATCTGGAAAAGTAGTGCTTGTGAGACTTACGTGAATGTGAGAGAGTAAGGAGGAGAAACCATATGATATATATGATAATTTTTATATATAAAATAAAGTCGTGTTAGTCACACTATTTATAACTCAAGAACGGCTGTTCGGTTGGAAAAATTTATGAAAATAGCTTAAAACCATTTCTAATTATGAAACTAATGCGAATAAAGTCGCGGGCAAAAACTAGTGTTTTATATTTTATCAACAAACCGTCCACTATGAAGTGTTTATTTTTGTAGATTGTAGTATCTTTCGGTGTACTGACCTGAGCGTACAGTAGATCCAGTATGGCAGGTTCGTTGTATGTTTCTAACGGTGTGAACACCTCCTTCCTCACTCGTAGTTTCCACGGCACGCGAAGGTACGTGAGGAACGACCGGTCTGAGGGAAGGAAAGCTGCGGGCGCTGGCGTCTCTATACATTTAATAGTATATTTGATTCCAACCCATCAATAAGCATTCTTTATGGCAGATAACCTAAACTAAACTAAACTAAACATCACTTATTAGCGAAAATATGTGATGTTTAGAGCAAAACGAAAGTGAAAAAAGGAGACCATTACCGCAATAGAAAATAAAAGCTTTTAGAATAAGCGCTGTTTTTGCATTTCGTAGATTTTTTAAATTTAGTTTTGGAGTCCACAGAAATTTTTACGAGTACGTTTACATTTTAATTGCCTTACATAATATACAAATAAAATGTGTATCATAATTTGTTTTGTCTACTATTGTGTCATAAATACTTAATAATAAGTACATTAATTCATCATAAACACTTACGCTCGTTGAGATCCGTTTTATCTGTGAGGTGTGTTGAAACAGATTGTCTTCTTTCAGCCTCCATCTTCCTGTTCCTTTCCTTCTGCGCCATGTGTGTCTTGAAGGTGGGTCGCTCGTTTTTCTTCATAGTGTCACTGTTATCAGGCGGGTATATAACATCCGACCGCGGGCTGTCTCTCGTCCGCCCCACTAACATGTCTCGCGAGTTCTTTCTGCCGTCGTATCTTTCGAAGTCGTCGTACATTCCTGATCGTTTTCTGTCAAACCTGTCCTCCATGTCCGCGTCTTCTTTCCTCCTCTCCGCTCTTATCGGGTGTATCTCGTATATCTCTGAAGGGCCGCGTCCTGACACGTTGTCGTGTATGTCTCTTCTGTTCTCGGTGGACTCCGAGTCCCATTCGTCTCTCCCCATGTTACTTTTCTCATCGTTGTAACTCCGTCCGTCGGACTCTTCTCCCCAGTCGTCCTTCACTCTCCTCTCTCTCCTGTCTGACGTCAGGAACCGTGACGCCAAGTCGTCGCCATGAGATGATTCGTTGTCATCTTTTCTTCTGGAGCTCCAGTTCGCTAAGAAGGCGTGGCGATCATCCGCTTCGATGTTCTGATGGACGCCGAAGGTATCTCTGTCGCGTCTGAGTTGTGCGAATGTTGAAGATGCCTCGGGAACCGGTGGTGGAGGCGCCGGCTTGTCTGGTGGGGAAGGCGGTGACATGGGGGGAGGGGGAGCGGGCCCGGGCGGCGCGGGGGGCAGAGGGGGAGGGGGCGCGTCCCACCTCATCGTTCCACCCAGCTGACGTTCGAGCATGAGTTTCCTTGTATCCTCCAACTTATTAACAGTCCGTGGAGTTTCAGCGGCCGAGGACGTACTCCTGACCGAGTGATTCGCCGTGACTCGTTCCAGTCTTTGCCGCATCTCGGAGCTCAATTTCAACTTGCCCACGCTCCCGGGCGACGGTCTCTGAGCTCCTATTTCGAAACTCCGTCGAGCCGTCCTCTGTGAAGGTGGTTCCCTGTGTGCTGGTATCTGTCCGTCCACCTCGAACTCTTCCCATTCTATGCCAGTGGTGACCTCAGACCGTGACCGTCCTCGTGGTGGTTCATGGTCTATTCCATTGGACTGCGCCTGCGGCGTGACTCTCCTTTGAACCTGTCTCATTTTAAACTTCGTAAAGTCTTGTGGAGTCTCCTGTCCCACAGCGTCCTTCGGTGGCGGCCATCGCCATTTACCGATTCGGACCGTCTTGGCTCGCCCATAAGGGTCTATAAACGGCCTGGCCTCCGAAGGATCCATATCATGTAACGGCGGTGGCATCGGTGGAGGAGGTGGGGGCGGGGCTCCAGCACTACTTTCGTTGGATTCTCTTCTGGACTTCACCGAATTTCTAGGCGGCGAGTGTATCTGTGCGTGCACTACAGTGGACGCCCTCACCGGTGACGTGGGCGCCGAATCTGAGGGTTCGACGACTTGACCTGCTAAAAGTGTCTGTAAAGCTTGATTCTGAGCCAAAAGCTGCTGTTGAATTTGAAGATTCTGTGCCATTGCGTTCTGTAGAAAAGCTCTTTGTAGGTTTTGGTGGTATGCGTTGATGTCGACCGTGCCGGGAGGCGGCAGGTGTAGGCCCAAAGCGGCCGCCAGCGCCTCCGGAGTGGCCGGCATCGCGGGCATAGACGGCGGCAGTGTGATAGCACCGAAGCTAAGCGCCGAAGTGTTCGCTCCCGAGCCGCGCGGTGTAGCGCCACCACCCTTAATGGCCCCCGAGAGCCCCTCACCGTCCGTGAGTCTCTTCAGACTGTCGTTCATGAATATCGGGTCGAACAGGTTGGTGATGTAATCGTCTACTGAGTCGACGTTGGATTGTTTCCTGCTCGTCTTCCCGTCTTCGTGTCCTCCGCCCTTAATGAGCTTGGTGACGTCATCGCTGCTGTTCAGCGTGTCTATTTGTTCCGTGTAGGAGCACGAGAGGACGTCGTCTATGAAGGTGCTGTAGTCCTTGCCGCCCTTGATGCTGGCGGCCAGTGAGCGAGCGTCGGACAGCTCGTCTATGTTGGGGTCCAGGACGGGGGAGAACAGATCGTCCAGGAACTGATCCACGTCGGACGCCTGACTCGGCACGCGGACACGACGCACATGAGACGCCAGGCTCGGGGCCTCAGAGGTATCCGACATCGCGGAGGATCTGTGATGATAGGTAATTGTTATTACTTTTTAATATATACACGAGAAAACATTAATTTATCTAAATTTGATTTAGAGATAGGGAACAATGACATGCACTATACTCCAGCCAAATTCGATGTGGAATGTTTAATAACAAAGCGTTGCTTAGCAACCAACGTCAGGCAGATGCACAAAACATTTTTAGAAATATGTACAACAATTATATTTTTGATGTTAATAAAAATGAAAATTGATGATTAATAATAAAATATTTAAGACAAAGGTCTAAGCGCATTCTTGGTTATAAATTATAATTATAATACTTATAATCATCTGGAATAATGTAGATCACAAAAATAATACCTCCAATTTTAAAATGATATCAGAAATTAAACGACAGGACTCATTTAGATAAAATTTTGTGTATATTTGAAAAACACTCAAAATGTTACAAACCTGCGATTTCTTTCAGTCAGTATTAAAATATAGGGTTGTTAGTTTTGTAGTAATATTATAGTGGTAATTAAAGATTTTTAAACTTTTATTTTTAGCTAATTTTCATATAAATTATGTATTGACCGACTAAATAATTTTTTCTGATTCTATATTAAATTAAATTTATTGTATTTATACAGGAAATTGTGTTATAATGAACATAGTTGCAATTATAATAATTATTATTTTTTATTAAGAGTGTATCAACCCTAATTATGATGACTCATGGTTTGTTTATTAAAATTCCAGATCGAATGTGGCTGGAGTATAGATATTCCGGTTTAATATACATTGTTAAACTAACCGAACACCTCCGAATTCCGAGCTCTTCTCGATGTATGCGCGACTTGACTGCGAGCCGGCCGGCGCACGCTTGCCCGCGTACTGGGACTTTATATATCGGGAGGGCAGAGCTCGGCCGGTGCCGTACTCCGGCTCGATGCCCTTACTGGACACACTCGGCGCACCTCCCAGCCTCTCCACCGAGTGATAGCGGTCGTTGAGGCGAGATTGGGACAACCCTAGGTCCGTCAGTTTGGATTGCTGCGGTTCAGGGTTGTCACCCAGCAGGTTGTCTAGTGAGCGGCTCCTCATCTTGTCGGTCGTCTGTTCGAAGTACCGTTCGTTGAGAGCCGACTCCCTGGACAGTATGTCGTGTGATATCTTCCTCGAGTAGTCCGTTGCGTGTCTCGCGCCCCTCTCCCGTGGCTCCTCCTCCATCTTCCACGTATATTCTGACTCGTTCTCAGGTATAGCTTCGTGTAGTATGTGTTGGACGCTCGGGGACCGGGACTTCGGTGGCTCGGGCGGTGGAACCTTTAATATGTATTTCACGTTTAAAGTAACACTCATTTTTTTTTTTAAGTTTACAAAACTGACTTACAACTTGTGCATACAAAATAAAATCTAAGCTAAACAGAGTGTCATTAAATTGGAGTCTTCTGGATGTAAACCTAGCATGCTTTAAGAAACATATACCTTGCTTAGTTAACAAGAACAGTACTTGTGTAATTACTGACTAGTTAATTATTTGATTATTACATAAAATGTTGTGATTTTGTTTTAAGTTTATTTTTAAGAGAATTCATATTTTGTTCTTAAAAACAATTGAAATAAAACTAAAAAATAAATTAAGTGGAAAGCGAAATTTTTTAGATTGCAAGATTACAATCTATAGGAATTAATTAATTTTTCATTCTTAGATTTATATTTGATTTTAATTCAAGTATAAGCTCCTTTTTTATCTACTTATAGTTCTATGTATATAATATATAATCTATATTACCAGCGGGCGCCTATCCTCCACAGAGGAGGCGCGGGGCGGGGGCGCAGGCGCCGATCGTGTAGCCCGCAGAGGCTCCGAGCGTGCTCCTAGCGCCGGCCAGGTCTCTATCTCTCCTATCGCATCCAATGCATACTCGCATCCCGCCCACTCTGTACATACACGACAACCATTAATACACTTTAAGCACACTAAATTATTCAACATACTATAAAAAAGGGGCCCTTCAAGTATTACGTAAGCAGATTTATTAAAATTATTTACCCCCCCCCCCATCCCCCTTGTCAGCAAATGTAAGCAAAGCTCTTACCCCCTCCCCCATGCTTACGTAAACATTTTCAATTACTGTATTGTTTTTTTTAATATAAATCCATTAAAAAAATTATAATTATATTTTTTATGGATCTTCTTGATGTGACATAGTGCTTACGTAATACTTGAACGGCCCCTTTTCTGTTTGGTGACGTCATTGCTTTTGACTATATTAAGTGCGAACAATGATCAATAATGATAGTTTGATACCAGTAAGTTGTCCGTTATGTTCCATAGTGAGCGACCAGCCGCTCGCGTTCCTCGCCACGCCCGCAGCAGAGAGGGCGCTGGCGGCGGCCCGCTCGCACGTGGTCCACGACTCAACGCACACCGTCTGGACTGTGTCTGGAAATATTTAATCATTAGTATTATTGAAGAACACTTCTATTACTTCTTAGTAGATTATCATGTATTAAATGTTCGATTGAGGAAAATAGTTGATGTTCAAATTGGAATGACCCTAACTTTGTTAATAAAAATCACTTGCACGCACTTTCACTTGCAATGAATTTGTTAATTGTATGGTGTTTTTTTTAAGAAAAGTCGACATTATGACAGGCTATTTTATGAAAATTAGTAGTAATAATGTTCCTATCTGTATTTCTTTCTGAAGTTCTATCGCAAGGACTTCTATGTCATTCCATAAAACTTCTTACTAACCATCATATAGGGTGAGAGGTATGGCCGGTCGAGCATCGTTGTCAGCGGAGCGCCACTCCAGAAGTGTAGGTGGGGTCCGTCGCGGGAGCCCTGACACCCTCGCCGCCGCAGCCTCCGCCCCACACGACACACGGAGAAGACGACTCCTCTCTGGACCGGATGCTCGCTCGGAGATCAAACGGATGAGATATCTGGAGGAAGATATAGTCCACTTTAGTTCTAGTACCATCATCAATACAAAACTTCCTCCTATACCTATGATTAATAGTTTATTATATATCGTTTTTAATTCATTTGTTTAAAAACATGTACCTAGTTATTGCATGCACAGATTCAAAATGATTTATATATCAGATCGTATATACTTGTGTAGCGCCGGGCCCGGCTGGAAAGCTGCGAGGCAGTGCGCCAGGAGGCGGAAGGCGCGCGGCTCCAAGCCCGCCTGGCCGCAGAGTTGAACCACTACTTCATCACGGAGAGCGCGGGAACTGATGCCGCGGGAACAGATGTAGTCAGCCACCACCTGGAAATATTGGGAGGAGGGGGGGTTAACAGGTGTATAACATGTTTTTATTTTATTTACAACAAGCACACTTACAACACACATATTGAATATTTACAGTTAAAGTGACTATATTAAAACATCAGATACATATGTACGTCTATGACTAGTGTACATAACATTTATTAAATATAAACAGTGCATGATTAAAAAGTTTATATACTAATTTAAAGATAAAAATAAAAATATTACGTAAAAGTAACAAAATAAAATAAAAAACATTACTATATAAACTTAGGAAAACTTTAACTTAGAAAAAAAATAGTCAATAATTTTTTGTTTAAATACATAAAATGAATCACTAAATAGGTCTAGACTTGGTAATATTTTGGAAATGTTATTATAAAATTTTGCCAATTGCACTACGGGAGACTGGGATCCATGTTTAAGGAGTTATATGCAGCTTTTTATTAAAAATTTGATACGAACCGAAAAATAATTAAAATTATGCAAGATTTCAAGAGATCACCTTCTCTATATGAGAAGAGGCCTTTGCTCAGCAGTGGACTCTGATAGGTCGATGATGATGCGAGATCAGTAGAGACTACATCATTGTGACATGAAGTAGAGGAAAGAAAAGTGGGGAATAAAACATCGTGGTATAACTATAGGAACAATATTTTAGGAGTATGAAACAAACAAAAAACCTTTGATGACTGTTGTTATGAAAAAGAGATAGAAAGAAGAAAAGTTGAGAACATCGTAATATAACCAATTCAATCAGTAACTTTGTGGCTATCACCCAACATGAGAGGAATATCTAGAATATTTCAGAATTTCAAGTGAAAACAACATAAGCGAACCTTTTGCCTGGTCTCATTCCCGGCAGCCGACTCGTCGCACCATCTCAATATCAGTTTGAAGATCGCCACAGCGTCATTGAAGTCTTGATCCCTGGAAGTTAACGATTGCTTTTTTTATTATAATCTGATTTTATTTAGGGACTTTTTACCAACAAAGCTAAATGTCAGTCCCATCGTTTTCTTAATAATAATCCCACCACCAACAATAAACATAATCCAAAATAATTCTAAAATTTATAAATTATGTCTTATTTTAACTTAAACTGATAAATAGTTTTGGCTATCTCTGACTTTGGTATGGATAACGCACTTTAAAAATTGATATATCCTTTAAATTAATGCCTAATCTATGTATTAACTCTCTTCTTTTGGCAGCATTTCGAACACAAGCGATTGCTTTATAAAATTACATTTCATTCCAACCTCACAAGTCTATATACCAAGTTACCTGACAGCTGCTTTGGAAAGGAAGGGCTTGGTGATGGGATGTTTCTTTGGACTGAGTTGTCCTCCGTCCGCGAAGTACACCGAACTGAACTTAGAGAACGCGAACTGTTCTAGATCACGAGGCAGTTGGATGCGCTCCTCCTCCACGTATACATCTGAAACCTGTTACACCGACGTGATCAAGAATATGTAGCGTTATCAATGTATATAAAAGAGATTTCCACCTATATATTGACTCATCACGATATTTCTGGAACCAGCCTAGCGACTTGAAATTTTGTAGGATTATTTCTTTCGCCGAGTAGAAGTCAGCTAAGAACGGATTTTACGAAATTCCACCCACAAGGGGGTTGCGGGGGCGTTAACAATGGAAAATACGCTTTCACGCCTAAACCACTGAACTGATTTTAATGAAATTTGGTACAGAGATGGAGTTGACCTTGAGAAAGAACATAAGATAGTTTTTATCCCAGATTCTTAAAAGGTTCTCTTGGAAACGCGATACAGCCGAATTCCACGCGGGCGAAGCTGCGGCGGGAAAGCTAGTATTACATAAACTGAATATGTTTGAGGTTAATTTGATTAGCATTATTTTGCTTCAAGAGAAAGGTTACATACTTTGGTCACATTCCTATCTGTATGCGGCGGCTGCCAGTCATCTATCTTAGACAGTATGAAGGCCAGTTCAGCCGGAACTTCCAAAACCTGAAGACTCTCCGCTTTAGCCTTCTGCTCGGCCGCGCGGCGTCTGAAACAAAAAAATAATAACTATACAACCTCTGTAGACCGTATAAAACTTTATTGTTCGACATAATCTTGTTTTAATATAATATTCGTTTCAGAGCAGTGTACATAGTGTCGTGTATACGCGAGTGTTGTGATGAATTTATCGTGAGTTATGCACGCTCGAATGCTTATCGATGTATTGCGGCGTACGAGAGCGCATTAACAACACCTCACTAACTGACTTTCACTAACAATTATAAGAATTAATTTTATAGTTATGACTCGTCCGACGCTGAACATCACGTTATGAAACTCGCTGACTTAATGATCAAACATTGTCTAGTGACGACAGACGGTTAAATTATGCTCCTTTCAGAATTTAGAATGGCTTCACATATGGACGTTGGAAGATCTTTTACTTGTATATTTCAATTCTAGTGAATGTCTACTTTTATGAAAACATTCCTTTCAGTATTTATTAATTCAGATATGATGAGGATTACTAAGAGATGTGTTTGTTCTTAACCGACTCTACAAAGGCGGACACATAGAAATAACTTATTTAAATTTTTCAATAAGGTTTCCAATATACCTTCAATATTAAGATAAGAAGTCTTTAGAATAATGTACGTGTTCCATTCCAAAATAATTCAAAAGTTGAAAGGAAGAGAAGTTTTCATGTAATAATATTTACGGCCAGACTAGGTCTATTGACACAAATATAAATATATACATACAAATAGGTGAAAGAGACTATTTGTTCAATAATTTCTGTACGAAGTCTATTAATATTTGTTTGAATGTTTTAATATCCTACTTGGCGGCTGCCTGCTGCGCCTCCAGTCGTCTCTTCATCTGTTCCTTCCGGTCCCTGGCCAGACGCCTCGCTCGTCTCCCTCGTACGATCGCTTGCACTCGCACCACGCCTCGCCTCATGATGACGTAGCGGCGACGCTCGTTGGAACCCTTCCACCACGACTGTATACGGATGGCGGATTTACGCATTTGATTGTAGCGTTTCCTGATAATGGATTGTTATTATTAGTATATTTTACACACACACACACGCACACACACATATATATAATGTATTTTCTCGAGCCTTTGATTCTTAAGAGAATTTCAGTCTACGTGTTAATTCAAAATGCAACGTACTTTCTCATAAAGAAATTAAGATTAAATTCTTCTACTCAAAGCAAGTCATTAACAAAACATACTAGAGTATGTAGTTAAATTATTGTAACACAATATATTAAACTTCTATTACCTTGCAAGATAGCCTCGTATCCTGGCCTGTAGTATTGTAGCAGCGGCTCTTAGTTTGTCAGCGCGTGCTCGCTCGAGGGCGCGGTGTAACGCCTCGCGGACGAACACTCGCGCCGCGCCCAACTGGAAATCCGCTCCCACTAATACCACAACTTTATTAGTAACTTATTGATATTTTAAATCGTTATTCACAGATCCGCTTTCACTTAGGCCGTACTTTTATAGATAATGTTTTGAGAATTGCACTTGTCCATATATTTTGTGTATAACATTGTTCATACTATAAATTAATAATATAGATTGTTTAAGTAAATTACATAGATCGAAATGAAATCGTTAAAATACGTAAATCACTCATAACTTTTCAACTCGAGGAATATTTTTAGATCGTCTCAAATGACGTGGAAATCATATTATAAGCCATAAACACATGAATATCCTACATTAAATTAATTCAAATGAAACAGAAAACACTAATGATATATAAGATTTTTGAGTGTACACATATAAATGGAACTAAGTTTTTTATACTACGCGTTTTTTTATGATTTTTTTTTCGTATATGTTTTCGACGTTTCGATAACTTCACATTAACCGCGATACACACTAGGCTAAAAGAAAGCACTAACAAAATATTTATCCTTATTTTAATGAACAAACATGAACTTAATCAGATCTCAGACTCTTACGACTAAATAATAAAACTAATATTTAAAAAGTAACCGAAATGTCGGTCGAATGTGCTTACAAAAATACCAAAATTCGCGTAGTAATCCGAAAACACTATCTCCATTTAAAACATGAACGTATAACCGTAACTCACTCAAGACCATCGCCTTAACATTGTAACTGCGTTTCTTAAAACTCTTCCAACTATATTTCTTGACTGTCTTCAACATGTTCCGTCCGTCCCAGACTCACCTCTGACCGTGTCATATCATTTTTCTGTGATTTTCTTGATTATTTCTTATCAGACCACATAGTAATGGCTTAATTCATTACAGTGACAGTTACGTTCATATTTATAACGGATCTTATCGCTTCATAGATGCTATCATACTTCACTAACGACTTTAATTTTAATTATATTATATATAATACCGTATTTCTACAAATAAATATAATTATAGTGACTATTAATAATTTATATATAGACTTTTTAGTTCATATGGTTGTATACTTTGTATATTAAAAAAGAAAGATTTTATTTTTTTCTATGTTTTTTCCGGTGATGATGGACCTATTTTGACGTGACTTTTATATGCAGATACTCATGTTATAAGGAGTAACTAAGGCTACAATAATTATTTAATATACATTTTTTTCATTGATCAGCCTATCAGAGCTCACTTCTGAGCAAAGGCATCTTCTCCATGTGAGTGGTGGAGTGGTCTCTTGCTCAAGGCGGATTGGTAATTTCGAAACTTATAATTTTTCATTAATACTAATATTTGAATCATTGCTCTTAATCCGGAACAATCTTTTAGGCACTAGTATTTTTCTTACGCAATTTCCAAAAGGTCGGAAGTTCCTTAACCTAATATCCTCATTAATTGAGTGTCACTCAGACCCAAGCTATTGTATTGTTAGTTAATAGTGGGATGTAGATTTAATTATATTATGAACCATTGTTAGTTCTGTGGGTGGCTGACATTGAATGAAAATTTTAAGACAGGCTTTAGAGAACTTTGGGTAATCTTTGTATTTATTATAAATTTTCTCGCATTTAACATTTTTATTCTCAGAAAAATTCGATGTTATCAAACCTTCATGGATGATTGTAAGAATAGTTGCCAGTCTTAAAAATAATATCATAAAAAATATATGAACTTAAGCGGCTAAATATAATTCTTTTTACTAGAATTAATTAAAGTAATAATTTGTTCCATCTATAAGTATTATGTATGTTTTTTACCAGTACTATTAGGTACTACGAATTTATATCGTAAACTTTAGACGTACGTACAGTTCAAACGAATTTCATTCATTATTATCATTTATTTTGGATACGGAGATCCCTCACAATATATAAGGTCATTAGTTCTTGTGTCCAACAAATATTTTATAATAAATAGTATAATATGTAAATATATAATAATACTGACCGGCTCCAGTGGGAGGCATCTCAGCGAGGATGGAGTTACAGATCTCTCTGTAGGGCGTGGAGCGAGGCGGAGATGACTTCAGAAGGTACCTTCACAACAAATACATACTTAATAAATAGTCTGTGTGTGCTTTGACTCGAATATGTTACTTTCAATCATTCTGCTTCACTACCATGATTATTGTAACCGACTAGTTACGCGTAGTTGATATTATTAATATCAAACATTCAAACAATAATTGAATTTGATAATAAGTTATATACCGTTATTTTATCTTAATTTTTTATATTATTCAGTGACTTATATGAAAATGTCAGCAGGAATTAAACTATTTGGGGAATGAAAGGCCCAAAAATATGCGAGAACTGGTATGAATGAGAAACAGCAGAAAAGTCTCTGACTATGTTAGAGGGAGTAGTATTAAAAAAAATTGCGTGACCATTTGTCAAAGAGCTCTCACTGAATTCCAAAATATTTTTTTGTAGGTCTTAATATGTGTTAATCTCACCTATATCTCTCCACGAACACCTGGAAGGGTATCCTTATGGGGTATCCCGTCTGCCTTATCTTAATGGTGTCCAACATGCCGGTGTCTCTCAGTTGCGTGAGGACGCACAGCATGTCGAACTTCATCGCTGACTTGTCTGTGTTTGGTTTGATGCAGCGGACGAACCACGGGTTACACCTGGACATTGACTCCAGCAGCTGGTGGAGGCTGTCCGAGAACCTGGACGAACAATATATGTATTGAATATACAAGGTTAAGAAAGTAGGCAGTGGTGGCCTAGTGGTTAAAAAGGCCCGCCTCTTATGCACGAGGGCGCGGTTTCGATCCTGACCCGGGCAAGTACCAATGTGATTTTTCCTAGTCATATGTACTTTTTAAGAGTATTTAGACATCACTGATGAATGCTGATTCCCAAAAGAGGGTTGATGACAGGCAGGGCCGGTCTTAAAAACAACTAGCCAAAACTATTCACAACATGTAAGGCAGACCCTGGCATAGTTGGGAAATTGTCAGGTAGAAGAAGATACAAGATTTAAGAAAAGACTAGATAATAAGGCAGGTACACAAGTAGTTTAAGAATGAAAGCTATGAATGAGAGTAAGATAGTATGCGGAAAGAAAGGACATCGTTATTGATAGAACTGGAATGAAAGAGAAATTGCAAAAAAGGTCCTTGACCATGTCAGGAGAAGTAGAATAAAAAAATATATACAAGGTTCATTCGTCATCTACCAGGCAATTTCCCGGCTATAGCCAGCCTGCCTTACATGTTGTGAATAATTTTGGCTATTTGTTTTTTTTACGACCGGCCGCCTGCCTGACATCAACACTTTTTTTGGGAATATAAATGGTTCATTATATGTTTGTAATTAATTATAAGGAATCGATCTCTCAGTCATAATGTTGCAAATTTTATGAAGAAGGTAATATGAGTTATGACTTATCAGCCTTATAACATAATATATCATTATTCATGTATATTATTTTTAATACATATGGATGATCAATAAAAAAATGTGAGAAATAATATACTTGCAATATAAAGTAAACCATCAACATTGACCTCACTCATTATTACATTTTTTTTTATAATATCACAATGTACGTTAATAATACATGACATATAAGATTCCTTTTAAATGAACTAAGCATGCAATTATTAAAAAAATATTATTTACATACACATGTACACACACACACACATACACATATACACACCAATACTGACATACTTACTCATAAATAGTTAGTGAGGTACCAACCTTGCAGCGACAGTGGGCGTTCTAGGCTTCATAGTCACAAATCTTCCATTGGCTCCTCTCGGTAATGTCTTATTAGCGTCGTGTTGTGCTCGAAGTTGTGTTGACATCTCCGCAACAAGCGGCACTTCACTACTGCAGAGTAATTCCAGTACATCCGCCCTCAGAGCATCTCTGTTCTTATCCAGGAAACCTTCCACGTTGTACCAAACCTGGCCTGCGTAGTGTTTTATCTGAGGAAGTCATACATTGCTGAAGTTCCATAACTTACCAATAATTTGACCTTAGTGGTAGTAACCAAATAAACATACCCCGAATTCGTTAGCTCCTAATCTAGGTCTAGAGTACAGCTCGTTGAGAGCGTGGTTATAATGGCACTTTTCTAGGAATGAATTATCTGACGCTCGTGGAAAATTACTTTCGTCATCCAACAAATGAAGAATGCCCACCGGCTTCTTACTCAGAAGTTGTATAACTGTAAACAAAAACATTTTAATAGAATGAAAGCTCCTAAAGGCCTTATGAGTTTTCACAAATATATCATTATTACCTGGAGAATTATCATTCCACGTAAGGTTAGACCACTCCAATCTTTCCTTTTGGTATTCCTGTTGCTCCAATTTAAATATATGTTTATTAAAATAATGCTGTAATGTTTCGTTAGCATAATTAATACAGAGCTGCTCGAACGAATTCTCTTCCAAGTCTTCAAAGCCGAAGATGTCGAGGAGAGATATCCGGTGAGCGTCGTGTAGTCCGGCTCGATGGACTATCGAATTGATTCTAAGGACAAGCCAACTGAATAGGGATGAATACAGTGCTTTAGCGAACGCATCTCTCGCATCTAAAGCTTGGTCAATCGGTAAGGGAGATCGCATACGCTCTGCCCTCGCTGCAGTTACCCTTGTCGTGAGAGCTCTGGCCAATTCTTCAGCCGGGATCTTCAGTAAATGGGCAGCCCAACGGACTTCCGCCCCTCCACCCAGTTGGACACCCTCTTGACCATGCCTGAGCTGTCTTCTATGAAAGTAAACGTTTCCTAAATGAAGTACAGCAGATAGGACTTTAATTATATCCTCTCGTTCAGAGTCACCAATCCCGAGAACTTGCATGGCGCCACATAGAGCCGACCAATCGGCTCCCGCACCCGCACCTCCCGAGTCACCGCCTTGATTTAAATAAAAGTAATGTTCTGCCGTCAACAGTCCTCGTGATTTCCTCTGTTCCTCGTCTAATCCGGCCAGCAGCTCGTAGAACACATGATAATTCCTTTCTCCGGGTGATTGTGTCACAATACGTGATTTTTCTAGCAAATAATGTGCGACTCTCGCGCCGGCTAGCGCGCCGTCCTTAAAGTATAGTTCTAGTAATTTACCAAAACGACTAGAGTTATGATTTTTTGGCGTTCTCGCGTTACCGAATGCCTCGAGTAACGGTGCTGCTTCTAGAATTTGTTCTGATACTGGAGCTCTTCCGGGCGGTGCTGGGGCTACAGCTGCTAGGAATTGTACAGCTAGCTTCGTGGACTCCGTCTTCCCGGCACCAGATTCACCAGATATCAGAATGGCTTGAGGATGAGGTAGTGAAGCTCGGGCTGCGGCTGCTATTGCAAACAGATGTGGAGGAAGATCACCTAACGCTTCCGCAGCGTGGTACCTGAATTAATAAACACATGAAGTTACATATTCCAACTAAAAGCACTTACTTATATATGTATACAATTTACCTTCTAGCAGTTGGCAGGCCATACAGCGCATCCACAGGTCTATAAGGGTTCACAGCGACTAATATGGAGCCAGCGTAAGTATAAATGAGACCTTGTTCATATCTTAACTTGAGATTCCATAGTAAGGCTGCTTCGTGTAAATCGTGGAGACGAGTCATGTCTTCCACACCAGTAGGACCCAGTTCCTCCCGAGGCCATACTGGATCACCTTCTTCGTCACCGTTACCCATTTGTAAGGCGAAGGTTTGAGCCTGTAGAAGGTTAAAGCAATATGAAATTTGAGAAACAAATCGCTGTTTTAAAGAGCGATATAATTAAATATAAAAAAGAGTCAAACTCGTATTTTCATCAAGTTTTAGAAGTATCATTAATACTAGAACGTATTAAGCAGTTATATAAAAACATGAAAGTTTAAACAAAAGTTTGATTTTGTTATTTATGCTATATAATTGAAAACAATAATACGTAATTTTTATGTATATCAAAAACAAAATTGGTCTTTATTATCAAACTATATTGACACACTTCAAAAATTATAATGAGCACAAAGTGAGCGGCAAATTACAAGTTTAGTGACCGCGGGCGAGTATACTGTGAGTTAATACCGGGGCTATTGATACTAGGCCTGTCAGTTATGTAAGGCTGTTATTACTGAGCAATTATTAATGTGTGACCGTTAACAATAGATTAAGGCTGAAAATAATATAACATATTGATTTATAATTATATCTATATTACAAAAGATTTATAGCTTGTTCGTTTCACAACCGTGTATATTGACGTAATAGTCAAATCAGCTCCCAAATCGCGACAACTCAATAATGTCATAATTTACATTTTACGTCCATTTCAAGTAGGTATTTTAGAAGCTAATATCCAGTGGCTCGCAAGACGTAACAAAATGCTACCAGCACGGAACAGCGGCCATATGGAAAATTATTACGTCCTGACACACAAACGTTACATGACATAACAGCTAGCCATACAATCGTGTCAAGCTTTTGAAGCTAAAAGCGTTTCGCTATCAGGATCACTCTATTCACGATACATTGCCCGTTATCTTTCACAATCTACACAGTTATGTGGTTAAATAAAGCAGTGAATTATTAACGCGGCAATAATCACGCAAATTAATCACTGTGTTGCCAGTATGATTAATGTATATTACGACGCGGTCCTTCATGTGTGCTATACAGATCATTGGTCATACTAAAGATTGTTTAAGCAACATAATTATATTGAAATAATTTGAACCCAATCAATTCATATTCAAAGAACTTTAAAACCAAATATCAAATGTAAATAATGAATCGCTTAGTAATTTAAGAAGTTATGTAATACCATAATGCATGACTGCAAAAACAAATACTTTTGCGTCCATTAAAATAACTCATCAATCCTTATAAGCTGAACGTGGCAGTATTATTGTGTGCAAATGTATTTTACATACTATATTTATATACATACATTGTTGACTAATACGTCTAAACATAAATTCCTTAACAGAGGAACTGTGCGATTTTTTCTTATTTTATTTTTCAAATCGGCGTTTTTCTTCAGTATTGAACCAACGATGTGACATTTCCCCATTTTGTTCGTATGATTGATAGATTTGTTGACACAATCCTGTCTCGTAAATCCAGTCTTCGTATTTATAGCATTACACGCATGAAAATTGGTAAGTTAAATAAACTATTAATGCAAGGTTTTCCATATGAATATTATAATATCGTAATTTTTATTTTAACAAAAACACTTCAGTATGTGCACCAAACACTTATTTACACTGCAGAATTTCAAGGTCCGAATACATTTTAGAGGAAACGTATAATATGAACACGTTTGATCTGAAGCACGTCAAGCAACTGATGACTGGCTCGATGTCCAACAGTTATCCCGGCCTAGATAACGGGATGCACCCCTAGCATTACATTTTGCATTGCCTTACGAATAAAACATATATTTAATAACTTTACATTGACTTATCTATGTATTCTTAATAGAAAGCTTTTAGAATACTAAGAAAAAAATCCAGATAAAAGTTTCCAGAACACGCTGTATAAGCAGTCAACTTCATCACAATAATAACATTATGCATTGCCTTACGAATACAAAATACATTCAATAACCTACGCTATACTGACTTACCTATGTATTCTACTAGAAAGCTATTAGAATATCGCCTTATACGCGTTAAAAATCAAGATAAACGTTGCCGTAGCACGCTGTATATGCAGTCAACTCTCTATCGACATTCCAATGTACGGCCTTGCGTTACGCCGAATTCTTAGGCCTCGTACACTTAGTCTGAGTCACTAATAAAATGTAACCGGCTTTTAGAACTGACTAATTCAATATTTATGAATATACTCAAATATGGAATTTATATATAAAGCATGGGATTAACTGGGCTTGAAATTCTTTTAGTTCTTTAGTACCATTTTAGATATTTTCTTTTTTTTTCTTTATTCTTTTTCTATAGACGACATTACGATAGTTAAACCCTAACAATAGATTGGGCAATGCTAAGACTGTTAGTATGTGCTGGAATGTTTCTTAATCAAGAAAAAAGTAAGTAGCAACGCATTCTCAACGGTTTACAAAATATTATACGTATTAAATATTTTTCTATATATAGTGACTATTAATATTTGACGTTCGTAACATGATTCAATATTTTTAACAGTTAAATGAATTGTAAATTCGTAGGTTGTACAATGTCATAAAGGTTTTTTTATTTAAATGAAACTAATATTTTCGTACTATGCATTATTTTCTTATTTTTATAACTAGATACTCACGACGTTTCGATTACTTTAAAGCAAGCGTGATCACGGGGATATGAAAAAAGTGAAGTAACCCAAGTGTCAGGAGTATGTTTTTTTAAAATAATAAAATAACGCATAGTAATCTTCGTATTACTACGCACAATAGTCTTAGATCTCATTATGTTTCTTCATGTTTTCCACAAGATGTGTAAATGTATTTACTAATCTATTTAGTACTCTGTTGTCCCTCCCGGTGACGCTGATATAGCCATAATAGGGCTAACAGCAACAGTCAAGTCGAAAAAAAACATCTGTTGTTTTATGTTCTTTCTGTTGTTGTATGTTCCTCACCTGTCCATTAACAACAGCGCTGACGAGCAGCACCCTTGCTGCTCGGTGGACCTCCACCAGCTCCCCGGGCAGCGGGGCGGGGGCTCCGGGCGGCTGGAACCACACCGCAGCACCCTCGGACCACTCCGCCATCCCCCCACTACCCGCCATGCTGCACAAAAAACAAAAAATACATTAAATAACACATATATAAGATAAGATAAATATACTTTATTGTACACCAAAACAAAAAAATACAAGAAGCAACACAACAGAATAAAAAACACGGTACAAAAGGCGGTCTTATCGCTAAAAGAGCGATCTACTTCCAGACAACCTTTGGATAGAGGACATTGAATACTCTAAGAAAGGGGTTCGGAGGTGTACACCTTTTAGGTAAATCATATATACACAAACATATCTACGTAACATACATACATACGATTAATACTTGTTATATATAATAATTCCATTTTGTATACTTTTTTAACATATATAATAGCAATGACCAGCTAAATTCAAGGTTCGTCTTAGAGACTTCTTGCATACCGAGTTCTGGAAGCAACGAAATGTGCTATAGGAATTAAATACTGCAAAATAAGTAAAGCTAAGGTTTTTAAAGATATATAGTGTAAATAAAACTTTGCATTGAAAACTATAATATCTTTACGGGAATTTTAAAAAATCTCCGTATGTCCATGTAACTTATATTATGTACATATTACGACGGCACTTCATAGACAGAATCTATGGGTGATAGTGTATAAATTAAAGAACCTCTACCTTTTTGAAATCTCGTAATAAAAAATTATATTATGTGTGTGTGTGTGAGAGAGAGATTGTGTGTGTGTAATAAATGAATAATACTGTCGAATGTTTACGCTCGTATAGAAAAAATTGAAATAGTTTCATATAACCCATAGAATAGTGAAACGCACATATCTTGTAAAATCTTCTTATAATAACCACGTGAAATAAATACTATTTCATGGCCGGCACTAAAGAGCGTGTAAGTACATTAAGCTGTTCTTATAATATTGTCATTTAAATGAAGTTTTTCATTTACATGTACCAACTTAAATATCTCATCGTTTTTAAAAAGTCCCTTTTATAAGATGTTCTACTCTGAATTTTGTTTTATGTGACGTAGTTTTAACCGTGAATAATTTAAATAATTTTCTCAACACAGATTATCACTTCTTATACTATTTATACTTATTTATTATTTATTATTTACACATTATTTACTTTCAATTGCATAAAATAAGATGTTTTGCTTTTCGAATGTTTTTATTTCCAAATGTACCAGGCTGTCATGTATGCTTACGATAAGTTTGAACGTCACACTACATACGAGAAGTTTTCCGTATCTCATTCAATAGCCTATGTTTATACTACAATATAAGAAGTTTTTGAGCCCAAAAACGATCAGCAATTTGTTTGTTAATGAAAGTACAGAATGACATTAGAAATAAAATATAATCTAAACATAATTTAGCAATAAGTATAGTTTCAGTTTTAATAAAAACTTCAAAAAATTCGGAGCTCAAAAGTTCTTCGTAAACATTAATAACATTAAGTATATTTTTTTATTATTATTTTAGGACTAGGTACATAATAGGTATATATTATAGTTTTAAGTCTCTTATACAAAAAATTTGTTTTGTGGATCCGTTGTATTTGTAACTTTTCAGTTAAATCATGTTTCTTATATAGATAGAATTAAAAATAATACATTTTAATTTAGTTTTCATTTAATAACTAATGATAAATATTAATAAATCGCAATTTCCAACTTTCTCGACAATAACCGTTTGTCTCAGAAATGGCGCGTCGATAATTTACAAGATTATGTTCCAATTTACTGTTTTTTTTTGTGGAAGCCATTTCATATAATGTTCGTTACATGGAGACACAAACTTTCATTCCCACGACCAGCCCGTTACATGGAACATAGCTATGATCGCTGTAGGAACATTATTCACTTATATTTTAACTGTTACGAACAAAATGATACCAATTTTGTATGAGCTTTTTAATATAAGTAAATAAACATGATTAGGCGTAATTTATGTATGGAACGGCAAGACTTGCCACCATATAATACCAATAAGGTCAAGGCTTGTTGTATACCCGCCAAGTCATTTAAGCTTCCCGTAACACACGGACAAATTTGAGAAATAATCTCTCACACACACATATTTAGCGAGCCGTGAATCAAAATTAAGTATTATTTCAAGTACAAACAACTTTTGCCACAGCGGTTAACATTGACAGCTTCGCAATAAAAATAATTACGTTTTTTTATTGCCAAACATTCAACTTGCAAGTGGTCATTGTTTAAAGACGATACTGAATTCATGGAACTCGCTATCATTTCGAGAATTAAAACCAAAATGTTTATAGTGCAACAGTTTATTAAATCACATTGTTTCGTCATAACTTATATAAATATAACAAAATTCGTTTTAGGATAACTATAAATATATCGGAGACGCCATCGCTGTAGGTGGAGAGCAGCACGGACTGGATGGCGGGCCGGGGGTGAAGCATATAGTGGGGGGAGGGGGAGGTTGGAGACAGAACGGCTCCGGTGGAGGGGGCTGGATGAACATGGGAGGAGGAGGAGGAGGCTGGACACAGAGAGGAGGCAGCGGAGGAGGTTGGACACTGAGGGGAGGTAACGGAGGAGGCTGGATGTACAGCGGCTCGGGGCAAGGAGGCTGAACGGTTATAGGACACGGCGGAGGAGGCTGAACGTACATAGGCGGAGGAGGAGGAGGCTGGATCATCATAGGAGGTAACGGAGGAGGCTGCACCGGCATCGGAGGAAGAGGGGGAGGCTGAACCATCACGGGAGGCATCGGCGGAGGTTGAATCAATATTGGAGGCAGCTCTATCATGATCGGAGCAGGTGGAGGAAGTTCCAAATACAATGGGGGAGATTGGGGAGGAGTGACGTACATCGGCGGCGGCGCTGGAGGTGTGATGCACAAAGGGGGTAACGGCGGTGGAGTGATGCATAGAGGAGGAGACGGGGGAGGCGTTACCGTCATGGGGGGTAACGGCGGTGGTGTGATACACATAGGGGGTAAGGCTGGTGGTGTTATAGTGATCGGTGGCGGCATCGGCACCTCAATGAACATAGGGGGTAATGGCGGTGGGGTAACGCATAACGGAGGAGGAGTGGGGAGAGTCACGTAGATCGGTGGCGAGGGGTTAGAACACCCACAGGGCTGACCCATGTATGGCGAAGACGCCAGACATGGGGAGTAAGGAGACGCATAATACTGGCCCTGAACAGCGCACTGTAAGAAAAACACATTAAAAATAACCGACATATATTAAAAATCATAGCATTCAATAAGAATACATCGTTCACCTTCAAAAATTTCTAATTATAAATGCATTAAGTCATATTATAAACAATTGACATTAAGCTGTGTTTTCCGGCTAACAATAACATCCGCGAAACTTAATAATGCAAAAAAATTAACTTGTAGCGTGTCTACAAATAGATGGAATAGAAATATAGATAGAAAAATACAAAGCGAATTTTCGCATCACTCACCAAAAACAGGGCAAACGCCACCACTCTCTCCATCGGTGATCGATAAATTGTGTTAAAACATCATCAATACTTTATATATGTATGCACAGCCCTTATTACGTAACAAAATAAACGTTAAATGCATCAAATTACAAATAATTGATTCACAGTTATTTCAGTTTAATGAAGAGATTGATCACGTATTGGATAGATAGGACAGATGTTGATTACTCAAACAACGATAGCGTTTACTATTGTCTAATTGAAATTATATCAAAAAATAGTTCCAACAGTCTATTTGTTGATAAATTTTAGTCGTTTTGGTTTGGTAGTAAATTAAATTCTCCATTTGACAGTATTGGCCATTTATTCTAAGTATTAGTTTACTACATGTTCGCGTAACCAAACGAAACACGAAGCGTTAAAAGTTAATCATTTTAACTATATAGATATTATCATGCGGAAAAGTGGTAAGTGTAATTATATTCTTAGATTAAAACAATGCAAGTAAAATAATATTTAGTATACACTTAATGAAATAGTCGACATAATTTGAAGAATTATACTTAATTCATGTGTATATTTAATAGTTGTGATTTGTAATGTCTTCTCAATTTTAATTCAACAATCCTAACGAGAGTTAATCTTATAAATAAACCTGTAAAACCGATGACGTAATTTTTATTAAATAAAAATTGTTCTGCTTAAGCCGGTTCAATATTTCTCTATTTTGATATAACAAGCAATCATCATCAAACGAGCATTAAATATTGAAGACGCATAATTTTCTTATATATGCCAACATGATATAAATCCAAATTAATTATCAATAACTTTACAAACGAGATTCAACCTAAGCTGACCTTAACATTATTAATATTTTAAAGTAAAATGTGTCCCACAAAGAGTTCATTGAATCCGGTAAACAATTGGACACTTCCGTCCCACCGAGTGGATGTCGATACTATTGATGAATATTAAAATATTATACGCCCAAATAAAAACGGCACGTATTAAACGCGAGCTGGGACAAGTTCCGGGGTTTCAATTCAACCGGGTTACATGTGATGCATCTGTATTCTGCGTGCGGAAAGTGGAAACGGCTTTCTTTACGCGGCCGGCGAAGAAGGCGGTATAAATATGAATTAATTGTTCATATAGATTGATCTTGTATCAACAGGAGACGAAGATTCCAGTGTCATTTTAAGGGCTGTCGCTCATGAATTTAACATATAAAAATGTATAAGAAAAAATGCAATTTGATAACCCTTAAAAGATGTTTTAATATAATAAAGGTTTCGTTTCGATCCTGGTTGATGTGAAATACAAAATATAATGGATAAAATTTTGTTTTAAAGCATTACCCTAATACTAGGAGGGGCATACAATTATGTAACCAATACGTCTCTACAATATATTTAAATACAGTTATATAAATTATATTTAAGGAACTAAACATTAAAATTAAACGGTAAATTTTTCTATTAAATAAAATTATAAAAATGTCATTTGATATATTTTTTATATAAAATATAGGTAATTCATTCAATTTGAACGCATGACATTCAATGAGTTAAAACCGTGAAAAAGTTGACAAAAAACTGGTTAAAAAAAATATATTCTATCGATTTAACAAATAACAAACGCTCAACGGACCGATGAGCTGTATATATACCGGTTATGATTTAATAAAATGTTAATGGCGACACAGTTACCTTTCAAACTGGCAACATTATAAAACAAAAACGTTTCAATTACTTCGAAATAAATAGCATAATTGAGTCTTAAACTATACGAAAATATTCAACCCTTTATTAACATCGATTTAAACATAATATATATATATATATATATATATATATATATATATATATATATATATATATATATATATATATATATATTATAATCAATAAGACATATAGAAAAATTCGATTACCTGCTAGTAGGTACAACTATTTGGCAATGTTAACACAATTGTACAAATTGCCCACCTATACTATGGTGCAAACTTGTACGCATATCAAATAATTAGGTAAGCATTAATGTCCATTAAAATCTTTACGTAATAATCACAAATATTGCGTTGAATTTAAAATTACGTTCGTTTTAATTAACGTGACGGTAAAAGAATTGATAATGCTTAAATTGTTTCTTCCGAAATTTATTTAGAAATAAACTAAACTAAAGATAAACAATATTTTATATACAGACGACAAGAGATGAAACCTCTTAGCAATCAATGTATTCACGGTGCGTGTGTCGGGTCCATCGTTGTAGGGAGAGCAGCTTCAACAGTGACTGGGACTTGCGACCCAGGTGTAGGCCCCTATATAACGCGCGTTAAACGCTTACCTCCACCGTCCAAGCTCCTCTTTCCACCTAACCAAATTCGAAATAGTGCAACCAGGAAATTCAGAATACAAATGTTAAAGCCTCACTGAATTATTAACGCAATTATAAATGTTGAACACTATGTAGGTAATGGTTGCATAAGAGAATCTTCAGTGTGGGATTCGGGGCAGCTGATTCGAATCCGTGTCATAAGAACAATGCTGCTTGTACTATACACACTGTATTTGGAATGTTTTCACACCATTCTGATCGTTAAGATTAAAGCACTGAGGACGTTTCTGTGTGCACAGTTTTGACCTTTATACCGTAGCCGTGGTTACGATGTCTATTTTCTAAGTGATTTGTATGTCATAAGCAATTTTTATCTGTTCTATGTTTAATTAAGCATATAAATAAATCGTTTTATAGAATACAGTTAAAGTGACAAGCAAAAAGTCCCAAAAAAACATTGTTCTGTTATTTTTATGATGACATTTCTGAATAAAAATGGTTGTTGCCGTTATATTTAGGTTTTTTTTTTGTGACAATCGGAAACTTTTGCGACAACCGAAGATGTAAGTGAAAATTACTTTATAGATTATGTTTTTCAAATTAAAATCTCTCTGACAAACAATTGTTGTATTAGACAGCCAATGTCTTTTTTTTTAATATTTGACGCCGGAAGGAATACCTCAGGAAGCTTTCGTATGCTTTCTTACTGATATATCTTCCCACAAACATTACTTATCAATATAAAACTAAGAACAATTAATAACATAATTTTAAAATATAAAAAATTACTTAATTGATACGAATCTAATAATAATTTTCAATGTACATCTATGATTCCTAAATTGGATTGAATAAATTAAATTCAAACAATGGTAAGTTAATATGGCGTAAAATGGTAGGTTTTGTAAACAATGGCCTGTCACGACACAGGAAAGTCGCTTATATCCGAACGACCGATTCATTCAAGCCGTGGAATATAAATGTTTAAAACATAAATACATATATATATATATATAACATCTAATAAGGAGACACAATTGAAATAGGAAATATATATTTTAATTTTCTAAGATAATATGAGAAAATAATGATTATAAAAATGAATAGTTCCAAACAAGCTAAGTTCGTAACAAGCGTAATTTAATTGTAGAATATGAAAAAAATGTTTTCAATATATATATATGTATCATCAATAAGTAATCTACGGAATGAAAACAAATAAAATCAAACATATAAACCCTATTTATTAAAAGTAAAGTAATTAAAAGTAAAAAGTAATTTATAAAAAGTAAAAACCATTCGTCAAACGACAGATAGATAGATGTTTATGTATAATCACAGAAATTAAATATAGTGTTATAATATAGAAGAATATTTACAAATCAATAATATTGTCAGTGCATTATAGTTTAAACAGTTTAAAACTAAAAACTTTTACCAAAACCGGCCACTGACGATTGTAAAGAATTATGAAATAGGAAAAAAAAGACAATTAGTAGAGTGTAGCAACGTTACACTGGCTATAAGTAATATTACCTGGTCTGAATGAATGGAGAATGGTTATTCTACTAATATTATGTACTAGCTTTCCGCCCGCAGCTGCACCCGCGTGGAGTTCGTTTATATCGTGTTTCCAAGAGAATCTTTCAAAAGTCTGGGATAAAAACTATCCTATGTTCTTTCTCAAGGTCAACTGTATCTCTGAACCAAATTTCATTAAAATCAGTTCAGTGGTTTAGGCCTAAAATCGTAACAGACAGACAGAATTACTTTCGCATTTATAATATAAGTAGGGATTTGTTACCAAATTTAAATACAGTACCAAATCATTTACTTTTTCTGGATACATCACTTATGTGTGATTGTCATTTATCTACTATTATTATAATAGTAAAAAATTACTGAATCTTGTCTTCTAAACAAATGAATCGATGTCCACAATACAGGCCTGACCTAGTGTGGACGTCAACGTTTACTGTAAATGACATAGTAAAGTGTTTTACAAATAAATAATAAATAATAATAAAATAATTTCGAATGCGATCGTTTGTGAAGATGTATGTAGGTATGAGAATTTTATGCTGCTTTATTCAAAACTACTTAATGGATTATGGTAAAAATTCTACAATAATATAGCTTACATTTTAAAAAACAACAAAGGCTTTGATTTATACTGAAATTATCACAGGATAACGCATAACAGTATTGAAGTGACATTGACGTGACGTGCACTAAAAATGTCACTGACAATGACTTAACACTTTAGTTATAATTAATACATATCTCTACCAATACTGATACCGTAGGACACGAGGACAAAGTCGCGTATATATACTAGTAAACTATATGAATTCAAGAGAATTAAGGTCAAATCCAATGAGGGATTTGGAAATTGAAATTGTATTGAAGTTAAAATAAAACTACATATATGTATTTACATAATAAGATTATAAGATATTGTTCTGTTACATAACGTTTTGAAATTCCGTTCGCTCCATCTCTATACTCTGCTCTTAGACTACATATTAAAGTCTAAGAGACACCACATATTCTACAAATCTTACTCGAACCAAATTCATGGTCATTAACAAGAAATCTGGTTGTGAGATGAAAATAAATCAAATAGCATATACTTAACAGTAAACTACATATAACACACAGCAATAAATTAAACAAATAAAACTACAATTATCAAGAGAAAGTAATTC